TCAATGGATCCAGTTCAATGACTTGCACGGTTCGTCATCTGCGGACACTTCATCGGGATGTACGGAATAAAAATCAATAGTGCTCATTGCATCTCAGACGAACTACAAGCTCATTGATCTTCCACTCTATTGTCACGTACGACCGTTGAGCACGGACCAACTTCAGATCGACACGCTGACAGAAACATGGTGCGAGGGACACCTTTCGCTAGACTTTTTTTTATATATTTTGTTATTCCAATGCCAACCTCATCTGCTCTCTCCCTTGTTGGTTGCAGGAATTCGACCTGCCACGTTTCGACCGATATCATGTCAGTATGCTTTACTCACTCCCCATTCATCCGTTTGCTCTACTTACCGAATAACTGCTTTTTATTTTTTATTTCCTCTCTTGACTTCCTCCTCTTCTTTCCTTGTAGCTTTGACAATTGGTTCAAGTATGCTCAAAAAGAGTACGAAAAGCGTGAAGACCTTGAAAACCCATGGCTGGAGGAGGAAGCTACCCATTATGAAGGGTTTAGTCTTGCTACAAAGCTTTCGATTCTAAGCAATCTATGTGAATGGCAGTTGGACGATCCAGAGCGTTTCCGTGCCTACTTCAAAGAGGAAGAAGAAGTAGCAGTAGAATGGGTGAGTGGCATAACGGTTTTTGATTGTTTTAAGTAATAGCAACAAAAATTAAGTCGACTTTATTCTTTCTCCATGAAGGGAAACTTACTGATTTTTTTTTTTTTTTTTTTTTGTCGCTTGTAGCGAGTGGATCCAATAGGCTATGATGCTATGGATCGCACCTACTGGCTTTTTGATGGTATGATTGTAATTTATTTATTTATTTGTTCGTTTATTTTTTTTTTAAAAAAAAAAAAAAAAAAAAAAAAAAAAAAAAGAACTGATAGATACTTGAACTACTTGTTTTTTTCCATCCATACTTATTACAGATCCTTGTTCAATCTCCTTTACTAGATAATCGGCTTTATAGAGAGAACCCACTCCCTAAAAAAAACACCAAAGCGACCGAACAACCGATAGTACCATCTAAAGCTAAAGCCAAAGTTAAAACAGCAGTTGAACTTAGACGAGGCACACGCCGGTCTACACGTGGACAAAGAGCAGAGGAAATACTTGAACCAGAGCCGGAACCAGAGTTTGAGACACCGCCTATTACTCCTGGCGTTCAATGGGAACCCATATGCATAACCAAAGAGGAATGGGAGGATTTTGCGAAAATCTTTCATCGCTCAAAGCACTCAGACGAGAAAGCACTTTATGCATTAATCAACAATGATATCCTGCCTAAAGTTCTTAGCGATTTCAGAGTAAGCGTAATCATTTTTATTGCCAACATTTGTTAGTTGGATTTCTCTTGAGATGGACTTTTGTCTCATATAGTGCACTCACGTGTCCTGAATAGGAAAAAGAAAAAGAGCGAGAAAAATTGGAGGCGATCGCCAATCGCAAGAGATCATCTAGAATTGTTATTAGAGAGCTTGAGCTTCAGGAGAAAGCACGCTTGGAGGCCATTCGCCAACAAGAGCTACAGACCGCAGCCGAGCAGCGCAAGAGGGAGATCCGTGAACGTCGAGCTGAGAAAGTAGGCATCAGATTATATGGAAAGAATATACTTATCTCTGTCATTTTTCTTGCATTTGTTTCTCAAATGAGCTTACTTGGGTTTGATCTATTAGGAGAGGCTTCTTCAGCAGCAAGTTCGCGATAGCCGCCAAAAAGAGCGTGAAATGCGACTCAAAGCTCGTGAAGATGCCATCTGGGAAAGAGAAATGAAAAAGAAACAACAACAGCAAAAGATTGCCAAGGAACGGGAAGCACGGCAGAGTCGCAGACTTGGCAGTAATCATAAAGAGGACCATTCAGAGAATGAATCTATAAAGTATCAGGACGAGGACGAGGAGGAAGACTGGGTCTTTGATTGCGTTTGCGGCGTTCATGGCAATAATCTGGTAAAGAGATTGTATCCTTTTCTATTTTTGTGTGTGTGGGAGAAAACAGACGATAAAAGAGGCTGTAATCCTAAATTGATTTATTATGTCTTTCCATAGGATGATGGAGAGCTGATGATTGCGTGTGGCAAATGCAATGTCTGGCAGCATGTGGCATGTTTGAAGCAAGAGGACGCAGCGCAAGGAAAGACTGTTAAAGACTGGGAGACAGTTGATTTCACTTGTTCAAGATGTATCGCCAAAGAAAAAAAGAAAGCAGCCAGGAAAAAGAGGGGGCAAAAACTGAAGATGGAGACCCTCGCAGCGACAGTAGTATTACCAGGAGTGACCAAAACAACCCCCAATGGCATACAAGGCCAAGTATTAACTCCAGCTCCAGCACCAGTGGGCAAGAAGGAGGTCAAAAGAAAAAAAGTACCAGTTGAGTCGCAGGCTCACGTAGCCTCTTCTGCTATATCTTTCACAAATGGACATTATCTTCAATCGCCTCATCACCATGCAACGTCTTTTCCAGTCCAACCTTACTCCTCACAGCCACAATCTTATCATAGTCAATCTGCGCCTTATCATGTGTCACCAACCCATCATCCCACATCTTTCTCAGGCCAACCTTACTCGCCACAGCCACAGCCGCAGCCGCAGCCGTACCATAGTCAGACGCCATACCAACAAAGTCTTGGCATCATTCATGCTCCTCAGACCTTTTACAGTGGTCATCCAACTGGAATCGCAGACAATCAACTTGAGCAAGCTCATCAGCACTACGGTTATCAAAATGCGCACCTCATGCAACCACAGCATTATCTCTATCTTCCTCATCAACAGCAACAAACAGTGCCCTCTCAGTACCGTCAACCGTACCAAGGCGAGCCACACCAGTTTCACCAATCGGATGTTCTAATGTATAGTCAACCTACTGTGTCACCAGGGTACAGACCAGGCATATTAGCGCCGGGATCAGCTGGTATGGTCCAAAAGCGTGTGAACTCTGGAGAGGATGATATCGCCATGGAGGGCATGGAGAGGCCGTCCAAGATGATGATCAACCACCATCATCATCAAACCTAGACCTCGACATTAACTGTAATTCCACCCAACTTTGACTGACAGTATAGCTTTGTCCTTTCTTTTTAGAATAACTTGTAAAATATACAGATATACAGCGCCATTAATTAGTTCAATATATTCTCATAATATGATCATAGTGTTATCGAGATAACTTTTAGAAGAAAAAGGGAAGCTACCTTCATGAATGATTGAATGAACATTATTCTTTATATCGTTTCAGTAGCTTAATAATGGTACCATTAATTGACTCAATACAGCCTCGCAATACGCCTATAACAACACAGATGAAACTGTGGAAGGAAACTCTGCTTTGTCATGGAGCCATGGTAGTTTGGCCAAGTAAGCTAAATGAGTCAAAGCTATTGATTGATTCATACGGTTCCCAAAATCCACTTCAAATTGAAAATTAAGACTTGGTAGACGCATTGACAAACGCATTGACAGGCGCATTGGCACTTTGTGAGCAGAGCTGTTACTCTCTGGACTGCCTGCCTCCTGGCCTTTTTCTTTTTTCTTTTTTTCTTTTTCTTTTCTCATTTGCTTCATTACTCATTGTGACATTTGCTCCCTCATTCTTTTTATTTTTCTTTCAATAAAAATATCATCGCAATCTTAAACAATAAGTTAATTGTTATCGCGTCTAGAATCATGAACCTGAAGCCTAATCTGTCGATCCGCGCCCAGGAAAACCTGCAAGTACCCAATATAATGCTTGATGGCATCAAAAAGATCTATAACAACAAGTTTCACTTAACAAACAATCCATCGGGCATCATTAATATGAGTGTTGCTGAGAATCAGCTCATGACAAAGGAGCTTTCAGAGATTGTATGTCTATTATAATTTTATTTCTAATAGACACTTAAACGCTGATCTAAGTCACTAACTTTTTTTTTTTTTTTTTTTTTTTTCATTTGCGTAGATGGGGGTTGTGAACACTGCGGATCCCAAGGTAATGAGATGATGAAATAATGCTATGGATATTGTTGAACCCTAATTTCAGTGGCGTAACCATTAAAAAAGATGTCGTTAGAGTGCACATAAAAAGACGTTAAGTTGATATTTATTTATTAATTTTTTTTTTTTATAAAATCATCCATAACCTTTATTGAACACTGGTAGTTCTTTGGATACTCTGAAGGCCCTTTTGGAACCAGATTCCTACGCGATTGTTTTGCAAATAACATTTTCAATCGCCACTTTAAACCCCACGAGCCTATACGAGGTGATCATATTGTCCTCTCATCAGGATGCAGTGCCACTATAGACAACTTTACATTCTCTGTATGTGACCCAGGCGATGGAGTTTTGTTTATCACCCCTTATTATGGTAAGATGATCGCTACATTGTTACATGTTACAGGAAAAAGGCGTTTTGAATTCTCGTGCAATCCCCTCTTTTCACTCCCCTCCTCCCCTTGTGAATGAGAGCTAATCATCTCCACAATCTTATTTTTGTATTAATTACATTAAGGCGGTTTTGACACGGACATCATAGCCAAGGCTAAGGCTAAGGCCATTCCTGTCTATCTTGAAGACATTTCTCCATTTGATGTGGCTCAAATCAAACCCCTTCAAGCTGCCGTTGACAAAGCTTTTCAGGAGGGAACAAATGTTCGTGCTTTAATATTGTCCAATCCCCACAACCCCCTTGGAAGGTACAGATGCAGTCAAGGCTTGGTTAAAAAAATCCTGAATAGAATCTCGCCTTTTGATACCTATCCCTCCTTACCCCTTTCCCCTCTTTTTATATATTTATTTATTTATTTATTTATTTATTTATTTTCTATCATTTATTTTACCAACCTGAACATGGTGGTATCACCAGAAATTATACGCGCGAATTGATTATTGAGTATCTCAAGTTTGCAAACAAGAACCGGCTACATATTTTGTTTGACGAGATTTATGCACTCTCAGTTTTTGATCACCTGCTGACTGGTCAAGCCAAGAAGCAGCAGCCTGATAATGCACCGTTTATTTCAGTCTTGTCTATACCCAACCTTGAAGAGTACTGTGACAAGCAGTTGATCCATGTTGCCTACGGCATGAGCAAAGTAAGTCCCTTGGATATCAATGACTCGTAGTACCTAATGATGAGTGCATGCAACTGGATGGCTAACAATAATTTTTTTTAAATATATATACATATTTATTTATATCGAATAGGATTTCTGCCTGAACGGTTACCGTTGTGGTTGCCTTGTGTCCCCGTGGAACAGAGACCTTTTGGAGGCAATGCGTTCAATTGCGTAAGCACTGGCTCCCAATTGTAATTCCTACTGATAAATGCAAACTGATTTATGCTTCTCCTAACATATAATAAATATATATTTAGTGTTTTTACCTGGATGTCGTCGGTAACAGAGGGAATGCTTACAGAGCTTCTTTCAGACCCAGAGAGAATCGACACTTTTATAAAGACCAATCAAGCTCGCCTGGCAGAGAGTTATACATATACGGTAGAAACGCTTAGCAAACATAACATCTCCTTCACACCGGCACAGGCCGGACTCTTTCTGTGGATTGATCTCCGTCAATACATCCCTGCGCCATTCAAGACCGCAGCTTCACATGGTGATCGAGAGGCAGAGTTCCTACTTTGGAGGACCATGTTAGATCAGGGTGTATATTTGAACCTAGGAGGGGGCTTTTCAGAGAGAAAGGTTGGATTTTTCAGATTGACCTTCTCACTTCCTTTACCGATACTGAAGATGGGCCTGGATAGAGTGCTTAAAGCCTGTCTGGAGACTACTGTCGCCACAACATCAGCATAAAGATAGAAAAAAATAATTTTATAAACAATGTAGTGTTTATTAAGATGAATAAATTAAAAAATGTTCATAAGTATAATAAGGACTACTTGTTATGATTATCTACGAACTGAGGATTTTGGTTTTTCAACAGCAATTGAGGGTTTCTACGGGAGGAAGAACTACTGCTAAGCATGCTGGAACGGTGCTCCATTCCTATCTGAGACTGGGACTGAGACTGGGACTGAGAGGAAGAAGGAGATAGAGATGAAGATTGATACGGTGATTGAGGCTGGGGCTGAGGCTGAAGCTGGGGAGACTGAGACTGAGATAGCGATTGAGGATGTGATGGACTTGAGGGCTGAGGCGTGTCTTTTGTGGCACCATGTGCTTCACTCTCTGCATCCACATATGTGGAACGGGTCGCTTCCAATGGCACTATATCAGAGGAGCGTCTGGACATGAGCATTCCATGGATTGATCCCGCATTGGCCAAGGCGCCATCCATACCACCATCACTACCAGTTCCCCCCGCACTACTAGGACGAACAAACTGGTCATGGCCGGGCTGTAATTGCTGTTGTTGTTGCTGTTGCTGTTCTTGTTGCTGCTGTTGCTGCTGTTGTTCTTGCTGCTGCTGCTGCTGTTGTTGTTCTTGCTGTTGTTGTTGTTGTGCTTGTTGCTGTTCTTGCTGTTGCTGTTGCTGCTGCTGCTGCTGTTGAGAATACTGCAACTGGAATTGATAATCTCGATTCGGCATATCGTAGAAAGGCATCGCAGTTGCATTATTGTTATCCCGTGGGCTATAATAGGTGACAGGCGCATTCATATTTACTCCATGTTGCTGATAGAGCTGATCCGGATACCGATGGTATGCAGCTGCAGCATCATCCTGTGGGTCCTGTAGTTGAGCAATATAATCAGGGTCGTATTGGCCAAATGTGTCTTGTAGATCGGCTGCATAATATCCGTACATGGGATCGACTTGAGGCATATAACCATTCACCATTCCTTCAGCGCCAACGCCACCACCGAGATAATGCGACTCGCCATCATATGGGATATAGAGGCTATCAGATCTTCCAGAGATACCGCTTGTTCTATGATAATTTAAGGGTTCTGAAGATTGCGGACCATTCATTGTATGCAGAGCCCCATGACCACCATGACTGCCGTAACTGCCGTGAGCACCATGGCCAACGCCAACGGCTGCTGTTGCTGCTGCTGCTGCTGCTGCGGCAGTTGTTGTTGTTGTGGCGATGGTTCCCCCAGGAGAACTAGGAATTGGAGGCAAAGATAATGGATCCTTGCGTGGATGTTGCAGATGGTTCTCTTGCATGTCCAAGTTCAAAGGACTGAACATGCTAGCGTTGCTGTTGCGATTTAACATACGACGGTGTCGTTTACTGACCATGAAGACACCTATGAGTGCTGCAAGGAGGATGACCAGGACTGCGAGGACAATGCCAATGATACCACCAACAGGCATACCAGAACCATTACTATTAGATGTGGAAATTGTAGGACGAGGGATGAGGTGAGAAGTGCTAGTAGGGCTTGAATAGGTAGGAGTAGAAGGTGAATTGGCATCGGAAGAAGTTGTAACGATAGTAGTTGTTGTTATTGATGATGATGATGATGATGATGATGGTGGTGGTGGTGGTGGGGGAGGAGGAGGAGGATCTGTAGTAGTGGTGGTGGTCGTAGTCGTTGTTGGACGTGGTGATGGACGTGTCGTGGTCGTCCTTGTAGCGGTTGTAGTTGGTACTGTGGTGGTAGTGGTAGTGGTAGTGGCGGTAGTGGTAGTGGTGGTGATGGGGACCGTCGACGTAGGCGGATCTGTAGTTGTAGTAGTAGTAGCGGTTGTGGACATAGTAGTAGTCGTTGGCCGTTGTGTATTAGTAGTAGTGGTTTTTGGTGGTGTTGGTTTTGTTGTCGGATAATCCATTGTGGTTGTTAAGGTAGTTCTAGTTGGCTCCTGAGTAGTTTTGGTTCTAGTTGCTGTCGTTGTCGGCCTCACTGTTGTAGTTCTTGGCGTAATTACTACTGTAGGCCTGGTTGTAACTACTGTAGTCCTTGCTGTAGTTGCTGTAGTAGTTGCTGTAGTTGCTGTTGTAGTTGCTGTAGTTGCTGTTGTAGTTGCTGTTGTAGTTGCTGTTGTGGTTGCTGTTGTAGTTGCTGTTGTAGTAGCCTTTGTTACTACTGCTGTACTAGTTATCGAGGGTCCTTTGCTTGTAGTGGTAAACTTTTGAGTTAAAGTAGTGACAGTAGGTTCCCGATCTGTGATAGAAGTGGTCTTTTTGGTAGTAGTAGACGTAGCAGTTCTTGTAGGTTGTCTAGGTTTTGTTGTACTGGGTTGAGTGTAATCGATTGAGGACATCGCGTATGCGCTCACAAGGAAGTGACAACCAACGTGTATGTGGCTATGCTGATGCAGATGAATGTCGATTTGACATACAACGTTCAGAACAGGCTGCTTGGTTTACTAACAGAAAAGAAAACAGGGAAATGAAATCAAAAGAGGGAGAGAAAAAGAGGAAAGAAGAGATTGAAAAGAACAAAGAGGGATAAGAGAGACTTATTATTTTCAGCTATCATGAGGTCTTATTGACGTTGTTGTTGAAGCTAGTAGAATGAAGATCTAGTTAAAAAAGTCGATAGTCACAAATAAACATGCGAAGTCTACATGTCCTTGTTCCTGCCAAAAAAGAAAATTGGCGGCGGTTCTTTTTTTTTTTTTTAAACTTTTCTTATTCTTTGAGTGAAGTCGAAAAGCGCTTTAGACATTCTAGTGTGTTTGAGGCAGTTTGGGATGTCTCACCAGCTCTGTGTATGGTTGTTACTTTATGAATATTACCAAAGAAAGACCTCCAAAAGGGCATTCATGATAATTTTACACACTAATTTATCATTTATTCAGCCACAGTTACTTTTGTAATTTAACCTCGTATGACAAAATCTATGTCATCTCTCTCTTGTGGACATCACTTTCTTTCTCGATCTTTTTTTTTTATTCTTATTTGTCCCTTTATTTGTTCGCCTTCTTTCCTATCTAGCTCACCAACTGTTTATCATTCGAAAATGCAGTTTCTAGATTTTTATTTATTGTAAAGGACAGATCAAAAGAAAAAAAAAAAAAATGGCTGTGCATCCGAATGAGGCAAAGCCTTGGAGTAGCACAAAATTCGGTGGCACCTGATCATGTTTCTTTTGCTGCAAATGCGACCAATCCAGCTGTAAGTCCACACTAAAAATATCTATTCTTACTTTTTCCAACTTTTAAAACCCCTAATATTTGGTGGCAACCAATCGTTGTGTAAAATCCTCTAACTTCTGGGAAACACACCAAACAAATGGTCTAGAAGACATGACATGTCTAGTCTTGTACATGAAGAGTGTCTAGACTACATCCTAAAAAGCCTAGCGAGGGTTCATCACCGTAGGCTTATTGCTTCTGTTGCTATTTCACAACCACCTTTTTTCATAATTTTTATTTGTTTTCCTTACAACATCTATAAGCACGATTATTACAATATTACTTCGCAATTTGAGCTAAATGATTCGAATATGCTTATGCAATGGGAGGAATGGTAACCAAAAAAAAAAAAAAAAAAAAAAAAAAAGGGGGGGGTGGGGGTGGGAGGCAGAAGAGGAAGGTCATAGTTCATGGCTCATGGCTCATGGCTCATGGCTCATGGAAGACATTTTACGTTGGTGCTCTAAGAATTTAGTTGCAGTTAGCTTGAGGATAATTGAAATCATGTAAGGAGAAGGAAACAAAGCAAAGGAATTAGAGGAAGAAGGTTGTGACAGAAGTTTGACTAAATGACATTTTTTTAAAAAAACGTTCACGTCTATTTTCAAATGCATTGCTTTCGCTCAAAAAGAAAAAAAAAACGATTATCACTAATCTCACGTAAACGCATTGTGGTTTTAATTCCAATCAGAGCAATTAAACCAGCTGACTCGCTGATCCTCGGTGTTGTTGCATCAAGAGATTTGTAAAAAAAAAAATAAAAAAAAAGAGGACTATTAGGCCTGTAGGGTGTTTTTCTACTTTGTATGAGAAAAGAGGAGAGAGAAAGAGAGCATGTGTTGTGGTAACACAAGCGGAAAGAAAGTTGCCGAACTAAGTTGAATGTGTGTTCACACACTTCAGTTTTTTTATTTAGGGCTTCTTACAAAGATAGAATAGATGAGACCAAGGCGCAGTGCAAGGTGAAGTTGCTTACAGCAGAGTGAGGACTTTGGAGATGCACGCGCCACGCCAAGGCTGAACAAAAAAAAAGATGAGTAGCATAATATAGATATATTTACAGCGCCTTCTTTCGTTTCGTTAATACTAAGGCAGTGCATGCATAGAACTGCATTATCACTCAGTGTTCCTCAACACTTAATTCGACTATATTATAAAGGTTATTGGGGGTGAGATCTCTTTGTTAATCCTCTCTGTGTGTCGCTACTGTCCACCTCTTTTATTTATTAGAAAGAGCCCTTCCACATATATTTTTCCTTGCCAATTACATGCACATGTACACTTTCAATAGTTGATCTGGACGTCTTTCTTTTTCACCCCTTGAGCTTCGGCAAGTTGATGTGCCACGAGTAATCTATACTTTGTACAACCAAATAAGTATACATTTGTATATATATATATATGATAGACGCGCATTGTCTTGTCTCTATTTTTTTTTTGAACGTAAATGTATATAACAAGTAAAGTAAAGCGAAGTATATGTATATATACTATACATATTTATATTCGTTTTTATTATTACACAAAAAGGCTGACATACAAAACAGACTTTCTCCAAACGACATCTGCTCAATCTTGTGTTCATTTTGAATTCTTGTGTTCCTCTCCATGTTGAAGCCTGTTTTACAACTTTACATTTCTTTGTGTTTACTTTTACTTCCTACCCTACTTGGAAATGTTGTGCCTGAAAAAAAAAAAAAAAAAAAAAAGGACTTTTGTTTGTTGCATTAACATTACTGGCGACAACAATCATGCCATCTGTGCCCAATTCAAAGACTCAAGAGTTATAGGTGACCATTATATTCGATCAAAAATACTAGGGGTGCATGCATGTTGCATATTCAAAAAAACATCCTCTCTTGCATGTGGGCGGAATTTTATTAGCATGAAAAAGGTTTTATAGAATTCTTTTTCATAGAAGAGTGATATCTATGTCCAGGAATCTCAGAAATCCCGTGGAGAAAAAAAAATGAATGCATATAGAGCACAAAGAGCATGACATTTATGAAGCATGGAGGATGGAAGAGTATAGAGAGAAAAGGGGTGAATTAAATATGTCTCATGGACATGAAATCATCACCATCATGACCAATGGACACAATGCATTATTTCTCGATGTTTCTCTTTCATAGCCTAAAATGGTATGAGGGTCATTCTTTTTTTTTTAGTTAACAGATGATGATGATTTAGCGCGTTTTGTCAATGTAGAATGACATGGTATGGAGAGCACGAAAAGGGGTTTGGGTATGAAGCCATGTTGACGGTATGAATAGTAACTTTTTTTTTAGCGTTTGTGTTTGCATCACTTCATTTTCAATCGGTTTGCACTAGGCAAATTATTTTATACATGTACTCTTTTGATGGAATGAAGGCAAGAACACATGTATATGTATATATACCATTGTGCCACTAATGAATGCAAATTAGGGTTTTCAGAGGAATTTTTTTTCTTTTACATTGTATTTTGGGTTTATTGTTACAACTCTTGCAAAGAGTTCAAATGGTCATCTAATGGTAAAAACATCTATAGTACAAGGTGATAAAAGAACATAGCAGAAAAAAAAGCAATAAAAAAAAAACAAAATGAAAACTAAACTGCCGTCTATGGGTGGCATTGATTTACCACCCCTTCCGCCCTGGGGAGGAGAGACGTTGGTATCCCTGATAAGCAAAGCATGAAGCAATAGAGAATTTGTCCCCGATATCTGACCAAGGATATTTCTCTTTCTTCCTGCGCATAACTTTGTTCATCTGTGTAAACGAGTTCTGCTCGTCAACGTTGGCCTTGTTTCTTTTGGCTCGACGTAGCGAAAGCTCAAAGAGACGATGAAAGATGAAGGTCATTAATCATTTCTGTCTACTATGGCTCTTGAAGAAGGCTAGGCGTCAGCGTGATACGGATGGTACTAGATTGGCGCGTCAACAAAAGCTCATCAAATTGGCGCATTTTCTCTGTCATCTCGACTGGTGGGGGAGTCTCCTTTCTGCTGAGGATAGGACGGATGGCGGATGATCTCAAGTCGAGACTCATTGAACGAAGAGAACTCTCTGTCATGGCAGCGATAGACTTGCGACGCTCACGCATCATCTCTGATTGCATCGAGCTTTCCTCTTCAATTGTTGGATCCATAGAATGACGTGTATGGATATGGCTATGGCGGTAATTATGATGGGGATGATGGCGATAGGCTGAAGGTGAACCAAAAAGAGAGTTGGTTCCTGAAGTTGTACCTCGACTATTGCTGTTACTGCTGTTGAACAGACGGACCAAGGAGAAGCGTCTGTTCTTCTTGGTTGGTGTGCAGACACTTGTTGTTGTTGAGGACATTGTGGATTTTGAGATGATAGGAATGGTTGTTGTAGTCGTGAAGCAAAGGGTCATATATATATATATAAAAGGGTTATGATAATGAATGGATGTTTGTTTGAATTGGTATAAATATATACAGAATGATGAAGAAAGAGGAATGAAGAGGAAAAAGAGAAAAAGGAACAGCTCAAACAATTTATAAGGAAAGAGAGATAGAAGAGAGTGGGGGGGGATGTGTACGACCGAGAGTTTTTATATGAGAGACAAAAAGGAGAGCAAGGTGATTTCAATAAAAGTAAGAGAGGCTGTGATGGGCGAGGAGAGAAGAGGCAAAGGGTCGAATGAATATTGTACAATTAAATGGATGAATGAGAAAGAGCCTTGGAATGAGTTGTGATGTTTAATGTTGTAACAGTTTAGACTAAGACGAAAAGGGCGAGGCAAAGGGAAGAAAAAAAAATTCTGGTGTTGTCTAGGTGGTACAAGCGGGGGAAAAGAGGAGAAATGTTAGTGCTGCTCTCTGCTTTTCCTTGCTATCGTGCTATTTGTTGTGTTTGTTTATGCTTTATTTTCCTTTGGAATACGATCGAGTGCTGTAAGCCAGCTAAAAGGTAGGGGTATGGATAAAGGAAAATGCCAACCGAAAAATATTAAGAAAAAAATGCATGAACGATAAAATGAAGCACTAGACAAGTCTACGCATTAAAAAAAGAGACATATAATACATTAACCAAACAGAACGTGTGGAGATATCACAGTTCTATGAAGTTTATAATATTGCAATAACAACCAGCTAGAGTTGAGGTGGCTGCAGCTGGGACAAGCAGAAGGATATGCCTTTTTATTGACATTGCAGACCTTTTTGAAAGAGAAAAGTTATTGCCTCAAAGCATATCTCAATATATATTTCTCTCTCTTTTTTTTTTATCCCTTGTTGATCCCCCATGGGTTCAATTGCGTTCAATTGTAAAAAAAAAAAAAACTCATTCTAATGCTTGCCAACGGTACGTGCTCTACATTTGACTGATGCTTTTTCCTGCTGCTCTCTCTTGCAGAGATAGGGATACGTTGATGATTATCTGTTACTACTAATGAACAGAAAAAATAAATAAATAAGGCAAAAAGAACTTCAAATGTAAAGTCGTTTACAGAACAAATTGATCAGAATATTTCTATCTACTACTTTCTCCATTATTTTCATTATACTCTCTCTCCCTCATTCTCAGTTTTTTTTTTTTTTTTTTTTTTTTTTTTTGGACTTTTGAAATTAGCATTAATAGGCTGCTATGCTTTATTATCCAAAGGATCAACTGCGCCAATGTGGTCGTTATTTGTTTTATTAATATTTTTATTGATTTTTTTATTTGGAACCCAATATCCCAGGAGAGAGAGGAAAAAAAAATTCTATTTGTTGAAAGACCTGCCACTTCCGGAAATAGCACAACGTACGGGAAACAACAACAAAAAATCCCTCGGCGGGACTGATCAAAGAAGCCTTCGCTTTCCTTTATTCTTAATTTTTCTATCTTGTAACGGTCACTAAAATGAGCAAGGCTCCGTATATTTATATCTGCATTTATTAATGTACTAACCGTTACAATACATGACCGGAGAATTGTCCAATTGACAAATTCATGTACAGTTTCATGAACGACAAAAATAAAATAAATAAATAAATGGCTGAGTGAAACTCCCATAAATTTTTCTTTGTTCTTCATTCAATAAGCGGAATTATTTTCTTGAAACGAGGGGCAGGTAGACATCTATCACCTATAGGTACCCATTGTCTCTTTTTTTTTTTTTTTTTTTTTTTTTTTTTTCCTTTTTTTGACCGTTGTCTAAAACCAATTATCATCGTCAATTGGCTGTCCATCCATCAATCCTGTCAACAAGAATAGCCCAGAAAAAATATGTAAAGGAAGATCAAACCCACCATTGGCACCATTGGTATCATATATAAATGTATATAATTATAGATATAACAAGGGAATAAATTTTTATGGGCACCTGACTATACACATAATGGCTTTGATTTAAGTTTGGGTTTGTGCACCGATCATAGAAACAAGGAGATTGTGGAACAAACTCCTTTTTCATTCACAGGCAATAAAGAAAAAAAAAAAAAAGCACAACCACCACTGGAATGCTTACTTTGACTATGGCTAGCGTGCTTACATATGTTGCCTACTCTCCATTGGTTAGACAGCAGAGCAAAGCTAAGCATTACATCCCCCTCTATCCGGAATATCTGCCAAAAAACCACAAGTCATGAAAGGTCATTGCACTTCATTACTGCTGACAATGGTTAAATATGTAAAAAAAAGACTGTGCTGACAGCAGCTTTGTGTGTGTTTGGGTAATGCACTGTCAAAAGATATAAAAAAAAACACAGTCTATCCCAATGTCTGGTCCTTGCATGACCAAGCATTTGATATAAGGCTCTTTTTTTTTTTTTTTTTTTTTTTTTTTCTTCCCATCTTTTATCTTTGGCTTTGATTTTATGAAACGCTTTGAAAAGGATGTCGCAAAACACGCCCAAAACGCTTCGTTACGTTAACGGGGTGGGAGGATGGCTTTTGGCGAAGAAATGCAGCTTTATACTTGTTTATTGGACCATAGATGATAGACTAACAAGTCCTTGAAAGCATTGTTTAAGAGTAATGGACCCCCTATGGACACATTTAGACATGATAGTTTAAATATTAGTTAGTATAAGATAAAGCTTAGCATAAACATTTACAGATACGCAGGCATGATTAAAATCTATAATTATAAATAACGTGCCTGAACGACCGCAGGCCAAGTGGCGCGGATACTCTCGAACAACTCTAAATACAATGAGAGGGGTGAAAAAGGAAGTGGAAGAAAAAGGGTGATAAAAAAGTTTCGACGTCAGTTCACAGAGTCAGTGTGGAATGGAACCACTCCTCACGGCTTTTACGGCTATTACGGCATGCATTGATGACAACCACAAGAGCCTCAGGAAAGTAAGGGTGTGGTCGTGTGGTTGGGAACTTACCGGGCTTCGTCCTTGCCAACGCCGCTGGATCTTCTGCAAGACAAACAAACGTGGTAGACACACCACTGTCGATGACTGATCCAACTGTAAATACCATCTGCAATCCCATTACAAACGCCATTGTCACAATCACGTAGGTAAAATCTCCATTAGAATTGAATGATGGCTTTGCCCACCAGAGATAGAGGTAGCTTGCAAGTCCCGATAAAAGTCCAGACGTGATAGCTCCCATTGCCCATACATTTCCGACGAGGTTATCATTGATAATCTGAACAACACCCCTGTCTCGTAGAATATCCCATGTATCCCTGGCAGCAGGGATGAACGGTTTACCATAGATGGCGACTTGACAGAACGCGTACTTGTTAACGTACTCGAGGAGTCCTTGAAGACATCCTAGTTGCATAAAAGAAGAAAGAAGATTGATATACATAAGAATTATAAGAGGAACATGCTCATGCGTAAAAGATACTAGTGGAAGACTAAAGAGGGAGAAATGATGAAGACAACACTAACCAAGGATGCAATCTATAATGCAGGCAAGGAATATTAAAAGGCCGTTGTCTCCATCGCCACGAAGCATTTGAGCTAGAGCTCTCAAAGTCTGAATGACAGCAATGATCAATGATCCAAAGCAAATACTTCCAATCGACGTTGTACATGCGCGCTTGAAACTCTCCCAAGTGGGCGATTTGGTCATGCCTTGAGGTGAGCCCATCAGGAAGTAATATGTGGCGTAGACACCAGCAATAGTTACGTGGACTATATTCTTGATGACCTGGGATGTCCAATAAAATGAGAGGAAGCAGAAGACAATCAAGCTTATCATTGAATGTACATGCATATACGTGTAGAAAAACGGAAGAATAAACACCCTGTTAATGTAATGATGACATTCCATCTTAATCACAAAAACCCGCAGCCCGTTTGTGTTTTTGAATACTCACACTTTGAGTTTCCCTGGCGTACTCCTCGTGTTCCGATCATAGTACATTTCATAGCATCCCGTAATAACTGTGATGAAATAGACAGAGTAGGCTGTTTGAACAAAGAGTCCCAAGAAAGCTATTGCAAACGTGGCTGGATAGCTTCGAGAGATCGATGTCACTGCTTTCAACATCTCGCTACAGTACATTAAAAGTTTTCAGGATCATTATATTTCTTCAACTTGGTAGATTTTACAAGTTTTAAATCTGAATATCAGAAAATGCTATTGTCTTACGTTGCAAAGGGTATGCGGCTCTGCCAAAAGAACCACATGGATGCATACAGAAGACCAAAGATCAGTCCAAATATGGCCGGCATCCATTGGCGACGGTAAAAGTAATAGATCGCAATTGCGAGATATACGATGATGCTCAAGGCAAACGTGACCTAACATTGATAAATCGGGCACCAGAAATGTATGAAACCCAGTCAATAAGAACTATTTTACATGTGAAACAATCGTTGTTGTATTTGTTGTGATGGTGTCATTCTGTAAACACGACGAAAAAGTCAAGCCATCTTATTCATCCAAGTTTTTTTTTTTTTTTTTTTTTTTTTTGCTCTTTGCCCGCGAAAGAAAACTGACCTTGATCACCTGTCGAGGGTAACTGATTTTTGCATTACAGTTATTACACGGAAGTTAAGCGTAAGTTAGTGGGAGGAAGAAGGTTGTAGATACCCAATGTAAATATATATTTTTCATCTTTAAGGCAAAAGCTTCATGTCCCTGTTCCTTGTGTGTTTCCAATAAGGAGCATCCCAGCTATCACAACGACCACTTACGCTTGTGTGAGCATGAAGTATAGCACGGCAAAAACTAGCCCTGTGAGAATAGAGATGAGCATTGTGATCAGTCCTGATTTGGAAAAAAACCCAGATGCACCACTTGAGGGCGCTCTATATCCTGGTTGTTGATAATATCCACTGTCGTCGAAATTGCGATCGCTGTCGATCTGATGTATGGCGAAATAGGATAGAACTACAAATGCAGCCAGTTGTGCAATGAACAAGAGGAATGCCCAGCAGTCATTGAAGCGTGGGCGAGGATTAAACTTGGCTGGTAAGCCAGATTCTGGGTTGACAGTGCCATAGGGAGCATTCTCATAGCTTGGAGGAGGCACGACTCCAGTGATGGGTTGTCCTTGTGTGGGTCCTGGCGGCGCACCAAAGTATTGCTGCTGAGGATACTGGTTTTGGGCCCATCCTTGCTGCTGTAGATTGGGGTTATAATATGGCTGCTGTTGTGAATTATATGTGTGATTTGGAGGTGCATAGTAAGCCATGGTTTGGTGGTTATGTAGCACAAAGACAAAGGCAATCTACGCTTGGCAATTCTTGACTTTTATCCTTTGTGTGTTTCGTATTTTATTATATTTTTTGATTCTGTCAAGGAGGATGAGAGAGCTTATCTGTCTGTATCTGTTGAGAAGGTACAGAAAATAAGAAAAGACGGAAGTGATCTGTTGAGGAACAGCGGAGAGTGGAACTTTGGAATTCTGTCTACACTCACGTGCATGATCCCGTGCAGTCCAACAAAGTCTCGCGTGGAGACATGGTAGTGCATGGTTTTTTTTCTCATTGAATTGCCGAAAAAGACTGATCCTAAAGTGAAAGCTCTGTCCACATGATTTCACTGTCTACTCTTACTGCTCATTCACGACGCATTCCTACCATCACAATCGTCCGCTCCATTCCTGCCTCGATCACATCAGTTCATTTCAGACTTTTTCACCACTCCACTATGGCTTCACAGCAGGAAGAAGGTCCTGTTACCACCGGCATCCGCAGTACTGTAATGATGACTTTTTTAAAGCCAATATTCGATATGCCATTGTATGATGTTTGCAGCTAATTACCTAGCATAACCACTAACTTAACCAACTATTTCCCTGCGTTTTTTTTGGTTGCTCATTAGCTCACAGAACTTTTGAATCCTGTATCGCTCGAGATTGTTAATGATAGCTCAAAGCACGCGCATCACTCTGCCATGCGTGGTGTGACTAGCAAGGAAACTCATTTCAGGTACAGTATCATGAGTTACTACATAATAAAGTTTTTTTTTAATCCTCCTTTTTAAGGCGATCCACTCTTTATTGATCCTTTTTTTTTTAATAAAAAACAGAGTAAGTGTTGTTTCTGAGGCTTTTGAAGGAAAGACCACCATGCAACGTCATCGCATGATATACACGGCACTGACGAGTGAATTTGACGCTGGTCTTCATGCCTTGTCTCTGAATACTAAGACTCCCGCTGAAGTTGCCAAAATATCTAAAGCATAGATATAGAAAATAGAGAACATTTAAAATATAAAGTCAAGATCTTTTTTTTTTTTTTTTTTTTTTTTTTTGGTGGCGAAGATTGATGTGGACGTGTAATTTAGGGGTGTGATGCCGAAAGTGGGCCTGTGTACCTCTACATTGTGGTTACGTTATCATTATCATGGACCATCCGTGCTCATCCTGACTAATGCTCTCTCTACATGCGCGGGAGATGACGTTAAACTTGAAGGCTGTGCTACCAGTCATTGACCAGGATCTTCAATCATGTTGTTTGCCAAATGATATGGCTCCATCAATCTACTTCTGCATTAGACTTGGCCTTGTCTTTTATCAGGTTTTGTGATGATCACTCTGCCTCGCTCTCTCACTATATCGCTCTCTACCAAGGAAATGTGACAACCCATGATTGATGATGAACGCTCTAAAATCTACACAAACAGCCTTTCTGTTAACTCTTCATTTGCTAAGACCCATGCTCCAAATGTATTGCCATCCGCCGCATCCTTTAAAATAAAGAGATATCGCCAGGCAGCGCAAAACTATTATTTTACTCACAAACCAAACCCTATCGCTGTCTGAAAGAAACAATTAACTCAGCAATCATCGCCTTCCGCAAAAGAAGCATATTGCTTTTCTTTTCACATTATATCGTTTCTAGCCCCTTTCATCTTTTTTTTTTTATTTTTTTTTTTTATTTCTTTCTACATCACCTGAAAGGCAACATATTTTGAAGAAATATTCGGAATTAGTCTTGGCAAAATTCAAGTCCTATGATGAAACGCGGCTATGGTTAGCTTTGTCCATTAAAAAAGGTAGTTCTCTCCTTCGGGTATTATTATCGATGCATCCATGATTTCGACACAATCAACGTGTAGGAGAGGAGAACAGCGGAGGAGACGCGTGGTGTGCCATTTCGATGGGCTTTTTTTTTTTAGGAAAAAAAAAAAGCCTTCTATTAATCTAACGACACTCCTTTTCTTTGTAGGATCTTTTCCCCCTCAATGTTCGGATGTCTTTCCATGTAAATCTTGTATCATATGTTGCAAAAATATATGCTTATTAATAACTCTTGTTCTCTCTCTCTGGTTCTATGCCTCCTTCCTTTTGTCTGACTTTCATAAGATCCTTATGCTTTAAATCAATAGTTCACTCATTGTACTTCCCTCTAACTCCATCTATCCCCCAGATACGACCCATCTGCAATCCAGGAGAGTAATTTTCCTATTTGAAGTGTGCAACATTGTTCCTTGCACTCCTACCTCCTTGGAATGGTCAGCTTTAGCCACACAAGTGGACCGTATTCAGCATTAACTGAGCCCAACATGTTGGATATCCTTCCGCCTCCACTATTTAATCCGACAACAGGCCCTCCTCCCACTTTTTCTCCTCCTACTTCTCTAATACATTCTGAAACGGATCAGAAACAATACAACCATCACCGTCAGTATCATCAGCATCCACCATATTCGCAGAGATATTATTCTTTCAAACCTTCAAGGCAGACACCTTTCTCTAGTTGTACCTATCCTTCCACACACTTTCCCGTGTCTTCCTCACTTCCTCCCTCTGCAATCCCTAATTCGCCTATTTTCCCCTCCGACAATCTCGTTTCTCCTACCGTAGTGTCATCGATGAGCTATAATTATCAAGCAAACAAACAAGGGCAGGGACAGGAGCAGAGACAACAACAGCAACAACTAAATAATTTTTACGAAACAGCTTCTACAACTCTAACGAAGATGACTCCTGACGCGAATCAGGGAAGGAATTTAGATACTATCAATAAAAATGACAATAACGAAGACTATTTGACAACAGCTGTCTTACCACCTATTGATCCTATGCTTAACCACTTCTCTCAGTCCTGCCACACTCGACATCGGCTGAACCAATCTTCTTTCCATCAATTGCAACTTTCGGCTCCTTCTGGGCCTTATTTCGCACCAGTTTCTATTAGGATGTATAAAAATATGGTTGGCAGCAGTAACAAAAGTAGCAACAGCAACAGTTCTACAATCAATGACAGCGACAATGACGGCAACCATGATGTCCATGGTGGCTTCAGCTGTAGTAGTAGAATACAACTGGCTACTCCTACTTTTCAGCAAAGACAACAACATTATGCTCAAATCACGCATGAGTATCAGGCTACTTTGGTTAGTCCACCGGAATTTACGCGCTCAAGAGATCTGTCTATGAACTCTATTCATTCAATCAAAATTTCCAATAGCGTGGCTACTGTCCCGGACAAAGGAAAAGAAGGGATAGCATTGGCTACTGCAATCTGTGAGCATGAATGCAGTATCAATAATTTGACACTGCCTGCCACCGAAACGTCGCTAACAGCACATCTTAACACTCAACAGCAATATGAACAGCAACAACAAAAGACGAATATACTGAACGTTGATTTTGAAATCCAATCACCATCGACGCACATCAATAAGAAAGAAGCAACAGCATCGACACCTTATGAAGCTCTCCTGAAACAGATTGCAGTGCAACGGGCGAAGCTCAACGTGTTGCAGACAGGTGTTCAGACACTATCACGAGATCTAGTAGCTCTGAATGAGGTGTTAGAAGAGGAGCAGGACTCGAAAGATGGAATTATACGTGATGCTCAAACTGCTGTTCAGGGTTGGCAAGAATCTTTGGAGGGGCTCTCGAAATGTGAGCCCATTGAGATTCTTCAGAAAAGACCCAATGTAGTGGCCACATTGATTCAATCCATGAATTGGTGCGACAAGAAGCATTTGTAAGTGAGGAAGGCTTATGACTCCTGGAGAAGAATGATCCACATGTCTTTAATATCATGCTAACCTTTTATTATTATTACCACTATTATGCCAGATTCGAGCAGCTTGTAGCAGGCTGCCTACCTCGAGAAACGTATCAGTTACAGCACCAGATCTTGTCCCAATATGGCAATATCACTGGTTTTGATATGCTAGAAGGGCTTCCATTGTCGGTCTCGAAAATGGTTATGATGAACCTGTCATTTGTAGACCTGGCAAATTGTCGTATGGTAAAGTAATAATAATTAGATACAGTTGTTTCCTATTGGGCGTAACCATATTCTTTAATTAACTTCCGTTTCTAAAAAAAACAGGTGTCGCAATCTTGGAAGTATAGGGCTACAGCTTATGATGTAGTGGCCACGGCTCTGGGTAAACTCACATATTCGGATGACACAGTTGCGATAGATCCGAAAGAAGATGGACCGCTCAAAAATTGGAACCAACTCTGCCGGTATCATGAACGTGATGTCCGTTGGAAAAAAGGTCAGCCAGTATCCATGTTTACCATGCAAGGCCACACCAATTTTGTGACATCCATTAAAGACCTTGGTGGCTGGATTGTCAGTGGTGGATATGATGAAAAGGTCCGGCTTTGGGAAGCCTCCTCTGGTAGATGTGTCAAAACTTGGAATGTAGATTCAGCCGTGAGTTGTGTGGAGCTCTTCCTTGATGCCAATATGGAGGGCAGTGGAGTTGTTGTGGCAGCCTTTGTAGATACTGGGTAGGTACATGTGCCAGTCAGTGTTATCTTTTTTTATTTTTTTTATTTTATTTTATTTTTTTTTAATGTTTTTATCTCAAGGAAAAAGAATTGTTATTTAATGACTTGCAACATAAAAAAATCAAATAGCCTAGTGAAGCTCTGGCCGCTGCATGGTCCCTCGAATCCGACAACATTGATGGGCCATCAGAAAGGAGTACGTGCGACGGCAATCAACGAGACCTACCTAGTTACTGCAGGGTTTGACCGAACTGTCTTGGTTTGGAATTGGAGCACTAGACAGAGGGTAGCATGTTTCCGTGCTCACAATGATATGGTAAGACGTGTGGAATAACGCCATAACACGCAGAGCAAGAGAAAAAAGAATAAGAGATAAGAGATGAAAAAGAGATTTATGCATGTGTATGTGTTTGGAACGTTCATTCGATTAGATTTTGAGTATCCATTTATCCAAGCGCACAGTCTACACGCTCTGCATCGATGCGACATTGCGGGTGTTTGATATCCCATCCAAAACACTATTACATCAGGTCAAATTATTTGAAGTCCAACACGGGTCGTCATTGCAGTGGTCATGTCTACACAACAGGATGCTACTCACTGTCACGAACAAAAAGGTCTACGTCTGGCAGCTCGAACATCTAGAGAGTCTTGTAAAGCAGCAGAATTTAAGGCGTCCTTGCCGATCGAGCAGCGTTGTATCCACAGCATCATTCGATAACAGCGTCAGCCAAGGTGAGCAGAGCAGTGTCTATTTAGATGTGGGGAGTCAATATCCAGCGCCACCACGCGTTATCCCCGCTTCCTTAAATAGCAAACGCACCGTTCCGCCAGAGACACCATCAGGCCCTCTATATGTTGGTTCACGATCGTCTTATTTTCACTCTACGCCGACTTCTTCATCACCAATATCTCCCTCGCTATCTGAGCTATCTACTCACAGAGTGGGACTAGGTCCATGTGAAGCTGACCTGGAGACGCGGGTTAAGCCGTATTTGACAGCTATCTTAAGTATGACTATGGACATGTGGTGCGGTAAAGTTACACACCATGATCCTCCACTGCTTGTCATGGGCTCCCGTAACTCATCCATCAAGCTGACGTTGCTTCCGCTGACTCGAAGCATTATCGATCCGAGCAGGGTTTACGAGGCTAGCTATCCGCCATTGATGCTTTCTCCTACAAGTATCCCAATACAAGGAATGCCCGCGGGGCATGGCCTTGGCGTCATGTGTATCGACTCTGATGCCAGCAGGCTTGTAGTTGGATGCACAGGAGGATCCATCCAGCTGTTTAATATGGATCCCGCCATGATGGCCGTAATAGCCACACGCACCAAACCCAACAGCAGTATCACAGAGCCTGAGTCTGTTATTGCTTTACCACAGCTCAGATCCAATAAAACAGCCTCGATCCGTTCTGCTAGCTCCACACATTCTTTGCATTCAACAGCGCCTGGATCTTCGGCAACAGTCACGGCAGAAATTATACCTACCTCCGCGGTTGCCGGGAAAATAATAGATAAAGCTACAAGATCAGTCTTTTCACCTACTTCAGAGGTGGCTTTCATTACTACTCAGAGTAAGAATATCGGTCGAAGCCGGTCAAGAAGCAGCCCTAGTCTTTTAGTATCAGAACAGCCACCCCAAAGGATTTCTTACCCCAATATTTTAACCTTGCCGCATCGCAGTAATCCTAGGAACATGAGCTCTCGGCAAGCTCTCGGAAATACAGCAAAGCAGCAGCTCCAGAAGCAGCATCAGGAGCAGCAGAAATCATTGCCATTATGTTCAGAATACGAAAAGCAAGAAATACTTGTAGATAGTGCCGATGAGACAATTTTACACCGAATCCGTTATGATGAGATTTCTTTTTCGCCTCCTTTATCATCGTTAGCCCTATTGACGCCAGAACCGAGCAGGTCTTCTTCTCCAGACCCTTCGTTTAAACTGGCGACAGTAGAGGAACCTATAAAGGCGAAAAAGAAGTCCAATATCGTCAAAAAGGTCTCATCAGTAGTATTGCTTTCACGTACCGACTCTAGCAGTAGCGTTACAAGGTTGAGGCCGAGTAAGGCAGTAGGGGGCTCATCAGCATCAACGTCAGCCAAAGCGTTATCCAGTGGATATAGTACACCACTATCGAGTCTTTCAAAGTATATTTCGAACCAGCCAGCCAAGATGATGATTACGAGACGCCGCGCAACATCTAGTACGGGTATGGACCAAATGGCTAGCTATGGTAGCAGTGCATCTATGCCGTCAAGCAATTCTACTACTCCTTTAGCTGCGATCATAAAGGGCCGTAACCGATCTGACTCAAATTTGCTTAGCAGTGTTCGAGACAGCGTTAGCAGCAGCAACAGCAGCAGTAGTTCTGTCCCGACACTAAAAGACTTTTCCAAAAGGTGGAGCTTTACACCTTGGAATAGCTCTTCACGACGCACCAGTAAAAGCAAAGGCGTGTGTTTAGGGTGATGAAAAATAAAACAGCAGCTTCTACCATATTGTGAACATAAACTCTTACTTCAATAGCGTCTTTATTTCAACCGAGATAATCTGGTAATACATGTTTTTCACTAAATAATCTAAAAACATATACCACACTCTACTACATTTCTTCTTGGGTCTTGTTTCTTATGCCTTCTTCTTATCTTTGGTGACTAATTGCCGCTCCTTCCATCCAAGATAAAGTGGAAAGACTGTACTGACAGATAAGACGGGCATAGCCAAAGTCAAGAGAACTCCCACATGAGGCTTCTTCAGCTGCCAGCTTGACCGAAGGATGTACGCAGCTGCCAAAACATTATTGAAGATCAAATCGGCGCTGATAGACGTCTGACAATGGTTGGACCAAAGAGTTGTGTACAAGATAATGGGCTTCATGATGGGTGAGAGCACGAACGGAAGGGTATACGTCGTATGGCTAGCCAACGCAATTAAAGCCAAAATAAAATACAACAGAGGTAAACTGAAAGTTGAGAATCGACGTTGAGAGTCCGGGTTGAAGACGAGAAATGATGGGATCAAGAAGAGGGCGTGGGTCAAGACTAAATTGTAAATGAATCCTTTGGACATGGTTGCCAAGAAAGGTGTAGCAATGACACTAGCTTCACCCAGGAGGATCAACAAAGCCAAGAATGTAGGGACTGTACGAGCTTGAGGACGCTTCTTGGGGGTGGAATCGAGTTGTGCCAAGAATAGGGGTCCGCCAACGGACATGCTGCCGAAGAAGCCCAAGAGAACAAACCACCAAGTTGGGGTCCATGGCTTGGGTTTAGCACGAGGGTTTTTCTGCTTTGCTTCTTGATTTGCAAACGCGATTTCGCGACGTAATGTCTGACCTTCAACAGACCAACAGGTTAGGGCAGTGCCAGTGAGAATCAATAATTGGCTGCTCCACCACCATTTGGGTAGAGAACTGGTAACAAGGGCATAGGCCTGGACACTGTTATCACCACGCCAGAATCATCGCATCAATCATTTGTTAGTTCTATAATGACAATTGCATGTATGATACCGGTGAAAAAAAAAAAAAAAAAAAAAAAAGAGCTTACAATAGATCTGATTCGAATAAAACGGTCGAGATCACTGCCGAGCTTAATGTATTCAACTTTGAAGAATGAAATGATGTAGTACCAAGTGGTGAACAATGAGCTGATGGCAATGAGAATGTAGAGAGCATTCTGAAACGAGAATCGAGTGCGGACAATGCAGACGACTAATGCAGAAATGACCGTTGCAAAATAGACAATGATGGACCCGACGGCTTTGTAATATAGTGTCGGGTCATTCTGCCCTCCTCCTGTTGTTGCTGCTCTAGGGGTTCCTGCAATATCCATGAGTTTAATTGGCTTGGAGAAGCTTTGTTGTAAGAAGGTGAAGAATGAAGAAAAGCAAGCAAGTAAAAAAAATTGGACTTCACATATCGGCAAAGAAAGCTGCGGATTCTGCGTTTTTATTTTTTAAACGCGCCATTTAGAGTTTTCTATTGTTTCACCCTCCACTTTACCCACTTTACCTACGCGCCTTTTGCCATTTACGTTCATTTTTGCAGAGCAAAGGAGCAAAGCGTATGTACCCAGTTCTTATTTCCTATATCTCTTGAAGCCGGGACACGATAAATGCATAGATGGCTCCCTGCATCTCCTGTCGATCATTCTATTTGGGCTTAAAAATAGGACGCTCCTCATGATACATGATATTTAATCATACCCTCCGAATATGCCCCACTTCTGTTAGTGTGGATGTAGTAATCAATGTAATACGTCAAGTCGTTTGTTCCTTTGAGTATATGTCTATTTCGAGAGTGTCCCAGTCTGGCTCGCCAAGAGTAAGTTTTTTTTTACATCCATACCTCTTTTTTCTATCCCTGCCTATCTGATATCAGCCACTAGTTACTCGATAGAGCCCCGTCCCGTCAGCAGAAAATGCCCTCCAAGCCTTCATAGCGATTTCCCACTTTTATTTTCATTAGCGTGCCTTCTAATGCGAAGATCATACATCGGATATCTACCACTTATACTCGTAGTAGATCAATCAAAGGCGCCGTCAAAGCCCAAGTGAGTTGATAACATAGACAAAGTATCCGACGCCGGCGCCAACGCCAACAGGAGCATTGCGATGAATAGGATCTTTAGCAGGTCCTACTACCCTGTATCTTCCTAATCCTCCAGTAGCAGCTCCTCCAATCGCTGTTTTGCCGCTTATAATTGTGGCTTTGGGTGTGTTCCCAGATTCGGTTGAGAACCTTTTCTCGATACCAGCGGCGTCGACCAAAACATTTTAACTTTTAGACTTGTAGTGGCATGTCTCTCGCAATACCGTGATAAAATCATGAACACACTCTTGATCTTGTCGAGCACGATATTTAAATTTCTAAGAAATATATATCTACGCGTACAATCCGCTGGATCCGTATTGATGGCCTCACAACAAGCATATTAACTGAAGGTATAGAAGGTATAGGCCACCTATCCCGAGAAATACTTTACTGCGTTACTGCGTTACTGTGTTCTCATAGTTCTGTGGAGCCACTTTTAGTGGCTGGGAAAAGCGTCATCAGCTGTTACAGACAGGAGGAATTATGACACACATGACAAGTGGGTTGTGCAGTTTCCCCACTATGGTGCCTATGGGCATGAAGTATTGGCGGTCTTCGAGTTATCAAACAAATTGAAATGAAATGCATTTTGCCATAGGCAATAAAGATAGACATAATTAAGCTTTTATTATAAATAATGCCATACTGGACCGTGTATCAAAGAATCCGATTGTCATTTTTCTTTTAACTTTTTACCACCACTTCGTTTCGCTTCATTTCACTCCATACTTCCCTAGCTATATCCAAGTCCCTTAACAATGTCTGCACGCCGTACGAGCGACAGGCATATTGACCATAAACAAGAGCATACAGCGCAACAGCATGAGGGCAACTTTGAAACCCCTGGCACATCCCACTCGTGTCATAATGAAAAGACAATGAAGCAGGTATGTTGCGAAAGCTATTCTAGACATTGTATAAAGATATATACGTTGTAAATGATACGCATCCCAACTATTAATTGGTTGAGCATGATGATTCGTATACTCTCACACAGGACTCTAAAAAAAAGTGGTTGAAAACAACTACGTATTAGGGAGACAGCAGGTCCCCGGACCATGGGGATCAGAGACCTTCCAGTCGCTCCTCGGCTGCTAGTGAGTCAGCCTCAACTGCGGAGGAGGCTACTGGCGAAAATAGTACACTTGACACCGATACCTCGAACTTACGCAACGTGGACCCGGAGGCGGGTAATATGGGTCGTCAAGCCAAAAAGGACAAAAAATCAAAGTCCAGTAGCGTGCCTAAGAACGACGTGGCTGAACAACTACACGATATTTACGGGAGTTTTCAAAAATGCTTGGATCTTCGTGAGAAGTACATGAGGGTTTCTTGTCAACGTGTGGGCGACAATCCGAGCAATAACGATGACTGGATAATTTACCCGCCGCCTCCACCTCCATCTTGGCCCCCGCCAGAGAACCCTGGTCGTGTCTGGGACGGCCCTAAGAGCATTGGGAGTGATTTCATCAAGGAGGAGGTCCCTATTCCAGGAATGTGGGACTATTTATTTGAGTTGGACGACACTGGTGTCTACCAGGTAACGACGTGCTATTGTTTATTGCCCCAAATATACTGGTATTGCGTTTTGTGCTCAGCTTTTTCCCTCTTTCTTTTTTTTTTTTTTTTTTTTTTTAATTTTTTTTCTTGCCAAACCTTTACAGGTTTATAGCTCAAAGGAAGACATGGATGCTAAAAGGCCTATCGTCAACGTACCTAAGCCTAAAGAGTATTTTCAAGACCTAGACTTTGTGTTTTCGGTCATTTCGGACGGCCCCATAAAGAGTTTTGCATATCGTCGCTTAAAGTATTTGGAAAACAAATGGAGCATGTACACTTTGCTGAATGAATACCAAGAACTTGCAGACTCTAAGCGGGTGCCTCACCGTGACCTCTACAATGTTCGAAAAGTCGATACGCACGTCCATAATAGCGCCTGTATGAATCAAAAGCATTTGCTTCGCTACATCAAGGCTAAGGTGAAAAAGACGCCTGAGGATGTGGTGCTTTCCCGTGATGGAAAAGATTTGACACTGGAACAGGTCTTCCAGAGTTTAGATTTGACCGCGTACGATCTGAATATTGACACTTTGGACATGCATGTAGGTATTTAGGAAAGATCATGGGATATATCATTCTGAACAAACAATTCTCATTGTGCTTTTCATAACCGTAATGTTTATTATACCGCTTCTTTGAAACATCATCTAACTATATCGACTCGCTGACATATAGGCGCATAAAGACACGTTTCATCGCTTTGATAAATTTAATTCGAAATATAACCCGGTCGGTGAGTCTCGTCTTCGCGAGATTTTCTTGAAGACTGACAACAAGATTAAAGGCCGGTACCTCGCTGAAATCACTCGCGAAGTGATTTCAGATTTGGAGGAGAGCAAGTATCAGATGGCTGAGTACCGCCTCTCAATCTACGGGCAAAGCGAGGACGAATGGGACAAATTGGCTGATTGGGTGGTTGAGAACAAAATTTTTTCACCTAATGTGCGATGGTTGATCCAAGTACCTCGATTATACAGTTCCTACAAGGCCGCTGGGACCATGCATAACTTTGAGGAGCTGGTGCAAAACATCTTTAAGCCTCTATTCGAAGTTACTCGTGATCCATCCAAACACCCCAACCTTCACATCTTCCTCCAGCGGGTCGTAGGATTTGATTCTGTGGATGATGAATCAAAGGCAGAGCAACGTATCTATAAGAAGTATCCTTTCGCGCGCAATTGGGATATATCCATGAATCCTCCCTACAGCTATTTCCTGTATTACATGTTTGCCAACATAGCAAGCCTGAACAACTTCCGTCAGAAGCGCAAGTTCAGTAAGTGGATGCAGAAGATCAAAGTTAAAAAAAAAGAGAAAAGATTTATGGAATGAAACCACTGTGTCTTTTATACTAAGCATAATACTTTGTTTTAGGCACATTTGTGCTCAGGCCACATTGCGGAGAGGCAGGCGATACGGACCATTTGATATCAGGATTCCTTACATCGTTTGGTATATCACATGGAATAACGCTCCGCAAGTCGCCAGGGATGCAATACTTGTACTACTTGTCACAGTTGGGGATTGCTGTGTCTCCCTTGTCCAATAACGCGTTATTCCTAAACTTTGAGCGAAACCCTTTTCCAAATTTCTTCCATCGCGGACTTCACGTCAGTCTGAGTACAGACGACCCACTACAATTTCATGTTACAAAAGAGCCATTGATTGAGGAATATAGTATTGCAGCTCAGGTAAAGAGCTTGGTTTTGAGGAAACTGTTTTTTTTTGTCAGCAAACGATGCTCGTAATGACTTCATTTGACTTATGGGCTGTTGATGGCAAATGTAACATAGATCTGGAAATTGTCGAATACAGATATGTGCGAGATTGCACGTAACTCTGTGCGTCATTCTGGATTCGAGAGCAAGATTAAAAAGCACTGGATTGGCGAAAATTGGTACCTGCCAGGAGTTCCAGGAAATGATATGGGCAAGACTAATGTCCCTAATGTCCGTATGGCATTCCGATATGAAACACTTCAAGAGGAAATTGATATGTTTAAACGGTACTCTCGCATTCCTAAGCTTATGCAGGCTCACAGTCTATCCTTGAATATGGAAGATCCACCAACAGACAAGGAGCCATCATTTTCTGTTGACGAAAAGGAAAAGAGAAATTTCGAAGCTTCATTTTCAGAGTATAGGCCAGGAGAAAAAAAGCGCACGACGGCAGAAATGATGACTGACACAGACGATACAGCGTTACTTTAAAATGAAGTCATATCTTCCTAGGCATCCAGTCCGGATGGCAACTGAGAATAAAGTAAGAATAGTACGAACGTGACAAATGTAGAGCGTCGGTTAAGATTACCATTAGTTATGCCCAGGAAGTCAATCATTGCTGAGTGCACAACTTCGATAAGGCGCAAGAAGACACGTCAACAACGACAACGACAGCAGCGAGTTGCAACGAACGCTTCAGGAGAGCAGACAGAGCAGCCGAAGTGAAAAAAAAAAAAAAAAAAAAAAAAAAAAAACTTTTCCAGGATCATTTATGATGTCCTAACTTCATTTATCGATAAAGTACTGATTTTCCCAAAAATGATTATCTATCTGAAGATGACGCTATTAATCTTAATACTATATATTTGTAAATACGAAATGTCATTGTAAATGAAAATATAACAAAATAAATAACTTATACTACGATGATGAGGTAGATGGCTGTGTGGTAGATTGGTTATCAAGGAGATATTGGACTGCTCCATCTAAGTTATTGTTGGCAGAGTTGAGCGCAGCGATAGCTTGTTCTTGAGTCGCTGCGGGAAAGATTGCTTGAAGAGTCGCAATCTGTTCTTCTGATGGTGGCCGTGGTGTAGCCCCTTGAGGTGCTCCTCCAGTTGAAAGGACGTCCAAATATTCCTGCCGAAAAATAAAAAAAATAAAATAATAAATAAATCAAGAACCAGGGCGTATAGAATAAAAAAGAGAAAAGGGGCTGTTTTATTGCAAATGTCCATTTTACCCGCATGGCTTGAGCAGGGCGATCGGATGCTCTTGTTTGGGAGCGGTTCTCAAAAGTCGTAGCAGTTGAGCGAATAGCTGGTGAGGATGAAAAGATTGGTAACAAGAAGTGTTCCCCGAATCGGGCCACGGGCTTTGGAAATCTCCAGCGCCTTGTCCCTGCAAAATCACTCCTATAGATCGCGCCTGCTAATAACCCACAAATACTCAATGCGATTGATCCTGGTATATGTGAAAATAGAAGCTGCATTTTTATCCAGGACGCAAGCAGTAAATACCATTTTTTTTTTTTTAGAATTATAATGATGTTAATTACTCCTTCACGTACAACTTTTTTCATTTAATATCGTACTATGCCATGACCTTATATGGCTCACCTGTGCTCCAAGGATGTACATGAAGATTTTGTCCGTAAGTGCCACTCCAAAGACTTTGAATTCGTACATCACTGGAATCAAGATGTAAAATTGATAAAGCGCTGCAAAAATAACGCCATAGGGGCCTGCAGGCAAAACATTTAGACCTAGGGCACTACCGGTGACCAAAACTGCCACGTTCAAGAAGGTGCACAAGACAGCCGCTACGAATATGAATGACTATCGTCGTTTTTTTTTTTTTTTTTTTTTTTTTTTTTTGATGATTTAGCAAGCATAATAATGTTGGGAAGCCGCCACGATAAGTTGAGAGGGCTCCATTACACTTTTGTTTTTGTTCTATTTACTTCTACTTGCCACGTATTTTGCTGGTCCAAAGAGCCGCTCAATGATCCTGAGATGATATATAATGAAGCCACCGAAGAGGAGCTCTGTCGATGTTGAGAAAGCGAAATGTGACACAATTAAGCGCCAAAACTGTAGCATATTACATATATTACATGCAAAGAAATAAAGATAGAATGAAGGAACAATTAAAAGGAGAAAGGCATGGGTTAGCTCGGCATCTGAAATAAATAAAGAATTGATGAAAAGTACATCGCTGCGTCATACTATATTTTACAAACAGCTGGATACGATGCATTTAAAAAAGCAATACCTGATGATGTGATGTAAGATGAGGCGTAAACTGCAGATGAAAGTCAGTTTTTATCTGAAATATGGACGACAAGAGCGAAAGACTACCCACTACCAGTAACAGACCCTTGGTCGTTGGTGCATTATAGAAACCTAGAGATATTTTATTTGATTAATTGACACATAGATGATTACAACAAGCTAAGATTGCATGCAGAGTGATAGCAGCCAGCATCGACCTAACCCTATTTATGACTCACTACCGACTGTGTACAGAGTCATAAAGTAAAACAAACCCTACCTGAGGGTCCTGAGGCCAACATATTTTACTTGTATGTTGTCAGTTTTATTTATTTTTTGAATGTTTGACCGCTGCTAAACGGACGACAACGACAAATGGAGGCCTACCAGATGGGAGTATACAATGAATGTGAATGAAAGAGTTGATTTGATGGGGTGGCGCAGCCGCTTCTGAGGCGGAGCACTTCCACTTCCGCGATACGTCATAAAAAAAAAGTTTATAAGGCGCATACAAAACAATCTCTCTTCTTCCACAACAGTCATCTTTTTGTCCGACAAAATCACCAAGCTTAACAATCATGGCTGACAACGCAGAGATCAATGAAGTTACCAAGCAGGTTCAGGAGGTTGTTCTTGAGTATGTATTTTAGATCGACCTTTTTTCTTTACTTCGCAAATTTGCAAATTGATAGTAGGAAGCATTAACCTTTTTTTTTGACCACACAATTCAATTGACACGTATTTCAGTGAAAATGGTCAGCCTCTGTCCAAGAATGCCCTCAAGAAGCTTGAGAAGGAGAGACAAAAGAAGGAAAGGGCTGAGAAGGATGCCGCTGCTCGCGCGGAACAAGCTGCAGCCAAAGCTGCAGCCACTGTGGTATGAGCAGCATGTTTGGTTTGCTAGTATTTCAATTGCAATTGCACCTATAGCATGTCTGACTCCAAATGAATGATTATTATTTCATAGGACAACTCCAAGGACTTTTATGGAAAAAAGCCCATGAACAGATCTCAGGATCGCCCGGGTAAATACTCAGTCCAGTTATTGATGTATCATAATGGAGTATTCTGAATATTCTAGTATTGGTGCATATTAACCGCTGTCAAACTAATCAGGTGTGCTTTCTTCATTGTAGGGTTGAAGCATGAACGTTTCACCGATATTAGCGCATCTCGCGCTGGTGAGAAGATTTGGATCCGTGCTCGTGTCCAGACTTCTCGTCCCACCGGTATGTTCAACAGTATAGAAGCTTTTTTTTTTTTTTTTTTTTTTTTTTTTTTTGTTTTTGTTTTGAACTACTAGTAATCATTTAAAACAGATTAGATGCTTTGAGATGTATGATCAGTCATATATAGTAAATACATTGTCGTATTGTTGTTGATGGCTTGACCCTTTTAGGCAACAAGATGTGTTTCTTTCAGCTTCGCCAGAACAGTAACACAATTCAGGGCTTGGTTGTCTATAACGAGAGCACGGTTAGCAAGCAAATGGTCAAATTTGCACAAGGCATTACATCCGAGTCTATTGTGTTGATTGAGGGTACGATTGCCAAGCCTGTAGAGCCGGTGAAGAGCTGCACTGTTCAGGATGCAGAGATTGCGATCAGCCAGTTGTTTGTTACCAGTGAAGCTCAGGAACGTCTCCCTTTTAACTTGGAGGATGCCTCTCGACCTGAGACTGAGTTTGAACGCGAGGACGCCCAATTCAGCAAAGTCAGCCTACATACTCGCCTTGAGAACCGTGTTTTTGACCTACGTGTAAGTATTACAATAGCTCATGCTGTAGCTGACTCTAATAAGAGGCAGGGGCTCCTCTTTGATTTGTTCACCGCTACTTACATATTCTCATCTCATCTACTAGACTATCACCAATCAATCCATCTTCCGCATTCAAGCAGGTGTCTGCAGACTCTTTCGCGAGTTCTTGGAGAAGAAAGGTTTCTTAGAGATCCACACTCCAAAGATTTTAGGCGCTGCTAGTGAGGGTGGTGCAAATGTATTCAAGGTCAAATATTTTGATTGTAAGTGTTATTTTATTAATACTGTTATAATTTTGTCAAGATGAGACATCTTTTGCCCATAACATGCTGTTAAGTTATGTCTCCTTGCTAATGGTCTATTTTGTCTTGAATTTATGAATAGCTGATGCTTTCCTGGCTCAATCGCCTCAGTTCTACAAGCAGATGGTTGTTTGTGGAGACTTTGAGCGTGTCTTTGAGATTGGAAGTGTTTTCCGTGCAGAGAACTCGTTCTCTCATCGTCACATGACCGAGTTCATTGGACTGGATTTGGAAATGGCATTTGAGGAACATTACCATGAAATCTTGGATGTCTTTGACGAGCTCTTTGTCTACATCTTCACTGGTTTGGAAAATGAGTACGCTGCTGATCTCAAGATTGTCCAGCGCCAATATCCTTTCGAGAAATTTCAATTCTTGCCAAAGACACTTCGCCTCGAGTACAAGGATGCTGTGGCGTTGTTGCGTGCAAATGGTGTTGAGATGGGTGACTATGATGATCTTTCAACAGAAATTGAACGCAAGCTCGGCGAACTCGTAAAGGAAAAGTACAAGACTGATTTTTTCATGTTGGACAAGTTTCCTTTGGCTGTTCGCCCCTTCTACACTATGCCTGACCCCAATAACCCTGAGTACTCCAACTCATACGATTTCTTTATGCGTGGGGAGGAAATTCTGTCTGGTGCTCAGCGCATTCATGATGCCGACTTTTTGATTGAGCGCGCAAAGGCTCATGGTGTCGATCCCGAATCAATTAAGAGCTATGTTGATGCCTTCCGTATGGGTGCCCCACCACATGGAGGTGGAGGCATTGGTTTGGAGCGTGTTATCTTCCTCTATCTCAACCTGGGCAACATTCGTCGCACTTCGCTCTTCCCTCGCGATCCCAAGCGCCTCTCGCCTTAAGACAAGCAAGCATTTTCTATCGTTCAAATAAAGTAAACCCTTTTACACAAAAGTTTAATCCATCTCAGACAGTAAAACAATCCCTTTGTGCTTCCATTAGAGGATGTCGATCAAATGCAGATGCATGCAGCTGTGTTTAGATGCTCTGGATATTAAACAACAGAATTCCAGAGATTGAGAGGTGAGATTTCTGTCTGTAATTGTATTACAATCTGCAGCTTGAGCAAGCGATATGAGAGACAAACAGTGGACATGCCTGTGTTACCAATCTTTTTTTTTTTTTTTTTTTTGCAAAGGACAAACGCAGGCCCATGGATGAGCATGAGTATGAGTATGAGTATGAGCTTGAGCATGAGCATGAGCATGAGCAAGCGAGAGCAACAACTTCACACTCCTGCACTCCCTAATCATCACATTCATGCTTTTTTTTTTTTTTTTTTTTTTTTTTTCTCTTTCTCTTTTTTCTTTCTTCTTGTCCCTTCTCTTCTCATTTCCCGTCCACCATCTGTCCCATCCATCGTTAACCTGCTTTCTTCTTTTAAAAAAAACAACTTTCTTATACACCTTTTTATTCATTTCGCTTGGGTGTAAACGCACGAAGAAGTGTACTTCTTTGGTTCCTTTTTTGTAAAGGAGATTTAATTCATTATTCATTACTGATGGCACCTGTTATAGGAGGGGGCGGAATGGACGACACTCCGCCCGGCAGTCCTACAACCCCTATTGCACCATTTCAGGCCCAGTATGGGCAACAGCATCAACAGCTACAACAGCAACTCCTGCAGCAGAGGTACTTTTCTTGCTATACCAATCCGACTACACTATGCGACCCAATTGCAGTCTCACGCAAATAACTTTCCATCGCTTTTTGAGTCGAATATCAGACTCTCCTGAACTCCGCTTTCTCGGGTCTTGCCAAGCGTATCAGATTCGCGTCTGAAACTTTGTACACGCGTTTGAAGAGAAACTTTTTTTTTATTGCTAATTCTTTAATTTCTATTTCTATTCTTATTGCACTGACTATCGATAATATACGAAGGTCAAGGGTACACTCTCCACCTCCACCTAATAGGAACCCCTCATCCAATCGTGTCGTTCACAGTCAGTCTTCAGTAGAACAGTCTCAAAGACAGGCCACAGCATCGCCCACTACAGCAGCTCCTGGAGCCGATACTAGTATTGCCAGCATCAGCAGTACACACAGCTATAGTAGTGTGACTAGTAGTCATGGATACAACAGTAGCATTATTGATGGGGCTCTTAGCATCGTCAGTACTAGCATCCTTAACAATGCTGTTAACCAAAGCATGATGGATGCAGGAGGAATGGACAGTAACAACAGCTTCTCGGGCAAACAAGGCATTATTACGCGCGGTATTGCCAACAACCTCTCGGGTACCAGCCCCACAAGATCTCCTTCCCTTCAACAGGATCGTGTACCTAGCAATGCTAATACTTCCCCAAGTAACTCTGGTGTAATTACTCGGCCACCAATGTCCTCTCAGCGGAATCGCGACAATGCTTCTAACAGAGGGAATAGTGGTCAGTCGGGTGCTGCGTTGGCGAACACATCATTTTCGTCCATTGGATCAGTGGAGGGTAATGGGGCAGCAGTAGCAATGAACAACTCTGGAGCAATCCTTCCTAATACCATAGCAAAAGTGGCTGCTCACGAGGATCCTGATCAGGCTTTGCAACATTCAGAGGCGCTCTCCACAGCAATAGAAAGCGGACCACAACCAGTAACAACTGTTTCTGCGCAGGAAACTTCCACTTCGGTGGCAGCTGCGCCAATAACGCCCCATAGAGCCATCACTCATCGTAATCAAGCTTTGGCTGAACCACCGATAGCATCATCGTCAAATCACCAAAACCATCGCCACCAGCATTGTAATAATGCTCAATCCCATACCCCGAGTAGTAGCTATGGGCAGAGTCATAACCACCAAAGACACGGAAGTAGTACCCATGGTGTACATACGTCCTCAGCGTCTAAGAAGCATAGACGTAAAGGCGATACGAACAACAAGGATGCTCCTCGACCCAGTACAACTGTGCCCCCAGCCCCCGCGCCCGCCATGCATTGGACACGTGCTAAAGTGCATGGCCAAATCCCACCCAAGGATCTCCGTGCTCAGACAGTCAATCTTGTTGGAGAGTCGATATACGTCTTTGGGGGTTGTGACGCCAAGAACTGTTTCAACACACTCTACATTTTTGATGCTGGTAAAAGAGGCAAAAAAAAAAAAAAAAAAAAAAAATCGCCAATTCATAAATCAACGAAGACAAATGATCTGTTTTAAACTCCAAATGGACCGTACTAATAAATCTTTGGAATGTGCTAGATACCATGCATTGGTCACAACCTAAGACATTTGGATCAATTCCTCCGCCTTGTCGCGCACACACATCAACTTTAGTTGACAACAAGCGTTTGTATATTTTTGGTGGGGGTGATGGACCACAATACTTTAACGAGCTCTACATGCTAGACACTGGTAAACAAAGTTTGTACTAAAAGTATTGTCACATTTCAAATTCAGTCGAAAACTTTTACAACTGTTTGTTAATTACATTTTTATCTGCAACTACATGCTATTGGGACTTTTTTTCTATAAAAATAAAAAATAGATACTCTAACATGGACGAATCCGCAGACAACTGGTACGCGTCCCTGTCGAAGACGTGCGCATACGACTTGTGTGTACAGCAACCATATCTATGTCTTTGGTGGCGGTGATGGTGTCCAAGCGCTGAACGATACATATCAATTGGATCTGATAACAATGCATTGGAGTGAGGTGAAAACAATAGGTGACATCCCACTCTCACGCGGTTATCACACTAGCAACCTGATCAAGTCACAATGGATCATTTACGGCGGGAGTGATGGACAAGAATGTTTTTCAGATGTTCATGTCCTTGATCTAGGTAAAAGCAAGATCGGAGGCTACAAATATGCCTTGACAGAATGTATATCATATTATTCCTGACGATAAAAAAAATGTTTTATGATAAACTCTTGTTCCTGTTTAGACTCGAAAGAGTGGACTAAAATCGACATCAATAGAGCACTCCCGAGATTGTCGCATACATCGACACAGGTGGGATCATACTTGTTTGTGATTGGTGGACATGACGGCAGCCGTTACTCTTGCGATGTAGTGATGTTGAATCTGGTGACATGGTCATGGGAGACGCGTAAAATATACGGAATTCCGCCAGCAGACCGAGGATACCATGCATCGTTATTGTATGACTCAAGGTTGTTCATGTTTGGTGGATATGATGGGCAGACTGTGTTCGATGACATTTATATTCTAGACTTGAGCACTTGCGCTTATCTGCCACAGATTACAGATTTTCAGGTACAGTTATTTCTGCTGTAACAACTCATATACAAAAATAACAGATATTCTTTGCTAACACAGAGCGATTTCGGTGGTAAGTGTTCGCATGTTAGCGATTTCAAGCTAACATACAGCTCTGTATTGTTGTTTTGATGGCTACATTTGTTGTAGATCCTCCTTCGGCGAGTAGAGCTTCTTGATCAAGAAGAAGGCTGTTGTTCGGAAGTGAAACATTAATATAAAAAAAACATACAAATATGTAAAGACATATTGTATACATTTATGCATCATTAGCAAGGCGTTAGATGTGGGATAATAAAATAATAATGACAATAATAATATTTTTATCAGGAATTTCGTCCTGACAATGATATGCTCACAAAAAAAGTACAGCAAACCATATTATGCCATGCCATTGAGATGTTGTACAGGATTGTAGATATATTTTAATTATTATATATAAATGTACATGAATAGAAACTGGACGATGTTCATTGTTTATTCACTTGTAATCAATTCTCAGCATGGATTGATGAACTAGCAGTCGACCTGCTTGGATGAGAGGATACAGGACATTATTTCAATTCAAGAGGTTAACTCCAACCTCATCCGTCTTATGAAGACATATATATCTCTTTATTCGTCACGTTTCTCTCCTTCGCAACATGCCCATTCACACACTTTCTCTCGCTCTTAACGAACTTGCTTTGTCCTGTCATTATCAAATATAGTATTCGGGACATATTGACAGTGTCAGCTACAAAAAAAAGTTTTAGCAAAGCGACTAAAAGGGTTGTGAGCAGCTGTAAGGACAATGCGGTGAGCTCAACTCGACGTGACATGTCTACATCTAACATTAAATAATGCTTTCTGGAAAAGTGCTTTTATACTTTTCAAAGGCACAGACATACACATGTATACATTCTTTCTTCTCTCTCTCCCGCTTCCTTTTTTTTCTCTTGTCTTTATTTTTATTCTACTTTTAATTCTTGTTCACGTTTATCTTCACGCCCTTTTTGCATTCTTTTCTCTTTTTTCCAGTATTCATCGCCCCCATTCAAGCAATTTTTGTATCTCCAAACATCCATTGGAGCACATTCAGAAATAATAAAATATAAACTCATCAGTGTCACGAGCAGCAAAGAATTTTCGTCATGGGAAACGGCATGAGTAGAGATCCGGATGACATCTTTGACAATGAAGGCATGTTTGTAAACTCAGTCAACATACTTGTTCTCATTCCATCTCACTGACTCGAACGAAAAAACTAACCGGTAGTACGAAATAAACAATGAAAAAAATGCTCATGGCTATAAAAAGTCAACCTTTTCCACTTCAAATTACTCCGAGTAATCGGCAAAGGATCTTTTGGCAAGGTAAGCTTGAATTTTCATGTAGCGATAGTTCAATGTCTCAATGAAAGCGGAGGAAGCAAAGGGAACATATTCTACTTGTATAGAGCTGCAATTGTCCCGACTAGACTGCTGAATAAAAAGATTATTTTTGGATGGTTATTGTTGTTGGGAAGCAGCGAGCCCCCATTTAATTTTGAGAGAACAATTGCGCAAACCATAAAGGGAGAATCATGTCATGGTCGTACGAAAGGAGAAACGTGGTTCCACAGTTAAGCGATTATTACACTTGTCGTTTATGACCCTTTTGAACCATAATAAAAAAAAGACGCTTGTTCATTGACAAGAGAACAAGAGGAAAAGAAAGAATAGACCCTCAATCAGCCTGATTAGAATGACACAATCTGATATCTGAGGCAAGAATTCCTTTTTTTTTTTTTTTTTTTTTTTTTTTTAAAACTCTAGGTTCGCATGGTAGAAAGGCGAGAGACCGGCAAGCTCTACGCACTCAAATACATCTCAAAAGCACAAGTTATCAAAATGGATGCTGTACGGAATATTATTCGTGAGCGACAGATTCTCGAGTCGGTAGACCATGCATTTGTGGTCAACATGCGCTTTGCATTCCAAGATGATGAGTACATGTATATGTGCATGGATCTCATGTAAGTTAACTGTCATATCTCTCTGTCTTAATACATTTCTGTTTATGTAAACTTTTTTTAATTCACGTTCTTACTTTCATAATTGGGTCATGCTTGAATAGGATGGGGGGCGATCTCCGTTTTCATATGAATAGAAGGACATTCGGCGAAGACGTTGTGCGGTTTTGGATTGCAGAGATCAGTTGCGCTATAAGTCATCTTCATGAACTTGGGATTGTACATAGGGATATCAAGCCAGACAATATCTTACTAGACGAAAAGGGTCATGCCCATATTACAGACTTCAACATTGGCTGTAAACTAACTCCTGAGAAACCAGTTTTGCATTCACAGTCGGGGACAGTTGCATACATGGCTCCAGAGTTTTTTAAAGGAAAAGGATATGGTACAAGTGTGGATTGGTGGGCGCTAGGTATCATCTTTTACGAATGCATCTATAACCAACGCCCATTTGTGACAGAAAATATTGGTGAGCTCAAAAGAGCTATATCGAGTCAGACAATAGAATATCCAGTAAAGAGCACCATTTCACGAGAGTGCGTGTCCGCCATCCAAGGTGTAAGCCTCCGTAATGTTTTTGTTTTTTTGTTTTTTAGAGATATATTTCGTGACCTGTTGAAAAGCGCTATTATCCTAACCCTTTTATTACTATTATTATTACGTTATCAACTTACGGAATGATTTTTGAAATTTCATCCGTCTTACTAGTTCCTTACAAGAGATCCTGCAGAGCGTTTAGGGGCTATGGGGGGTATGGATGGCATTCGATACCAACCATTCTTCCTTGCAGCAGCTCAAGAAGCACATATGAATATTGATGAATGGTGGTATATGCTCGAGAGAAAACAACTTACACCTATATTCCAGCCACCTGCCGAAGCCGCCAATTTCGACGCGACATATGATTTAGAGGAACTATTATTGGATGAAGATCCATTAACATATCGGTCGACACGTAAGAGAGCTCAGAGACTTCACCGGGAAAGAGAACAGGCTCTTAGGGATGAAAATGCACGGCTTAAGGCGGAGCATGAGGCTGCTGCACGGGCAGCATTGGAAGCTGAGGCTGCTATGGAAGCAATGAATAAGAAACTTGAAGAAGGTATACGAAAGGCTAGGCTCTCTTCTTCTTCCTACTCTGGAGCATTCGCCACCAACACATCAAATGCGGCCTCGCCACCTTCATCCCAGCAACGCGCCACACTACCAGCGGTCGCCAAAAAGAGGTCGATATTACATTTGTTCGGGAGCGACAGTCATAATGTCAATAAAGGATGCAGTGAAAATGGAGAGACCGGGCAGACCACATCGCTCCAGACGCAGTCACCGCCTATACCCCAGCCGCAACCACAAAGCCATCATACAATTTCCCAGCTGGCCAGACAGACGCAATTTCAGTCTATACCCCTGTCGCCTATCGATCCTCCTAATGGAAGCCGTGAATTTCAAACACCTCCAATCCCGGCACTTAGGTTCCCACCTTCACCGCCACCATGCCATTATACATCATTGCCAGTAGCATCAGAAATTCGGAATGTCCCTATATCTCAACGATCCTTAGACACAAATAACTCGTTAGATCATCATCCATCTTCATATTACCGCCGCTCGCCCCCGAACCCACCTCGTCCGGACTCTTTTTCTATTGTAAAGGGGTCCAACGGAGAAAAAAATGGGACTACTGGGTTAACAGGTGACAAGGTATTCAAAGGATTAGGAATAGAGTCGGATGCAACTGCTATTTGCGTTGCACGAAACAATCAAAATGAATATGCTGCGTCAACTCATGTGGATACTTCTTTGGCCTCGCCTTTGCTGCCCGCTGCCCTGATTGGGCAACAGCAACAGGAGCCGCAAGAGCTTTATGCATCAACAGCTGCTACTAGCGCAGCAATAGTGGTTTCTCAGCATCCGTTCCAAGCAGCACATCCTCAGAAAGCTATAACATCACCTGTGATTATTCCAACACCTCTAGATCATTCAGTCTCACGGCATAAGCATATTCCTCTTCAACAGTCTCAACCCCAACCTCTACCTCAAGCACCCCATTTGCGGCAGCAGAGCTCTCATCAACAACTACAACCGAGAATCGGAGGAGGACTGAGGAGACCTCTGTCACCAACGCCAGCTGCGATGAATATTGCAGCAGCAGCAGCAGCAGCGACGCTTTTAGCAGACATGTCTGAAGAAGAAAGGTTCGATTACATGATGGATTTGATCGACCGCGAATTCACCACATTTGACTACACTGTTTATGAGAGCTATCATGGGCTGGTGGACCCTGTTACGATGTCTGTGGGAAATCCACCAGAATGGGTTCGAAGTCGTGATTGAACTTTTTAATAAATTTTGGTGGCGCATGAAGGAGACGAAAAACATTCTTGTCGTACGTGTGATTAATGAGCACGTACACATGACATTAGATTGCCACATTAGTTTGTAAAAACGCGTCGTCCTTTTCTTGACTTTGCCTCTCACTTCCTTTCTTTCCTATATACTTTTATTCCCTGTAAACATTTTCAAAGCTATTTGTCTATTCAACAAACATGGCTGATATCGAAGAACCAATGGAAGTTGATACTCAGGCATCTACTGCCGATGTTAAAGGCAAAGGCAAGGCTAGCAAGGACACCAGTGGCAAGAAACGATTCGAAGTCAAGAAGGTAACAACAATACAATATAACAACAAGAGAAGCTAGCTCTTTTTTTTTTTTTTTTTTTTTTTTTTTTTTTTTTTTTCAAATTAGCATAGGTTTCAGCAGGATGTCGATGACATTGCTTTCAAGATGGATAGTTTCGATTCTTATAGCAAAAAAAAAACGAATAGTAGTCTCATGACTACTCTCCTTTCTACATTCACTGCTTCATAACTTTGAACCGTCAGCTGGCAAATCATATGAATGAAAAAAAAAAAAAAAAAAAAAAAAAAAAAAAACTCCCTCCTTCCATCATTCAAGTCTGATTGCGCCTTTAGATGATCATGTGATCTGTTTTTCATCAATGCATGAAAGCGAGCAACCCGACATTAAGCTTTACACAAAAAGCAAAAAGCAACAGCAACAAAAAAGTTAGCAATTTGTTATTGATCCTTCTGTTCCTTGTCTGTTTATTGTCGCCTTAGTGGAATGCAGTTGCTCTTTGGGCTTGGGGTAAGAATGAAATATACTTTTGTTACTGCGGACGAGTATTTCATGGCTGTGCACTTGCTCGCCACACCAGGATTAACGTCTATTTGTTGTGCTCCCATGTCCAATAAATAGATATTGTTGTTGACAACTGCGCCATTTGCCGTAACCATATTATGGATCTCTGTAAGCTGCCTCCCATTTGAACTGTTTATCCTTGTCACAGTTTAAATGTACCTTGCTTACAATGAAATTCGGCAATTGAATCATATTTAAATAACATGCTACCTTGTCAATGAATCTTGAATTCCATAGGTATTTCATGCCAAGCCAACCAAGCATCTGCCACAAGTGAAGAGTGCACTGTTGCATGGGGAATCTGCAATGTAAGTAAAAAAGAATCTCTTGCCCGTCACAGGCCAAAAGAGCAAAACTGATTCTATCATATTTCTGTTTGATGGTCTCTCTCTATTCTTTTTTTTTCTTTTTTTTTTAAAAAAAACCCTTTTTTTTAATCATTACCAATGATAGCACGCTTTCCATTTCCATTGCATCTCAAGATGGCTCAAAACTCGACAGGTCTGCCCATTGGATAACAGAGAATGGGAATACCAAAAGTACGGACAGTAAAAAAGCAATATTTTTTTACATGGAAAAAAAAAAAAAAAAAAAAAAAAAAAAAGAATAAATGCAATGAACATAATCAAGGAGCTCTTTTATTGTTATTATTATTATTTCGGAACTGGATGCTGTAGTAAAGAAACGTATGTGTTGAAAGATAAAGTGGGAGCGCTCAAAGGTTGTTATGCTTTGCGTAATGACATGACGACCTAAGTCAGGGTCACAAATATGCATTGCCCTATTGTGAAGGATAATGAATTGCGGAGAAGTCTGTTTCGCCCCTGAGCAAGCAACATGCTGAAATTTGACACTCAAAATCATGCAAAAGTGGAGGACCATGCGAGAGATGTGACCAGTGCAAGGGACGTCTGCACCTTCCGCAGCCCTTTCTTCGTTTTCTTACTTTGTTTCCCACTTCATGGAATGCAATACGATCCCCATTGGTTCATGGGACACCCATGCACTACTCAATGAGAGTTATGCCATTGACGGATTCACACCTCGACCATTTCTTGTGCACGAGAGCGCACTATTGCGAGACCAACGTATGCTATCAGCGTTTAAGGTTCTGAGCGACGACCATATTTTACAAACAAGGCCTTTGAATATTACCAACACCAATTGTAATAGCATTAATTCCGGTCAGCCTTTCAAGAGATTTATGATCTATGCTATTGATAATGGTCTAGATGGGATGGTCACCGGAATCCAAAACCAACCATCTATTCAGTTGTCTGGGAAGAACAGGATGCAGGCCAAACGAGCCCTAACTATGGTCCTGTTGAACATGAATGTAGATCCTTGGATATTCAGTCACGAGTCCGAGCCCGTACCATTAGGTTACAATCCCATCATGTTATTTCAGGAAGACCAAAGTAAACGATTGATCAACATTTATCTTGATATGCCGTCGCCTCGAGCACATGATGATCCATACATGGACCCCCATGAATTTTTTGCTCAACATCAACAACAGCAGCCAAAAAAATCGATTCATCGACTTCTTGAACGAGTTCTACAACAGGATGCTCCTAAGGGAATGAGGACCAAGTTATATAACTACCAAAAGAATTCACTGTGGAAACTATTGCGGCGTGAACTTTGTATGGAATATATCCTGGATCCGACAATCATCTCATTAAAGGACATGAGTATGCCTCCACGAACTTACTATATCCAACTTAACAACAATGAACCACCCATCATTTCAAGATTGCCAAGTAAACGATGGGACGATATTCCTGGCGGTATCATTTGTGAGGACATGGTAAGTTATTGTAACAAATAGAACAGGAAATGAAAAAAGAAATCTTTTATCCAAATTAAAATTGTACGGAAATTTATTTCGACGTATCTGAAAAAAAAAAAAAAAAAAAAAAAAAAAAAATTAGGGAACAGGAAAGTCTTGCCTGTGTATTGCGTTGATTATGCAGACTCTCCCCCAGTTCAGCAAAGCCCCACCGACGGCTACACAAATCTATTGTGAACTTTATCCTCAAGGTTCCTCAACTTCTGCAATATTGATTAAGGATGGTCCTGCCTCGTTAGGTACCTCCGATATTTTGATGCCTTTAAATGCACCAATTCCTACCCTCCGAGAACTTGCAGCAGCAGCAGTAAAAATGAATGGGATTGAATACAGACGAGCAGGAGATTATATTAGACCACACACTATGGAGTTGTTAGAGGAGATATCTGTGTATTACTATGACAAGGCTTCAACTGAGCTACAGATGATGAGCAAGCCCATAAAGTCATTAAGAGCGAATCAGCTTATAGATATACAATCGCTTGAGGTATATCTTTCAAGCGCTACGTTGGTCATCGTGCCGCCTGATTTAGCAGATCAATGGTGTAATGAAATCAACAAAGTAAGCGAAGTGGTTCGATGGCTGATTACCTATTGGCAATGATTACTCTGAGACGCTCTAATATTATTTGATGATTTTATATTTTGGGATAAATAGCATACAGAAGACTTTGCTTTAAAGCTTCTTCGAATCGATCCAGATAATAGCAAGGCGATCCCTGAGCATACAATATTAACTAAATACGATATGGTCCTGATTACTCAGACTCGGTTCGCAAAGGAATACGAGCCCGGTGTCTATTCTAACAAATATACCAAAGGTATCTAAGTGTATTTACAATTTTACTATTGCGCTTGATTATATCGCTGAAAATGATATAATACGGGTGCGAGACCTCAAATAAGTGAAAACTTGACTCTTCTATTAATAACTACCGAAAAAAAAAAAAAAAAAAAAAAAAAAAAGTTAAGCAACAATGTTGTTGTAGTGCGGTTTATAGGACCTGCCGCTGTACTAATGAACGTAATGTCTCCCCACTAATGCAAGTCCGATGGAAAAGAATCATTGTGGATGAAGGCCATAGTATGGGCATCAAATTGTCTGACCAGGTGTTATTTGCGGAAAAGCTTCATGCGGACCGTCGATGGATCTGTACAGGAACACCGACCTTCAACCTCGCAAACTTGAAGGCATTTACGTACCATGATCAAGCCATAACAACGGTAGCCACAACGACAGCTCTGTCAGATAAAGGAGATCTGGATCGCCTTTTGACGATTATGAGATTGTTCCTGCACATTCAACCATACTATGGCAATAAGACTTTATTTACAAAGGCACTAGTGAGATCATTAGAAGAACATCATAAGCTCAGTACAGGGTCTGCCCCTGGTGACTGGTCCCTCGAGAGCCTTAGTAGCGTTTCAAGGCTAAGGTATCTGATGGACAGGATCATGATCCGGAATCGCCCTGAGGATGTCAGTCGAGATGTACGCCTCCCACCGCTGTACGAGAGAGATGTTGGTCTTGATCTGGGATACTACCAAGTATTGACCTTCAATTGCCAAGTAGCATTAATTCAGGCAAACGCTGTGCTGACTGAGCGTGAGGATCAGGATTATTTTTTCCACCCTAGTAATCGCAAACATTTGGCGCGAGTAATTGAAAATTTAAAGGATGCATGCTTTTGGTATCCAGGAGACGACAAGTATAGAGAACAATTGACTGAGGCACTTCTAAACGTTGAGCGCGCCCTACAAAAGCATGAGGAGACAATTGGAGGCAAATATCTCGAAGCGGATGTCCAGCTATTGAAGAGTATTCGCGAACACCTCAAAATGGCCCTTACTGATCAGAGCTGGTGTACTCTCCAGCGGACTCTGGAAGTCGGATACAACTGCTGGAATATCCCTGAGGCCATACAAGGAAGCTATGCCATCATTCCAGCTGTGTCAGATGCTGATACTTCATTTAAGGAATCCCGTCGTACAAAACTCAACATAGGGTGGAATGGTGGGTCAATGTCGAGACAACTCCAACAGACAGGTACGCTAGAGTCAGAGCAAGTGTGTATCATGTTAGGCAAACAGATTAGGGATCTTCGGTTGAAAGTGCAGGAACAAGAACAGGAGCAACTAATACCAGCAAGCCACCAGCCGATCATCATTAATCTCGACGCACCACAGCCGCGACCTGGTGCGATAACCGATGGTGGTAAGCCAAATAGAGACCCATCACATGAAAACGGGACCAATGGTGAGGAAACTGCAGAAGAGCTCAAGCTTGTAATGACAAAGGAGAGGCTCTCGCAATCGACTATTTTGTCGAGTACATCTAGCAAACTCAATTACGTAGTCAGTCAAATCCTGCGTCACCAAAACTCTGAGAAATGCATTGTCTTTTGTCAGAGCCAGACAGCCATGTATTATATCTACGAGTACCTTACATTGGCTGAGGTTCGCTGCCTCATGTACCACACACATGGCATGGTGAGTTTTTATTATTGCTATTGTGTTGAAATCCAGCAATTGATACCGAATAACCTACTTGATATCACTGACAACCCTCATATACTGCATATGCCTTGTATGTCCATATAAAGAGCCAAAAAGAGCGATCAAACAACATTATGACATTCAACACCAATGAGACTATATCAGCTATTATCATGAATACCAAAGATGCTGCGTTCGGCATTGACCTTTCAAGCGCGTCTAGAGTCTATTTTGTATCCCCTGTGTGGCAAACAGCCACCATGCGTCAGGCTGTCAAACGTGCACACAGGATTGGACAGATACGCCCTGTTTATGTGGAAACACTTATGATCAAGGGTTCATTTGAAGAGGCCATATTGAACAGGAGAAAGGAGATTGATAGTCAAGGTGAAGGGCATATGGATATTTCCTTGCCACCATCGTCTTCGACCACGTCATCAGCGACTTTATCTTCTCTATTAACAATATCCGCCAGGCTATATAAAAACAAAGCTGTAGCGAAGAATATGAAAAAGAAGGCTGGAAAAAGCTTACTTGACGACAGCAAAATGATCAACTTCATTAGTCATATTGGATTCATGCCCCTGCACAAAACTGAAAGATCAATTACACTTACCTCTAGCGAGAGAGAAGAACAAAAAAAACAACTTTGTTTAACCAACGAACCAAGCCTGGCAGAGTACTGGAGAACCATGAGGCCAACGTACACGACTGAGGAGGACCATCAGGCATTTGTGGCAGATGATAGGCATTACCGTGATCAAGCTTACAAAAAGAGTTTAGAGATTCCAATGGTATTCCCAACGAGGCCGCTTGAAATAGCTGCTCAAGGGCAATGGAGACGAACACAAGATCGACATATTGTTTCTGTAGTAGGTTCTCTAGAGGGAGCTAGCCAAGACTGGACAGAAGAACTGTCAGAGGGAATCCGAGGTCGTCTGCGATTTCGAGATGTGGAAGATGGCGACAATGAGGTGCCAAACGATAACATAAAAGCAGCCTCTGTGGCAACAAAGCTTGCACAGGTCCAACAGTATCAGCCATACCCAAAGACGGATCATGATGTTGTTGTGGACGTGGATCAAGCGCAGGTTGAGCCTGAATTTATCGACTTGTCATCATCGCAATCTTCCACCGATGATCTGATAATAGATCTAGATCCAGACTCAGATCATGTCATGTCGGAACCCAAATCAAATGTTAAATTTAGGCTCGATCTCCCCAATTCAGCTCGTCTGGTTCCTGCAGATGAGCAACTGCATCGGCAGCGATCGCCATCAGCTAACATATCAACATCAATGTCATTGTCGTATGAGGAGCTCTACCGGGAATCTGAAGAAAAGCGTAGGATAGCAGAGGGAGCAGCAGAAGAAGCCAAAAGGCGAGTACAACTGCTGGAACAACAATTTGAAATGTTGAGAAGAATGGCAGAAGGACAACAGTCTCCATCCATATATCTTAAACAAACTTCGACATCATCAGAAATACCAGAGCTACCTTCGTCTTCATCTTCAATTTTGACTTTACCCTACCAAAAGCATCATCCTACAGTGGGACTGAAAGTGGAGACAGAAATGGACGCCAAAGTCAATATTGAAGATACTATAGGATACAACCTCGTGGCGAAGCATGATCTCGATGACCAAAAGAAGGAGCTAGGCTTACCAAAGCCTGAGGAACCTGATCACTATATCCTTTTTGAATACGATGATGACTATGTGAGGAAGAAAAAGGAAGAGGAGGAAGACAAGAAAGACATCCTCATCAATAATGTCATCAAGAATGAGCTTGATTTCAAATTCGAGGTTCACAATGATTCTAAGGATATAATATTTTCATTAGTCAAAAAGGAGGAAGAGTCCGAGAGCTATTCAGATTTGGCTTATGATAACCATAACAGAAGCAACAGCAACAATAACATTGGTAGCAGCGGTAGCCACAGCAGTAGCAGAAAAGGAAACATCAGTAACTATGGCAATCATGAAGTGGACAACAAAACCATAATTCGAATGATACCAGAGAAAATGGAATCAGATGTCATTATTATTGATGACAACAGTCTTTTCCACAGCAAGGTTAAGGCTCGTTTGAAGAGCGAGGCCAGCGGTGTTAGTGGTCTCACCAACAATTACGTCAGCAGTAGTAACATCAATAAGGGCTCTAACAAAGGAAGCAGCAGCAAGCTCTGGGATGTTGCTGGCACTGATTTGAAAAAGGAGAAGGAAGAAGGCTTGACGGCCACCACTGTTTATTCAGAACCAAGGTGCATAAATGGTACCAAACGTGAAGCCAACGAGCCTTTGGATCTAATTCATAGAGGCATCGTAGATATGAAGTACACCAACGGCAGTAATGTCAGTCATGGCAAAGCAAGCGACAGCTCGCATCCTAAAAAAGTACGTTTTGTATAGTAAGCTATAAAAATAAAACAAACTTTTTCATTCATTATGAAGAGGGACATTATACTATAACTATCGAATATTGAAAAACGAGAAAGATGCAAGAGCAAGAAAGTCGTGCTCTATGGGTTCATCTGTAGATGAATTGGATTCTCGGCATCTTGCAAGGTCGCTACTAGTGCTTTGAACATTCGCTTCCATTCCAACGGATCGCCCTATATAAAGATTGCAAATAAGAAGAGATAGAGTTAAAAGCAAAAATGGCATGGCATAACACATCATAGTATGGTAGTTGGAAAACATACTCTGCTTTTGTCAAACATCACGAGATGACTCTCAGTTCCATATGGAACAACCTTGACCTCTCCAGTCAGAAAGCATCTTCTTTGATCAGTTGTTGATATGGTTATCTACACATAAAAAAAGAAATGGTAAACGTATTTAAACGTATTTAAATGGTCAAATCGCTTCTTGCTGAATCTTGAATTAACTATTTTATGCTTTTTATTTACCTTTTGAAGATTAGCATGCACCGTATGAGCAACTAAGTTGCAGACCATTGCGTCCGCGAGTGCATCTATGATACTCTCAGGGCCTGAGTGTGAGAAAAACCTTGTCAATCGTTCTGATGAGAATACTTCCATAAAAGTCGCCTCTGTAAACTGCGTCGCCTATCGTTGAAATTGTATAACATATGGTGTTAAAGGATCATTATTAAGGGATTTACTTTTTTCAATATTTATCGATATTCACTCACTGGCTGCGATAGTTCGAGAGCCTCGTCTTGCCACGATATTGCAATTCTAGTTCCCAAAGAGCTATCCGATGCCCTTTCGTTATTGCGAGCCGGTTGTGATGAGGCATAATTACGAGCGTCAAACACAATGCTTTGGCTTTGATCGAATCGTCCTGTGTTTAAAGGCTGGGAGTAAGCCACGCTACAAAAAAGGAAACGAGTAAAAGCTGTTGATAAATATGATTTATCATTTAAAGGTATCGATCACAGTTGATTGACTTATCAATATGTCCTATGAGTATACTTAGCACGTACACTGGTGAACAAGAGTCACTCAGACTATCCATAAGGATCGATGCAAGTTGAACAGGATCATGTACAAGACCGTCTTTCATCAAGGGATTTGATCTGAGTATTTAAACAAGATTAATACACGCTTGCTGAAACATGACATTAACTTATATTCATAGAAGAGCGGCTCTTACCTCATATACCACTCGTCTTTCAGAATATGCCTAATTGTATATCGCTTCGAAGGATTTATTCGGAGCATACCAAGAATAAGAGCTATATATTATACATATCGGAAGAGAGCGAAGAGGAGGTTCAATTCCCTTTTTTTCCCTTGTTCAATTGCTCTTCGATTAATCTGTAGAAAATTTACTTCTCACATGTCCTTGAAGTTTGTCCCATGGTTCATGGTTTGGATTTCCATTACTCTCCTGATATTGCCGAAACTCGTCACTCTCAGCAGATGGAAGTTCCCAAGGTGTGTCTATGGGAAGGATGTGTCAGCACGAAAACTATATAAAAAAAAAGGGAGATCTATACTAATTGTGACATACTTCCAATCATCATAACATAAAGAATAATCCCACAAGACCAAATGTCTACAGCATCGCCACAATACTCCTCTTCAAGGACCTAATCTCATCATAAAAGGCGATTTTGCGACTTCATTAGTTTCCCAACCCCATTGCACATGAGTTTTCTTCAAAGCTTTTTTTTATCTTTTTGACGATACCTCTGGCGCAACATATGGTGCACTTCCGCATGGCGTTGTCAAAGGCCTTGTCCGTCCTCCATGCTTGAACACAGTTGCCAACCCAAAATCTGAAATCTTGAGTGTTCCTATGTAAGAGGCACGATATAATCTTATATCGTCAATCCTTTAATCCTAATTTAAAAAAAAAAAAAAAAAAAAAAAAAAAAAAATTGTGATACGATGATTCGATGATATCCACTTACCCTTGGAGTCTAAAAGGATATTTTCTGGCTTCAAATCGCGATGCGAAATGCCTCTACTATGTAAATATTTCTACATGTAAATAACATTATAGGGAGTGTGAGAGTAATGCTAACCGACACTCCTGGTTGACAATCGTGATCACTATCCTTGATACCATACCACTCCTGCGATTAATTGCATGAAATAGAGGTGCGCCACATCTTCCTGTATTCCACGATCAGGCTCTAATCGATGTGAATTCGACAAAGGTTACATTTGTTAATCACACTCCAACGGCCTTTTTTTTTCTTGCTATTTCGCTCTTACCAATTTTGTCAAACAACTCTCCGGCAGCAGCATATTCGACAAAGATATAGATACACTCTGGTTCTTCTCTAGACTCGAGAAATCGCGAGATATTAGGATGCTTCATACTGCGGTGAATAGTCAGCTCTTTCTGCATAGGCTTTGTGACGCCTTCTGAAGGGTTCTTTGGGATGATTTTAACGGCTGCCTTGACATCTGTTTTCTTGTGGGTTGCCAAACGTACGCTATGCACATATGTAGACAATTGGATCGGTCATTCAAACCAGTTGATATTGGCGTTCCTCTCCTTCCTGTTACATACTTCATGAGGAAATTAAGAGTGAGAAGTGGTTTATAGTCATACACTGCATAAGCCCCTACACCTAAAGTTTCGCCCAATTCATAGTCTCCAATCTCTTCCGCCTTGGTGACAGTCTGCGATGCCTCTGGTAGGGTTGGTGCTGAAAGGTGTTTGTACATGCTAAAAGTCCTAGCAACGAACTTTTTTTTTTGCAAATGTGAATTTTGAAGGAACGAATGTCTAAAGGCGCCTTCTCCCCTGGGGTTAGTGGCTTTGCCCCTTCACGCCACCAATCATTCATTCTTTCCATTCTTAGCATACCATTCGCGGAAATTGACCCAATGCTCCAATGGAATCGAGCTGAGGAGAGAGATGAAAATAAGAGCTCTGAGGCTGTAGTTGTGTTAGACTTCTCATTTTTTGAAGAAGGCATAAGAACTTTTATCTTTAAGCGCCACTAATCCTCTGATCAGCTTCCCTTTGTCTACATGTGCAACATAAAGTCAAGGACAGGAGCAGTACATTCTTGTGAAAAAGTATGTTTGTTGCACAAGAAAAACGCTTTCCACGGGACATCATTATATCAAATATGTCTTGCAGCATAGTGCATTTGTCTGTTTGACTTGTGTCTCGTGCTTCACTTCCATGAATTCCATCTCTATTCATCTGAATTCTATTGCTTCATCTTTTATTCTTTTATTCTTTTTCTTCATTACTATTACTCTTATTCAGCTGGCCAGCGCTTCGCTCCAACTATTTTTTTTTTTTTTTCCTCATTCATTCACACGTTGCTAGGACTCAGACGCAACCCAAAATAGACCGTCAGTAGTGTTGTAGTCCAATGACCCTAATGTCAGACCAAGAAAATCCTTCGAACTGTCCTGAACAAGCGAAAAAAACGGCTTCGGACACAAATGCAACTCCGGCGGATGATGAATCAACTTCACCTGGAGAACAAGCAACTGGGAGCTCTTCATCTTCTCGACCTGAATACCCATTGCTCGCTAATAATGCTCGTTGCTGCCGTATTTGTCTTGATGATGATCCGCATGGACTCTATTCCCCCTGCCGATGCCGAGGATCGATCAAATTCGTCCACAGTCATTGTCTCACTCGATGGTAAACAAAATCAAAATCAGAAAGAAAAAAAGAGATTACAGGGTGAGGGGCTGTAAAGTGGCGTGAGCAATCAAATTTTACAGCGAAGGAGTGAAGGAAGAATCCATTTGAGTGTGTGTGACCAATGGAAACCCTGGCAAAAATTGGTGCTGCACATTCACATGGCCTAAATTCAAAGAAAAAAGATGAGACGTATTTTGTATGGAGTAGATTTTGGGCTATTACCGAACCACTCTCCTGCTCACTCGCTTGCTTAGTTTGGATCATCTTCATCTTTCGTCCCCTAGTAGAAAGTCTGAGGATTGTTTGATCTCATTTTCCTTCTTTTTTTCCACGACGTACTTCTTCCTTCAATAGGAGAAAAAGTCTGATTGCCCATGGTCGAGATGAATCGGCAAACTCTTGCACCATGTGCGGGTTCAACTACGTTCTCAAGAAGCGTGCCCGCTTTTATGAGCTTATTTCGTATAGAGGTAGAACTTTTGTAACATTTGTTTTGCCCATTGTATATGGATGACTATATGGATCTAAGAAGCAATCTTGACTAAACTTTCTCTATCCATTATTAATTTTTAACATAGGCGTACGAATTGCCATTACAGTCCTCTTTGTGCTTGTCATGCTTTTTCCTTCTGGCTATGTCATGAAGATGTGCGTTCTTCTTTCGGGAAACCAGGATACTCTTGGGGCAACACCAACGACTTATTTCCAGACATTGCGCGATATTTCTTCCAGTATGAGCGAGATGTCAGTATTTCCAATATGCAAAGTAACCAGCGACAAATTATCTTTTCACAGGCCTTCCCCGTCCCTCACTGACGCCGTGATTACAACAAAGACCAAAGCAGGAAGTAAGAGGAAAGCCAACAGTACTCCAACTAAAGCAGACTCTACTATAATGTCTTCATCATCACATTTCATTTCACTTTTTCCAGGACCATATGCCCCTCATATCTCGAATTCGAATATGCATACGACATATCAGCAAAGTAAAATTGTCTCCCAAGGTTCATCATCGACCACGGCGTTCATCAATTCTGGAAGCAAAGAAGAAACAAACAAGCAACGAGGTAGCAATAATAATAGTAGCGACAGCAGACATTCACCGCTGCAGGGGTCCTGGGCTAAGATTGCAGCTTGCATCGATATTATGGGCTCAAGTCAGTTTGCAAGCATGCTGCTGCACTCGTTTACCAATGACCGCATCATGCATTTTTTGCTGTGCCGACTCCAACATCTGCATCTTGGATTTTTTCTATTGGGATCCGCAAGTAACGTCTACATGGCTTGTAAGATGCTTTCGGATATGTATGACTTGATCATTACGCCGCCTCATTCGCGATTCATCAAGAACTTTTTCTTAGTACAGGCTTCCATCTTTGTTATTTGGTTCTGGTTCTCATACAACTTGATGGCTTTCCGGGCATCGGCCACAGAGGAGGAATTTATGAGCGAACTGCCACTCTGGGCATTACGATGGATCAACGTCGGCGTCGCTATAGTGGATTTAAGCTACCGGTAATTTTATTTTTGTTTTTTGTCAAGAACATCCCAGAATAATTAACTCTGCTCGGCACATTCTCATTATCTTTTTCTTCTTTGCTACAACTATGACTTGAAGGCGAATCTACAATCGATTAGGGAAATTGAAGGTTGAGGAGGAGCTTTTGGATATTTCAGATGTAGAAAAGGTAGAGAAGATGCAGCAGAAGGCCTGGTTGCATCAGCAGCAACGATTCTTGCACTTTGGTCAAGAACAAGGGCAGTATCTTCTTGATCAATTTATGGCTTTAGAGGTCAAGCAGTCAATCCTCAATGGTGCTAATGCAGCAGTTGATGTTGTTTCTGATGTGTACTCCAAAACGAACATATCTTCCTTTTCGCCTATTCCACAGTCGTTAGCATTAGCCGTTAATATGGTAACGACTGCCGGGTCTTCCATTAGTATTAACAGTACGAATGGTAGCTGCGCTTCAAGTGAAGAGGAGCCGTACGTTCAATCCGCTGAAATTGGTCTACATGAAACCATTCAGGGAGAGTGACCCGTATGACAGCTTGATCGATCCAGCTGATCTTTTCATACCAGATGCCTCTTTCCTTTGTAATAATATCAGTTTGTACATTAAACCTCGCCGATATTTTTAATTGTTCGTAAACATCCTATAGTTGGGAATCATGGTATAATTTTGAAGTCAATTTTTATTTTATATTTCAGCTAAATAATCAATGATTCAACTTGTCGTTGGTTTGGCAGAAGAAACTGGTAAAAAAAAAAATAGACTTTAGCAGTAGAAAAACGACGTGTAGAGATAGAAGGGATGATTATATATTGAGCAAAATGCTACTTGTCTAGTTGAAGAACTTGCGATTAGGAGACTGTCCAAACAACATGGTCCTGACATCAGGAAGCATCTATCAAATCGAGAGAAAAAAAAAATTGATTGATTGAGAATATTAGTTATCATATCTGATGAATTGAAGATCTGAATCTCGCCAGGATATGCCCATCATAAAACATCATACATTTTCTTCGAGGATAGCAAGACGAGCCTCGGGGGTATTGTCACACTTGATGCGTCCGCCATTTGCAGCGACAATCACGCCTCCAGCACTAAAGAATACATGTAATTACAAGTGAAATATCGGTCGTCATTAATTGTATATATAATCAATGTCTAATTTCCCTTTCGTCATTAGCAATTCATATTGTCGTCTAAAGGCTAATTTTTTACCTGTCACCAGGAAGGTAGTCATCCAAGATCTCGACATTAACGGTTTGTTTAGTAGCCTTCTCATAGCGCTCTTTTACATCAGGCAGTAGTCTCTCGACTAGTGACTTGTCTGCCTTTCGCACCTGTACCGTGACATCAGACTCAAGGAGGCGGAAGAAAGCCTACGATGAAAGAACAAGGAAAGTTTAGTATAACAGAATCACGAGCAGAAAAGTAGATATTGTTATTCACTAAACCCCATAAAGCTGTCTTTATCTCCTAACGTTACCTGGATAAGGGCTTCTGATAAGAATTTTTCATATTTGGAAGCATCCTTGGTAACTGCCAAAAGTCGCTTCCTTGCTTCGCTGAACAACTCATCCAGCATCTGTTGACGAGTTACCAAGAGAGTTAAGCGCGACTTGTTGATATTGTTGGATTGTGCACTAAACGCAAACAAAAAAAAAATAAAAAATAAAAAAGGGAGACATGTTGGGTCAATGTGTTCTGGTCATTTGTCGAGCCTAAAGACAACGCATGACCATCGTTCATTTACATGCGACGCTGAACATCAGCCTGCTTCACTTTGCGCTGAAAACCAGCCTCGATATTGACAGCTTCCTGACGAACAAGCTTGGCCTGGAGAATTTTGTGGCGCAACAACCAAAATGGGAATACATCAAAACAGGGGGACTTTTGTTATTCCCCATGCTTTGACACCATTATCATAAAGTCCACTTAACATTGTCCCAGTCAAAAAAAAAAAAAAAAAAAAAAAAACCTTTTCGATATTGAACTCCTCATCAGCCTAGGTATTTATGGTAGTAAAAAGAAAACTGTTGTTAAAGCACTACAGTGGAGACGAAGTCATATAATATTGAGTAACATCAGCATGCAAGGCTACCTTGACTTTGATCTCGCGAGCCTTCTCAAGAGCCTCCTGATTGATAAAGGCAACCTAGAAGTAATAAACGCAATCGATTTTTTTTTTTTTTTTTTTTTTTTTTTTTTCACTTGAGTGCTTTTATTATTGCGCAGCGTTGGAATTGGATGAGAAAGATATTGAGAAAGAAGACGCGCTATTTCCTTTCCTTCATACCATCTTCTTCATTTCGTTGTAGACCTCCTCATCGTTGAGTGCTTTATTGAAAGACATTGTTGATTTCTTAGGTTATTGAAGTTGGTAGTGCCTGTGTAAAAAGTAATGCAGGCAATATAATGTAATGTCGGTCAGTATGAATAGCAAGAGACAAAAAAATGAGCCCTTTCTAGTATGTTTAAAATGACATTGACTTGGATAACGCCGTACAGGTGGAAATGTAAAGACGAAGGATTGGTGATGGTGTTGAAATACAAAATGAAACTGGCAACCAAAAGACGAAAGTAATTGAAAGGGGTAGATCTAAAGCGCGTGCGCTCGGTCACATGTAACTTAAAATTCAATCTTTCAACGTCATTGACTCTTAAGGGGAGAAGTCAGCTGATTTATTGCTTAGTCTGTTTGTATCCTTCAAAATGCACACTTTTTTTTTTGCCTATCATAGCTTTACAGCCCAGCTCCTTCCACAGGACCATAAGCCCTTCTTCGCACTCTTCGAACGCTTGAACGATGGCCAAAGGAAAGAAGGAGCAGAGAGATGATCCGGGTTTAGTGAGGACATTTGTTGCTCGTGCGCGTAATGTTTTAACCCGATTGATATAAACTTATTATGTATAGAGAAGGGTCTTTATTTCAGGACAGATGGCATCTTATATACTGTGGCATCGTCTGTACCGCGTGAGTAGTACTCTAAGTCATTGTATATGCTATATCTGTTCACATGGCGCAGTGCGCAAGCTTTTGGGCCTCCGAATGGCTCAAGGCACAGGAATGAGGTAAACCAGTAGAAAATCAAACCTGATATATTTAATAATGAACTTGAAATGTAACGAGACAAGAATCAGGATCTTTATTTCCATGATAGAAAAGAGTATTTATATCTCTTTCCCATTGCTATATGCCATGGGTACTAATATCAATGTAAATTGGCTATTTAGATAAAAGGATTTAGGTAATTATGGCGCAACCAGATTATGCAGTACACCCTTTCAACATTATTTGGATCAGTAGCGTCACAACTCAGTTGAAGTCAACGAAAAGGTAATTTATTGAACCAAACGTTCTTTTTATTCGATTTCTATTTTCGGTTAATTAGGTATCTGACGAATGGCTGTATTTCTGGCCAATAGTTCAAACGCCTGAAGTACAAGGGATCTTTTCAGAGGATCATGACATTGATATAAAGCTTGATCTTTCTGTAATTGAAAACTTTGTGAATTTGAACAAGTTGGACAAAAACAATCAAAAGATAGCTCTTCTACCAAAAATGCAGTTATCCTCTGTATCTTTCACGAAGGGTGAACTAATCAATAACTTCTGGAAGAACGAACGACTGAAAAGAGAGCTCAATGCGCAAATTGACAGCTCAGAACAATATAGCCTGAATGATATGCAGGACGCGTTCAGTAATTCGAAACCCATAGGGTTTATCGTGACTGCATTCATTTCAACTGTTGGAAGTCCGGTCACTGCCCGCAGGGGACCATGAGGGCTAAAAGACAAGATCATAGTGATGTCCCTGGATGGCATTACCAATCATATCATTGACTTTCGCCGAGCTGGCTTTGATTCTGAAGAATACCACGAATATGGGTATGCCTTGACAAGCTCTATTCGAACAGATGGGCTTCACGTTCAATTGTCGGCCTACAAACTAAAGAAATTGCAATGTTGCAATGTATCTGGTACAACAGACTGCCAGAGAACAAATTACCCAATTAATTTATCTCCACCCTTGGTGGTGTTGATCGATATTTGACGGAGATTCGGAATGTAGTCAAGTCTAATGATGATGTTACCGAGCTGTGGGGATGTGAACCACAAGATATCAAGTCCTAGGCTCCGACCCTGGACAAGCTTGTGTAGCTAGAGCCAGCGCATTAGTTCCTGCAGTTAACAAAAGTGAGGATGACAAGGGAGACCCTCAACCCGGACGGCCAGTCTTCCACAATCTGTCGGTGAATCAAAGGAGTCATTTTATAAATTTTACGATGAAGGCAAAAATATGAAGAGACATTAATCGAATACTAAGAAAGCTCGTGATACGAAATTTAAGAAATCACCAACCATCTGTTCAAGTCAATCGGGAGACCTATTGGAGAAAGGCGAGATGTTGCCAACAAGGTCAAGCATGAAGCTGCCTTCCCTACATGGGACATTTCTTTCATATTTCATGCAGAAGGTAGACATTGTGTTTGATCCTCTTTTAATATATCTAGAATTACATCTTTTTTTATATAATGATGCTGTAAAGACTCGAAGTCTAGGTTACATACTCGTTGGTGTCAACGAAGACTATATTTCCAAGAAGTGCGAGGATTTCGTCAGCCACGTGGATCCGCAGGATAAATCGCGGCAATCTAATCACATGACTTCAAGCCCATAAGCCCAAGCTTTTGCCCTTGACACCACCACAGGAGCACCATGAACAGTCCCATTTGGCCTCCGACCTTGCGCTTGTCATTTCTTCGTTTACTACGCCTCATTGGCCACTCTTTCTCCTTTCCCTAGTCCACCTTCATTTGACTTCAGCAGCGAGAATACCGGTTGCGATTCGACGTTTGATTCGTGCGCTCGTTTCTCAGTTCTCTCCTCTTTTTTTTTTTTTTTTTTTTTTTTTTTTTTGATCCCCAGCTGCAGCTGCGGCCACAAGCGAAGATGAATGTTAATGCTGCATCTTTCATTCCGCAGAGCGGAGGGAGTGACAAGCCCTCAGGAAACTCCCGATCAGGCTTGTCTTCCCTCTCTAATGAGGGTAAAAGGCCATATCAGCGGGCACCTCCACCTGTGAACCATTCTAGGGCCTTTCCTGCAGAACAGCAGCAACGTAGGTCGTCTTTAGTCTCATTATCCTCTCCATTCTCCCTTTGGTCGCTGGGCTAATCCATTTGTTTTTCATAACTCTTTTTTTTTTTTTTTTTTTTTTTTCTTTTGGAACCTATTTAATATACTCTTTCATACAACTGTGCCAGGCTCTCTTCCTGGTCGAGGCAAAAATCAACGCCAGAGCAGCTCCAAGAGGACTGGTCATGATCGTGAGCAGGGTCGTTCAACGAATAGTACTGTCATACGGTCATCTTCCTCTTCTTCTGCTACTTCCTCTTCAACCTTGACCTCGACTGCAGATTCTCTAGCAATGTCCATGGGTCAATTGAGTACAAACGACAAAGGAGCACGCGGCAACAACAAGAAAAACCAGGTGTCGCTCAATCACCTCCTCAACTTTTCTTTTCCCGTTCGGGAGGAACCTCAAAATACTGGCCCTGTGCGTAGACGTCGGAATGCCAATTACCAACCATTCAACAAGGATAAGTTCATTAATGCCAAGTATGTGATAAGACACAGACTGCTTAAAAATTCATCATTGTATGCGTTAATTTTGTTTCTGTTTATCATGTTTATCATGCAAATGCTTATGCTTATTTTTTCAACCACTCTTTTCTTTATGGCAAATGTATTTTGTCTATAATACAGCTTCAGATTTCTTTTGAGCCCTCGTCATGATTATGAGGTTTTTACTATGGATGCAGATGCACCAGTGGAATGGGAAGATATTGAGCAGGTGCTGATTTCGGTACCGCAGTCATGTCCCATCTGTTTGCAACCTCCTGTCGCTGGTCGAATTACCAAATGTGGCCATGTGTACTGTTTCTCTTGCATCCTTCATTATTTGGCCCTGAGTGAAACAAGTAGAGCTTGGCGAAAGTGTCCCATTTGTTGGGATGCCATTTATGAGAAGGATCTTAAGAGTGTTCGCACAGTGCAAGAAGAGCATGACATATTTGATCAGGGTGAAAAAGAAATTGCTAAGCAAATCGCATCTAAACAAGAGGTTCATCTTGAAATGAGGCTCATGCAGCGGTCACTTGTTAGTAAAAAAAACTCTCTATTTTATTTTATTATGGTGTCTTTTCAGAGCTTTCCATTGACATGCTTTTTTTTTCCCTTTCTTTCTTTTTCTTTCTCTCACAGAACTCCACTGTGGCTCTTCCTCGCTCAAATACATTCCCCTTGGGTTCAAACGTTCTACCGGATGATCTAAAAGGTCAACCACCTTTGGAATTCTATCCAGATGCTATGATCTTCAGTCGCCTAATGGTCACAACACTCAACAGAATCGTATCAGAGTTGGATCGGGATACCCGATCGATTGAGTTCAGCATTGAGGAGGCCAAAAGCTATGACTCGAATGCTCACTCTGAAGAAATGGTATTTTTCGAAATGGCTCTGAACAAGATTCAAGAAGCGAAAAATAAGATCCAAAGTGAAGCAAAGTTTTTCCCAAAAGCTTCTCTTGACCGCGAACAAATTTTGCGCAGTCATTTGGATCAAACTAAAGAAATCCCTGCAGCGATAGAAGAGGAAGCATCAACAACAACACCACGCATCATTACTTATGAGCAGTCAGGACCTGAGGCTTACGAGATAGCTAGACAAAAGGATCTCCCATTACTAGTCCATGAATCTTCTGAAGCTGAAGCTGAAGCAAACTCTGACTCTGCTGAAGCTGAAGTGGATGCGGATACTGCACCTGCTTCAAATAGGACCGCTAGTGCTCCACAAAGACGGAAACAAACAACGAACCAAGCTACAACGATGTTTTATTTTTATCAAGCAGCAAACGGTCACCATCTCTATCTTCAACCACTAGATATTCGCATACTAAAACAGCATTTTGAAACGTACGAACGATTTCCAGATACAATCTCAGTGAGGGTGCTGGGTATTGAAGAAACTAGTCTAACAGAAGAAGTGCGGAAAAAATGTAAATACCTTGGCCATCTTCCGCTTGGCTGTGAGGTTTCTTTCTTGGATGTTGCGCTGGAGACTATCGTCGGAGATGAAGGCGTGAGACCATTTGAGACAGAACTTAAGCTCCGGAGAAGCAAACGTCTGGAAAAGGAGGCAAGAGAGGAACGTGAGCGTATCGCACGAGAACACAAGTTAAATCCCCATAGATCTCGTAGAGATGATTATTTTATCAATGACCCATTTTTTCATCAACCGGCCTCTACTACCACAAGTCAGTCATCGAGCAACATCACCACAGCAGAATCAGAAAGAGAAGTAAGATCAGGATCTATTTCGGACGCGGACCTACAGGAAGCGCTACGACTTTCTGCTCAAACAGAGTTGGATGATATGCCTACTCTGAATGAGGCGCATGCGAAATCAACTCGTCGACCTTCTGTACCGAGTTTAAGTTCGAGTACTAGAAATGATACTGGTGCTGGGTCAATAGCAACATCTTCCGAGCCTTGGGCAAGTAGCTATGAGTCCAATGGGAGCGGTGGCCATGTGGGATCACAAACAGTGTGGGGTACTCCATCAGTGCCTGTAAGTCGGCATTATGATGACTATGATGACTATTATGAAGAGGAGCACGATTTTGAGCCGGACATCGTTGTAAAGCGTGGCAAAAAGAAGGTGACCGTGCTGATGTCTAATAACAGTAGGCGCACTCGATAATTCCATAGCAGATGCATGTCAATAAATAATCATTATGACTGAGACATGCCCAATGCGCTGCTCCAAGTCACGATCACATTACACATTTTTCACACCCGCTTTGTCCCCTCAACCATTTAAACCTGGACGACATCGACTTGCCACTACTGCAATACACCTTTAACTCCATTACCTTTAAAAAAGAAACTTAAAAGAAAGAGTTATTCATATTCTATACAGCCAAAAACAATCATTCCAATATGAATAGTCTTGCGTCACATCAGCCAGCCCCACCACCACTCATTATCCCTCGGAGGAGACTCTCAGTCCACCAGCGACAAGGACTGACCTCTTCTCCAACTTCTTTGGATACAGAAAGGGTAGATCCTATTCATTATTATTACTACCCTACAGTTGCTTCGTTCGCCAACGGCTCATACCCGCCGACTTTGTACGCATTCGAGGCAAACAGTGCTACCAGTGAGGATAGTCTCATTAAAGCTTCCGTTTTTGACCACACTGCGGCTGGAAACAATAACCCATCTATGTCGATTCCCACGGCGAACAATGCGTATTCTTTCTCTTCTGGAACCTCCGCTGGCTCGGCCGCTACTCGGGGTCCAGCCCGCCGTCGTCATTCTGTTGCCAATGGGGCACCCTGGGCAACAATCGGCCCAACAGCAACGCTGCCTCCACGTCATGCACTACATATGCCTGTGATGAAGGTTGATCCGGCCATTTGGAGAAGTGAGCAACACCAACGTGAGATATATAGATTGATGCACGAGGGGCGAGAAGTGGAGGTGATGAGGAGAAGGGGCATTCGCAATGTAATGGATACTACTACAGAAGAAGATGAACAAAATGATGAAGATAGTGGAGGGGATATGTTGGGAGTGGAGCAGACTGCTGAGACCCACGGAGGGTCGTCCCAATCTTTGGGTGAACAAGAAAAGGTTCGAAACCCTACTTCTCAGAAGTGACTAAGATTTTACTGAAACATCGACTTGAAAAAAAAAAAAAAAAAAAAAAAAACTGACTGGTACTGACAGATTGTCTATATGATACACTAATAGACTCGACAAGAATGGGCTAAAATCGTAGCAGAGCAAACAAAAGAATATGAAATGATTCTTCAGCAACAGTTACAGCAGCAATATGCCAACAACAATGAGAATCTCCAGCGAAGAAACACGTGGCCCAGACTATTAGAACAGCAGCAGTTACAGCTCAAGATGCCAAGCGATGTTCTCCATCCTATTGTGGGTTCTTCTTCAGGTTCATTTCAGCAGCAACACCAACTACCAGTTCCAGGACAACAGGTTCAAGGACCTAGTCAAAGGCAAGATGGCCATGGGTTCTCCACCTCCATGTTTGGGCCACTATCAAGCTCTACAGCATGGTCTGCCGCACCCACATTTGCAATCGACACGCGAAAGCCATCGTTTATGGCCTACCGTGGATAACAACAGACAAAATAACAACAAATCAATGTTCATACATGTTTGCTTTTGGTGATGTTTTTTCAAATAAAATATAGTACAGTCAACAGTGGTTTTTATGGCCAAAATCTGCGTGAATTTGGCCATGAATTTTAAAACGTGAAAATAAAGCCACATTTGTTAGCGCATATGACACAATAGCACAAAACAGTTCTAATATGACAAAAAAAAAAAAAAAAGATGTTTGTCATATTTAGAGGCTGAACAAGCGCGCGCTAATAGTTTTACTGACTTTCGAACCTCTTGCCTCGTTCTCTCTCTAAATTTGTTAGAGGCTGTCAATGGTGAGGACTTTATGGTCTCCTGCCAAATCTTTCAGTGTTTGGATTGTCGCATTAAAATCAATATCGTCGGCCGGTGAGCTTGTAGATCTGTCATGACTTAAGGACACGCCGCAGCCAACTTCTTCCTCTGAACTGCTGCCTTGCTCGTTTTGTTGTAGAGCTATCCGGTGTGCAGCTTCTTTGGGTTGGCCCATCCTCATTTTCTACCAATGTGAAATTCAAGATGTCTCCTTGACTAACCTGGGCGATAAAGTTCTGGAAGTACATCTTCATCTGCCTTTTGTATTTTTTATGCCTGGTATACTGAAGATTAGGCTTCAGTTCATCCCTAGTTGATGATCGTTGTCGGAATTCTTCGCGCATTTTTAGTGGGAGGACGGGCTTGATCTGATCCCACGGATATGGAATCGGTGTCCAAGCACGACTATTAGAGATGCAATTAGCTTTGTCAAAATTGCGAGCGAAATACGGTTCATAGCCAAGCATCTCCAGGAATGCTCGTTTGAAAATTCTAATTACACTGGCATCAAGGGGCTGAGTGATTGACGTGGAATATTTAGGCAGTCGCTGTATGCGGAGATGCCTCCAAGGAATCTCTTTTTCTGGATCGCGCATATCGATTCTGTCATGCGCTGTAGCAGAGTCCAGCCAGGAGGAGGAGAGCCAGCTGTGAGAAACCATCATCCAGTGTTTGTAGCCAGCTTACGAATATTGTGCGGTTCATCCATCCTGATTACGATCTAGCCATGGTCATTTTCGATGACACCTCTTAGCCACAGTACGTATTTTATCTTCTCGCTTGAGCATGCATTGAAGGCTACTATGTGGAAGATTGACTCGTATTGCAGGCCCAAAGGAACGCTGATTAAGACAGAACGGAAGGTTTTATTTCCGTTTTTCTAGATAATGATATATATCCAAAAGTTCAACTTGTTTTTCCAGAGCGTGAGACGACCTAGCCATGGGAACCTCAAATTGATCCAAACTAGGAAGCACAAGGACAGCGTCCATATCCTCTCACCTGACAGTATTCAAGGCGAACAAGTTTTATTTCTTCAAGCTCATATTTGGTGCAAGCTTTATCTTTCTTGGAAGAGAGTAAAGGGGGGTCGGGCTTCAGTTTTTTTTAGCTCGTACCTTTACCTGATCCGAGAATGATTGGGGTCTATTGTTAACAATTTTTTGGCCATGGTGTTGAATGTTGTAATGTTGGATGGATGAAGAAGGATGCAGGATGAGCTGTCATTTTATGGCCAAATCCACACCACTTTCGATTGGACATGAGATTGTGGCGAGTTCTTTTTTGGACATTGTTTAAAAACATTTAAAAACTAAGTTAATTCTTTCATAAAAAGTATGCGTCTATCAACTACAATATGACAGCGTTACTTGCATGCTTTGAGGAAGAAGTATTCCAAGATGCCACTCAAATCGATGACGATAACAAAGATTCTTTTTTTTTTTTTTTTTTTTTTTTTTTTTTCAAATCATGAGTTTGCCACCAACATTTTTTTTTTTTTTTTTTTTTTTTGCGTTATAGCCTAAGGTTACGCCTTACAAAGCAGCCGTAGGTAAGGAGCCTTAGTCAAACCTCCGTCAAATATTTACGAACATTTCGGAATTGAGAGCCAAAAGAGATGTGTTTCTAGTTTGGCCGAGAGCCTTGTTTGTTTACAAATGTGTTTATGTTGTGAATAGCTCTCGCTACACCTGTGGTAAATGTCTTGTGAAGATGAGAATGCCGCGGTTACTGACACGATGAAGAATTTTTTAGTTTTTTACAACCTACACATTGGATCCCCACCGAGTTGGAGACTAAAATCAGTATACATGCGTCTTATTTTCAATGATGTGCGCCTTGCAGTGAATTGTTGTGGCAGTAGCCCGTTCTCAGTTCTCGGAAATATATTGTTTAATGTATTGTACGTATTAGATACATCAGATGTGGATGTTGCAAATTGATTGTTGCATTTAAACACAGAAATCATTCAGTAATATCACTTTGGGCAGATTCTGAGATAAGCAGGGGTTGTGAGAGCTTGCACCTAGGCTGATTAATCCATCGGCGTATTCTGGCAACCAAGGCCCCACACTGTCTCTGTGTCTTTCCTGCCCGGTTCTCTCTCCCCCTTGATAGGAAATTTGCTATTATTTTATGTTGGTACCAGACATCCTGATACACCTCAATCGAACGATAACCTTGTGTTATATTGAAGAATGAAAGGGGGCGTAAAAAAAACGGTATTGGACACAGGGGAATGCAAACACAAACACAAATAAAAACATAAACATGCACAATATAACAAGGTTCATTCCTTCTTACATGCTGTTTCAACCGGACAGATGGTGCGACCGAGTTAAGAATAACTGATACACACACATGCTGAGCAAAAAGAGTACATGTAGTAAATGTGTTGTGTATAAAAGGTATATGAATGGTATATTCAAAACTATGATACATGTAGGCTTTGGCGTCTGGCTAATGAATGGGCAGGGTCAAGGTATTAAATATACAAAAGATGTACATCGTGTAATATTCAGAACGAATTGACATCCTGTGTATCTCTCTGTTCCTGTATCTATTCCTTGTTCGTTTATTGTGATTAGAAAGATTTAACTATTCAATAATCGCAGTTGCCATTTCATTGTTCATTGTTCATTGTTCATTGTTCATTGTTCATTGTTCATTATTCATTATTCATTGTTCATTGTTCATTCCTCTCTCTCTCTCTCTCTCTCTCTCTCTCTCTCTCTCTCTCTCTCTCTCTCTCATCAACCTTTTCTATCACTTGTTTGCCACTGAAATATTCAGACGCGACCTTGCCCTCCACCCCTCGTCTGTTTTATCTTTTTCATTCTGTTGTACGCCACTCAATTAAATAAGAAAATACACATTTTAAAGACGTGCTGAACTCTTTTTTTCCTCTAACAACCCGCCTCTTTTTTTCTTTTTTCTTGTGGTTTATCACTCCTCTTTTCTCTTTCTTCCTTCCTCCCTTTCTTTTCTTTTCTTTCCTTTTCTTTTCTTCACCTTTTTATTTTTTTATTTTTTTATTTTTTTATTTTTTTATTTTTTTATTTTTTTATTTTTTTATTTTTTTATTTTTTTATTTTTTTTTATTTCTTCTTTTTCTTCTTTTTCCCATTTCTTATTCTTCCCTTTCTCCTCCCTTTCCTTTCATCATCATCTTTATTCTGCCCAAGCTTTACTCGAGCACCATTGACGACCACACTTATCGAAAATATTATAAATCATACATTTCTGCTCTCCGTCTCAAATCTTCCCACACCGACCTCCACTTTGCCTTACATCACTCCTTCCTTTTTATTGACGACCAAACACCTCTTTTTTAATTGACTTTTCCTTTGCCCCTAATCTCCTTTTTTTTTTTTTTTTTTTCTTTTCTTCTTCTTCTGCAACTCTGCTTTCTCATTCCATCTGTCGACTTGACTTCATAACGAACGAACTGATACCACAATCCACATCCGAGTCAATTCAGAGACATCCTTTGCTGTCTTTTCATCTCTATTCTTTTCGTCCAAGACTCCTTCTGCTGATTCCATTCCCTATCCCTTATTGACAAGCTTTGCAAAACCTCTCGACTGCTTCCTTGACCTCAACTCGGCCCTCTTTTCCAATTAGAAACTCAACTACTTCTGACCTATCACGGGCTATTATCTTTTCAAGTAATCATGATTTTTACTACAGGAACATCATCTACACAACATAAACAACAACAACCTGCCGCGGCTGCCCGTTGGTTGGCCAGGACTCTACTATCATTCACAATCCTTGCTGCTGGCGCACAAGCCGCGTGTGTCTCCTTAGCAGCATCCAAGGCATGCCCATCCTATTCTTCATATGCGGTTGACACTTCAATAGTCAAACACGTAGCAGCGCATTATATCCGCATGCAACCCTTTGCCAACGTAGAAGAGTTTGACAGGGCTGTCTTCAACGCCACAGGATTCCAGACTTCATCAGACTGCACTGAGTATAACAATACTGTCCGAATCCCTTACCAGAATACGTTGCTGTGCACAATTGCAGTCCAGCACGCTAATTCAATGAAATGCAAAAGTAAACGCAGTGGATCCAGTTCTATGTGTGTTTCTTCTTGCTCCTTGTATGAGCAAGGTCTGTCTACAATGATCAAAAGTCGTTGTCCCAAGGCCACCAATGCCTTGAAACAATTGGCTGAAGTTAGTGTCATTTGCTCACGAAAGAATCCTGATGAGTGGCAAGGTTTAAATTCGAACACGCCAGGTTGCGTTGATTCTCTCAAAAATGAAGCCAGTACTTGTGGTAAGTGTGTATATCATTGTATTTAAGCTTATGTCATTGTGTGTATTGTTTGTCTTCCATAATGAACTTTTAATTTTTGTGTTGGGTAATCCTTGCATGAGGATGGAAGGGAGAGGATTTTTTTTTTTTTTTTTTTAAGAAAAAAAAAAAAAAAGTTGCCGTAAGAAATACCAAATTGATGGTAATCGGCCTTTTTTTTTTATTCCACGGTGTCAATGTTTATTTCGTTTTTATTTTTGGGCGCATTGACTTGTTTATATACGGTATAACAACGACATCAAAATCGGAGACGGCTTCTATTGCTTCGGCGTATTTATGATCAATGCTTTGAATAATGGTTCATCGCTGTCTCATGTTCATTTATTTGATTCTGTTTTGGGTTCTGTTTGCTCTAACGTCGCTCCTTGTGAGGGCTGGACTGTTCCTGCTTGGAATATGCATAGAAAGTTGTCAGATGACCTTTTCTGCAGAAAGAAAATTGCGCGGGAGTTTATCGATAGGGGTGAATTGATGTGAGATGGCAGGAGCCAATAAGAAAGCTTCAATTTCAATGTTCCTACCATTACAAAATAATACTGAAACGCGTTCAGGGGTTGCGCTGAAAAGATGCTTATGACATTTCGAAGAGCCGTTCGAAACAAAAGGAGATGTGGAGGAATGTGGTGCTCATTTGAGTGTGACTGTAGTCGCTGAGACAATCCCAAGCCTCGATTACTTTTTTTTTTTTTTTTTTTTTTTCTTCCTAACAGCCAAAATCAATATGCTATCCTTCTACAATTCGTGCATGAATCAATAGGACTGAGCACCCTTGCTAACAAATGCGAGTTCTGCAAGACAAACTCAACTAATGCATGCTGTAATGATGCCGCCTCTGTTTGCAAGTATCCAACCACCGCAGCACCTAGCGCCACCAACTCTAGCAGCTCTCCCTCAGCCACGTCATCTGTCACACCACCAGTATCTAGCAAGTCCGGTCTTTCTGTTGGAGCCATGGGTGGGATCATTGGAGGCTCAGTTGGTGGCATCATTTTGTTTTCGTTCATAATATGCATGTGTCATCGCCGTGGTAACCGCCATGAGGCTCCCAAAGAAAACGCACCTGCACGTCAAATATCTAACAACAGCGCCCGCTACAACATTTCTTCGCCAAAACTTCAGGAAGAGGGCTTCGTTTCTGCAGCTCCTATTCCCATGACTGCACTGCCACCTATTAAGAACAATCCTTCTCCCATGGTTGTCGCTGGTGCAGCAGGTGCAGGCGTAGGTGCAGGTGCGGTTGCTGCTGGAACGGGTGCTATAGCTGTTGCAGGACGAGGAGCCAATACAAAACAATCCTATTGCCAAGCCGTGTTCCCTTATCAAGCATCAATGGAAGATGAGTTGGACTTGACAGCTGGAGATATTATAAATGTCCAGCGTGTTTTTGACGACGGCTGGGCTGTGGGCGTCAACTTGAACACATCGCGGGAGGGAGCTTTCCCAATTGTGTGCGTCGTCTTTGTGGATGAGAGTGCATTGGATGATGAGTTTGAGGATGTGAACATGCACACGATGATGCCCATGACACTACGTGAGGAAGATGAACGTGGACGAGGACGCAACACTTCTCGATCTCCTTTGCACTCGCGATCTGCTTCACCGGTGCCTTTGCCACGACGCAACTCTTCGATTCGAGATAGCACACTGATGATATCGGGTACGAATCCTATGACAAGCAGTCCTCTTGCTGCAACTCAAAACAACAGCAATAACCAATGGTGAAATAACGAAAAGTAGAACAGATCAATTCCATTCACTTAATATTTTTGTCACCATACTCTGCAATACATCTTTCTTTTCTACATGTATGCTTAATCCCACGACCTTTTTTTGTGATTTATATAGTACATTATATATATATATATTTATGCCCATTGACCATATCATTATTTATACGCCAAATAAACCCTCCTATGCTAAAAGTTTACGTCAATATTAGAAGCTTTCCTTTGACCTTGTGCACGAAAAGTAGTATTTTCTGATCTCATTAAACTAGACAAACAAAGGAGCCCACAGGCTTAAAAATCTAACTGAGTGTGATTCAGATGTATCTTTTTTTCAAAATGAAACATATTCCTTTAGTCTTTGTCTATGCTGACAAACCTCCGATTTTCAAACAGGCCATCTTTTAAAGTTTTTTTTTGAGGGAACAAAAAGAAAGTCAATGACGCTCATTGCTCAATTTCACTTTTTAATCTTCGCTGGCCCTCCTTTTGGCAAGGCGCCGGGTTAATTGATTATAGAATGACGTTGATGCGCATGATGATGATGCAGATGATAGGCGTTTGAGCAAGAAGAGTGATTAAGGAGCATAGCTCTTTGGTTGGATTCTCCTTTTTCTCTTTTTTTTTTTGTACCCTTTTTTTTGAGGAGAGATGACGAAAGGTGATTCATTGTGTCTGTGCCCATTTGCATCGGACTCTTTTAAATCTTGTGTTCTCATGCCGATTTTTTTTTTTTTTATTTTTTTTTTTTTTTGCATGAATATTCCTTGTGTTGTTTCTTGTTTTAGGAGGGAAGCCTCATGATGGGCATGGTCATGTTTATGTCTGCGCACGGCCATGGCACGGCAACTGATATCTTTTTCTTTGATTTCCAGCTTTGTGAAAATGGAGAAACACAAAAAAGGTTTTGTGTTAAAGCCAGAGTCGAAATCATTATATATATACCATATGATAATCATACATGTGCAGGATTTAGGATGGATCAAAAAGAAAAAAGAAAAAGTGCGGGAATAAAAGTAACGTTCAGAGTCCTCTTACTGCATCTTTTTTCGTGCAACACTCTCCTGAAGCCTCCATACCTCCAAATCTCTTTTTTTTTTTTTTTTTTTTTTTTCTTTTCCTTCTCCCTTCAGATCGATCACAAGTATAACTAAAGTCAGGGATGTCCCAAAATCCGTTTTTTATGCTTTGTAAGCCTACAATGGCGGTTAGAATTATACATATCCTTCATGTGAACTTGCAACAAAACTGGAGAAGTTAAGAAAGAAAAAAAAAAAAAAAAAAAAAAGTTGGAATAGGGTATGCTCTCCAATGCCACCAAAGGATGGTCATGTGGCAGTTTATGTTTTTTTTTTTTTTTTTTTTATTATTATTTCTTGTATCCAGATACACTTCGGAAGCACAAACCGTATCGTCAACCGTGTATTCGTGCATAACATGAATATAGTTTGAGGTTTCCTTTTTTCCCCTTTCGCCCCTTTTTTTTTCTTTAAAAAAAAAAAAAAAAAAAAACCTGCGCAATCGTGCAGATACAAATATATCTTCGTTTACACTTTTTATTTTTTCTTATCCCTGACACGCACAGGCACACTCCTGTTCTTCTCGCCTTCGCTCCGCCCCCGGTGACGTGGTCTTTTTTTTTTTTTTTTTTTTTTTTTTTCCTTTCTTCTTTCAATAAGAAAAAGGAAAAGCAGATTCTTTGCAGCTGTGAGGCAAAAATAAAAAAAACAATGCAGTGGCATCAAATCAAATGCAATAGCGAATTGAGACTAAGGGACGATAGCAACAGAAAGCTGCACGATGGTGTAGATGTACATGAATGTACATGTTCTTTTCATGAGTTTAAAATTTTCCCCGTCAGAGAAAGTAAGAAAAAAAAAAAAAAAAGTTTAAATCTTTTTCTATGTGGAGATCCATACAGCACGCGCCTTTGCTTTCTTTTACTTTTTTTTTTTTTTTTTTTTTTTTTTTTTTGTTCTTTACCTTGCCAGCCTCCCAACTCAAAATGCTTCGTTCTATGTCTTTTTTAAAACTGGAGTGTTAGTTTAGGTTATTGGACAGACTATGGCATTCGTTTGAGTAAAGAGAGCATGCATGCATTTCAACAAATTTGGGGCATGCAAAACCAAATTTTCAATGCATGAGAAAGTGAGAAAAGGAAATGATGTTGGCTTCTTACTGGCTCTTTTCCTCCGATGTCGCTCATCTTCCCCTTCCTCCTTTTATCCTCCCCCTACCGCCTAGTCTATGGGCTGGTCGGAGCAAAAGGCTCTTCTTCTGGTTGAAATGAACGTTAGTCTCGCAAGATGTGGATGGGATTCTTTAGATTGATATGATACTGTTTGCAGTTGCTCTGCTAATTTGTTTCCCTGGCTGCTCTTGTTCTGTATGCTCACATATTGATTCATATCTGGAGAGGAAATATAATGAGATAATGAGAGAGGTAAATGAAGTAGATTGCACTTAAAAAAATCGGTGAGGAAGAAGAGCAGAAGAAAAAAAAAAAAAAAGAGGAGGCAACACACCTTCCAGGAAAGAGGAAGGCGCGAGCGATATTTTAGTACAAGCAATGCCTATAGTATGCATATCAGGCGGCGTAATATGATAGACAGGCTGCGTCGCGAAACCAAACAAAAACAACAAAAAACAAAATATATACCTTGCAGAAAAATATATTTACATGTGGATTATGACGATGGACAGCGAATATGGTTGAATACTCGTTAGATGTAACAGACATTCTCCCTCACATCTTTTTCTTCCAACGCGATTTGTTTTTTCAGTTTGTCTTTCAGGGATTTTAGCATCGGCATAAAGGCCGTTTTAGATTTAGACTTCAGACTCGTTGCCTCTGTAAAAGTCGTTATTACGGTTGTGTCCTGCCTATGATCGCTTGTTTCTAAAGCCCGGTTGATTGATTAATCGTCATTTATTTGATGTTGCTATTGAGACGAGAAAATGCAGCCGAAGCACTATAATGTAAATGAGAGCCAACACACGCCATGGCTGATCAAGGTGCCTCGATCTTGTGCAAATACATGTACGTTTGCATGAATGAATGAATGTGTGTATGACTGTATGAATCAATGACGAAGTAATTGAGGGAGTGTGTACGGTGAGTTGTTTGCTGAGCATCGCAAATGACTGAGCATTTTTTTTTTTTTTTTTTTTTTTTTGCTTTGCTTTGCCGGGATGAGGATATGTGGCAATAAGCAAAGAATTTTTGAGTTATTGTTTATCTGAAGTCTGAGAGCTAGTAAGAGGGTCTAAGTCAAATTCAAGGACCAGGCTGGGCCATGTCCTGTTGGGGTCTGATGGAGAGACTATAAACGTGTTCAATTAGTGGAAAGGGATAATTGCATGGTGCGATAGATAAAAAAAAAAAAAAAAAGCAATTCACATTCTTTGGATTCTTTAGGATTGATTAACGAATGAGAGAGGGAGAATAGAGGGGAGGGGGGTGCATGCAAGCACACCATCCAATCCTCGTAACAGCCTTCCCGCCAGAAACGAGAGAGAGAGAGAGAAAAAGAGATGTGCAGTAATCCAGTCGAATGTGCAGTGCCTAGATGTGCAATGTGCGATATTTGGTAAAATTCAATTCAATCCTTCAATATCTATTTCAATAGATCAATGGGGGGGGGGGGTCAATGGCACAATGACAATGACAATGACAATGACCATGAGGATGAGGATGAGGATGAGGATGAGAATGAGTATGATAGTGATAATGACAATGGCAATGACAATAAAAAATAAAAAAAATAAAATAAAATAAAATATAAGCATGCCTCAAATAGCGCACAACAACAACAACAACAATGCAAATGCAAATGCAAAATGCAAATCAAAAGGGTTGTCCAACTTGTTCACACACTGGTTTGACATTTTGGGTACGGTAAACATTGAATAAATATTTGTAGACCATCACAGATATTTCGTTTTAATGCAATAGGATTAGTTTATGGCAATATATCAATATATAGAACACAATAGACAGATGTATATTTATTCCCGATTGATTCGCTTATTGAAACAACTGACTACATGGGCAAGACTAAGAAATGCTGACCATGGACATCCTCCAAAGGGATTTCCCTTTACTTCTTCTTCTCCACTTGTTTTTTTTTTTTTTTATATTTCCTTCCTCTTCTTTACATCTTTTTTTCTTTTTTTCTTTTCTCTTCTTCTTTGTCCTTCTTTCCTCTTCGTTGGCGTATACTTTTGCTTCTGCACATCAACCTCTTTTTAATTCCTCAATTCTCATTCTATTCAGTCACATTCGCTTTATTTTCATTCATCATTCTCACCACTTGTCATCGCGTCAACTTCAATTCGCTCTCTAAACTCAGGTAGCTTATTACTTTCGAGTGCATTCGATCCGTCTCAAGCCTTTTTGTCCTCCTGCTTTTTTTTTTTTTTTTTTTTTTTTTCTCTTTATTGTTTCCCTTTGTAAACCCACACCTCACACTTTTTTTTTTTTTTTTTGTGTGTGCCTTTCTCAACCTTGCCCTCCTCCTGCTTCTTCCCTACCCCCCCTCCTCCTTCTCTTCTTCCCTCGCCTTCCTCGCCTTCAGTCTCTCCTTCTGCTTCTGTTACTCCCTACTCCTTTAAAGGGAAACGCATTGCTTGGTCCATCTAGAGCCCTTCTTTTCCTCTTTCACTTATCGTTTCCACACTACTTTTGCGCTCTTGGCTTTCTAGAAAGCCTAGACGAAACAGAGCCAAGCGCTCTATTTGCTTATTTTTCAAGACTGATTGACCCGCTTGCATTTTTAAACTCTTTTGCTTTTACTAACCTTTTTTTTTTTTTTTTTTTTTTTCCTCTTCTTCGTTTCTTCCTCTCTCTCCATGGTCTTGTTACACTTGTAGCGCAGGGCATAAATACACAGCCCTTTTTTTATTTTTATTTTATTTTTTTTTTTTTACATTATTATTATTATCATTAACAACGACAATTACAACTACAACAACAGTTATAGCAACAATAATCTCTTTTTGTCCGTTTGAATTCGGCTCCTTATTTTTCTTCCTTATTGTCTAAAAAGAATCCGCTATCTTGACTGGTCAACCCTAAAAAGTATAAAAAAAAAAAAAAAAAAAAAAGATAGTGTTCTATATAATGGCACACTCAGAACATAATCAAGTACACATCAGTCGAAAGTGCCAGCACATCTCTACTCTTCGCTCTGGACCCAAGCGTTCTTTGCATCGCCCAAGTGAACAAAAATTACATCAACAAGCACGGCGTCAACAACGACAGACTTCTCAAGAATTAGAGCCTTTGCATACAACCGGTCCTCGTGTTACCACCGTTGTAACAATGACACCAACATCACCAATATCTGCATCAAATGGCAAGCAAATTGTTGGTACAACAATAGTACAGCAAGATGTAAAAGGATCGACCAGTGAGCAGGACAAGATCGAAGTACGGGAAAAACAAAGCTCTGGTTCGAAAAGAGCTCGTGTCCAGCAGGCTGAACACAGAGAAAGTTCGACGCCAAGGGAAGCGAGTAAAGGACATGGGAGCAGACGTAATAGTGGAAGCAATAATCGACGTCCTTCACAAGGAAACACTCCCTACATCTTACGATCACAAACACAACAGATAGAATACATCGAAATAACGGATGAAGAAACAGACCTTGAACAGAAATCTGGCGATGCATCGGATGAGGACCGTGATAATTGGCGCGACACGCAGGACGGGTCGACTAAATCGCCGGGATCCAACTCTGCAGTCACCTCATCAACCACCGGTGTCCGTCGTGTCTCTCAGACCCTTCCTCTATATCACCACTGCAACCACCATCATCGCCATCACCACCAGCGAATTTGCGACGAAGGCTCGTCCTCAATTTTGCTTAACACTCGTGACGTCCACCAGACCCATACTCGCAACTACTCATCACCCTCTCTACTGGACTCTTTCACATCACCAGATCCGATGTTATCACCCATTCAATCATATTTTGGCTCGGATCCCAACTCACCTGCATCCTCTTTCTCTTTGCCAAGGCATGACCACTACCCCAGACTAACCATCGATCCATCTGCTTCAATGGATGGCTATCATGGTTTTGCAACTCACCCCTGGAGTGAGCAGAGCACCACACCATCACGCGCCTTATCCCACCGATGGACTCGTCGACTGAGTCAATCGGATCTTCATCCTGACTCATCTAGCAATACTACGAACTCTAGGGGCGCCAACAGTAGAGCCAACCCAAGGCAACGTCACTCCAGCATTGGTATCCCAAGATCTTTTACAGCTGCGACTGCTGATCAGCTGTGGGACACTACATCTTCCAATATGGAGACATCCATTGCGCCAGACGAGTCGATCGACACAGAACATGATTTGGTCCCATTAGATGATGCCCCACAGGATTCTGAATACGAATCTAATGTTGATGAGAACTATGAGGGATATGAATCAACACATGACCATCAATTCGACCATGACTATATTTCACGAGACTCTGATAATGAGGAGGACATGGATCAAGACGTGAGCTATTCATATGACCTTCAAGATTCAAGTGTTGATATGAATGATGATAGGACCGAGGAGACTGAGGATGATACGGAGTCTGGACCGAATGAAGATGTGGAAGGATCTGACGATGATGACGAAGAAGAGAGCGATCAAGACATGGCAGACAGTTCCAATTTTATATATACTACACCATCCGCATTTTCACATTCAAGTCAGCCTTCTACGCGACATCGGGACTCGAGGTCTTCGCGAAATGCTGGAGGAAGAGAGCATGTGCAATCGAATGAGTCAGATGAAGCTCTTGCGCGAAGGCTTCAAGAAGAAGAATATACGGCAATGTTGGGAGAAAGCGTAAGTCTTATCTCGCCACTGCCATCATAGATTAGCATACAGATACATATACAACAAGTATCTATACTAATACAGTTTTTTGGTATATTACAATGCTATTCTGTGCCGGTACCCATTATGTCTTTGATATTGCAGAGCCTTATAGGTCATCTCACCATGGCTCTGTCAAGAAATCGATCTCTCAGAACTCGAAGACGGCATTCATCCGCTTATCGAACGAATGTCGCTCGAAATCGTACTGATAATGGGACGTTTTTGAGTCAAAGTGATCAATATGTACATCCTTGGATGATGGATAATATGCGCTCACGCATTAGAGGAGCAGATACAAGGACTTCAGCAAGGTTATTAGGGTTGAGATCTACCTTTATTGGACATCATGTGTTACGACAGTCCAGGAATGAGCACTACCTTAGCAGGTAAGGATCAAGATCACTATTAGTGATGACTTTGCTTGTACGCCTTGCGGAGGCACAGGGTCATCTCATAAATGTGTAAGGATCAAACCAGTGATAGATCACAGGATAAGGATTCAAAAAAAGGAGCTCTGACCCTTTTTTTTACAGCAGTCAAAGCTAATTCTCTTTACCTTTTTATTATTATTATTATTATTGTAAAAAAAAAAAAAAAAAAAAAAGTTCTCATGGTACATACAGCATGAACAACATGTGGGGAAGTCCTGCCGATTATCTTGTAAGCAACATCTCCTTTCTGACATGCATTATTGCTCCTCTTTGCTGAATTCAATTCCTCTGTCTTAATAACGATTCCTGATTTCTTCCGTATTACCACAGTATGATGACCAAGTTGATGATAGTTATGAAGGACTCTTGAGGCTAAGCGAGCGAATTGGCGACGCCAAGCCAAAGGGGGTACCCTCGCATGTCTTGAAAATGACAGACAAGTACATTATCACTTGGAAGCCCAAAAAGGTTAAGAATATGACACTCTCTATGTCTGCTGGATGCACGTTATCAGACTCCAAAGACACTTCCGGTGTCTCAGCACCATCGCCATCGCCAGCTTATCGATCGAGATTTTCCTCAAGGTATTCATTGCGTAGGAATGATGCGTCGCTGTCGAACTCAAATATTCCATTGCCACCATCGCTGTTGCCCAATACATCTCTACAATCAAAGACATGCCTAACTGCATATAACCCAACACCTGACGAGTCATCTGATGAAAGGTAAATGTTTTCCATACAAACACTTTTTTTTTTTTTTTATGGGATAAAGAGCGTACTCTAAATTTTGTATTTTCTTTTTGTGCATACAGCTGTACGATATGCTTAGAAATGTACAAGCTATCGGATCTACTTCGCCCACTCCCTTGTCGACACGCATTCCATAAAGGTTGCATTGATACATGGCTTCGAAACAACGCGCAGTGTCCAATCTGTAGACAGGAAGTTACTGTAGCATCTGTGGAAGCTATGGTCGGATAAAAAAAAAAAAAAAAAAAAAAAAAAAAAAAAAGACTTGCGGGAATTCTTAAACGTGTGCAGCAATAGGGCTGTGCATTTTTTTTTTTTTTTTTTTTTGTTTATATGCCAATCCTTTGACTCTATCATCGCACACACAACGACTTAAATAAAAATAAAGGCGACTGTTCGATGCTTGTTGGTTTTCCAAATCAGTCTTGATTTAACCGTGTTTAGCGGAATTGGTTAGCATCCCCTGAATAGCTGCCATCCAGAGGGATTACTTAGGATGGACAGGATTCACCGTGTTGTTCAGAACAATAAAACTTGATCGAACGTCTATTAATCCTAAAACCATGAGGCAAACAATACCTCTGAACGTTACAATAGGATTGTGTTGCAGAAAAGACAGCATTGTCACTTTTGAGCAACGAAGGATATAGGATTTGTTTCTTGGGGACGAACTTTTTGAAGCTACGCCTATTGCTAGCGAAACACAAATGGTTCCCGTTTTCTGCATACTTTTAGCGCTTCTACAAATCAAGGACTGTTGACGTAGCCATCAAATGTTGTATGTTTGTCGAAGCATTGTCACATCCTTTGCAAAAGCTCAGGTGTATGCTAAGAGTATTCTTTAAGGGACGTAGAGGAGCCTATGATATGTGGTGATGTTCAGGTGTTTATACAGTATCATCTGGAGTCCGAACAGTCGCCAAATAAGAAACGATGCAGATGAGTAACAATGGAGGAGTTCGGAAGATTATCTTTTTTTTTTTTTTGCTGTGCTTTGTTCACTTTTCAGAAATGTCTGTGCAACAGAACTCGTCTGCAACCTTGATTTGGATCGGATCGATGAGTCTATGAGATCTGACTCTATTAGGAACGTGTGGCAGGGTGAAGTGACAGTCCACCAATGAACTACTTGGCCTGCCTTTCGCTTGCTTTCTTTTTTTTTTTTTTTTTTTTTTTTTAAAAAAAAAAATCATTTCTAATCTTCTTTGCAATAACGCATCGTCATGGCCACTTTCAACAGTACATCCTCTTCAAACTCTTATGGCACCATCTACCAACCCAAGATTGATCTCTGTAAGCATGGACATGGAACATTTCTAAATTCATGCTGCTATCAATCCAATGGACAATGGAATGAGTACAAGCTTAAAAGATTCCAACGACATCTCTAGAAAGCTATTCACTAATCTAACTTTTAAATATAATCCATGTTCATTTTACTTTTTTTTTTTTTGACATCCAGCAAAGCCAAGATTTGATCAGTCTACATATCTCGGTCGTGTAAGGCATTTTGTCCAGGTGACCTCGCCCTTGAACCTCTTTGTGACGAGACAAGGACTAGAGGATGCCAAGAATTTAATTAATGATTACAATACAGGCAAGATCAATGTCAACCTCGATCCTGCGAAATTATGGAGGGCAAAGGAGAGTAAGTGGCAAGGCTAAAATACAGATATATAGATAGAGATATATTTTTTTTTGAAAGTAATAAGTACTTCGTTTTTTTTTTTTTTTTATAGTTATTATTGTTGGGTAATTTTCATATTTTTTTTTTCTTGCGCAAGTATCTCTACGGATTCTTGTTCGTGGGCGTGGGATTTATATGATCATTGATCGAGTCGGACTTTCCTCCCTCTTATTTCCCCACATGGAGCGCTTTCCTTCTGGGTTAAAATATCAGATTATGAAATACTGACTTTTTTTTTTTTTTTTTTTTTTTTTTTCTTCAAAAAAATGCAGTTTGTGATTCAACGCTTCATCCAGACACAGGCAAACCTATTTTGTTGCCGTTCCGTATGTCATGCTTCGTACCAACAAATCTGTTGGTCGCGGCAGGCATGCTGATGCCTAATCCATCTATCAAGTCTATCATTTTTTGGCAATGGGCCAATCAATCTGTCAATGTCGCCTTCAACTATGCAAATGCTAATAAGACAACAGAAATGAACATGAAGGAGACTGCGGGTAAAAAAAAAAAAAAAAAAAAAAAAATGGCGCACTCTGTACTTTTTTTTTTTTTTTTTTTTCAATTTTATATAAAGCCGTCAAGAATACTGAGTTTTTTTTTTTTTTTTCTTTTTTTTTTTTCTTTTTTTTATGACTTAGTTGCCTATGCATCTGCGGTATCAACCTCCTGCTTCTTGGCTGTGGGATTGAATCAATTAGTTCCAAGATTAACATCCATCTCCCCTGGTGTTCGCACGATCCTTGGGCGCCTTGTTCCCTTTACTGCTGTTGCTGCTGCAGGAACTGTCAATGTCTTCTTGATGCGCGGCAAGGAGATCAGGTCAGCCCTAGACACAGTCATAGAATATAAAATGCTTGCACCTTTATACCGGACAATCAAGACTAACAAAGCATGGGGAAATTAATATTATTATTGTTTTAGTGATGGCATCGATGTCTATGATCATGAAGGAAAATCAGTGGGCAAGTCTCAAAAAGCAGGATTGTCTGCGATTTCACAAGTGGCGATTTCTCGTATTTTGACCAATTTCCCAGTATTGACCATCCCACCATTGGTACTTTCACAATGGGAAAAGACAACATGGTCACAAAAATACCCCCGCGCTTTAGTCCCCCTCAACTTGGCGGTCATCTCAGCCTGTCTGATGACCGCATTGCCATTGGCAATCGCAGCATTCCCACAATACGCTAATGTAGACGTCAAAACCTTAGAAGAGCGGTTCTGGAATTTGAAGGATTCCAAGGGTGAACCCATCAATACCTTGACATACAACAAGGGCTTGTAAAAAAAAAAAAAAAAAAAAAAAATCCGCTCCACTCTTTTTCATTTCATCTTTCACCTTTATATATATATTTATACATGTTTATAATATAGAATTGAATGGTTAGATCATACAGTTGTCGAATTTTAAACAAAAAAAAGAATCTTTCTCGAGTTTTGACAGGAAAGTGCCTTGCGGACAAAAATGTTACTTATATAACAAAGAATCCCGAACACAGACGATGAACAGGTTAAAGACGTCTAGTCAGATACGCTGCAATAAGGGCCATCAATCCTCCAAATCGTAAGACCCAACCCACCGGCTCTGGGCCACCTTGTGCAGTCGCAACAGCAGCAGCCTTGACAAGTTCGCTCATCATCCTAAATTTCGAGTCTGAACTGGCATCACTGGGAGGGATGCCGACTCCAGGTGGTGGTTGATGAGTGGATGGGGGCTGTCGAGGATAATCATTACGTGGCTGGGCTGTTCCAATGATAGCAAACAAACAGCTAGCGATGATGGCATCTACAAATTGTGGGAAGACAATGTACATATTGTGGACACCCAATACCAGCCCAGCATCCAAATGTGGGCCTTTTCTCTTACGCTCGGCCTCCAATTCTGCGTCAGTCAGTCCGTGATTGCCGAACAGATCTGTTTCGTCATTATCATCATCATCATCATCATCATTGTTGTTGTCATTATTATCATGAATCGGAACTACGGTTGTAACGACACTGGTCTCTCCATTATTTTCAGAATTGGTATGGTCGTTTTTGATGACGTTGTTGCTGTTACTAATGTTTTCATTGTTATGGTTCTTGGGGTTATTCTCCAAGGTGGTAGTCGAAGATGAGACGGTCCCATAGTTTGCCCTGTCCACTACTGTTGATTGATCTTCTTCTCGATCTCTTCCTTCAAGTCGATCCTTCATATCACTGATGATTTCACCAACCATTGCAAAAGGGATCCACATTGCGACCGCCCAAGGGACACCACATAATGCGATCACCCCTGTTGCAGCCCAGAGGTCATCAACAAACCAGGTCATGCCCATACAGACCGCGAACCAGACAAGGGACATGGTCCATAGGTTTTTGAGTGTGAATGGGTTGCGGGGCCAGCGTTCAAACCCGATCTCCTGAGGCGTGATCTTTGGGATGAGGATTCCACAGAAGACTGCAACTCCAGCCCAACAAAGTAAAGCAAAGGAGCCTGCGCGTTCTGCATCTGTTTCAGGATCTCCGCCTAAAGAAGGTGAGGATCGTAGTAAAAGAGAGGGGCTGAGTGGTTCGCTGGGTGGATGAGGCGCGAGATGATGATAAAGTCCTCCAAGAAGATGAATGATGTTCGTAGAGTTGGTATGACCGTCATTGTTGCCTTCGCCTGGAGTGCTTTCATAACGATGTAAGATTTCACCAACCCAAGTGGTTGAATAAAACAAGAAAGGGAACCAGCCCATCCAAGCAAAGAACTGAACATTGCAAATCCGCTGGATCTCTTCTGGTAGTATCCTTAATGCCTTCCAGATATTGCCGAGTGTATTCCAAATAGATCTTGTGGCACAAGGAAAAAAAAAAAAAAAAAAAAAAAAAAAAAAAAAAAAAAACTGCAGTTAGACTTTTGATTTTAAGCTTCTGTTTCTTCCATTTTTTTTTTTTTTTTTTTACCTCTTTTTATCTTCTTCGGTAGGGCGATATGGGATCTCTTTAACACTCAAACAGCAGATACTGAGACAGAGAATAAAAAAGAACATGGCGACATTGGCCAAGATCTTGATTTGGGTATCTCCTAGGTAAGGACTAAAATATTTGACCAGATCCAGATTTCCTGCAAAGAAACCGACAACGGATCCCAAATTATTCATCCAGCCTGACCAAGCATTACAAATCTCTTGCTGGTCTGTTGGAGGAATATCCATGATCAAGGAACGACAACTTGCTTGGACCGCATTGATTGAAAAGTCAAGGCAATAAAAGCCTACTACTGCAAACCCAATTGTCCATGCCTTAACCTATTGAGCAATAAACAACAACAGAAAAAAAAAAAGAAAAGAAAAGAAAAGGCAAATTTAAGAAAAGGAAGTGATCAGTCGAGAAGAAGGAGGAAAAAAAAAAAAAAAGTTTCATTCACTTACAGCGCCTGTATAGGGATCATTGGCTTCACTATCCGGATTTCCCGTGATTATTTCGGCCAAGTCACGAGCAAAGGCGACCATATACATTGAAAGGATTGTCAACATGGCACCAACCAGGATGAAAGGTCGCCGACGACCAATTTTCCAATCCAGTGAATCACTAAAGACCCCCACGACAGGTTGGATCACAAGACCTGATAGAGGCCCTGCTAGCCAGACAAGAGGCGTCAACGTCTTTGGGATGCCTAATGAAAGCAAATAGGGTGTACCATACCCAAGTTCCACCGTCCCTGAGAAAGAGGAAGAAAATGAAACAGGAGACTTGTAAGAAGTAGGAAGGAAAAAAAAAAAAAAAAAAAAAAAAAAAAAAAAACCTTGTTCTACATAAAATAAGGTGCAATTGAACCAATGTTTTATTCCTACTTACAGGTAAATTGAACACCAAGCATGCATATCGTTAAGCGAGCAATGTCAAAGATTGACAACTGGCGTCTGAGACCTAAAGAGCGTTTACGAACCAGGGGAATACGACTTGTTTGATGTTGTCTAGGCCGCTCTCCAGGCTTCGGTACCGCCGCATTTGCACTGACAACCCGCGATAAACGACGCGATAACAAGGATTGCTGTTCTGATGGTGCCTCTGCCTCAGTTGTTGACTCTGACACATTATAGTCGGACATTATTTACAGGAAAAGTTTTATTTCGTTGTTTTATCGCAAAACATGCAAAACATGCAAAACATGCAAAACATGCAAAACATGCAAAAAAAAAAAAAAAAAAAAAAAAAAAAGAGTTCAATAAAGTAGTTACTGAAAAGGTTAATGGTGAAAAGTCAAACTGTACTGCATGTGGGGCATTAATGCGCAAATTAGGTGAAATGAGGAAAAGAAAAGAACCAAAGAGAGAGTATCTTCTTCCTTCTCATTACCTTTTAATTGACGTAATGGATTAACTGACCCAAACGTGACCAAAATCATTAGATCAATTTTTCTTTTACATGGAAATATTTACTTTATTCTGATGCACGCATTATCAAGGGACGTATAGATGCTCTCATCCTTGATGTGGTTGTCGTTGTTGCTGATGATGAGGTTGCCGTTGGTATTGGTGTTGCATCTGTTGATACTGCTGCTGCTGCTGCTGCTGCTGCTGCTGGTAATGGTGCTGCTGTTGCTGCTGCTGCTGCTGCTGCTGCTGCTGTTGTTGTTGCTGTTGATGATGTATGTGCTGTAACTGCTGCATCTGACGGAGCGTCAATTTACCTGAATCCCGACCGAGAGTCGTTGTACCATTACCTGCCCCGCCTCCACCATTTTCACTCTGAGTATGACCCTGCATTGCTTGATGTTGGTACACCTGCTGCATGGCTGAATTGCCCTGTAGTCCCTGGTAATGGCCATTGAGTTGCTGCAATGACCTATGGTGTTGTAACGAAGGCGTATGTTGCTGTTGAGGATCGTTATTTTGTTGTGAAGAATGTTGACTCTGCTGCACCGTTTGATTCAATTTTTGCTGCTGTTGTTGTTGGCGCTGTTGCTGCTGCTGCTGGAGTTGTAAAGGCGATTTGCCACTCCGTGCCAAACACCTCAAGATACTCTCCATGGATGGATCCAATGTTGTCCGGACGCATTTATATTCTCGGTTAATCCGGTCCATTTCCTTCTGCATCCTTCCACGTCTTGCCATCTCATCCTCATCTACATCTTGAAGGTTCTCGCGTTGTAGCCACAACTTTTGCTGAGTTCGTGACAGAGTCCCTGTCTTGGATCCGCTACCACTTAAATTAGATTGTGCAACTGCTGCAGCTGCGATAGCAGAAGCCGCAGTAGCACTCACAGTGTTATTATTGGAGAGCATAGCTGAAAATGGTCCTCCTGCAGAGATATTCCCATTCTCGTTTAAATTCTCGTCTGAAATAGAGGTAGTCACAATCGTCGGGGGTATCAAATGATTAGCGCTCGATGGCAATGTAGCAATGGCCTTGGGTGCGGACGAACTCAATTGAGGCTGAGATGGTGAAGCTGGATAGAATTTCGAAGTAAAGCCTGTACGCTGCTGAGGTGAAGTCGAATTCGATTTATCGTGTGCACCCTTCGAGTTTTTCCTATTCTGAGTAGACGATGCTCCGCTCCCATGGTCATCTTCTGAAAGTATACCTGCTGTTGATGTGTTAGCGCCGCCTCCACCTGTAGTGAGGAATTTCGCGACCAGCTCGACTGCAGGTGAAGATCGCAGTGTTGGTGAAGCCAATTTAAGTCCTTGAGATCGAGAGCCATTTTCAGATGTGGAAGGTGTCGAGGGGTTGGTAGGGTCTGTACCTACAACCGCAGTCTGCTTTGGATGAACGGCCATGACGGTATGTGTTGTCACTTTGGTAAGTGAAGGAGAGGATGTGGCTGAAGCTCTGGGATCAAGGAGCTTTGACATACGTTTTGAGGTTGGTAAAGATGTCTTTGACAGGGTGCGATGTTTGGGCTTGGGTGGCGATTGAGATAGGTTCTGTGACTCGTGAATGCTCACAGAACTCTTATGGACTACTTCTTGAGAATGTCCTTCACCGTTCGAGACAACTTCAGGGGGGTTACTCCTGCTTTTCTCAAGCGCATGACCTCCTCGACTTCTACCAGAGTTATTTAATTGAGGTATAGACTGTTGGTTCTTGACCTGTTGTGGTTGGGCTGACTGATCTTCTTCTTGTTGCTGTTGCTTCAGCTGGTCTTGCAGCCGCTTTACTTGTTCTTCCCCTTCAATCCGCTCTAGCTGTCCCTCTTGTGCAGACTTTTGTTCTTCTGAAGAGGATAGGATATCTTGATCGCCAGATTGAGTGGACGTCGTCTCTGGTCTATCTGCTACTGAAGTCTCCTGCTGTTGTTGAACATTATGATGTGAAGTAGAGGAGGGTGGCGAAGGAGCGAGCGGCACTGGCTGTGGTTCTTCTTCAGTTGCATTCTCAGTCTCTAGGTATTGGCCCTGTAATCCGAGGTCTTGCATCGTCTGGGCTAGTGTTGAATTAATGAGAGTCTTTGCAAGCAATTCTTCGTCTCGACCAATATGCGCTCTTCTCTGTCCACCATTTACTCCTTTGGTATGAAGCTCGTCTGCCTCCTCAACTGAAGGAACAGTATCTGCTGCTGTATTGACAGCATTAGGCGCTTTAGTAGATGATTGATTATGGTTTTGAGCATTGTACTGAAATTGAGCGCTTCCTGCGATGTTATTGCTATCTCCCTCCTGTGCTGTTTTAGGTTCATGAGCTTGTTCCTGTTCCAAGTTGTTCTGGCTGCTGTCTCGCTCTCCTTGTTCCTGTCCCTGATTTTGTTCCTGTTGCTGTTCTTCTTCAGGACGATCATCCCCAACTTCAAATTGAGCTTTTCTCCTTCGGCTCTTGCTGTGGTAACTATGTTTATTAGTCGCACTGTCTTGGAGCGACAGACCATTGGTGATTGCATCTCTAGCACTACTCTGAGGGTTATGGAAATGAGCGTGGGAGTGACGAGCCTCTTCAGGAGATGACGGGGCGGAATGACGGGCCATGGCCTGCATAATATTGACACTGACAGAAGAACTGAGGAAAGAATAATAAAAAAAAAAAAAAAAAAAAAAAAAAACTTTGGGGAGTGGAGAGGCAATAAGAAAAGATGGGTACTTTATTACTTTTTTGAATGAGACTCGTTAGTTTTTATAGGCCTTTTAGGATTATGAATGAAAGTCGAGGTGAAATGTGTGTGAAAAGCCGAAAATAGAGTAGAAAGAAAGGAAGCAGAGACGGCGGCCAAATTGGTTTCCCATTGACAGTGGCTTTGGTTTATCATATTCCTTGAACACGGGATCCCGCGTGGCAAAAAAAAAGGAACAATGCCATGTGGGAATTTTTTTTTTTTTTCAAAATCCATTCGGGAAGTGTATTTTTGATTCTACCATGGGTTCGGTAATGTTTTTTTTAGATAACGCTTAAAAAGAAACATCATGTGTTGGCATGATCGTTGTGTCGTGAGTTATAAAATTATGAGCTAGTATCCCAGAAACTCCTGTTTACCGATAATAGATCAATCTACGTTCCAGAACTGCTCCCTCTGTGGAGGCTCGGACTTCCCTGAACTTGTGGAGCTAAACGATTTCAGTCCCACATGGCCTTCTGTCTGCAACCCCGTTTGACCATTCTGGTATGGTATGGAATCGCCTCCATGGCCTTTAAGGTGTTCTCGACGTCTTTTCTTCAACACAACTACACCCGCAGTCATGGCCACTACGGCCACTACTGTCGCAACGGACACTATCACCTGTGTAAGCGGAGACGCGTTAGGGAACGACGATAGCTCTTGACCATCAGCTGCCTCTGAACTATGCAATCCTGGGACCCCTTCAGGAGTGTGATCAGAACAGGATATGTCCGGAGAAGAATGAGTACATCGACTATTCCGACCGTGACTTGTAAAAGTGGCCAAAGGCGAAATTATGGTTGCTGCTGTTACTGTTGCGGTTGGGAAAGGAGTTGTTAGAGTAAGATGGACGCTCGGTAGACCCTTTGGGGTTTCGAATTCAGATGGTAAGGAACTTGATCTGCAAGAGCCTTTGGAACATGATGAAATATGGTTCGAAGAGGGCACTTCATGGTTTTCTACGCTTTCTTCTTCCTCCTCCTCTTCATCTTCACCTTCACCTTCACCTTCACCTTCTTCTCCTCCTTCTTTATCTCCTTCTCCTTCATCTCCTTCTCCTCCTTCTTCTTCCTCTTCTATTCTGTTACTAAAGTCATCTCGTTTACTCTTCTTTATATATAAATGCACAGGTGCACTCTCTACAATGGTTGAGGTGCCTATTGTCAATAACAGAGGCATAATAATCGTTGTCCCAAATGCTGGATAGTGCAATGGTTTAAATGCTAATGAGAACGTTTGAGAATGGAGAAAGGTATTGCGCGGGATGCGCCTTAGCGTGCTCAAATGAGATATGGCTAGGAGAAGTAAAAGTGAAAGCTTGAGGATGTGGCAAGAAGATGATGGAGCTCGCTGGCTGTGATGTTGTTGAGTAGGATTGGAAAATAGCCAACTAGGCTGCCAGTTTCTGGCCTTGGGAAGCATTGCTTGGTAAAGACTGGCGCTATGTTACACTTGCAAAGTATATTGACGCAAAGTCCCCTATCGAAGTTGAGGATTGATAGTAGGGAGTAATTTAACAGTTAATAGGTGATGCTGGTTAAAGAAGCATAGTTGAGTTGATACGAGGCGACTCATGTTCTCTATTTACAGTAAGAGAAAAAAGCAATCGGGAAAGAAAGAGGCTAATGCGTCTGGTAAGAGGTAACTGAATGAGAAGGTCTAGATATTTTTCTAAAACACTCTGGTCATTTTATATCAACGGAAGGAGTGGATCATAGTAACCTCGGTTAAAAAGAGCTCACGAGCTCATGAACCATTTATCGCTCTCGAATGCGTTGGCCTGGTCTGTGTGCAGCATGGCCCTAGTTTAACTTTTTTGATGGTTTTCGGCACTTCTCTCTGAGTACAAACGCATCAAAGCTGTCGGTGTTACGCCTCCCTGTCTGTTGAAGGCGAGGAAGCGAAACTTGCACCAAAAAAAAAAAAAAAAAAAAAAAAAAAAAGGAGAGGATGTCCAGCGGATTAATGTATTGGGCCACACAAAACCTCAAATTGGTTTGGTGTTGTAAGGGGCAACTACTAACAGCAAAATTTTATAAAAAGACACAGACTGGTTCTCCTGAATTATGAATCAGATTTCACTACTGGTAAGGAGAGGGGGAAAGGTGTTAATCAGTAGGAGCAGGGTACTCTGAGTTAAGTCCAAAGGCATGCAACTCGTAATGAATGAGGGATGTTGCATTATTTGGAAAATATCTCCAGAAATGCCTGCAAGATTAACGCTATCAAGTTAGCAAAATATACCAATTGCCCCAAAAACTATTCTTTCAATATTCGCATTGAAATATGCTAAAAAATAAAAAGCTAGCTTATTATTTTTTGTTCTTATGGTTCTGTCAAATATCGTTGAAAAGCCTGTTGGTTTGGCTCGCGTCCCAAAAAACTTCTTAAAAGCTCGATTGGTTCAAGAGTCGCACCAGGGACTAAAACTTTCTCCCAATACTCGCGCCCGAGCGCTTCATCAAGTGCCTTGGTTTCGCTCTCCGGCGTATTCCTGAAGCGGGTATAGAGGTCATGTGCATGCATCTCCGACCATGCGTAAACATAATATCCTGCATCATATCCCATAGCGATATGATATAGTTGACAGGCAGGATTAACATTGGGCCCATCCTCCAACTTGACACCAACGATGCTTTCACTCATTTCCTTCCAGAGTTGTGCGATCGATTGCTCCCGAGAGTTGGGGTCGATACTATGGACTTTAAGATCAATGGCAGTAATGGCGAGCTGTTGAGAAAACAATAGGCCTTTGAGTACTTTTCGAGTTTTGACAAGAGATTTGATCAGCTCATCTGGCAAGTTGTCGCCTGACTTGTAATGTCTACCGAGACGTTTAAGAACCGTTGGCTCCCAAAGCCAATTCTCCAGCATGATGCTAGGCACCTCAAGGAAATCCATTGCTAGCGACGTGGGGTACGGGACAACAGACCAAGAGAAATTGAATATCGAATAACGGGCTTTACTGGACATGGCATGGCAGACGTGGCCAAACTCATGAAAGAACGTGTTTGCCTATATCAAATTAGCACGAGTCGTTTGCATGATCAATGTGTTTTGAGTTTTTAATCGTACTAAATTAGCTTTTAATAATCTTCTTACCTCACTATGCTTGAGTAGCGCCGGACGATCAGCGGTCGGGCGAGAGAGATTACCGACATTGACAGCTTTAGCATTTAATGAAAAAAAAGGTAAGCCATTTACAATGTACTCTAATACACCAAGGGACACGTTTCTACTATCTTCTTCCATCACATTACCAACTGGTAACAGGCGTTCTCCAGTTTGAGACACAACAAAGCTTGGACGCAGTGGTACAACACACTGGTGAGAATATTTCCCTAGAGAATCATTGCCAAAGGGTTAAAACCATCCGCTCTCATGAAAATATATCAATTTTTTTTTTTTTTTTTTTTTTTTTTTTATCTCAAGCTAATTACCGGGTCTTGGAAAAAGGTCTGTATCGAAACACGAGCCAAAAAAAAAAAGGTTATTCATTATATAACCGCTTTAAGGCCAGATATTCGGTGAAATAACGCATGATGTAGCCTTACCGAGATAAAAATATCCAATTTTGAACGCAGAAGGATCCCTTTTGGCATCTTCTCCAGCCTCATCTTGTGCTTTCTGATCATAAACAGCAAACAAGGTCACGTCATCAGCCCAATACTTGCCTGGAATCTGTTCAAATCGCAATTGGAAGATCTTGGAATAACTATGGTAATATGAAAGCCATTAGCAACAAAACGTATTGCACATTGGTTGACACCGAATGTCCAGTCGAAAAAAAAAAAAAAAAAAAAAAAAAAAAAGAAAGGGGACCTACACTCCCATAATTTGGTCTCGCACGTGTTCGAGCTCAAAATACTCCTGGATCAACGAATTGTCAACTGCATACTTTTTCTTGAATAGGATCTCTTGATAATACTTGACATCCCAAGAATGCAGGATCCCGTCGAATTGGTTGCTCCAACCTCGCGTTTCATACTCCTGGCGCTTCAATTCAAGCAATTCTTTTTTATCATCTTCCAGTTTGTCAGAGATTGAACTCATGATATCGTTCAAAAATTCATCTACAGTCTCCGGCTGTTTTGCCATGTTGATATCCAATTGATAATGTGCATGACTCTTGTATCCAAGTAAAATAGCGGCCTCGTGGCGCAATTGGATAAGACGGTCCAAGATGGGACTATTAGTCGTGACACACACTTGACGATATGTAACAGCTACGCGTTTACGCGTCTCTGGTAAGGATGCATTCCTGCTCACGTTGAGGATATCAGGCGTCTTCATCGTCACTCTGTAGTAATTTCTGCCATCTTTTTCCATTCTGGCTAAACCTGACTTCCATGCTTCAGTGCACCCCTCCAGCTCATCTGCAGTGAGTAAGATATCAGTTGTATCCTCATTCAAGGCCTTTTGGAAATCGAGCTCAAGAGAGCTGATTTCTGATCGAACCTGAATAAGTTTTTGCTGGTCCGATTCTGAAAGTCCGGCACCATGTCGCTCAAATAGGCGGAGAGTATGTCCGAGGAGACGCTTGGTCTCTGGCTCGGCATTCAGCTTTGCTACGGTAGCAGAGTCTTGTTCCAATTGGCGTAAAATTGCATACAAGTCCTGTTAAATAAAAAGAGAGAAAAGAACAATGTCATTTTTAGAAAGCTTAAAAAAGGAAAGTTGCTAATACCCTACAAACATGAGATAAATTACCCTTCTCGAAAAAAGCCTGCGAAAAGCATTGATTGATACGCGATTTTTCCATAAGAAAAAAAAAAAAAAAAAAGGTTAATTACTGTTCAATGCCCGCTAGAATGTCTTTCTTCCTATAGAATACTCAGAGGAGAACAAACTTACGCGGACCACGCCTTCTGTAAAGACTTTTTGGCTTCTGTCGCAGCTTCACGGACATCTTTGTCAAGATGAACCTGAAATAAGAAATTAAATGACTTGAAACGTCAACTAATTGCAAATACTCGTTTACAAAAAAAAAAAAAGTCCTTCCTAGCAAGATAATCTGATATAACCAATAAACTGGCTGATGTAGGCATACCATGGCTGGGAAGGTGCATAGAGTCTGTAAAGCCGCAGCATGACTCTGATCCTCCTGCAACTTCAATAATGTATTCTGGATCGTACGCTCAGCAGGAGGAATACCGACAAGATTCTCTCCACTGGAACGAAGAATATCTTGAGCACGGACAGTAATCTCATTGAGTTCCTGCACAGTCGTTGGTAACTGGATTGGTGATTCTGACATGACTTATTGGGTTTTGAAGAATGAGGCATGAAGGATGGGAATGGAGGTGTTTCTTGATTTAAATACGCTTCTACGTTCCCACGGTCACACTTCGCGTTCAGATTTTAAGGTTATCATCACGTTCAGGGTTTTGTTTCATTGCAGACGCCCTGTCTTTAGGATGTGGGGCAATGATGGTAATCCTCATGTCACATTATACTAACCAATAACCAGGCTTCGCAAGCTTTAAGCGCAATGTGTTTCTAATCATAACGATTTTTTTTTTTCCCTCGGGTAGTAGTTCTGTTCACATGTGTTTTTAAGGACATGCTGCCTTTCCATCCTGAATACAAGCTTTTCGGCAGCCCATCGTCCTTGATCCTATCAACCTAAAGTGGCAACACTTTATTCTCCTGATCTAGTTTCGTATGTTGCTTATTCCTCTCGTAACATGCTTGAGACAAATCGGATGAGTCTTGACAAGACGCAAAGCATCCCTGAATAATGGTCCATTTGGTATTGTGAACAAATAATGTGATTGGACGTGCAATAATTTAAGATGCTGTTAGACTACAAAAAAAAAAGTTTTTTTAATATATTTCCGAAAAACTTGAATGGTCTACCGTATTGAAGATTTACCGTGTGGTCGATAGAAACGAATGTATGTTCCCTGTGAGCATATTTAATACTGCAGGAACAGAAAATATTTTATTCGCGACAGAAAACTCTTTATAAGAAAAAGAGTCGAGTATACTCCACACAGATCCATCGTATACTTCGTATGAGCTGAGATCAATGGAAGTTGTGTGGTTCAAGTTTTCCTTTTGGTTTTATGATGAATGTGGGCACAGCACAGCGAGATGAAAATCGCACATGGACATTCTGTGTATTTTGTGTGCTGTATGGCTGTTCTTGTATATTTAGATTTTCGCCATGGGCTCAGCAGGCCTTTCACTTCATTCATTACACACATAAAATTGATAAAAATATTAAAAATATATTTACATTAATATCGTTTTTTTCTTTTATGTGTGTGCATCATTCCCCCCAGTCTCTTCCTCAAACTCATCATCATTGCTCCGCCCCATCCTTTCATTTTCATCCCGCTCTCTTGTCTCTAGAAGAGCGCATCTTCTGCTGCGTTCCTCAATCCTTTGGCTCTACTAAACATCAGTTTAAATCAACACATTCATTGATTGAAACCCTGTGCTACACACTTCATAACAACTGCCCAGAGGACAATTCTAAAAAAAAAGACGGAGTCATAGAGTGCTTGTGATCAGATGTCTTCATTAGATACAAGGGGAGCAACAGCTCCTTCGGACCAGACTGTGTCAAGTCCATCCAATGGTTTAACAGCAGAAAGCACTGTGGGTGATAGCCTCCAATCTAGAAACGATCCTGGAACGCAACTCTCCTCACGCACTATAAATCAGAATCAGGGTACGCAGAGAGAAGGAAATAATACCTCGAATACAGAAAACAACGATGATCAACCTTGCCAATCTTGTGGAGCTTTTCCAGCTAAGTTTCAGTGCTCAGCTTGCCAAAGTGTACGATATTGCTCTCAGGAATGTCAAGCTGAGGATTGGGGGATACATTATCGAGAATGCGCAGAGATCCTTGCAGCAATGAAGCAGGAGGAGGAACAAGGACGGCAAAGGAGTGATGAAGAGAGACAAGACGTAGAAGGCGGGAATTCAGGATCTAGGGATCGGATAAGATCACGTCTACCACCATCAGGTAAAGATAAGCAATGGCATAGACAGCATCTTGATGTCAATTACACAATTTTAAGTAGCTGGTATTGATTTTTTTTTTTCTTTTTCTTTTTTTTTGCATATTTTGGGAAATGCTCTAGGTGGCAATGTCTTGGGGGAAGAGGCAGAAAATGTTAGGGCAGTTGCGAACCAACCTCGAAGGCGACCACGAGAGCCACGAAGACGACCTCAACTCACCCCAGAACAACGGGCAGCATACGAGGAGGCCGAAAGGATTGCAGATATGAAGTTTTACATGTTACAAATCTACAAGATTATTAAACCTGTTGTCGTTTGTATTTGTCTGAGTATTCTTTGGGTCAAGATTTCTATGGCAGGAAGCGATTACAGGTATAAAAAAATCTATGTGCCTTGATGCTTGGTGCAAGTACATGGATTTGTGAGCATAGACTGACACCACACCTTCTCTATTTTTTCATTTAAAAGGCCAACACAATCTTCATATACAGTATACAGAGAATCTCCAACCTCAACTCCATCTCAAAACTTTTTGGGATCATTGGCGAATGCTGGAATCATCATTGGCCAAATCGTTGTTGTCACTATTATTATTGTAATCCTATTCAAACGTGGGCATATCAAGGTATAGTGTTTACTATGTCAAATATTTAGATATTTAGACCGGAGTTTTTTTTATAAACAAGATGAACTGCACTGTTAACATTCCTTTTAACGTGGTACTGTGATGTAGGTTCTCATTGGATTCTTCATGATCGTAGTCGCCATGCTCCTTGGCTTCATGGGTTATATTTTAATACTGAATTTGATCCAGGTCCTCAGGATCCCACTTGACTATTTAACTATGTCATTCGCATTATGGAACTTTGCAGTTACGGGATTGCTATCTGTTTTCTGGAAAGGACCTATGTGGCTTCAGCAAGTCTATCTCACTATCATGAGCAGCTTAATGGTATGAATGAAAGAAAACTTGTATAGCATGAATCCAATCCAGCTTGGAGTCGGATCAAATTTCCTAACTTTTTTTTTTATGTTGCGTTATTGATCTGCAGGCATTTTCATTGACAGGCCTTGCTGAGTGGACCACGTGGATGTTGTTGGCTTTACTGGTTGTCTGGGGTATAGTACATGAGTGTATCTGTTGTTCAACATGCTTTATACAGATTTCCTTCATATACTGACTTTGTGCTGCTTATAAATATCGGGATTTAGACCTTATCGCTGTGCTCTGCCCATTTGGTCCACTGAAAATCTTGGTAGAGAGTTCAAGAAATCAAAATCAAGAAGTCCCTGCATTACTCTACACCGTCAATGCCGTTTGGTTCATGGCTTCGCCACCCAACAGTGTACTAGATCGTGAGGCAAATCGAGTCAAAGAACTTAATGAGACAATGGGCGCATCATTTGAAAGAGATAGCAACACTAGCAGCAGTACTGTATATAGTGGTGGACATTCACGTGCAGCAGGCAGAGAAGGTGGTGCAAGTATTAGTAGCAGCCACACAAGTGGTCCGGATCCCATGTTCAATATTGGAAGTAGTCGTATATCGCGCACCTCGTCCACCATAGCGCTAGTCCCGAATACAGCCGCAGCTCCAGGCGATAGCAACAATTTTGAGATGCGAGAACGGACACGCTCAGGGGGATCATCCACAAGCCCTCTTATAGGGCTCAATGACTCGGCTGGAAATGGAGCAGGCTCGGTTCCTAGGCAGCCACCTTCGGCAAGACAACGAGGTGATGAGCGGGATGTTGGATCTAGAAATCAGGCACAGGATGAGCATGAAGAGGATGGTGATGACGATGATGATGGAGGCTTGAAATTAGGATTGGGAGATTTCGTATTCTACAGCGTATTGATCGCTCGTGCAGCCATGTTTGACTGGGTTACGACCATGTGCTGCACAGTTGCAGTTCTGACGGTAAGTCTTTTTTCGAAGTATTGATTAACTTCTAGTACGACTTTCCATGTAATTGATTGTTGAAATCAATTTGCTAATCAAATTCATGTGGCAACTTCTAGGGAATGAACGCGACTATCTTCTTGTTGGCGATTTATCAAAAGGCTTTACCTGCACTCCCCATTTCTATTTGCTTCGGCATGCTATTTTATTTTGCTACACGTTTTGCACTGGTGCCTTTCCTGGCAGCAATAGGTCCCAGTCAAGTGTTTATCTAGAGAGAGCGACATGTCTTTTCATTATCTGTAGAATAGAGTAAGAAAAAGAAAAAAAGAAAAAAAAAAAAGAAATGAGAAAAAGATAGAGAAATATACCCCACAGTGAGTGCTTTCCTTCGCCTTTGTTATCCGTCTCAGGCTGCGTTTTCTTTGGGTTTGTAATGTATAAACATGTACGCTAGTTGCTGGACCGTGCTCTTTTGGGAAACCCAATCCATTTCATTTAAAATAATATTGATGAATGTTTATTAAGAACAGGGTTATCTATGGTTTTGTATTTTGTGCATAATATTAAAAAAAATAAAAAAAAAGGGAGTTTTCGGGTTCGCATTCACTTTTCTTCCTTGCTATTACTGTTGTTACCGGTACTGCTGTTCTTACTCACAAAGGTTTTCCGATATATTCCTCTACGCAGATCCCGGTTTAACAGAATGCTGGTTCTTTATCCACATTGATCTGGCAGTCCCTGTCATGATAAATCTTCGGTATCTTGTATGTTGAGCATGCTCTGACCCAAAAGAGAAATATCAATGGAGTAGTTTAAAAAATAGTAATTGTAATAGTCATCAAAGCTTTCATCCCATTCAGGGCTCTGTTCTGTAGAGAATAACAAAGACGATCAACTCCTGGGGGAGAATCCGCAAGGATCATTTGGTATGAGGAAGGGAGGATGGGTTGGCTGCCCGCGTAATTGGACAAACTCTTTCACCCACAACACAAACAAATAAAAATCAAGTACATATACTACATTCTACATACCAAACAAAGACCCTTCAACTCATTTCGTCTTGATTCCAAACTTCATTCTCTCTCTTTTTTTTTTTTTTTTTTTTTTTTTTTTTCTCTCCGCCCAATCTCGCGCACACAGCCGTTGTCTTCCGTCGCTTTTCGTGTCTCTATTCCGTTCATGCTTTAGGCACTGGTGTTCTTTTTATGTATGTTGTTGTGCCACACAATACAATGAAACGTGGAGAATGTCGTTTGCTCAATTTGAAATGCAAGTGAGCAAAATTCACTCACAATGACAGGACTCCAGTTCAATGTTTTAATTCGTGTTCTCTCCGATTTATAAATAGTTAAATACTCGCAGTTGTTGTTGCCCCACACACACTCTCCACTCTTAGATATTACATTACCAATTCTTGGAATCCCGTGCTCGCCATACCTGTCGAGTTTATTTTTTATTATTTTTTTTACCTCGGTATAAAAACCTATCCATCATGACATCCTTACAATACTCAAAAACCATTTTCCGTCAATTGACGACCTCTCGTCATTCTATTCTTATCAAGCCCTTCTCCACCTCTTCTCGCATTATGACCCGCTCTGGTAAGTTTTTTCAATGATCTCTTATTATCATTATTGAGCAATCATGGCATGACATGGTCCTGTCTGTTTGTCTATTTGCGTGCGCTGCTAGCGTGAAATGGAGAAGACGATTCATTTTGTCTTACTACATCATTTCACTATATTTCTTTGTAATCACTGACGTCCACTATCACTTTTTTTAATGCCGGTATTTGATAGACAAGATCCTTCACTTGAACAACACGAATCCTCAGATCCGTAAGGCTGAGTATGCCGTGCGCGGTGAGCTTGCTATCCGATCAGAAGTTCTCAAGAATGTAATGTCCCCTTGATTTTAATCACAGCACACGATCTTTAACCACTTTCCCCTCACTCCTTTTATACTGGTGGATGTGAAGCGTTAAAAGAAAAAACAACAAAGACCAAAAAAAAAAAAAAAAAAAAAAAAAAAATTGCAGGGAGAGAGCATAAAAAAGTGGGCCTGCGTGTTTTCTTCTCACGATCGGCCATTATACATTTGATAAAAACAACTAAAAACAACGCTCAGTGGGAGACGGAAAATCGGCCATCACTTTCAACTGCGATTTGATTAATTATATACTCGACAGCAGCTGGGATTAGATTTTTTTCAGGAACGTCTTACTCAACAAGTTATCAAGTACAGTTGCAGTGTTACATTTAACCCCGCATTTACTCACGGTAGACTTGCCAGCTAAACAACAATTCGCCATAGGCGTTCTTTATTTTCATTTCCTCTTTCAGGAAAATGGAGTGGGCTAGATTGCATAGTGGATGCCCTCTCATGGAATCAACAAATCCGGAGAACTATAACAGAACACATTTATTTCCCCAACAGGAACTCTACCTTTTTTTGTTTTTATTTTTAATTTACTTTTATAAAGCTGTCTGCAATGCTTGTTATTCTCATGACACGGATGAACGCAATTTGGGATGCAAAACTATATGCTTCGATATTTATTTTACCATCATCTTGGAAGAGTGAAACATTTTGTTTTCATTCCTTACTAATACTTTGTTACACACTTTATTATATGCCTTTCAATAGGAACTCGCCAATGGTGCAAAGCTCCCTTTCAACCGTGTTGTTGGTTGTAACATTGGCAACCCCCAGGCTTTGGACCAGAAGCCCATCACCTTCTTCCGTCAGGTATGAGCAACAAACACACAATCAACACCAACGTTTTTTTTTTTTTTAAAAAAAAAAAAAAAAAAAAAAAAAAACTGCCCACGGATTCAACACCGACATTTCCGCTCATCGATGAACTTCAATTGCCGCGCGATAATCTGTGGTTAAACTCAGCCAATCCGCATGCATGATATAGTGACAATGGTATTTATTACCATCAATTAATCTTACATATTTTGTTTAATATCTAGGTTGCATCCCTTGTGGAATATCCTGAGATGCTTAAGGATGAGAATGCAGAGGCTGCAGCTCGCTTTTTCCCCAAAGATGCCATTGAGCGTGCCAAATTACTCTTGAAGCACATTGGTTCAGTCGGAGCTTATTCTCATTCCCAGGGCATCCCCTATATTCGTGAGAATGTTGCAAAGTTCATCTCAGAGCGCGATGGATACCCCGCGGATGCTTCTAAGATTTTCTTGACTCAAGGTGCTTCTGCTGGTGTTCAGCTTACATTGGAGATGATTATCGAGCATAACAATGTCGGCGTAATGATCCCTATTCCTCAGTACCCTCTCTACACCGCCACTTTGGCCGTTTTGGATGCCAATCCAGTCCCATATTATCTGGATGAGTCCAAAGGCTGGGGTCTTACTGTAAGTTTCACCTTTAGTTGTGCTTCAGTATGGCTGTCTTACATGCATTCGTTTTTTTTTTTTTTTTTTTTTTTTTTTTTTTAAAAAAAAAAGTGTTTGAATTACATGTCGTCAAATAGACTGAAGAGCTCCAGCGCGCTCTCGATGAATCCATCAAGAAGGGGATTGAAACTCGTGCCCTGGTCATCATTAACCCTGGCAACCCTACAGGACAGTGCTTGACTGAACAAAACATGCGCGAGATTATTGAGTTCTGTCGTAAGAACAAAATTATTCTTCTAGCTGATGAAGTCTATCAAACCAATATTTACCAAAAAGATCGCCCCTTCCATTCGTTTAAGAAAATACTCAAGTCAATGGGCCCAGACTACGAAGGCTTTGAGTTGATTTCATATCACTCTATCTCCAAAGGCATGATTGGCGAGTGTGGTCGCCGCGGTGGTTACTTTGAGTGCGAGGGCATGGATGCCTTTGTTTTGGAACAGATCTACAAGATTTCATCTATCAGTTTGTGTCCCAACGTGCAAGGTCAGATCATGGTTGATCTGATGGTCAACCCACCTAAGAAGGGTGATCCTTCGTACGAGCAATACAAGAAGGAGTATGATGACATCTATTTCTCATTGAAGAAGCGCGCTCAGATTTTAGAAAACACATTCAACAGTTTGGAGGGATGCACATGCAATCCTGCTGATGGCGCCATGTATCTGTTCCCTCAGATTCGTCTGCCTAAGAAGGCGATCGAGGCTGCCAAGGCTGCAGGCAAGGAGCCTGATCAGTTCTACTGCTTAGCTATGTTGGAGTCCACAGGTGTATGCATGGTAGCCGGATCGGGATTTGGACAAGTTGAAGGCACTGGTCACTTCCGTAGCACATTCTTGCCTCCTCCAGAGTTATTTGATGAATTTTGCGGCAGCATCAAGAACTTCCATGCTAGCTTTATGAACAAGTACAGGGATTAAAAGAAGCTTTACTTTGTAGAAAGAAAGTGTGATCATCATCCATCACTTATTATCATTTTACCATTTTATCATTCATTCATTTTCCCAATAAACTTGACGCGTCAAACCCAATTTTAGATCATAAAAGTAAGACCTGTGTGGCTGACAGAGTTAGTGTTTTTTTTTTTTTTTTTTTTTTTTTTTGAGAAAAAAGCATTTTTTTTTTTTTTGTTTTCAGTAGCGTTTGACCCATTCAACCAAAGAGGATTCACCATGTCAGCACAAAAGACATACCTTGAGCGCTCGAAATTGCATTCCAACCCTACAGCCAAGGCTTTCTTAGAGCTCATGGAGCGCAAGAAGTCTAATCTGTCACTTGCTGCTGATCTTACTTCCAAAGCTGCATTGCTTGAGCTTGCAGACAAAGTTGGACCATACATTTGTCTACTCAAGGTGCTTAAAAAAACTGTTATTGACAGCAATTAACACAAACTCAGAAATCAATAATATTAATTTTTTCTGCATTAGACTCATATTGATGTTGTAGACGATTTTGATCAAGATTTAGTCACCCAACTTACTGCTTTGGCCAAGAAGCATGATTTTATGATCTTCGAGGATCGCAAGTTTGCTGATATTGGTGAGTTGTTTACTTCTGTATGATTATCAGCCTTCCATTCATTCATTCATTCATTCATTCATTTTTACAATCGAGGTAGCTGACATGTAGCTCTTTTTTTTTTTTTTTTTTTTTTTTTTTTTTTTTAATCGACGTTGTAAAGGAAATACTGTCAAGCTTCAGTATAGTTCAGGAGTATACAAGATTGCATCGTGGTCTGATATCACCAACGCTCATACTGTACCAGGTGAAGGTATTATCCAAGGATTGCGTGAGGTCGGTTTGCCCTTGAACAGATGTCTACTTTTGTTGGCAGAGATGTCATCTGCAGGAACTCTTGCTAAGGGTGATTATACCAATACAACAGTTGAATTGGCTCGCAAGTATAAGGATTTTGTGGTTGGATTCATTGCAATGCGTCGATATGAGGACAAGGAAGGGGATGACTTTATCTATATGACCCCTGGCGTTGGCTTGGATCAGACCTCAGATGGATTGGGTCAACAGTGGAAGCACCCCCGAGAGGTTGTGTATGAACGTGGATGTGATGTTATCATTGTAGGACGTGGTATATATGGCAAGGGCAAAGACCCGGCCCATGAAGCCAAGAAGTACCAGGAGGCTGGCTGGAACGCATACTTGGAGAGGATTTCTCAATAATAATAGGTAGTAAGAAAAATAAACTCAAGAGTCCGGGGACTGCTCTTTGAAGGAGGGATCAGCCACAGGTGCGAACAAACAAATGCTTCGCGAGTCTAAAGAAAGGGTCGAGGAACGCGAAATGAAGTAGCTTTTTTTTCTTTTTTCTGGCGAAGACTGTATACCATTTACATTTTCTTTTTGCGCATTTTCTTTTTCTTTTTTTTTTTTTCTTTTTTTTTTTTTGCCACATGACTCCACCAGCTGTCAACATGGGCTCTACAACCACCACTACTGAGGATAAATCCAAGGCAGCTGCCTTTCGTATAGGCCTTGGAGACATCACACCCAACAACTTGGGTCAATTAAAACGTTTGAACACAGTCCTGTTCCCAGTTGTTTACACTTCTAGCTTCTATAAGGAAGTTCTCGAAGTGGGCGAGTTTGCAAAGATTAGTATGTTTATTTTTATAACCACCAGTTGTTTACATTCATGTCTCGGAGTAGGAGGACATGAAGCCATCTTTAACTCATGCATTCGAGGTTCCTTGGAGTTGACTTTTTTTTTTTTTTTTTTTTTCTTTTTATTATAGTCTACTTCAATGATATCTGTGTTGGCGGTGTATGTTGTCGTAAGGAAAATGTGCCTGGATCGACGTCATTGCAGAATCTTTATATTGCAACCTTGGGCGTTTTAGCACCTTACCGTCGTCTTGGTCTAGGTATAGAGAGAACAATACCAAAGAATAACAACTGTAAAAAAAAAAAAAAAAAAAAAAAAAAGCTTACATTATGTTTTTTTTGTCCAACTTTCTTTGTAGGATCAAAATTACTGAAGCATATTCTTGAGAATGCAAAGTTACCCTCATCTTCAGGACCCAAGATCGCTAAGGTGTATTTGCACGTACAGACAAACAATGAGGAGGCAGTAGAGTTTTATAAGAAATATGGATTTGAGGTTGTAGAGAAGTGTGAGAACTATTACCCACAGTTCGATGTCAAGGATGCCTTCAAGTTGGAGAAGGTCCTGATTGAGAAGAACTAGAGCTTTTTAACTGATATTCCAGATCGATATAAAATAAAAATAAAAGCGGGCTACTCTTTAGGGATCTAAGCGCAGATGATAGTTAATGCACACATCATAAACTTGGTCGGCGATGTTTGTTTTTTTGCAAAATGTTATGGAAATTTGCGCACTAAGCCCACGGAAGCCCTCGTGGAACCTCTAAAAACATTCAGCTCTTTTTTTTTGCTTTTTGTATTTGTGTTTCAAGCTTCCTGTTTGTTATTTCTCAACCTTTTTTTTTTTGTTTTCCTTGACATAATCTCCAACTCATTCATTTAGTCTCAGCGAACCACAAAAAAAGAAAGGAACAAATTCCTCATTAGTTTTTTCTGTTTGTCGCTTGTCATGGACCAACCTCAAAGTCCCTTTTGGTAATTCATGAACGCCATGGAGTTTTTTTTTTTTTTTTTTTTTTTTTTTTGTCATGAGCTTGTCTGACCTTTTATTCTTACATTCGTCTACATACGTAGGGCTCAACCCACAATAGGCCTAGGAAACGACTATGATTTTGACGTATTTCCAATGGACATAGGTATAGGCACTCCACTTTTTTTTTTTTCGTTGGTGTTGTTGTTGCATTATTTTTTAAATGCAAGGAGTTTACAGGTTTGAAATAGTCAGGGTCTGAATGAGAAATTCTTGTCATTTAACATTTAAAAAAAAAGGAGGTCCACGCAAGAAAGCGGCCAATTCAACTGGTTTAGTTACTCAGCTTGTTATCTCCATCGCATTGGGTCTCTTCGCGCTCCTTACTTTCTGCACACTACGAACTCGTTGGGTCGCAATGTTTGCTCCTCGATCAACGCTTCGCGGCAGGTAAAAAAAAATTAAACAGTCATGGATCAACTTTTTTTTTTTGCTTTGGATGTGGGAGAGTTATGACATCTGTCTCTATGAGCGAGAAGAGGAGTGAAAGACAACAAAAGGAAGATGACAAGTAATCAAATAGAAAGTTCTTGAAGGAAAGGGTGGGAAGAAAAGAGGATGCACTGGGGATAGAACATAAATGTGCGCCTCTATACCCTGTCAACCAATCAGAAAAATGCATGCAAATCAGACGAGACATCTGAGGAATATCTAGAAGGAGGATTAATTTTTCTTTTTGTTCCTGAAATTTCAACTTTAGACACGCACCCCCTATTTTACCTCCAACATTCTTTGGGTGGATCCCAAAATTGATAAGCACCACTGAAAATGAGGTGCTTAAATGTGTCGGTCTTGACGCTGTGATGGTAAGGTGGCTGTACTGTCATGTTTATAATGAACCAATGCGGTGAATCGGCTGGCCATGGGTTCTACACATTTGATGCATATCGTCGAATAGTCTCTAGAGCTTTACAACAACCATTTGATTGATTACCTGTTGCTAATAGTTATTATCCGTACTGCTTCTCATCCTTTAGCTTCTTCGCTTCTACCATATGAGTATGAAGCTATTTTTTTGCTTAATGATCCCGGGTCTATTGGTCATCTTACCCGTGAACTATTTTTCGACTAGGGACGGTCACGATCCAACGGATCCTGATGATGGGTTTGACGAGTGGTCATTGTTGCAGAAAGTGCAAGGGACATCTCTTTTATACCTCATGACTCAATTTACCTTCACTTGGGTTTTCTCTCTCATTACTCTCTACATGATCTGGCAAACATTTGAAGGCTATATTATAATCCGTCGCGATTATATTCTCGACCGTGTCCGTTCCATCACTCATCGTACAGTTATGGTTATTGGCTTGCCTCCAAAACTTCAGAAAGATCGTGCATTGGCGACGTTTTACGAATCATTAGGGGCTGGAGAAGTTGAGAGCGCATATGTATGCCGATATGTCGAATTACTAAAGCGTAAGATCGAACAACGTGCTCACGCCTTAATGGAGCTGGAGGGAGCCTATACTTCATATTATGGCAATCCATCTGATTTCCCGGGCTATGATCCAAACAAGATAATGGCGGAGAACGATCGCTACATGACTGAAGATCACGCCACTGGCACAGCCACAGTGATTGAGGATCAACATGGCAATGACGCGAACCAACCCAAGGGCAAGAAACGACCAACAGAGCATCTTGGATTTTTGGGTTTGTTTGGCAAGAAAGTAGACAAGATTGATAAACGCAGAGAGACTTTTGCCGCTCTGGACAAGGCCGTACAAAAACTACGCAAGTTTCGCGATTTTCCTACCACCAGTGTTGGATTTGTGACCTTTGAAGAAATCCATTCTGCTGTAAATCTTTCAACCTAGTCTGTTGTGAAAAGAGATAGGCTTGAATGCCATTTCGAATACCATTAACGCTTTACACGTTTCTTATTGTTATTATTATTGTTATTATTTTTCTCCCTCGGAATATAGCAAATCGTCGCACAAACAGTCAATACAAAGGAAACACTCACATGCAGGACCATTCTTGCTCCAGAGCCCCGTGATGTATACTGGGACAACCTAAAAATCCCTCACACTGAGCTTGGTATCCGCTCAGTGGTCGTCAACACGACTGTCTTCTTCCTCATCTTCTTCTGGTCAGGTCCTATTAGTATTTTTTCGTCTTTCTTAAACCTGGAGACTTTGGAGAAGCTGATTCCCGGTGTCACCAAGGTTGCTGAGGCCAGCCCTGTTTTGAAGTCAGTGATCCAAGGTTTTCTTCCCACTCTCGGAGTAACCATCTTTCTAGAACTCGTCCCTAATATTTTGGAAGTGCTGTGTATAAGACAAGGCATTCAATCGCACTCTGGAATGGCACGTTCACTCTACAACAAGTACTATACGTTTATCCTCTTCAACGTAGTCCTTGTCTTCACAATTGTTGGAACCTGGGCCCAGGCTTTCAACAAAGTTTACCATAACTTGGGCGAGTTCACACTTCTTTTGGCTGCCTCCTTACCTCGTGTGTCGCCCTTCTTTGTCAATTTTATCATCTTGAAGGGCATTGGTCAATTTCCACTTCGGTTGTTGCAAATCGGCGATGTTTTTCGTCAGACCTTCCGTGGTATCTTCTCAAAAACGCCACGTGATTATGCTGAGGCTCGTGCACCCCCAAGTCTCAAGCATGGAGAAGTTTATGCGAATTCAACTCTGGCTTTTGTCATTGTGCTGATCTATTCATGTATCAAACCTATCATTCTCATATTCGGGGCTGTTTTCTTTGCTTTCGGCTATCTCGCATTGAAGTACCAGTTACTTTATGTTCTGTTCCATGCGTACGAGTCCGGCGGTCGAACCTGGCCTATGGTGTATAACCGCATTATGGTGGGTCTGCTCATCTTCCAGTCAACCATGCTTGGTCTTCTTATGCTCAAGCATTCGTATGTCTTGGGGTCTCTATTAGCGCCACTTCCAATTGGAACCATCTGGTTCTGGTCATGGACTTCAAGAAAGTATCGAGAGACTGCGGAGTTTATCCCTCTAGAGATGCTTCATTCAAGGGTAGCCAAGATTCAGGGTTCCGCACATGAAGCCTCATCGGCAGCTACGGGATCATCAGCCCAAGGCCCTGGACATATCTCGATTAACATGGACCAACATAACCAAAATGACCAGAATAATAAGACGCCGGTGAAGCCATCAACAAATGGAAGTGGGAACGAAGTCTCAGTAGCCAGTGCCTCTGTTACCATTAATCCAGAAGGTACTCAGCAGCAGCCGACTGAAGAAGATGATTATCCAGTTGTTCCGAATCGGTATACAGATTATAGACAACCCCCCATGACGTTATATCCTGGCGTATTAAACTCTGGAATGCGATTCTACAGTGATCCCGCGGTATCAGGACCTTTGCCGACGCTCTGGCTGCCACTCAAAAAAGAAACTCTTAGTAAGAAAACACTTATGGACGAAGAGTCTAGGATCGGCGCTCATTACTCAGACTCAGATTCGGATGATGAACATCACATGCATGAACATCTGGAGGCAGCTCTGGCTCGACCACCTTTCATGTTGCCTACCCAAGGGTCAGATATGCCTCAATCCTATGATGAGGGCGATAACCTCGTAGGAGGTGGACAGGATGAGGATCTTTCAAAACTGCCTCCTGATCTAAAGAGTAAAGCAACAATAGCGACGGCGGGGACTACAGCGAGCACATCAACGGGCTCTGCAGCAGGTCGTGCACCTCAGAGTACTCCTGAAGGTTCTCAGGCTGAGTCGCATGTAGAAGAGTTAGCAGAGACAGTAAGTCAAGGCTCTGCAGTTGAGGGAATTATTGACGTGTATTATCATCATCCAGAAAGAAGAGCGTCTAAAAAAGATCCTAATAATCGCGTGCGAACTGTACAAGGCCAGGGGTCTCATCATAGTCTTTTGAATCAACAAAAGGATACGAGTTCTAGCACCAGTGCTGGCGGAGGAGCTGCTGCCTCATCCTCGGCAGCCACAGCCTCCAAGTAAATAATTAAATGCCTGCAGTTTTACTTGGTTGATCACCTACAGGATATCATTTGCAGACCTCAATACTTTCGTTTTATTATGTACGATGTATAAATAGTCACTTGTTTGACTTTTTTATTTTAATTATCATAAAAAGAGAATTCAGATTATGTATATAATTGTCAAGTTCGAAACTTCGTCAAGACCTCAAAATGTCTCACAATATCATGTTTGCCACAAATATAAATGAATCAGGTTTTTCACATGCTGGCCCTTCTTTAATAAAAATGTTGGTAGAAGAGATAACCAACTTCGGTTGAAGTGCTCTGGGTTCTTTCTCTTGACTCACTATTTTGATTTCCTGAGAAAAATTAAGATCGAGGGGAAAAAAAAACATTATTTCTATAAAATCGATCTCATACAGTAAAAAATAAGATGAAGGGAAAAGGGATGGATTAAGATATGATATACATATATGATTTAAAGCTTACTCTAAATCAAAGTGAATGAATAAATGAGATCAGAACCCGAACATGAATGTACTCCTCTCTTTTCAAACTCTGGCGCACAGGCCTCTGAAAAGCTGCCTAATATGAAGCCATTGTCAATTAAAATAAAAAAGATAATGAATATGCCTGGCCTTCAGGATGATTTGACAGAGCCGTTTGACAGAGATATCGACTGAATGACTAGAATGACAATTGAATGAAGTCTTTTTTAAAAGTCCATCGGCTTCTGGTTGACTTTTTTGGGCTGGGCTGGGCTGAGCTGAGCAAAATTTCCTGGCGTGACTTCTTGTTCCAGAAGGGAAAGATTTTCCACTGTCGTACGAAATGAAAAGTACAAAAAAAAGTGCTGCAAAAGATCAAAAGATCATCTCTAAAGTCTCGCTCGATCATCTATCCCATTTTAGACAGCAAAGATGTCCTTACAAAAAGAAAAAAAGTGAAAAAATCAATAGATAGACTTTTTTCTCAATGAAAAGATTTTTTTTTTTACTTTTACTTGAATCCTTGTTTGTATCTAAATTATGCATTTACTATGAGTTTGTTGTTTTATATATATATGTATATATATATCTTGTCTACTTCTTGTACTTGGGTGTATCAATCTATAGATGCCATTGAGCCTTTCAATCTCATGATACTTTTTCTTTTGTGATTTGGTTTGCTTTCGTTTGCTTTATACCTCCCATCCTTTGATCGTTTTCTCTTCGCCCGTGCCAGCGGGTTCCAAAGTAGCATGACGATCGCGGAGGACCTTGTCCAAGATCTTATCAGCTCCCTTAGCCAAGAGTTGCATGGCCACATTACGACCAAGCTCGATCGCCAGCTCTACGTTTCCATTGACCTCGGCTACGGCCTCGGCCTCTGCAACCTCTGTTCCATCTAATGAAGACACCAATGCTTTCAAACGTAATGTACCCACATTTTCTGAGCCCAATTCCTTTTCCCTTGCTCTCTCTCGTGCCTGTTCTTTCTCTGATGTTGTTGATTCTGTTGACGATTCTGATGATGATGAAAAGGATGGTGGTGTTGATACATATTCAGTCCACACTCCAATCGGTACAGAGCATCCACCTTCCAAGATTTTCATCACACTCCGTTCAGCTTCACAGCGCAGACGAGTTGGCAAATGATCCAAAGGTTTAATTATCTCCAAGACCTCTTTATCGTTCGCTCTACATTCGATCGCAATCGACCCTTGACCAACAGCATGGAGCATAGAGCTTGGCGGTAACTTGGCAGTGATTCGGTGATCAAGGTTGAGACGCTGAAGACCAGCAGCTGCCAACAAGAGACAAGTATAAGGCGAATCAGGTGCATCCAACTTGGCCAAGCGTGTATTCCTATCAATGTTCACCGAAGAAAAAATAAAAAAAAAAAAAAAAAAGGTTAGCAATTATGAGAGAAGGGGCAATTCGACTTCCGTCGATGTTAATCAGCAATTGCTCTCTATTTTTGATCCTCATTTATCAGTTTCTTTAAGAAAGAGATAAAAGAGGAGGGGAAAAACATGGATCCTTTTTTTTAGTTTTCTCGTCCCCCATCAACGTTCGGCTGTGCAACGATGAGAGCGTCTAGCTCTTTTGCATTGTATAACCCTCAAATCCATTGCCGGAATACAAAATAAAATAAAACTTTGCTTTGGGCTTTTTATCTTTTTTTTTTTTGTGATTGATATTGATGGTGTTGGTGTCGTTATTAAACTTTTGTACGCCATCTTAATTCATCTACATGCATAATAAGAAACTTACACATTTCCACGCTAGAAAAAGGATCATCGATAAAAAGATACCCAGTCGGAATATAAAAGAGGAGTACAAAGAATGCAGTTAGTAATAAGAAAAAATAAAAGAGTCGGGATCAAAAAAACACAGCAGTAGGGCAATTGGTTGAATAAGGTGTATCCTCATCGACGAGAGAAAAAAAAAAAGCAATCAATGCAATATAATTAAGAAAATTGAGAGCAAAAAAGAAAAAAGTTACTTACGACGTCTTTGACTTGGACGCCTGGGCACAAACGCCTGATCTGACTGGCACGGCGAACACTGCTTGTACCAATGACATCTCCTGGACCGAAGTCCTTAAGATCCTTAAATTCGCCCGGACGCATGACAATGACATCGTTGGGTTCCTCACGTCTCATCATTGCACCAATGACAAAACCTGGTTTGACTTGAGTAGGAACATCTTTGAGGGAATGAACTAGCAAGTCACACTCATGTTTTTCTAATGAGGTTTGAAGCTCACGGGTGAAGAGCGCAGTCGTCCCGATGGAGGATAGGGGCTGACCTTGGATGTTGTCGCCCGTGGTACTCATTCTCAACAAGGGGAATGTCTTTGAAGAGTTGAGTTTCTCGAGCGCAGCCTGGACTTCAACTGTTTGAGCAATGGCCAGGGCTGACTTGCGGGTGCCGATAGCAATAGTCTCTTTCTCGGTCATTTTTTTAGGTTATGATATATTACAGCGGTGTAGAGGTAATTATAGCAACTTTGAAGTAATTTCTAGGATTGTACAGAATGAGGAAGAGGACGAGAGAGTAATGGCGACGGGAAGGAAAAAAAAAAAAAAAAGTAAAAAAGAAAATAAAAAGCCTGAATAAACTGATCTTTTAAAGTACATGAATGTCCGAACTTGTTTGTAAGGAATAGCAAAATATACAAATTTATAAAAGTGGGGAACTGTAGATGTCAAAGCCACATGCTCACAAACCAAAACCTTGTGAAAGCATGTTTAACATTAATGGAGTGAACGGGCAAAGCTAGCTTGCTCAGGGTATTACCTTTTTTGACACCAAAAAATAGAATTTCAGATCAACACTGGAGAGTGATCTTTAGAGAAGAGTCTATGTGTGTGAATGTTCTCTTATAAAGACAAATAATCAATGCACATGTTCAAAGTAGGCTCGGCAGGAGTGCCATTCACCCGATCATTCCTCACTCGCATCACAGCCAAAAACAACAGTCTTGTCCGACCTCGATTCTATTCTACAGCACCGCCACCACCCGTAGGAAGCAAAACCGTTCCGAGTACTTTCCAAGTCTTTGACCGTGAGGCAAAGAAGGTTCAGAAAAACCGCGCTGCTTCCAACGTAAAGCTGAGCCGACAAGTTGACTATGTCAAAGACGAAGTTGCATTCCGTGTAGTTGATCGACTTTTGGTATGTATTTATGAGGAAATATACATATACTCCTAGCTATTATTTTTTTCTTTCTTTCTTTCTTCTTCAGCCTCAAAAGAACTCTTCTTTCCTTTCTCATGAATGGTTAAATGTTGTCAATACTGAATTAGGATATTAAACGGGAATTTAATGAAGTCGTAGAGCTAGGATCAGGAAGTGGACATATCGCCAAACATGTTGATACGGACATGATGAAGAAATTGATTATGTGTGACATGTCTGAGGTGATGCTCAGCCGTGATGAGGAAGTCGAGTATGAAGGTATTGTCTTTTATTTATATATTTTTTTCTGAAAGAAATATGGAAGATCTCCCATCTCATGATATTGACATAATCCCTTAATAGTCCCAGTAGAAAGGCGTGTTGTGGATGAGGAGAATTTACCATTTCCAGAGAACAGTCTGGAGTGTGTCATTAGCAGCTTATCAATGCATTGGATCAACGATCTACCTGGTGCCATGATTCAAATTCAACGTAGCTTAAAGCCTGATGGAGTATTTATTGCAGGACTCTTTGGTGGCGATACCCTCTTTGAGTTGAGGTAAAATATTGATTCGACATCAAATACTTTTTTTTTTTTTTTTTTTTTTTTTTCCTCGCTTAATGGACTCATTGCTTTCAGTGATCCAGGATATTCAAATTCAAAACTTTTTACGATACTATCTCATGTGTGATGTCACTCTGTCGTGTGATAGAACGTCATTACAGCTGGCAGAATTGGATCGAGAAGGAGGTATTTCACCTAGGATCTCGCCCATGGCCGACAGTCGTGATTTAGGCTCTCTACTCTCCCGAGCTGGATTTACACTAACAACGGTTGATGTCGATGAAGTGACCGTCAACTATCCAAGTGCCATTGAGTTGATGGAGGATCTTAGGGCCATGGGTGAGAGCAATGCTGTCATTAACAGGTAACATAACATTCACTGGCTGGCTTCATTTTTTCCGAGATTGTTTCAGGTCATTAAAATGCGGGGTCGCCTGATTCGTTTGTTCCTGTAGGAGAGGCTTACTCAAGAGAGATACGATGTTGGCAGCTGCAGCCATTTACAAAGGTAAAACCAAGACGATATTGTTGTGCTGAACAGATCCGTAAATATTTTGGCCTTAATAGGGCTTTTCCCTTACTCATCTCATTTATATGACCAATCTTTTATGGTCACTTTTCTTCCATTCTAGAAATGTATGGCAACCCTGACGGAACTATTCCTGCCACCTTTCAGATTCTGTATATGGTATGTTGTTGATTTCCTCTTTTCTGTCTATCTTGTTTGTAAATGTCAAAGCCCCTGTGAACTTGTCTAGCCTAAACTTAAATCCAACTTCATAAATCTTTCGTGCAGATTGGATGGAAGCCTTCACCAACTCAGAACAAGCCTTTGGAACGTGGTTCAGCAAAACACTCTCTAAAAGAACGCTTGGAAGGCAATGACCTTACTACGACAACAAAATCTCAATAAATGATGCAGACATTACAGAGATTTGAATGGTGTGTAGCGAGAGCTGTGAATTTTTCAATGAAAATGAACATTTTTGATTCCTGAATGTGAAAAAAAGACAATAATTTGGAGCAATAAAAAAAAAAAAAAAAAAAAAAATCTTTCCAATGTCATCTTTTATTGTTTGCCATTAAATCATGTCCCGATGAAAGAGTTCATGCCTCAATGTCCCCAATGAGAATCCATTGTCAAAATCCTGGTCCCACTGATGCCAATACGAAGGATTTTTCATTGTTGATTTTTTTTTTTTTTTTTTTTGTATTTAGAGGGCAAGGGTAACCTCGCACTCGACACCAGACTCGAGGTTGATGGAGGTGAGCTGCTTGACGATCTCAGCAGGGGAGTGCAAGTCAATCAAACGCTTGTGGATCTTCATCTCATAACGGTCCCAGGTCTTGGAACCCTCACCGCAAGGAGACTTGCGAGTGGTGATGCGAAGAACCTTGGTGGGGAGGCGAACAGGGCCCTTGACACGGAGGTTCTTGTCCTTGGCACGCTGGATGAGGTCAGAGCAGACCTTCTCGAGGTTCTTGACGTTACGGGAGGTCAAGGTGATGCGAATGCGGTGGACAGGGGAATCAACCTGCTCCTCAACACCAGGCTTGGAAGACTTGTTAATGGCAGACATTGTCGACTGAGTAAATCTTTTTTACGATTAACAGAGTGAACGTTAAAGGATGAAGAAAAGAGAAAGAAGCCAACTTGGCCCCAAGCAAACACACTCTCTTATTCTTCATCCGAAAAATTTTAAGGAAAAACATTGAGCACGTGCTCAAATTCTACGTCAACTTTTTTTTTATTTTTATTTTTTGGTGGCGTTTCGCCTTTTTATCTGAAACACAATATGCTATTGTCTTTGATATTGCAAGGTATCGCTTTTCTTACTCATTGATTCCAAAAATAATCGTCAATATGTTTAACAGAGTTGAATGCCAATCAGAGTGATTGGATACCCTAGGTACTACTGGGTTCAAAAGAGAAATGGTGTTCAAAGACCATGATGCAATATGGGTACTTTTACTATTCATTCTGCCGGGCAAAGCTACAAGTATAAATAAGCAAGGTCGCAGCTGTTGTCTATTAACCCAACTTCTAATATTTCCTCAAACATTGCCCAGCCCCCCCCTCAGCACTATCATCCTACCTACTTAAAGGAAAAAAAATTAACTACACCCATGTTACTCACCGTTTCCAAGATTGTAGCAGCAACGATTGCAGTCTCGATTGCAGTGCAAGCATCCGTGGTTCCTCGTAAAGAAGCCGATGTAGCTAATGTAACGGGCGCAAGCATTAGGAAAAACAACTGGGAGGGAGGACCGATCCGTCGATGCATCGACCCCGATATGCTGGCATTGACGTTTGATGACGGTCCTTTTCTGTACACATCAGAGCTGCTTGATTATTTGGATGATCAAGGGGTGAAGGTGACCCTTTTCATGAATGGGGACAGTGCATCCTACATCGAAGATCACGAGGACATTGTGAGACGTGCTTACAGGTCTGGTCATCAAATCGGATCTCATACTTGGTCGCATGCGGATTTAACAACGTTGTCGGAGGCAGATATCGACTATCAGATGGTTAGACGTAAGTAGTTGGGGTTGTAGTAGACAATGCTAATGATTTGACTTGATTTAGCTTGATATCTAAAACCAAGACGGCTTTTTTTTTTTTTTTTTTTGTCAAGTTGACGAATCATTCAAGAAAATAATCGGTGTTCGACCAGTACATATGCGACCACCTTATGGAAACGTCAATGAGCGATCTATGAACTATCTCAACAGGCATGGCTACAAAGTGATCAACTGGTCGATTGATTCGAACGATTGGCGGTATAGAGATAATGTCCACGCATCGCTGAACGAGTACTATGTGGCTCTGGCGAGATCTGATGCAGGGGGACTGGGTCATATTGTAATTCACCATGATACGATCCCTTCAACTGTTCGGAAGTTAGTTCCATTGGTTATCGATTTTGCCAGGGAGAAGGGGTTCCGCCTCGTAACTGTGGGCGAGTGTTTAGGCGAATCTCAGAGCAAGTGGTATCGCTAGTAAGAGACAACAAACGGTCAGAAAAAAAAAAAAAAAAAGAATTGTGTTAATTGTGTAGAAGTTATATATACATTTACAGTAAATATAGAAAGCATTTTTTTTTTTTTTTATAACATGGAACGCGTTTTTAAATTTGTTGTTGGAGCCAACACATTTATGTATATCTGTATATTCCATTCAAAAAAATTAAAAAAAAAAAAAAAAAAAAAAAAAACGTAGCCATGTATAAACATAGTTCATGGCATTTCAACTGGCCATTCCGATACAGGTTGACATTTAAAACGAAGGGGAAAAATAAACCGCTAGAGTCTAAAACAACTTTCACTCATGTCTTATTGGTTATATCCATGTTTTCCTTGATGTTTAATCTGCATGTGTATGCAGGATTTTATTTTATTTTTTTTTTTTATTAGCATTAGGTTGTTGTCAAACTTGAAGCTCTTAGTCTTAAAGAAAAGAAGAAAAAAGGTAAAAAACACTCCTGCATTCCTTCTAATCTTTTTTAGGGTGTTGTTCGGTGTATCGGTGCATTGAAAGGATTTCTTTCCAAGGGTATCAAGAGTACATGATGAAAAACTGAGTAGATTAGATGAATTATTTGAACTATTTGCATTCAAAAGACTCGTTCCATCATATGCATAACATTTACATTTGCAAAACTACATCAACTCCGTGACAAAAAGGCTATTTCCTGACCCTTAAACGATCGGGAGTAACTTTCCTGCTGGTACCTTTTTTTTTTAGATGTAATACAGAGAGACTTCCTTTAAAAAAAAAAACCATTTGACATTCACATTCACATCATTCAATATACACTCTTTCTTTTGCTTACTCTCATTTGTTAAGAAGGTACAACATTGACAGCCATAAGCGTTCGTTGAACGGTGTCTTTTTTTTTTTTTTTTTTTTTTTAACTCTCCTTATTCAGGCTTTGGAACAAGAGCATGCAATGTAACGACAACAGCCATCGAAGCATCAATTCATCCTAACTGAAGAGCCATCTCATTCCTTCTCTACTTAATTCTACTTCTGACCCCATCTCTTTTTCATCCTGACTTATTCTCTCTATTATCTTTGTCGTACTCTTTACGCTCCAGCTATCAACAAGGTGTCAGCAATTTATCTTCAATATTAAAGATAATAGAGTCATCAGGGCAACTACCACATCGCTTTTTCTCTCTCTCTCTCTCTCTCTCTCTCCTCTCTCTTTTTCTTCCTTGGCACTTAATTAACAACAGTAACAACAACAGTTCACCCATCCACTATACACACAATAAAAACAACATGGGAAAGAAAGCGAAACAGGAAATGCCTTTGCACAAGGTCATCATGGTTGGTTCTGGAGGAGTGGGCAAATCAGCCTTGACACTCCAATACATGTATGGTGACTTTGTGGAAGAATACGATCCCACAAAGGCCGATTCCTACCGCAAGAAGGTCATGCTTGATGGTCATGATTGCCAAATCGACATTCTGGACACGGCTGGACAGGAAGAGTATGCCGCGGTAAGTTATATATTTATACATATATTTATTTATATCACTTAAAGAATATGTTGTTTTCTTTCTTTGCTTTGCAGTGTCCACCCTTTTTTTCTTTTTTCCTGCTTGCTTCGCCTTTTCTTAGTGCGGGTGCATTAAAGTCGAATTTGCTTGTATTTGTCTGATTGCTTACAGAGCAACAGGCTTTTTTTTAAAAAAAAAAAACCTCCCACAAAAGCCCTTGTCGACCCAAGGACGGTATACCTTTGTGTCGTGACTGTTCTGGGTTATCAGAATTGACTTCCCCTTTTCCTTCAACTGACCATCATCGACTGACCTACCAAAACCGTCAATGACGTTCTCTTTTCCCCTCTTCCTCTTTTGCATTGTTGTATCGTTGGGCCAACTTTTCTCTTGAAATCTTAATAGATTCGTGACAATTATTATCGATCAGGGGAAGGGTTCATTTGTGTGTTTTCACTCTGTGAATACGAATCCTTTATGCATACTCAAGAATTCAAGGATCAGATCTCACGCGTCTTAGATGATGACAAGGTAAAAAAAATAACAAGAAAAAAAAAATCCTGGATTGATTTTTTGCATTTCAGACTAAAAAAGGCATGCGACCAGACAGACACACTGGAATATATTTTTACTTCAAGTCTGTCGTCTTAATCTGGAACAAGAACGAGAAGGACATGCACAAAGTTGTTTATGCTTTTCAATGTTCATAGCTTGCTCTTTTTTCATGCATCCTGGGATGGATCCTATATTAAAAAGGAAACGAATGATCATTTTTATTAATTGTTGCTTTCCTATTTCTCTTTGATGGCTAGGTTCCTTTCATCCTTGTAGGCAACAAGGCAGACTTGTCACAACTTCGTAAAGTAAACTATGAAGATGCTGTAACAAAAGCCGCCGAATGGAGTTGCCCCTATTATGAGACATCAGCCAAGACTAGACAGAATGTGGATGAGGTGTATACAGTACTGATGCGTAAGATTCAACAACGCAAGGAGAATGCCAAGGATCGTGAGAGGAAGGGGAAGAAGGGCAAGTGCTTGATTCTGTGAAAGTAGAGAAAAAAAAAAAAAAAAAAAAAAGAAACTCTTTGGAATCCTTGGAATCACCAAATGTGCCATTATTATTTCTTAACAAAGAGCGTATAGTATCAACAGACAGGAACTTTATGATCCAACTTTTTTGATCACAAATGATATCCGGCATGAATACTACAAGGACTGACAGGAAAAGGATAGACAAAAAAAAAAAAGCTTTTTTTATTTTGGAGAACGCCTCAATATCTTCAAGAACAAATAAACAAAAAGAAAAAGCGAGAGAGAAAGAAAGAATTTATACCAAAAAAAAAAAAAAAAAAAAAAAAAAGCAGCATAAATGATCGGTAATAGACATGGACACTAGGCAAATGATCTGTTGACAAAGATAGAGATCATGGGAATTAAATCATATGGATCGTGTTCGGATACTTGAAAAAGGACTAGGTAATGGCTGATTCAATAAAAAAAAAAAAAAAAAAAAAAAAGTAGAAAATGGTGTTTGGTAGATTTGGCAACTCCTTTTTTTTTCTTTGAAGAAAACGGCTCTGTAAATGAGCTTACAACGTCAATATGCACAAAAAAGTAAATGAGCAGAGCATATCTCCAAACATGGCAGACAATCTACTCCATACCCAAGGTGTATATCTTGGTTATAGGTTTTTTTATTTGGGATCGGAACAAAATAATCACCATAATTAACATGAAAAGATCGAAGTGCACGCCTGTCAATCTCTCTCTAATTTGACATTTTGAATGTACAAAATTTTGAAATGGCTATGAAGAGAAGGACCATCTTCAATTCTTTTTCTAACGTTTTTCCTTTGGATGTAATGCCCAAAAACCCCAGTAGTTACCCATATTGGCCTCATTAAGAAAAGTGTAAATTTCCATCTTAATTGATAGTCTTTATGTATGCCGTACATGAGCTGTTTGTCAGGGGTTCAAAATAAAAAATAAAAAAAATAACCATTTTGACCAAACTTTCTTTCAGGTGACTGAACATGCAGGCTAACTGTGACAGGATTTCACGGAGGTCGCGTCTGTGCTGTAAAAAAAAAAAAAAAAAAAAAAAAAAAGGAAGGCGAACAGGAAAACAATGGCCTTCTTCACTTTGATCTGAGCTGTTTGGAATGAGTTTTTTTTATTTCCTTCCTTACTCTCCGCTGTATACTGTGCAGGATGAGCTTTGTCAGGTTTCGATATATCCATATTTTGTGCCCACTAGCCTACCACCAAGTATTGGTGGGGTCTTTGAGCCGAGAGATTGAAAAAACTGGAAAGCCGTGATAAAATACAGCTGTAAAAAGTTTGGCTGTGCGCTACGCAGTAGGGTTTCCTTGCTCGTGCCAAGCAAAGCCCCAGCCAATGATTTCTACTGCATAAATGAGAGTCTATTAGAGAAATATAACGGAGGACGTGAATTGCCCTAGTGATCATCTTTTTCATATTGATCGATTTTTTTTTTTTTTTATTACAACGTTACTGCTTTGAGTCCATCATTTGTTCGTTTCCTCTTCTCCTCGACACCTACATCTCGCATTCAATACAGAACGCCCGGTCCATCCGGTCGCGTAGATTCATTATAGATTAGATGTATTGGAGTAATCTAAAAAAAAAAAAAAAAAAAAAAAAAAAAAAATACCAGAAAGACAGCCGTCCTCGTTTTATAGAATAAAGCCTCAAGTAATTCAGAGGCGAGAGGTATCCATATGCTGCAGCTCCCCTTCTCTCATATCCTTGCATGCAGATTAAACATCAGTTTGAAAAAAAAAAAAAAAAAAAAAAAAAAAAAAGCGTTGGACCAATGGCTATGCGCATTTCAAATTGGCGCAGCATTTTCTGGTTCTACACACATGATTGTTTTATACCCCGTCTTCTTCTATCCTTCCACCTCCTTTTTTTCCCTTTCCCCTCTTCCATCTCAAGCTTTCCCATTTTTTATTGTTTCATCCACCCGAGAAACCGGTTTGCATCAATATGGGGGCTCCATGATGAGCCTAATTCATTTTTCGTGATTTCTTTTTATTTTTTGGATAATTTTATCCGTTAACGTAAAAATGAGTAATGGAAGTCGTCTTTTTGCTCAAACAGCTAAGCCCATGCCTTTTTTGTTCTTAAAATGGTCAATTAAAAACAGAAAAAAAAGACAAGCGACAAGGAGGAGAACGACATACAGATCTGTTCATTCTGAATTGCAGGGGGGTTTTGGCTGTATCGGGATAGACTGTGTAAAAATGTCAGATTGAGTTTCACGCCAATCTTCTTTTCTGTTTTTGTGTACAGACCGATTTGATTGGATCATTTTTTTTTTTTTTTATGCTGAGCATAGCATAGCAACGACTTGATACCATGAGCTCGGGGCATTGTTGTCCCAAATTTTCTTTTTTTATTATTTTTTTGTAATGATATCAACAAGTTAGGACGGGGGGAGGATGAACGCTGCGATTACATGTAAAGGTGATACAAATAAAACTGTTGTGCCATGGAGAGAGTTTTTTGTTTTCGTGTTTTGTCAAAAGAGTAATCAACTACAGTTGGCCTCAATACCTTTTACATGTAGATCCTACTTTCACTAAATGGCGTTGTATTTACTTGCTGTTCCAAATCAACTATAACACCAAATGCCATAAGACCTCTAATCAAAGCCGAATTTTTTTTCCCCTGTCCTAATAGCACTTTATCCCACTGTCTCAAGACACGTTACTCCTTTCCCCTGTCAACTATTCCTTCTGTTACTTCAGCATTGAATTGGTTTTATTAAAGTAAGGCAAAAACAAAAATAGCGACACCAATTATCTCAAGACAACTGCTTAAAAAGATCTGCAAGGAGCTTCACTGGTGTAGTTGCGTATGCTCATTTTCATTGATATTGATATATATATATATACTCACCCATACATATTTGCCCTCCTGATCGGAGTGATAATGAGTGAAAGTATATCTTGCGATCTTTTTTTTTATTTTTTTATTTTGTTTTTTTTATTTGTATGTATTCAATAATAATCTAGACTGTATTGAGCATTTCATTGGTAGTCTACCCAATTTTCTTTTAAAGATATCATTAGCATTCGTATATACTTTTCTATTTTTTACATGCTATTGAATCCCAAAGGCGACGACGAGTAAGTTCAGCTGCACGGTGGAGACCCTACATTTGGAGTTGGTGCAGTGGTATTTACAATCAAGGTCCGACGCTTTGTCACAAACATAAAAAAAAAAACCATCAATGGTCCAACAAAAATCACACAGCACTATAGAACTACATTGGCAGAATCAGCAACGCCAGTCGGATTTGGTTGCTCCACTCAGCGACAACGGTATCAGCAAGGGCAAAGGCAACAAGGAAAGCAACGAAAGTGATGAAAGCGGAAACAGGAGCAAAAATACCGACGGTCGATCTTTCTCCACAGTTTCACTAACTCCGATAGTGATGGGCAATGCACCATCTAACTCTTCGTGGAGAGGGTCAACTACTGAACCTAATTCTGAAAATGACAAGGTTCAGCAAGAGAAGGAAAAGCAGCAGAAGCGACAGAAGCAATAGGGACAGCAGAGTGAAGCAATATTTTGGACAAATTAGTCTCGCTCATTAATGACGCTATCTGATATAGCTAATGATGATCTTGATCAACTAGCGGCGAGCACAAGTACCAAGGGGCGCTCCAAATTCAGACACGCTTGACCATAACCCATGTGGATGCTAACGTTCAAGCTGCTACTACAATCATCATTGCTACAGTTAACAAAGTTAAAGGCGCTGTTAACTACGCCAGGATGTGTATGGTGGTAAGAATAACATAACTCTTTTTAAATCAATAAAAGCATTTCTACTTTTAAATGTTTATGACAATAGCTCAAGTATGACCTGTGCCGTTTTGCTGCAGTCTTCTTGAGTCTGTCACTACATCATCAATTCAATTTAACTCTTCAGCGTGTCTCACTCAGAGGTTGTTCATTAACTGGCTGTTTTCTTTCTTCTTTCCCTTCCCCTCCTCCTTCCCCTTCTCCATATTTTTCTTCTTTCCTCAGGCCCTTCGTCCCTTTCGTCCTCTTCATTTCCTTCCAGTTCTCATATCCATTCCTTTCACCGCTTTTCTTATTTTATTGTCTATACCTATCCGCTCTCATTACTACTAAGGATACGAGGTGCACCTGCACCAATACGATTGGCACTCGACCTTTCGTCATCCAACAATACCATCGCCACTACTACCGCCACTGTCGCTATCATTGTCGTAGTACGTCTGAAGGACTGCAGATCAGGCCTGCAGGATCGCAACCTTATCCGAAACTGCCCATTGCCACCAACAACAACAATACCAATAACATCAAAAAACAATACCCAATAGTGCTCTCTTCGTCTCTATCCTCTTCACCTGCGCAGCCATCCATATACCTTGTCGTCCACGCCCTTCATGTAAGATAGAGACTTTTTTTTTTCTTTTTCTTTTGTCTTGTTTTGTTTTCGTTTTGTTTTGTCTGTCCATTGAAGCAGGAACGATTTAAAGCTTAGTCATCCCCTTCATCTTCACAACAGAAAGCCTAAGTTGCACGCCACAGCAGTAATCCGTTATAGCATTAGTAACGGTTACTGTATTTTTATCTATTTATTTATTTTTTGAGGGGGATCAATTTTTGTTTATTGCAGATTAAATGAAGCTCAAGTAATTCAGATCTCGAGCATAAACAATTCTGGTGACTGTGCTCGTGTTCTCTTGTTCACCATAATAGACTTTGAACAATGTCCTATTGTGTTACGTTCTTAATGAGCTTTGATGAGCTTCATTATTAATATCCATATGGGCGGTGCTCGTTGAGCTTTTCCTTTATTCTCCATAATTTCATAATTTCAATCATTTTCTTTGCATTATGTGTTGTGCTTCATGATCTGACATTTATCTCATCAATTTATTTTCCTATGCGCCATGTCGCTGTTTGGCGCTGCTCTCGTGCCTTTGCCTTCCCCTTCTCCCTTCCCCTTGATTTGTAGCCCATACTCCCTACAAAAGATCGCCCTAAACCAGCACCATCCACCCAACTAGTTCTCAGCCCTACCTGAGCCAACATCGACAACTAAAACAACAACGTCATCATCAACAGCAGCATTAACGGGAACCGATATCGTAACGACCACAGCAAAATTAGCACCCGAGACAGGATGACATCTCCCGTCTCGTCTTTCAGGAACACATAACAATAAACTTGTCTTCTTCTCGCTTGCCTTTCAACATCATCATTTCTCCAACAACCATTCTCGTACCCTAGAACAATCACAACAATCGCAACAGCCACATCGCGCGCCAGAGCAACAACACAATCAACACTCTCCATCTTCAACCTCCAATTCAAACACCTCCTTTGCGCGGAGTTGTCAATATCAACATCGTCATCGTCATCGTCATCTCTTTCAGCTATTTCTTTTTCACGGTCTCCACATTCTTTTACACAACGATCAGCTCTGTTACCAGCTACTGGAATTGCGACGGAAACGGGGGCGCCAACGTCAGCTCCTCCAACATCCTCGCCCGAAAAAGCCGGTTCTATGATGAATCGGTTAGTATCTTACCATACTGGTGCTACCAGCACAAGCAACAGTAACAGCAGTTCCGCACGCTCGCCTCCACAGCCCCTGTCTCATCTCCAGCGGCCTCAGCGACGCCTCATCCGTGATTCTGACGAGGAAAGCGACTCTGGAAGCAAGAGTAATCACCCTATTGACTCCACAATGGTTGACGGTGGTAATACACAGCATTTTTCCATGAAATTAGAAAAGCAGGATTTCAGCAGCAGTAGACCATTCCCTGACCGTCCATTGCAAGAACAGCAACGAGAAAGCATCGTTGATCAGTCACTTTCAACTCAACGACCACTTGTTACAATAGCAACGCTTGAGGCGACTGGCGCTCAATCTCTTGTCTCAACTAAGCCCATTGACCAGAAAGCGGAAACGGAGTTATCAAGCGCCTCATCATCGAGTGCAGCGACTGAGATAATCACATCTTCATCATCTCAGACAGGAGCATCATCAGCACCGCCTTTAACAGCGCTTTTTGCCCGTACAGCACATAAAAGTCTTCTCTCGATAGATGTCCAAATTCGCTTGCTAACCAGTGTTTTGAAACATGACCCATTCAACTGTCCGATTCGGCGAACGACTCAAGTCTGGCAACAAATTGCACGAGAACAAGGCATTTCAGCGCGAACGTGCGCTCGCCGGTATGAAAACATTATACAGGACAGTATCTCTGGAAAAGACAAATACCTTGTGGGAACTGAAGAACAGATCGCGACTAAGAAAACGTTGCTGGAGCAGCTCCTCAAGATGATGAACCAGCCCCAAGCCTTAGTACGGATGCAGAAAAGGAAGCGCTATCGATCGGAAGAAGAAGATCGAAAGTTACTGTTGGAAGTCATTCGATTGAACCCATTCGCGCAAAAGATCGGGCAGATAGCGAAAGCCTGGGAGGATGTCCGAGATGCATTGGGAATGAAGGTCCATGCTCGCCAGTGTGTCCGGAGAGTTAATAGGATGATTAAGCCGTATCAACTTCGGGAAAAAATGTACAATGGGAATATTCCGGAGAATATGAGAGAGATAAATGATGAATTGATAAAGCAGGTCATCCAGCTGATGTATACGGGCGGACATGGCGGCGCTCTTGAGTACGATGCAGAAGAGGAGCAGTCCAATGACGAGGATAGTGCGTCTGGCGAGTCTTATTCGGATGATCAAGACGATCGGCCATTTGAAGACTCTGAGGTCAATAAGAAAAGGAAACCATCGCAAAATGAGGATGAGCTTGAGGAAGATAGAAATGAGCCTATAGCTAGCCCACTAGCGCTACCAGATTTGTCATCTCGCCTTATTATGCCCATGAAGAAAACTATGGCAACAGCTGCCACGGCAGCGATGCAGTTGCCATTGGTATCAAGCTCCTTGGAACCAACCACGGCCTTGTCGTTGGAGTATACTCCCGATAATTGGCCCAGTCGAATACCCAGTTCAAGTAGTGCTATGGACCTGAAGGAGGGCCCTAAAGATACCACTACTATAGTAATAGGAGATCATAGGGCAGCTATTCGAGCGTCTGAGCCTGAAATTCGACCACAGCATAACTGGGGATCACATCCATACTCACAAACACCGATAGCATCTATGCCACAGAACAAGGAATCAAATGCGGATCATCACCGTCCTCTGAAGTATCACAGAATAGTCCCGAAAGAACACGTCAATGCGTTCACCAACGAGCAGCAAGATTATGGCTCACAACGGCAGCCTTCTCAGAAACAATCATTTGTAAAAAACCCATCTCCAAATGAATCACCTTGCCCTATCATGCTTACTCCAATGGTCACATCTGTTACCTCGTCCTCAGCCTTTACTCATATAGGGCAAAGAGAAGGGCATGAGTTTCTCGACCCTTCATCTCCGCTCTATCATACCATCATGAGAGAATTCTGTGAAGTGAAGGCCTGTCTCATACGATTGGGTGATCAGCGGCTGCGTGATAAGGAGGGCCGCAAAAAGATGTATACCTTGATTGAAACATTACAACACCAAGTTCAGGAACAGCAGCGTGAAATCAATGAACTTCAATCGCAGATCCAGAGCCAAGATGATCACCAGCGAAGACAAGCTTCCTACAGGCGCTCTTCTCCACAATACCAACCACAGCGCTATCAACACCATCATCACCATCACCACCGTCCGCAATCACAACAGGCACAGCAACAGCAAAAAGCGTTTCAATACGAACATTCACCGCCAATACGTTCCATTCAAGAAAGACCTTTGAGTGCAGACGGTACAGGCGTAATAAGGGAAATTGAACATGACTCACAGCTTCCCCTGCCGACCGCGCTTACACCGATGATGTCTGATCACCATAATAGCGGAAGTAACAATAGCGGCCTTGATATCAATAGTAATGGTAACAGCAATAGTAGCAGACCTATGCAAGACAGAGTCTCTATGATATCCGCATTGTCTTATGAACATCGATCATCATTACGCGGAAGCAGTACAACGGTGAGGGCTGTCACGACTACCTCGATAAAGGCCAGTGGTAGTACTGGAAAGAAGATGGATGAGGGATGCTCAACGTAATTCAGCACGACTGAAAGCGCTAGCAATAATAGTAATAATAAAATTATGACGGGACATGTGCTTTCTTCTTTTTATTTAGAGTCTACGGTAATAGCGATAATGGTCTTATACATGTAAAAAAGAAAAAAGAAAAAAGAAAAAAAAAAAAAAAAAAAAAAAAAAAGAAAGCTTTCATTTTCTATTCTTTTAAACATCGCGTCCAAGGATATCCAACTTGTAGACAGTGATACGTCCGAAAAAGTCTGTGCTTGACTCAAAGATAATCTTGACTCTAGATGTTTCCTGACGCTGGTTTTCAGCAACTGGAAAGCTGTGCAAGGAGGACAGAAATATGTAACAAAAAGCAAAATAGCAGTATATAAATATATTGGAGCATAAAAGAGAAAAGAGACGGTTAGTTTTTTTTTTTTTTTTTTTTTTTTTTTTTTGGACTGAGTTGATCACAGGTCACGTCAGTTGCCACCAAATTTTAAGGTTTCACATATCTGCATTGGATTAATGTCTTCTGGGTAGAAGCGCATCATCTCAACAAATTCATTATCGTCTGTCCAGGCAAGCAATTGACATGTTTTGCCAACGAACCCTCCCTGGAACATGAGCTGGATTGTTTCAACTAACACTTTACGACCAAAGTCAACCATAATGAATTGTGGTGTGCCCTTTTTTTTTTTTTTTTTTTTTTTTTTTTTTTTTTAAAAAAAAAAATAAAATAAAAAAAGAATTGTATCAGATATAAAAAGGTAATTAAAGATAAAAAAAAAAAAAAAAAAAAAAAAAACAGTCGATAAATTGCTTATTGCTTACAGATTCAGAATTCCAGCATGTTTCTTCGTTATCATCTGTGAGGAATTGTTTGCCGTACAAGGTCGTTTCACGGTTTAGAACTGAGCTAACTCTTTATTATTATTATTATTATTATTATTATTATTATTTTAGTTTATGAGATATGAAAGGTCAGAAAGTTTCTTTTTACTCTTTTCAACGACAAAAAAAAAAAAAAAAAAAAGTAAAAATAAAAAGTGAGAGAATACAATACGATGCAATACAATGAATGAGAGACGTTACTTGATGCGACAATCTTTGTTGAGTAAGGAGGTCATGTTCAGGGTCTTAATGAAAGAGATGTTTTTTTTTTTTTTTTTTTTTTTTTTGGCGGATCAATGTACTTAGGAGTAAGATCAGAAATCGACGGGTATGTTCTATCGGGCTTCACATGGTAGTTTAACTATCTTATCCCGTGCCTGAATATTTGATCTTTACAAAAGTGGCTTTTCTTAAAAGGCTGGGCAACAAACAAGCTTTTTTTTTTTTTTTTTTTTTTTTTTATCACTTTTGGTCTTATAAAAAAAAAAGACATTTCGAATAACCATGGTAAACAGGACTATGGACCAGGAATATGAAGAGAGAAAGAAAAGAAAAAAAAAAAAAAGCAGAAAACGAGCGGGCGTTCATTCATTCAACTGTTGAGTCTGAGTTGATGCAACATGGTACTCATTTATTTACTTTGACATCTATATAATTTTTTTTTTTTTTTTTTTTTTTTTTTATAAAAAATAATAGTCCCGTGTCGAACTCTTAACGCCAGAAGGTAAAATAAATAAATAAATAAATGCATAGAGTTATATTTAAAAAAGAGGCACTGTTTACTTATGTTTATATATATATATTTTATTTTTTTTTTAAAAAAAAAAAATAGGTCTCCGCGTTGATGGTCGTCGACCTGCAGAATTAAGGAAAATTACTAGCACGACAGCAGTTCTTTCACAAGCGGATGGATCAGCTTATTTGGAACATGGAAATACAAAAGTGTTGGCAGCAGTTTATGGACCACGAGAGGCTAGACATCGGACCTTGGTAGTACATGATCGCGCCATTATTAATGTAGAATTCAATATTGCACCATTCAGTACAGGCGAGCGTAGGAGGCGCGGCAAAAATGACAAGTAAATTGGGAAAAAAAAAAAACTGTTAGAATGACTTGGTCCATTTTTTTAAAAAAAATTGAATGGTCTACCTACTAACGTTTTATTATTCTATTTTCTAAAAAAAAAAAAAAAAAAAAAAAAAAAGGCGGCTTTTAGAGATGGCTTCGTTCATTAAGCAATCATTTGAACCAGTGGTGATCACAACACTTTACCCTCGCTCACAGGTTGATATCTATTTGCAAGTGATTCAACAGGATGGCGGAGTGCTTCAAGCTTGTATTAATGCTGCAACAATGGCCCTTATTGATGCTGGAGTTGCCATGACAGATTATGTATGTGCATGCACAGCTGGATGGGTAGAACGTGAAGCAGCTATCGGTAAGAGAACTTTTTTTTTATTTTTTATTTTTTAATGTTATTAATATAAAGACGTCATTACTTATTATTATTATTATTATTGTTATTTTTTTTTAATTTATCTTGATACTCGATTAGATCTCAATCATATTGAAGAGTCATCAGATACTTCAGAAGTAACGATTGCAATGCTGCCAAAGAGCGGCAAGGTGACATTGGCACAGATGGAATCACGGTTACATGTGGATAAGCTGGAAGCTCTGTTTACGTTGGCAGGTGAAGGTTGCAAACAGATTCATCAGGTCCTTGATAGGACGATCCGCAATCGTGCTGAAGAATTGGCACAAAAGCTGGCCGTATGATATGGACATGTAGATATTTTTTGACAACAATAAATAAAAAAAGAAAAAGGACGTACAATTAGACTTTGATCAATGTGGCTTGACAAAGCACAGCTTTGCCCTCTAGAAAATGCGGAACCATGTATATCATCAATTAGCTTGAAGCTTTTGCAGAAAAAAAAAAAAAAAAAATGGCTTCAAGATCACGGCCATTAGCATCGGAATCTGCTTCAGCGCCGTCTCCGCCACCCATGCCCTCATTCATCTTTCGTGGCCATGAAGCACCCATTCATTCCCTTGAATTCCTTGCCTCCAACACATTTTTAGCTACAGGAGACGAAACAGGTTGGATTTGTATCTGGGATATTTGGAAGCGTCGACAAGTCTACAGGTGGCATGGTCATCCCGGAGCATCTGTTCTTGCGTTAAAAGCTATTCCTATTCCTATTCACATTCATTTTCACGGCAACACTACTACTACTACTACTACTACTACTACTACTACTACTACTACTACTACTACTACTACTACTACTACTACACAACGGGAGAGATCTAAAAAGAAATCACCGTTTCAAAAAGCCAAAAATGATTTTTATGAACCATTTTATCTTGTGAGTCACGGTCGTGATAATGAGATCCATGTATGGGATATCAATACAATATTGCAACAAAGCATCACAAGGGCAGGCGCAGAGCATCGTCCAACTATTCCAACGTTAACACCCACACCGGCACCGAAGCCAACAACACCACATAGTACAGATCGTCCCTTGTTCAGTTTACCTGTCAATGCATTGAACTTTTGTAAAATGTCAATTTTAGCTATTGGTGTAACGGATCCTGTACAAATACAATCACAAAATGATGAACAAAAGGCCAGCCACGAAGACCTTTCTTCTTCTTCGTCTTCGTCGGCATTGTTACCAAAAACACATCAACATATCTACATTGCCATTCCATCACCAACGACTGCCACGTTGGTGGATATTTACGACATTGTCAAACCTGAGAGGACATTTGCATCTGTTGGGGTTCAGACAAGCAGTAGCAGTAATCCTAACGGTATTCATATTGACAGTGATAAGAAATGGGGATCAGCCATGGCTATTCAGTTGTTCCAGACTCCATCATTAGCTCCAGAACTGATTTCAACAGCGGGAGTAATTAAAGCCTCAAAAACCTTAAAGTTGCTTGTTGCATATGAGGATGGGTCGGTAGTATTGTATCAAGAAGGAGCTGCTGCAGTAGATGAAGTGGAACAGAAAAAGGACAAGAAGCACAAGATGGAAGTCCTTTGGACGATCAAGTGTCACCAAGAACCAAGTAGGGGACTCTTTTCTTCTTTTTATTCATAAGGACTGAAATGAAATGCAGATAGCGAATAATTAACATGAAGACAAATAGTCCTCGCATTAGACGTGTCAAGCGATCGGCAGTTTGCGGTTTCGTGTGGATCTGATAATGTTCTGGTCAAGTATGACCTTACAGCGAATCGAGTGCAAGGGATACCGGAAACTCAGCAGGTAGCTCTGAAAACAAATGGTATTTCAGACATTCATATCAGAAGTGACAACAAGATCCTAGGGCTCGCAGCTTGGGATGGAAGGTAAATGATCAAAGATGGAAATTTGCCAGCGGATTGGTTTATACGAATTAATCAACCCTTTTATTACCATTACTGTTTGGTTGGTTGGTTGTCCAACAAAGCATCCGAATATATTCTGCCAAATCGCTAAAGCCTCTAGCGGTTCTCAAGTATCACCGAGAAGGCCTCTATGGTCTTGAGTTTGCCATGATTCAAGACGGTGTCAAGGTCCAGAGCACTAATAATAACAACGCAGCCACCACCGTAGCAATAGCTACAACAGCCGTTGAACAACTAAATGACGACGCCTCCTCGGATAGGATCAAAAAAGGGAAACAAACGGAGGTGAAAAGCAGTCGTGCCGAGGATGACGATGACGATAACGAGAATGAAATTGAGGGGAAGAGCGTGGGCAGAGATGAGAGTGAGAGTGAGAGTGAGAGTGAAAATGATGAAGGTAGTGATCTAAAAGATATGATTGAAGGTCGACGGCAGTGGTCGAAGCGGCATTGGATTGCAGCTGCAGGCAAAGAGCATCGAGTTAGTTTATGGGAGATATATTGAATATATTAAATTATAAATCAACTTGCTTGATATTCACAGCCCAAGTTTTATTACTCTACAGTGCCTCCAAATACGAATAGCTACAGCCTTAGCTCCTTCCCCCACATTTTACCCCTTGCTGTTAAAGATAAAATGCATGCAATGTCCCAATTGAAGGCGCAGCCTGGCTCGATCTGTGCGTTGTGTCGGTTATTTTCTTGGCATAGATATAAAGGAGAGACAAAATATCTCGCGCACCCCCCCCCCTTTTTTTTCCTGTGACTTCATTCCCACTCTGCCTTTTGAGAACTGTCATTAGAATCAGAAGCAATGCCTCTCTCCATTTTTGATCTACCACATATCCTAGAACAGATTAGCGTTGGTCTTTCACGACAGGACATTTTATCGTGTTCTTTGGTCTGTTACTCATGGTCTCGAGTTTTCGGGCCACTTTGCTGGCGCCACTTTGAAGCTCCACAAGTTGATTATGTCAAAGTCTTCAGTAACCCAGAATTGACTGAGATCTTCCAAAATCGTGCGCCAACCATCCAAACACTCACAATCAAATATTCTGATAAAATGTGGCCATTAGTACATTATTTTCGTCAGAATCCTGGGGTACTTTCCAACAACAGCAACTTGACTCGATTTGTGTTTGAGCTCAACCAATCTCTAAGCTATGTATACGATGAATTCAACGGACTTGGAATGATGTTTCAACTTCTGTCTATGACTGAAAGCCATTTAGTACATCTGGTTATTCATTCCTCTGGATTCCCTATTCATTTGCGAGCCCTTTTGAACGACTCACGGCAACGGTTTCCTCTACTTCGTAAGTTGCGAACAATGGAAATCAAGTCCACGAGCGTTGACAGCTATTATCACAGCTATTTACCAGCACCAAGCCTTGCGATCTTATTGAGATACTGTCCCGAGTCTCTAGAATCTTTAGTGATTGACTTTCCGATGAGAGGAGCCAATGAAGGGGTCTGGGGGCAAGACATCCAAAGTTTCTGGTCAGATGCTACAGCAACCAACATTCGACATTTGCGGCTACCAAAGATGCTTCGGTGGAGTGAACAGTCGATCATTATCCCATTTTTACGGCTGCGTTGTCCTGAGTTGAGAACGTTGGAGACGATCCCAAGTATACGAGCCTCGGAGGGAGGGGCGGTTGCGGAGGCTCTATCATTTCACTGTATGAAGCTGGAACATATGATCTTTGAGGATATTAGGCCAGAGGTGCTTCCGTTATATGCCCAGATCATTCGATCCTGTCATCAGGGACTTAGATCGCTCACGGTCAAGGGATACGTTCATGATGCTCGGGAAGTAGTTCGGGCGATTGCCCAGGGTCCGAGCGCAAGGACGATAACCAAGATCGTATGGACAGGTGGAGGAGGATTTAATGGAGGGTTGGATTTGAATATCCTTTTGGAATCGTGTTCAAGCCTAGAACGATTAGAGACCGGTGTCGGGGCCACTGGGTCGATTTGGATCAGGGATGAGCCTTTGCCCAGGTCACTGTTCTCAACATCATCATCAACTTCAACAGCTTTGATTACTACGCTTCCTGACCCTAAAAAGATTATTTTTTGGGCTTGCTATGCGACACTGACACATTTGGATGTGATATTCTCTCTGGACACGACAGTGACAGACGAAGAGCGGTTTAGGCAACAGATTGAACACACATATCGGAAAATTGGACAGCTTGAGGCATTGGAAGAGCTGCGTCTGGGATGTAACTGTCGATGTTATGGACCCAAATTGGTTAATTGTATGCATTATAGCTTCAATGCAGTGAACGGGGCACGTGAGATTGTGGATCATTTTCAATTCTCTGGAGATCCCTATGCAATCGCTGCGGCAGATGCGGTGAAGTCAGCGGAAGCAGCAGAGAAAGCAGCAACTGAAGAAAAAGAAAAAGAAGAAGGAGAAGGAGAGAAGGCAAAGGAGAAAGGAATAACAATAACAGTAGCGCCAGAAACAGAAAAAGGCTTGCCAGCGGAGGTTGATTTAGATAGTGAACATGATGTCAAGGAGAAGAGCGATGATAAGGAGAGTGACATCAAGGACAAAAAAGAAAGTGACGTAAAGGAGGACGAGATAGAAGGCGAGTCCAAGGCGATTGCTAGACGTCTCAAGGTCCGAGAAATAGCTAAGGAATTATGGGAGTCAGAATCAGACAAGGCGATCTTGGATATGACTCTGGCGACAGGAATTGGTCATTTGGCAGGGTTGAAGCGGCTTCGATTCCTGTGTGTTGCCAGGATTAAGGGCCATAGGATAGGATATCCCGAGTTGGAATGGATGCGAGCAAATTGGCCTCAGTTGAAGGAGATACGGGGTGTAAGGAATACAAGGATCGTGGATTGGATCAAAGAAAGCTGGCCAGGAGTGCAAGCATGGTATTTGGCAGTTCCACACGTTTAATAGTAATGGTTAATAATAGCATTAATAATAATAACGATATTAACAATAATAGCAATAAAGACAAATAGCGAACAGGTAGCGAGGAAGCAAGACGCGACTTGGGTGTGAGATGGATAGATAATAAGGCACGTGTTGCGCGTTGTTGATCCTTCTTATTCCCGCTCTCTCTTTTTCACCCCCTTTTGTATATGTCTGCAGTATCTGCAGTGCAGTGCATGCATGAAATTTTAGTCGTGTGCAATCGATCTTTTGGGAAAAGGCTGCACCAATAAATCAATTGCACACCCAAAATAAAAAGAAAAAGAAATCTCTTTAACATACAACAGGCACTTTTTTTGTTTTGTTTTTGTTTTCCTTCTTTTTCTTTTTTTTTTTTTTTCTGCTTTCTTTCTTCATTTTCACTCTTTTTCTTCCTTACTTCTTTTCTTCCTTTTCTTCTTTTTCTTCCACATTCAACATCGAATACCAACACATATTTAGCACCAATTGTTTGTTCTTTTTGTTATTCTTTTTTTGTTACTCTTACTCTGCATTGTTTTTTTATTTTTTATTTTATTTTTATTTTTCTTTTTATTCTGGGTGTGTGTCCCTTTTTACCCTTCTCCATGCGACTTCGTTTGATGCAATGTCTGATCAGTCTCTTTGACAACCGCATCAGTTAACCCACATCTCGGCAACATTACAATACAGCTGCTTCTTTTAGCATCTGCTTTTTTCAATTCTATTTCTTATTTTTATTTTTATTTTCTTTTTTTTCTTTTTTTTGTAAACATTCTACATTCTACATCCCATTCCATTGACTTGTTCCTCTGAACACAACAAAGCAGTGCCTATTCATATTATAAACACATTCTCATACCCTTCCTTCTACATCATACTTTTTTTTTTTTTTTTTCTTCATTCATCGCTACTTCTCATTCATCATCCTTTCATTGTCCTTGTCTTCTTTCTGAAAGTTCAGAAATGCTTCTATCTTCTATTCCTCAGCAGCAGCAGCAGCAACATCGACTTCCAGCAAACTACATCTATCATCACCGCAGTAACAACGGCAATCACCATAGCCAGAGCGAATCCTCGTCCAATAGCTCATCGACATCGTCCTCACCCACAAAGTATAACAAGCGTGCTTTACAGCAATACCGTCAGGAACAGCTCGATAGCATGTCGATCACCGTGGAGGAGTACAAGGAAGTACTCAATGCCGAGGTCTGGATTGAGATCAATAAGCTCAGGGACTATGCACGCCATGGTATCTCCAGAGAAGTGAGAGGGGTATGTTTGATTTGACAGACTTTTTTTTAAAAAAAAACTATAATTTACAAAAGAAATACGGACACACACATGAATATAATAGAAAGCAGTAGCATTTAATGTGTGTTTTTGATTGAACCCTTCCTCCAACACATACACACTCCCCCCTTTTTTTTCACAGCTTTTTTTTTTTTATTTTTTTATCGCGTGCAATTGTTCAAGATTGCTCGTGCGCGCGCGTGCGTGTTTGATATCCTGTACAACCCTGAATACTTTTTTCATCTTTTTCACTTTTTCGGATGAGAAAAGAGACTAAAGAGGAAATACGAGTACACGGAAAGAATGAAACCATTAATATGCACAAAAAAAAAAAAAAAAAAAAAAGTTCGCGTGCATCTTTTATGCCTTCCCCACATTACGATTACATTCCATGGTGTCCTGTCCTCCCTTTTTATAATATTTATAATATTTGGCTGTTGTCAATATCCCACGATTCAATTCGTCTGTTATTTTTGGTGAGGGACAAAAAAGAAAAATAAATGAGAACATGCAATGGTCGCCTGAGCAGATGAGCACGATTTTTTTTTTTTTTTTTTTTCAATTGCTCACTTGTGGGGAATCTCCAGATGAAGGAGTCGATGATATTCAAAGCAAAAAATAATTAAGCGTGTGTACTGGAAAAGGCAAAGGACAAAAGCAGTAAATGAGATTCATCTATCTGTAATCGTAACCACAACCACAACCACAACCACAACCAATTTCGGATAGCCAATTCTTTTTATGGTTTTCCTACAGCGGCAATACATTTTGGCTTCCGCTTTCTTAAAACACGAATGGCTGCACAAAAAGCAACGGGTGAATATCTTTTCCTGAGTAAAGTGAAACCCAAGATGAAATACAAATTGATTGGATTTCCACTTTATTTTCTTGTCTTTCTATTCTTCCATTACAATGTCGCGTGTTCATCATCGGATTCCCCTATTTGCCATCATCTGTGTTCTTGTTGGGCGTCAAAATGATAGTAAGGGGTATCTGAAGTTTGAATTGGAAGGCTGGGCAGTGAGATCTCGGTTCCATGGCAAAGAATTTTTTTTTTTTTTTTTTTTTTTGGCAGAAGACTAAAGGTACTACGCATGTTGCTTGTGGATCATCAATCAACAGCAACTAAAAAAAAAAAAAAAATCTTAATCTCGCGACAATTTGTGTTCCACTGTTGATTAAATGACATTTCTTGTCCGACGTGTGCGCAAACCCTCGATTGCTATTGGATTAGAACCCTGTTTTTCAATACCAGCTTCCCGTTTTTACTTTGCAGCTGTCAACTTTTTATTTCCGTTTTGATGGCAACCTCCGCTGCGCTCTCGATTTTTTTTTTTCTTTTTGTTACAAACCTGACTTTTGCTGTGATCAAGTGTATGCATTATTTCCCCTACGTATTTTTCTTTCTTTTTTTTTTTGTATGCCGCATCTTCTTTTTTTTTTTTTTTTTTTTTTTTTTGGTTGAGCTTGTTTATTTGTTATTGTCGTGTGTGTATGTGTGCAGAAAAAGTGTCGTGTGTGGATGCATCAAAAATTCCTTGTTGACGTATATTTGCAGATAAAAACACGTACAAAACAAGGATACGAGGGGAGAGGAAATAGCTCACACGAACCTTGATTCGCGTGATCTACGTCTGTATCCTAGATCTTTTTATATACTATGTTTTTTTTTTTTTTTTTTTTTTGCTAACGTGATACATCTCGATTCTTTATTACCCTTTCTTTCTATAGGAGGTCTGGATTTATTTGCTTGGCATTCAAGAAGCTGATAGGTCCAAGGAAGTCTCAACTCAGAAGCAAAAGCTTCTTGATTACGAGCAAATCGACAAGGATCCTAATGAGGTCACAAAGCGTGTCAGGGGTGAAATCTCGAGATATCTCCGAAAGACTAATATCGAGTCTAGCCGTGACATTCCTCGCCTCTTTGAAAATGTCATTAGTGCCTACTGCAACCACAACCATCGTGTAGAGTATTATCCCGCCATGGTCAATCTCTGTGCACCATTCATCTATTCTCTCAAGCGTGAATGTGATGCATTCCTTTGTTTCGAAAAGATGATCAACACACTTGGTAAGCGGATGAAAAAAAAAAAAAAAAAAAAAAAAAAAAGTGGTCGTTCTATTGTTTCATTCCCCCTCCTTTTTTTTTTAAAAAAAAAAAAAAAAAAAAAAAGCTTATTATTTTAACATTTAATCCTCTATTATTATATTTTTCTTTCTTTTTATTCCTTTGATATTTCTATGTATATCAGATGACCATTTCAGTAGTCGAAGCATTAATGAATCAGTAGCGAGCTTTATGACGCTGTTCAGGACTTGTATCCCCGACTTGTACAGCTATTTCGAGGAAGAAGAGGTCGACATCAAGGAATGGGCAGCATCAGCGTTGCAATTTGTCTTGTCTCGTGAGCTCTCACTAGAGAATTTGATGCGGTTATGGGACACATACTTTGCAATGCCAGATTGGATGGAATTCCACCCATATTTCTGTTTAGCTCTTCTAAGGCATATGAAAGAGAGTTTAGAAGAACTGGAACAGTCGGAAATTAGAACTATTCTCATGCGGTTACCCTCATTAGAAATGGATCAGGTAAAACAAAAAAAAAAAAAAAAAAAAAAGGTCGGGCATTGCTATTTTACTATATGTATATAAAAGCCTAATTCTTAACTTTTTTATTCCTTTTTCTTTACTTGCTTGTCATACGTGTATAGATTGTTAATGAAGCGTTTAACATTAGACATGAGATCCTCGAGAGACAGATCTCTGAAGAGTTTTAAACATACTTGGATAAACAGAACAAAATACAAAAGATAAAAAGGATAGAAAACAAAGCATATCAAACCCATATAAACTATCCATAATAATAAAATAATAGTAAAAAGAGGGGAAAAAAAAGAAAAATGTCCCTCTGCTTATTTCCCTTCGCTTGTATCAAAAGAACAAAGTGCCAAATTAATTTTTTTTTTTTTTTTTTTTTTATTATTTTTTATTTTTTTTATTTTTTTTATTTCTACCACCAAAGTGGTCAAAGCCCGAAGCGCAAGTCAAAGTAGTCAAAGTCGTGTGACAGGCTAGAATGATCAAAGTCGGAGCACGCGCCAAATTGGTCAAAGTCGTGTTGGAGCCCAAAGTGGTCAAAGTGGTGAGGCGAGCCTGATTAATCAAAGTCGGAGCGCGAGCCAAACTTGTCAAAGCCTTGTTGCAACTCAAGGTTATCAAAGTTGTGTGAGGCGACCAGGATAATCAAAGTCAGAGCACGAGCCAAATTAGTCAAAGTCGTGTTGGAACCCAAAGTAGTCAAGGTTGTGTGACACTAACCAGGGTAATCAAAGTCGGAGCACGGGCCAAATTGGTCAAAGTCGTGTTGGCACGTAAAATGGTCAAAGTTGGATAGACAATTTAGAATAATCAAAGTCGGAGCACGAGTCAAGTGATCCAGGTACCAAGTTAAATTGGTCAGACTCGTGTGACAAGCCAGAGTGAATTCAGAATAATCAAAGTCGGAGCGCGGGCCAAACTTGTCAAAGCCTTGTTGCAAATCAAGGTGGTCAAAGTCGTGTGACACAACCCAGGATAATCAAAGTCGGAGCACGAGCCAAATTAGTCAAAGTCGTGTTGGAACCCAAAGTAGTCAAGGTTGTGTGACACTAACCAGGGTAATCAAAGTCGGAGCACGGGCCAAATTGGTCAAAGTCGTGTTGGCACGTAAAATGGTCAAAGTTGGATAGACAATTTAGAATAATCAAAGTCGGAGCACGAGTCAAGTGATCCAGGTACCAAGTTAAATTGGTCAGACTTGTGTGACAAGCCAGAGTGAATTCAGAATAATCAAAGTCGGAGCGCGAACCAAACTTGTCAAAGTCGTGTTGGAACCTAAAGTGGTCAAAGTGGTCTGGCTCTTGATAGTTCTTTTCTCATCTTCCCTTTCGCCCTTTAATCATCAGTTTCTTCATTAAGCACGTCTTCAGCATCCACTTCGTCTTTCTCACTGTCAACTACAGGTATATCTTCTTAATCATTTCCTTCACCATAAATAAGCTCTTCCATAAACAATGCTGTAAGCAAGACACTTGACATTCAGACTTTGAATGAGTTTTTGTGAAGCAGAATAATGGAGTTAAGAAAGAAAAAGAAAAATTGTTAAATTTTTTTTACATCAAGCCACGAAGAAAAAAAAAAAAAAAAAAAAAAAGTCTCTAAAATCAGCTCACATTTCAGTAGACTACATACCTTCGAAAACATCAGAAACAACTGATGGCTATGGGTTTGAAATGCCCATGTTCTTCAACTCCACCGTGATTGCGCGATTGAGCCTGATGTCCTTTTTGTGTATTTGTAGGCGGAAATCCCGCTCAGAAAATTAAGAGGCTGCATCTGATATTTTTTAGACTGTCTTTGAAGGCACAGGACCAATTCGCCACTAAATAAATAAATGAATAACACAAAGACAAGGACTAGAACGTAAGAAACAAATTCATGAGCATAAACTTAAGCAGTTTAAAAAAAAAATAAAAAAATAAAAAAATAAAAAAGAGTCACTACTAGCATTCCCTTGCTAAGTTAACATAATCCTGATCAATTTAACACACCTCTTCGCATAAACCTCTAGAGTCGATATCCTCCTCGAAGTAACTTTGTAGCTTTGGACTAGCTAAGTACAATGTGCAAGGAAGTGCAATACTGCAAAGAATTTTAGAAACACATATAAAGATAAATATGAAGAATTGTACGTTAAACACTTCGCTTACAAGGCATCTTTTTCCGTCGACACATTTCCTCGGTCATAGTAATCCTCTTGTAAGCAAATGAGGCTTCCTAGCGCCAGTTGAAAGAGACCATAACGTGTTGGCGTCAAATTTGATAGGTCTCTCTCCTCGTTCTCCATCATATCCGTTGAGGAGTCTGGATAACCATTTATTTTGGTCTGCGAAGAATAATTGAATGAGAAACAATCATTCCTTTAATGATCACCCGTGCTATCATTAAATACTGGGTGAGAGACTGTCCATGGCAATTAGGCTACTAACATATAACCTCTATGCCACATCCCTCGAGGCTAAATACAAATACAAGAAAAAGTCAGTGTTGAGTCTCAAACTTATTACGTATCATGGCGCCGCCTAAAGTATAAATACCTACCACTTTATACGTCGCATTCAGTAATCGTTTATAGGGCTCTTTCATGTGGATTGTTCGCCTCTTGTTTGCAACTAAGGAGGCAATATCCATGATGGGGAGCTGTTGATGCTATAGACATAGACGAAGATGGCGCTCCAGCGCCGTTAGTGGGAGTCACGAATACAGTATTGCCTGAAGACTCTTCACTGGTAGAGGGATTCAGATATCCGAGGACTTAACGGATATGTTGAACTGCTGCCTTCCAGTTTTTCTTCCACAACTAGCGGCTTCAATATTATGAATAAACCTTAATTCTGTTGCGTAATTCCACTGTTCACAACGACCTACGCCAAAATAATTGTGATGTTGCACAGACAGAGTCTTATCTCTTGCACCTTCAGTCTTTTTTAGAACTCAGCGCGTTCTTATCAACCACTAGTCATTCCGTGGATGTGGAACTTGATATGACTTGAAACCATATTCTTTAAAAATCTAATTGCAGTCGTCTTTATTCTCTTTTGGATGTATTAACGAGAAGCTCTATCTTTTTCTAAGAACACTAGATTATTCCAGATATAAGAAGCATCAGTTCATACATAACATTCCTCTTTAATAACTCCAATCATAATAATATTATGAAATCTTGATTTATAATACTCAACATCTACTTTTGTGCATTATCATTGACATTCCTCCTTTCAGGGGTCAACCAGAGAGAGAAAAAATGGCAACTGAAGTCAATTTCTGGTCCTATCAATCATTCATCTCTAACAAATAGAAATGAAAGATAGGAAGAGCCAATGATAGTGACCGCAGGTGTTGAGATGTACTAACAGCACCACACATAGTAGCCACTGTAACCACTCCGATCTGTTGTTTTGGATATAATAAATCAAGGAAACCAAACATACAATTGAAAGAGAAGACTTATCTTAAAGGATCTTGGCTCATATAATTATCATTCGATTTACTCAAGTGGCAATGGATTGTGTAGTGATCAGGATGAATGAATGAATCAGGATGCGTAACCCCAACACAATTACGTTCTCTTTTTTCTTCTGTTGACTCGAAGTCACGATGACCCACGTGATAACGTTTGGAATAAAGATGTTGGGACTTTGGGAGAGAAACATGTGCTATAAAGGGAAACTGCAATGGATAAGGCAAATAAGATAGTGCAGTAAAGGAGTGCCAACGAAGGCAGGTTTGTCCTATATTGACGAAGCGTTCAAGGTGTTTCTGATATATATAATTAGTGACGACCAGGATATCAGTTGCAGAAATTGGTGGCAATGAGCGCCGCTAGTAAGAGTCTGGAACAATTTCTCGCGCCTTTTTGCATAAACTGTCGATTGAGCCAAAAAGATTGGCAATAGGCCCTTTCCATATACATATAATCCGCCTCTAAAGCGTTTGGGCCTTTCTCCACCAAAGGTGACGTGAAGAAACTCTAACATTAAGAAAAAGGAAAAAAATAAACTTACAGTCAAGTGCAGGCAGGACGCAAAACTCTAGAGAGCCGATATTCTGGAGATCGACCATCTTTCTCAGCAGCTCTTTCCTTAGAATTACTGAATTGATATCATTAGGGGTCTGCTATCGATGGCTCTAAGGCCCTCGTCAATTCATCCGAGGATCATTGTATTAATTATGAACTTCTGGCTCGTTATAAGATGTCCTCCTCGAAGTAACCTTGTAGCTTTGGACTAGTAAGTTCAATATGCGAGGGAGTCGATGTTTTATATAATGTTAAAACACAGTAGAGGGATAAATATAAAGGATAATATTAGATCGAACGTCTAAAATTCCAGCATGTGTATTTTTGGCTCATATCCGCAACCTGTGGGGTAATATCCATGCCGGAGGTCGTTGGTGCTACGGGCGTGGACGAAAGTGAGATCGTTGATATGGATGAGGACATTTCAGCGCTAGCAGTGGGAGCCACGGGTACTGCGCTGGAAGGGTTACCACAGCTGAATGAACAGCAGTGCTACTCCCGGCTTTTCTTCCATAACCAGCGGTTTCAGCTGATTGACACAATCCTATGAAACATTAGGGAAAGATCATATTGCGAATTAACTTTAATCCTGCCACCAAAATTCGTTTTTTACATCGTCTACGTGTAATGTAATTGAGTTAGCACGCACTGACAGAGGATGTCGCCTTACCTCTTACAGCTTCGTCCTCACCTAGAACTCAGTACGTCCTTTTTTAGGTTTGCGAAACGTGATCTTAAGCGCTGGCTTATTACTAACAGTGACCTGCCATTTTGAGGACGTGGAGCTTTCTTGGTACGATTTGACACCGTTTTCATTAAACAAGTCAATTACATTTTCCTTTTTGTCCTTCCCTTAATGTATTGATGAGTAGGTTCGCCTTTTCCTGAGAGCAGTAAGGTTGTTTCAGAAGTAGGAAGTATCAATTCAGTAATAATATCCATCACTAATAACCATAGTCATGACCACTATCATAAAGTCTTGGTTCATAGCGTCATAGCGTCATAGTATCCACCTTTGTGCAGTCAGAATGGGAGAAAAGATAGGCAACTGAGGGCAGTTGCTGGCTCGGCTCCATCAATCGCTAATAAGCAGAAATAAAAGAACAGGGAGAGCTGACGATAACGATCGTAAGCAATGGGACGAACTCACAGCACTACACGTAGCAGCCGCTGCGATACCCAACCAACTAGGCACCACAGCGCTGGCGTCTTGGATATAATAAACCGAGGAACTCAAAGATGTAAGAGAATAAGAAGTATACCTGTTTCATAAAAGTCTGACTCACCTAAGCATCATTCGATGGTGGCTACGGCGCTTCTATAACCTATTGGCACGATGCCACAATGATTATATGATTAAATATATGTTAATATAGATCCGGCCACATCCGCTCCCATGCGCTACTAAGTATAAATCCAATGAAAAGGCAGAGTTTTATCGAGGAGATAAGAAAAGGCAGAGTTTTATCGAGGAGATAAGAAAACGCGCGGCAAGCATTGTAAAGTTAACCCAGAAACTTGGTACGTAAAACCAACGCGGTTTTTAACGTCCACCAATTTTAACATATACCGCTCCGTTTATTCAGGCTCGATACTGAGAGCTCTGAAAGATGGTTTTGCTACAGACTTTTTATGAGGCGAGGGATGCTTCACAAGCGCAACGCACATTCCATATGCAAGCTCGGTATCAGGTGATTTATTGGTTTTCCCATGTGTATCTTGTCCACGGAGCACAGAGATTTGAAGGGTTTGCATCTCTCCGCCTTGAAGCTTTTTTTTAATTACATCACGACCGCTGTTGCCATGACATTCGCGCTTTCCCATCGGACATCATTGTCTTCACCACTTAGGGCAATGGTGACATACTCCTTTATTAGGGTTCTTTCCTCTTCTATTAATCCTTATCCTTCGCTACTTTCTGCGACGACGACTGCTGCTGCTGCTACTACTACTACTTCTACTTATACAGGATATCAACGTCGATCTTTTGCGTGTCAAATTCGACACCCTACCAAGCTTGGACAACTTCGTGCTAAATTCCGGAAATTTGGACAAGGCCATATTGAGCTGGATATAAATCATTCAACAGGATTGGCACTTTTGACGCTTTCAAATCCAAGTAAACATAATGCATTAACAGGGAAGATGATGGCGGAACTAGCAGACTGCGTGGATTTTCTAGAAGGAGCAATCAGATTGAATGGTAATGGCAGCCCTAATGATAGTAATCATGACCAAATAACAGGACAGCAGGGCTGGCCTCAACTTGATCGAGATTCAGGATTGGTATTGAAGAGTGCAGGGAAATTGATCTCCGATAATAAATTGAGTCAGGAGCATTTGGAGACGTTACAAGGGTTAGTTGGGATCATTATCACAGGCGCGGATCAAAAGTCATACTGCGCTGGTCTTGGTAAAAAAAAAAAAAAAAAAAAAAAAAAAACTGTTAGACTTTTTTTTTATTTTTAAAAAAAAAACCATTTTCAGTTATAAAAGGAAAAGGTGATCTAATGCTCTGTATGAATATTTCTGCCTTGCTTACTTTCTATTTATTTATGCTTTCCAAAGATGTTTCGGCTGCAAAGACAACGTTATTAACTTCTCAAGCCGGATCAGAGATGTCAGCCTTGATGGTTTCAACCTTGACACGGTTCATGCGTCTTCCAATTTTGACGGTAGCGGCGATTGAGAAGGCTGCTATTGGAGGAGGAGCAGAGATGACTACCTTCTGTGATCATCGTTGCATGACTGAGAAAGCCAAGGTGCAGTTTGTACAGACTCAGATGGGTGTCGTCACTGGATGGGGTGGGGCCAGCCGATTGATCCATATAGTGTCCAAGAGTCAAGCTCTTCGAATGTTGGCTGCTGCAGAACCCATTCGTGTTCGTGGGAAGAGCAATGAAGATGATAGTGATAGACATGATGGAGATGCTCTCGTGAGTGGATTTGCTCAATGTATTGCACCAGTAGGAAAGGCAGTCGAGACAGCGACGGAGTATATGCAGCAATACGTTTGGGAGAGGAGACCACCATCAACAATAGCAACAACAGGGAATGGTAGTGGTGGAGGTGCTGCTTCTGATGATAATAGTGCACGACGATGTGTAGCAGCGGTCAGGGCTATGAAGGAGATTGTTAGCTTCGGGCTAGATCATGATCAAATTGAACGTGTCTCTGAGTTGGAAAAGGATCTGTTCAAACGGTTATGGGGTGGACCCGATAACTTGGCTCGAGTTGAAGCCACATTTTCCAGCAAGAAATGAAAAGTAATATTTATATAGAGAGAGAGGGAGAGAATATCCAATGGAAAAGATAGACATTTAGAAATCCATAGACATATAATGTAGCCAGGGAAACTATCAGATATAAAGTATAATGTATAGATATTTTTCGCAACTATAGCTATTATTATCATTAATTCTATTATTTTTATTGTTATTCTATTTTTTGATATTAAACTCAGCCCTGAGCCTTTAACTTGGGAGAGTGATGTTTTTCTGAGAACTGTTCTGTTACAAACTCGGCAGACTTGATGGCTCGAACAGCTCGAGCATAATCTTCGAGTGCATACATACTCATCCGAGGACCACCATGACCTGAGTGCATGAACTCATGGATCTTCCAGCCACATTTCTGACTCATCTCCCGTGAAGCCTCAATAGGGACAATGGTATCCAAATGACCACAATAGGCGTTAATGGTCATGCCCTCTGGTAAGGACATTGCCACTTCTGCTAAATCAAACCCGACATCAGAGACACACATCTGGATCTCTGCGTTATATCCATTTGAATGCTGTCGATTCTTTTTTAAAAAAAAAAAAAAAAAAAAAAAATAGAGTTTGCGGGAGAGTGAGAAGAAGATCGAAAAAAAATTGATCAAGATGTGCTTACTGTAATAGTTGTAATAACGAATCAAAATATGTTTTTTTTTGTGCTTACCATGTCTTGAACTAATGCTGGTAGGACAACTTTGTCAAAGGAATCTGAGAATTGAACAATAAATGGATCGGCGCTACTTTCATCAGTATCGCTCGCATCATCATCACCCTCATCTGTCCTGATATCATCTTTGCTTTTCTTGGTCCTTAGATTAGCAACGCTGCTGTCGCCACCCTCTATCTCATCTTCACCAAATATACTACGCAGATCCCTGTTACTACTATTGTTGCTGTTATTGGGCAAAGGTCCCGAGAGCGCATTGCTTGATGAAAGGACCATAGATCCTAAATGGTTCATTAAGCTAGTGACAGCCCATACTAATCGTTTGGGGACATGTTTTAAAAACTTGAATGTTTTGCTGGTTGTCTCGGGACATTCGTTGAATGGTACCCAGGGAGTCAACAAGGAGATGGGGCCAGGAAGAAGTCGATCACTAAACAGATGAGCCATATACATAATGTAGTAGATTCCACAAGAATGACCCATCAGTCCGAATTTTGCGCCAGGTGAGATATGATCAACTACTGCGAGCGCTTCAAGGCAAGTATGGTGAACGCGTGCATTGATCATCCTCTCTGAAGAAGTAGACAGACAAGAAGTGGAGGAAGAAGGCGAGGATGGTGATGATGGAGGTGATGACGATGATGTGGAAGAAGCGACCTTCTTTTTTCGACGATCTTTATCAAAGGATCTACGCAAGAGTGTTATCTTCCTATTGATGTTGTTACTGCCATTGTTGCCACAGCTCTCATCTATCTTGGTACTATCGCTCTTGCTGTTGAGCTCTTTTTCGGATACGGAGTTGTTAACGGTAGAAGTATCCACATGGCTTTGATGAGAGTGATCAACAGCTACCGTTTTTGAGATGGATAATTGCTCACAAGCTGTGCTCTGAAATGTGGATGCTTCTAATTCTGGTGCTTCTTTTGATTTTACACTTGTAGCTATTGCTGTTACTACTGCAGGCGTATTAATAGTTGTCGTAGTCATGGCGGTAGTAGCATCAGTAGCTGTAGTAGTAGTCTTTTTTTTTTTATATTTCCGGCGACGCGCTGGAAAGAGTGATGATGATGAAGATTTGAAAGGATCTGTAAATGCTGTTCCTGGACGATCAATGCTGATCAGTTTGATATCAAGACGAACTGCCTGTGCGTGTAAACTAGCAATCTGTCGACTACTTCCTCCCAAGCCATAAAAATATAGAACGGGGGTCCCTGTCTTCGAACCGCAAGTCGCATATGAGACTGTCCTCCTGAAACAATATAAAAAAAAAGGAACACACCATGTTAATTCAAAACAAAACAAAATAAAAAACAAAGGGCTGTCTCTTATTTTTTATATTTTTGTATTACCCTGATGGAAGGACAATAGTTTGTTGAAATTGTGGAGAGTCTATGAGGGCTTTAAGACGGCAGCCGGTGATTAATGGAGCAGTAATAGGCTCCAAATATAAGTCTCTTGGGATTGATAAGTTGAGCTGATTTGACATTCTTTTAGATTTAAAAAGAAATGAGATTGAATGAGGAAAAAAAAAAAAATGTGACAGGTACGATTTTGAATGGATGGATCGGAATTAAAAGTGAATGGGAATCGTAAAAAAAAAAAGAAAAAGGGAAAAGAGAAAGAGAAAGAGGGTAAGGAGGACGAATAGTCAAGGAATGAAGACAAGGAATGAAGGTGAGAAGGAGGAAGAGGTGAAGAAGGTGAGAAGAAGACAATACCAAGAGACTAGGATGCTAAACAATGCTAAGCAACGGGTTAGCAATGATTAGCATGGATGCTAAGCAAAGTAAGCTATTAAAAATCTTACTTGGGCGCAGTGCAGTGTAACCGAAAGACCGAGAGGGGTCAAATTATAACAATAGCGCTATAGGGCGACAGGGCAGTAAGCGATGAATGTTTCGCTCCGTCTGCTCCCTCCGTTTTTTAATAAATAGTTCGTGAGCTTTTTTATTCATGGAAAAAAAAAAAAAAAAAAAGAACCCATAGCCATGCATGCAATCACAAATCTCTGCATGATGGCTCTGCTCTTTTTAATAGGTGGATGCTACTACATTATTACCCTAATTAAATTTCTTTCAATCAATGAATTGTAGGCTACGAGGAAGACGACATGAGCAGTCTGTTGGAGTCCATGAAGAAGCATCTGACGCACTCTTGCGGCGACCAAGGTTACCATCATTACCGCGGTTTTTGTGCCCATGATTACGGTGATGGTGGTGATGATGATCTCGTTCACATCCTGCCCAAAGTAGGTTGTTCTTTTGACAGGCCCTCATAAGTGGCTCGGGCAAGGGCTCGACCTGACGCCAGCCTGCACCCCAGATGGAAGCCTTCAATGCGATACAATCATCTGTATCACGATATGAACGAGCTGAGACAGGCGGAGGGGGTAATTCTGAAACGAACATGGCCCTCTTATTCTCCTTGTTGCTTTTATTACCCTTATTGCCAGGCTTCTTATTATTACTTTTTGTACGAATAGAGCAATTTGTTGCTGTCAAACAGGTAGAAGTGCGGCAGCAATGATCTGGAAAAAAGAAGAACTTGTCCATCTTAGGCCACGCATGCGACAAAGGGTCCACGTTTCTGTCCTCCTCTCTGTCTTTGACTTGATCGTTATCATCATTATCATTTCCATTTGAGCCAGAAAAAGAAAAGACTGATGATGATGCGCAAGACCGGCTATCAAGGACGCCTTTATGGTTAGTTTGACTACGTCCACTTTTTTGAGATGTAGGCCTAATGGTTGTAACAACGCGTGTGGGACTAAGTGAAGCAGGATTTGAAATTGTCATTGGAAGGATGTGTGAGAGCGTTGGCGGAGGCAAAGTCTTGTTCTTGCGGATCACGCAGGGTTGCTCACAATCCTTTATCTGACAGGGTAAAGAGAGATTAGAAGAAGAGGAAGAGAAGGAACCACATGGGGAAGGAAGCATATTCTGTTCCTTAGACAGGGACAAGTTTGCCAGAGAAGTTACTAGACAATCAGCATCTTCAGAGGAAACAGAGGAGACAGTGGGTATCTCGATTGCAGTCATGGATGCATGCCGCGTGTGAGAATAAAATACAGTTTTGTGATGATACTGATGCAACTGCTTCAGGGCTTGTTGCTGTTGTTGCTGCAATTGCTCACGAAACTCTCGAGAGTTCCCATGGGTCTGGTATAAGCGCTGTTGAAAGTTGCTGTTATTGTTATTGTGGACTCGTGTACAATGTGAGTGAGAAGCAGATGACTGAGGTTGATAGTGATGGCCGTGACCATGACTATTCCCATGCTGTTGGCGGTGGTGATGAGAACCACCGTACCCTACGTCCATAGTGTGAAGCAAGGACGTTTGAGTCGAATGAGAGTGATACAGACCATTGTACTGCTGCTGTAGGAATCGCGTCCATCCATCAGTCTGTTGTTGGCCAAAGGCTTTTTTCTCTGCTAATGGATTTGGATTCGAGTTCAGAAGGGGCAACGAAGGGATCCGGATCGCAGGCCGATGATGATGACAGAACGTGAGGTGATCATGTTGGGCAGATCCATCCGGATGATCACAGTCGTGGAAATTGCAACAAGCCAATGCATCAGCTTCGCGACATTCATCAGAGCAATAAAGGCTTGCTTGCTAGAAATTTAAGAAAAGTAACCATAATCATGAGAAACGTTAGTTGAAAAAAAAAAATGTATTCATAGACCTGGTTTCTTTATGTGTGCAAGCACTTTTTTTTTTAGGACCACATCTTTTACTTACATGTTCGCAATGGAAATGCTTGGAGCAAACAGCACACCAGTTGCAATCCATAGTAAAAGATTCTGATGGACAAATATGTCTTTTTAAAATAAACCTGATAAAGATAAAGAGCAAGGTAAAGAGATATGTGATACCTAAGCTCAAATGGCACGTACAAATAGCTCACTCCTGAAAGAGTAAGTAAGTGAAAGCGGAGGAAGAGAAAAAAATATATACAGCAAAGACCAAGAAAAAGAAACAAAAATGAAGAGCAGAATGAAAGATTAAAAAGCAAAGTGAATTAAGCACTTGTTAATTGCAAACAAAACCAGTTGTGTAAAGAAAAGGGGAAAAAAGAGGGAGCTGAAGACGGAATACAGCGAAAAGGGCCAAGGTCAAAGAAAGCAGTGATGTCTTTCCTGATAACCGATGCCGTCCCCAAAAATGAGTACCTTAGTGGTGACATACACCCAAAAAAAAAAAATACACATTTTACGCCCACTCTAACGTTGCATCCTGATTGGTCACAAGAATAGTCGACCGTGGGGTACCGGATGCCCAAACCCCTTTTTATTTTTATTTTTTCGGCTCTCATTCCCACCTCCAATCTGGACATGGCTAGATTGAGATGCTGAAACATCTTTAGGCCAAGACGAGAAAAAAAAGTACTTGCTCTTTTATTAGGATCTAGTTAACATTTATTAGCACGTGTATATGTCCCATAGAAGAAGAAAGAAAAAGAGGTGTTTCGAGCTAAATGCTAACCGAAAAGTGGCAATATTATGACTCTTGCTGTTGCTGCTTCCGCTTGCCATCTAGAGTCAAGTAGATTTGCTTGAGTTGTTCCAATTGATCACTACTAAAGTTTTGCTGCTGCATAAATATCCTCAAAGTGTTAACACATTGTGCTGCCTCTGCAAAATCCACAATCGGCTCTGGTTGAAACGCCGCGGCGATAGGATCCGCCAAGCGCATTGTGAGCGATGCTCTCGCTGGTGTGACTAGTGGTGTGGGTCGAGTCAAATTGCTGCTCGCGCTATTTACAGGTTCAGAGACCGCCCCAGTGGCATTAGTTGAAGCAGCAGCGGCGGTGACGACTGCAGCTGATGTGGGTGTGCTCAGCCCTAAATCGGTTAATGCAGCAGTTCCCATTACTGGTGTAGTAGCTGTCAATGGTAGAATTGTGTTCAGTTGTGCTGAAGCTGGTAAAGTTGTGACTGTCATTGATGATAATGCTGCTGTTGTTGTTGCAATGGACGAAGATCCCTTTTGATTGTTTCGCAAGCGAGAGGCTGTCCGCTGTCGCTGGTGCCCCGGCTGCGATCCTGCACCTGTTGCAGTAGATCCGGATGAGGAAGGATTGCCATAGACACTTGCAAGGACCTCCATCTGAATCTCTGGAAAGTCTGCACCGCTGGCATGGACGCCTGACTCAACGGTGTTTCGAGTGTTTGTATCGGCGGCGCGAGAGGCTTCATGCTGCCCCAGAACCTCTTCCATTGTCATCATTTCGCGACTGCTTTCAGCTTGATCAACATCCATGCTTGTTGCAAGCTGCATATCAACATCTACTGGGTGTTCATCATGGTTCATACTCGTAGAAGACGGGTTGAGAGAGTGAGTAGGGAGGGTGGTTTCGACAGTATTGTGGTCATCCAATGATATTGCGACTACCCCTGCTGGCTGTCTTGATCGCTCCTGTGGCGCATTGATGGTATTACTACCACTACTGCTTGCACCTGCGCGCTTGCTGCTGAGAGCATTGTTGGTGTTAGGGGTGACGGGAATGATGCGCATAGATTTTTGGACAGACGCAGCCTTTAAGCCATGCCTAACTTTGAACTTGTTGAGCCATCCATCCGAGAACTTCATCTGGGTCTCAGGAATATTCAACAAGTCTCTCAACTCCTTTCCACGGTTGATAAGCATTGAGTCCGTGATGACAATCTTGCGTTTGTTAGTTTGAATAAACTCGGCTAAAAGACGCTCCAGTTCAGGAAACACAACTTGTCGATGCCGTTTAGCCATAGGGTTAGCTAAATCACGACTAAGTCTTGATTCGGCCTGAGATTTTAATCGCGAGACAGTGGATTCATCGACCTTAATGTCATATCGACTGAGAATATAGGCAGCAACAGACTTGTTGGTAAGTCGGCCGGATCGCTCTTCTTCATCTCGCATAAAGACGCAGATTTCGTATTTCTGAGCATCGTTCAGAGTCATACGTTTCATCCGTGGTTTGCTAGCCTCAGTGGATGGACCAGCGCCAGCACCGGTAGCAGCAGCAGCAGTAGCAGTAGTGACAGCATTGACATCAGCCGAAGCTGAAGCCTCTGGGTCTGTGGTTTCATCAGTCCCTGTGATGGCCCTGTCATTAGACATAGTCATGAGAGCATGATTGCTGCTAATGGTAGTGCGGTCTGTAGCAGACTGTTCAGACAGGCCAGTGTTGTTGATGCCTAGGTCCATGAGCAATAACGCGTCGTTTTTAAGCTGGTTCTTAGGGAGCGGGATGGAGTAAGCAAGAGAAAAATTGTATGAAAGCCGGTGTGTAAAAACGGAGAGGGGTGCGGATGTCGCACGGATGCACTCCTTAAGTGCATGCATGCGACCCTAACATAAACGTGACAAAACATTTTAATTCAGAACACACCTCTTTTTGGACGCCATGTAATTCAGTTCCTTGTCAACATGCATGCGCCTGCATCCTTGCGCTCCAAGCAATCAGTGAATCCACCACTCAAAAGGACCTATGGCAAGCGATCATCACAATCTAAACAATCAATTCTTGAATCTTCAACGCCATACGACCGTACTCAATTCAATTGGGACAGACTTGAGAAAGAACGGAAGGCACGCATTGAACGAATCCAGGCACACCGCGCTCACCATCAACGACTACAGGCCCCAGAAACCCAAAATAAAGATTCAGAGTGCTCCTCACCGTCATCATCAGACTTCGAAACAGCGGTGGCGAAAGCGAGCTTATTGTACTCTGATCCAGTATTGATCGATGATGACGATGAACTGACATTAGCAGCATTAATAGGATCTGATAACCAAGGAGAAAGATCCAACATTCAGAATGCTTATTCGATACGAGGATTAAGCCCACAGCACAGCGCTCACTCCCTGGGGAGGAGACAACTTTCATCTTTCGAAACAGCCCATACCCACTGGATAGATAGTAGCTATGATAACCAAGGTTCCATGACAAACATCTGTTCAGCTCAAGATTCGGGTTTAGAGGTAGGACCCCTACCTTTAAGGGAACCTGGTGGTGGCGCTACAGCTCGCTCCTATATTAGGCAGCCAACTCCGCTGCGACCAAAGGATATACAGAGTTCTTTAGTATCGGGAAAGCGGACGGAAAAGCCTCTGCCCTCAACGATGTACACTCGATTGGACTTAGCCGCGCAGCGTAAGGTTATATTTCAAGAAAAGGCTTTCTTTGCAGAAAGAGATAGTGTAGACGATCAGGATAGCGAGAATGAAGATGAGAGCGATAGTGACGAAGTCTTATTCAGGACTCCATCTTTTCATATATTGCAAAGGATGAAAGAATTGCCAAAGCTGCGTGTTCCTGAGCCTCGGGTCAATCCTTTTGGGTTCCAGACATTGGTTGAGCCTGAAGAAAGTGAGGGAACGAATACAATCATAAGCGGGAGGCCCGCTGCATCTGATCTTTTGCCAGACAAACTTCTGCCCAGTGAGCAAGAAAATCCATTTCTAGAATCTCCAAATACCAAAAAATCCATGGATATCCTCAACAGGCGGGCGCAACAGCTTAGAGAAGTGGAGCTTCGTCGTAAATATAACAATATGAATGGGCTCATATCAGCAGAAAAGGATGGGGAACTATCTTTAGGGAGCAGACTTATAGATACAAACATAATGCAAAGCACTGTATCAGAACTATTTAGTGTGAATATGGGCCTATCTAAATATGAGCAACCTAGTACACCGCCGAAAGTAAGCTCACGGATTGTCACACAGGAGTCACAGCGCCTAAGGGACGATACAGTTCAAGATGACTGTGTAGACATTGCACTTGGAAAGAGGATGTCTTCGATTGAGATCACGCCGCAACGACTTTTCACAAAACAACGCAAAACATCTCCCTCCTCTCCTAGCAACTCAATTTTGTCTCTATTTCCGGCATCTCCATCACTTTCGGACTTGGAGGAGTCAGAGTCTTATTTGGACGATGACACGCCTCCAAAACCAATCGAACCATTACTGAGCAGTGATATACCCGCAGTCGGACAGGAAGACCGTGGTGTTTTATGGAAAACAGCAGCCCTCCGGCAAAGAGTGCCAGATTCTTTCTCAAGTTCATTGTCGTCATCATCATCCTTATCATTGTTTCCATCGCTATCGTCCTCATTATTATCATTACCATCTTCGGTTACAGAATTATCACTCTCGCAAGAAGCTAAACTTCATCCCTCGGCTCCTCAGCCCTTGCCACGGCTTTACCGGCACAAAAGCTCGCTTGTAGCCCCACGGAGATCTCAGCTCACCAAAGTTAGCCGTCATTCACCATCTAAACATGGAGTACGGATCGAGAGTGGGAGAGAGCCTCAACTGCATGACTTGCCTCATACCGCTTGTAATCCATTCCGAGATGTCACTAATCAAAATATACTTGAGCAACCGTCATGTGAGTTGAAGGATCCTTCTCAAAATCCACTATCTTCCATCCAACAGCATTCTTTGCCGATATCTACTGTGTTCACGCAACCGTTGTTACAGCAGCAGCAGCTAGAACGCAAGATTCGATCCTTGAGACGGCCTCCAGCGGTGTTAACCAGTATTCGAAAATCAATATTTCAACCTACTATGGATGATCTCATCTCTATATGTGATCAAGAATTCTTTACTCAATTTCACGGTCTGGATGATGTTGGTGAGAATCAAGATGGCGAAAGAAGCGACGGATCGAAAGCGTCATTATCGTCATCAGAAGCTCGCAACGGACATGGTATCTTGGACTTTGATTCATTGCTACCAAAACGTATGCTTGAATCATTGACCAAGATTGGCGAAGCAACTTACTCAGAGGTCTACACAGTGGAACTGCCAATTCAAAAACAAGCGGGAAAGAGCATTTATGACTATGACCATCGTCTTCGGGACCACAGCAGCTATAATGACTCTACATTCTTTCAATCACCAAGGCTTAATGCCTATATCAAAGAGTCTATGAAAGATGATTTACTATCCATACAGTCGATTCAAATGAAGCCAAAATTGGTTATGAAGGTCATACCATTCAACAGTAACCGAGAAAATGGAAATGAGAACGGAGACGGGTCTGTATCGGGAAGTCGTGGACGCAGAACAAGAGGAGTGAAACCCGAAACAGAGTCAACAGAGCTGCTACTTGAGGATATTTATCGCGAAGTGATGGTGTCGACGCAAATTATGCATGGTTGGAAAGGGTTTATTGGGAGCTTTGGGTAAAGTCAAGTTAAAGTTTAATTGTATTCTTTCAGTCAATGTAGCAGGAGGAAAAAAAAAATTTAGTCTCGGGATTTGCTGATAGCCTACTCATTTTCTAATAACAAAATAGCGCACTTGTGGTGAGAGGAAGATACCCGAAGACATTTCTATCGGCTTGGAATCAATTCCGGAGGCAGAATGGTACTGAAAGCGAAAGACCAGGTATGTTATCTGGTTCTCTCTCTTTTTTTTTCTGTCTTTTTTTTAATATATAAACATGTTTGTCTGTTAGTCATGTAGGATGTAGAGACAGTGATAGATAGAAGTATAAAAGCTTATAATCATATACTCATATCTTTTAAAAAAACGTCTTGAGTGTAGATAAATATACAAAAGATCAGCTGTATTGCATCATCCTTCTTCCATATGGTGGTATCGACTTGGAGCACTGTCCACTCGCCAATTGGCAGCAAGCATGGAGTATCCTTGCACAGGTGGCAGCATCGCTGGAATCCAAAGAACAAGCGCCATTTTGGTTTGAACATCGAGATCTACATTGGGGAAACATCCTTGTCAAGGACACTTCTCAAGAACGGCTTATGTTTCCTATGGGAGATAGTGACCCCATATTAGGCCATGATCTGAATGGTCTTGATGACGCTCAAAGCAACCATAATCCAGCAATAGCGACGACAAGGACAAGGGTAACAACGCGAAGCATTCCTACATTCGGGATTATTGTTCAAATGATCGACTTTACGTTGGCACGAGTTCAGGGAAATAAAGGGAACCTGATTTACATGGATTTGGAGAAGGACCAAGAGTTCTTTAGGGGCCAGGGCGACTACCAGTATGATATCTATCGCAAGATGCAGAAAGCTCTCAATAAGGACTGGGCAGCGTCTTGTCCAAGGACAAATCTTTTTGTAAGTTGACCTATTTTTTATTAAAAAAAAAAAAAAAAAAAAAAAAAAAAATTCATGTGACAAACTGAGGTAACTAATAAGTGCGATGCTCTTCTCCTGGTGAATAAATGGCGTTGAATCCATCATTCAAGTGGCTCCATTATATTGCGGACAAGTTGCTGACCAAAAAGTGTCTTAAGAAACCTATCAAACAATCTGCTATAACTCCTGCTACCACGGCTGTCACTTCTATAACTTACCCTCAGTTAAGAGCGTCAATGAGTGTGAAAAGGACATCAAGATTAGCATCATCACTGTCTTTGACTGGTGTTAATGAAGACATTGACAATAACATGACCGAAAGTTGGTGTTATGAGCGAGTGCTAGCAGTCTCCAAGATGAACCTTGATCAGTTGGAACTTTCAGGCCAGACTCCCATGAAGACTGTCTTGGATATCTTGTTTCCTGATCAATCATAATCCACTGGATACAATACGCCTAACTAAATAAGGACCTAATAAAGTGGTTGAATCAAGGCCCCATTTTTAATCACATTGCCCTTTATATATAAACGATCCATGATCTGCCCATCGTCAAGTCATTGGTTATGATAGACGACGAATACATTGAGAACATGTAAAATGAATGAATTGCTTTTATTAAATGAGTAAGCAGCTTAGGATCAAGCCCTTATTTCTACAACTAAAAGGTCCCATTTTCCCATTGCCCCAACGATCAACGCGACTATACTATTAAATTGACTAAGTTGATATATCCAGAACTTAGAGAGTGCACCTAAGGCATCACTCCACGCAATAAGCACTCTATCCTTAAGGAGTTGAGGCATATACTCGCGAAAGATTGGCATTTTATAGAAAATAAAAAACAATAAAGCAAAAAAAAAAAAAATGTAAGACACTAGAGTGAATGGCCAATGGCATGGTAAAGCCAGGTCATATAAAGGGTGCCTAATATTTATCTTCCCCTTCGATGTGATCAAATAGACCGTTTGCTCATACTGATCATAAGCAACTCGGTTGTTGAACCCGGGGTTTATTTTTTTTTTAAAAAAAAAAAAAAGACATCAAAAATTACAAAGATATAAAAAAAAGTTTAGTTTATTCTGAATATTTATTATTCTTAAAAAGAAGAGAAAGAAATGAGAAAAAAGAAGAAAAAAGAAAAAAGAAAAAAGAAAAAAGAAAAAAGAAAAAAGAAAAAAGAAAAAAAAAAAAAAAAAAAAAAAAAAAAAAGCGAAAAGTGTAGAATGAAAAGCGAAACGATGAAGAATGATGAAAGTGGAAGATCAGGAATTAGATCTCTATAATGGGAAATCACGTGGACCAAGAAAATATATCGTTCATCCCCGACAACATTAGAAATAAATACCACAAGCAAAGCTTCATAATATTCCTATATAACTTTATTACATTTGTCGACTATAGCTTGTATATATAATTGGTTTTACCAGCTGCCGTTAGCACCACGAGGCAAAGTCCAGACCTGGTTCGACTGGGTGCCGCTAGCAGAGCAAGGGAATGCAATCAGTTTGGTACCATCTGAATAGTTGGATCCTGTGATGTCCAAGCAGTTGCCCGAGGCTTTGTTCTTGACGTTGCCTGTGGATGTGACAGTCCATTGTTGAGTGACTGATCCTGCCTGGCAAGCATTCAGGACCACGTTTTGATAGTTAGTGCCAGAAACGGGCTGGGTATCAAGACAGTAGGTGTCGCTCTTATGATTAGGGTCAAATGCCAATGAGATTGTATCGTTCTTGAATTTCCAGACCTGATTGCCTGTGGAATTGCAAGTCCAAAGAATGATAGGATTGTTCTATTCATTATAATAATTACAACAACAACAAAAAAGAGTCTTTAAGCGATACTTCAGGCAATCGAAATAATGTCGTGCGTATCCTAAGAAAGAGAGAAAAGGAGAACTTACAGCAGAGACAGCACTCTTGTCGTTATCCATGCATTTTCCAGAGGCCTGGTTCTTGACAATGTCTGTAGGGAAGAATGGCTGAACGCTAGCTTGAATGGTCTGTCCAGTCTTTGCTTGAGCAGTGTAGTGCAACTGGACCGTGTTCGTGCCATCCATGGTGTAGGTTCCCGTACCTTCAGGCACAAAGAACACTCGAATCCCATCTGGATAGTAAATCTGGGGAGCAATTCGGATCAATCCTGGAGCTGTGATCGACGTATCCGCCACCCAAGAGACCCAGTACTTGGCAGTTGTGTCTTGGAAATAAAGTGTCTTCGTATCACCTGCAGTGGCCTCAGCGTATGTTCGAGCATAGAGGCGCGCCAATTCTGGGTAGGGCTCCACAGTATTGTGGTTCCACAAGTTCTCATAGGCCCAACCTTGCCACGACTGCATATACCGATCTGCCTGTTGAGTGGCCTCAAGAATCTTAGCAACACTGGCAGCAGAGGTGTCCCAGAACTGGAACTCGGTTAACATGCCAGTTGTGCGAAGGCGAGTGGCATCCTTGATACGGTTCTTGATTGTCGCCTCGATAGTAGACAGCTGGGGAGGGTTGTAGTAATGGTAGGAATGTGCGGTCTTGGAGCCATCTCCACCAGGAACATTTTCGAATCCGCTCAAAATGTCTAGAAATGATAAAGAGGATGAGAACAGAGCGGTTAAAAAATTAAAAAAAAATCGTTTTAGCATGATTCTTTTGCCCTTTAGTGTCATGTATGAGGTTGTCATACCATAAGTGGATCCTTCAAACATGACAATGGTCGTTTTATCAACAGTGCGAATGGCAGCGTTGCCTTTATTCCAAAGTGGCTCCATATTACGGGCCGCCTTGCCTGGGACCAATAGCGTTGGGTCTGCTGCATGATCACCAACCCATGGTTCTAGGAAAACAAATTGAAAAAAATTAAAAATATAAAATATCAGTCTTTGATTTTTTTATTTTTTTTTATTATTTTTTTATTTTTTTATTTTTTTTATGTGATTCATTACCGTTCATCAAGTCATAGCCCATAACTCCTGGAAGAGCGTTGTAGTTGGTTGCCACAACTTTCCAATAAGCTGCCCAAGCGTCTCCGAGGCCATCATAGTTATTGTACAAGCGCCCGAATGCGTTTCCTACAGCATAACTCAAGTAGGAGAGAGACCAGTCAATGGAATTACAGTCTGAATCCTTGGGGACCCCATTGGCATCCACAGGGAATGGAGCCGCTTGAGCGTAAGGGAAACGATGAGCTGGAATAACCCAGTCTGTCTTGACGAACCACTGTTTCGAAATAAATCAAAGGGATTAATAACTCATGCAACGTGTGACACGCTTTTTTTTTTTTTTTTTTTTTTTTTTTTTTTCCCACGAATCTCATTGAAAAATAACAATTAAATAAATTAAATACAATTCCCTCTTACCAATGGTGCTCCATGTCCGCAAAGCTGTGGTGCCCATACGTCTTGATGTTGGTCAACGAGGGTATAGATACCGTTGTCCTGAAGCTTCTTGATGATACCATGGGTGATATCAAGGTACGTCTGATTGTACTGCCCTCGAACAGGCTCCACGCCAGCCCAATGAACACCTAGTGAGGATGAGATTTAGACGCACAGACAACATGAATGGAATGCTCCAACGACTAATTGCATAAACTTAAAATGTTATGTGGATTATTTTTTTTTACCGAGACGAACGATGTTGATGTTCAAAGCTTTCAACACCTCGATATCCTTGTCAACGATAGACCACGATGGTACAAACTTGTTCACATCATGGTGCCAAGGGAAGCTCTTCTTGACCATATTGGTTCCATGGAAGAAACGCGAACGGCCTTGAGCATCGATAAAATGTTGGGTCGTTGGATTGACGCGCACAATCTTGGAGAGCTCAGCTTGCGCATCTCCTGCCAACAGTGCTACTGACACGGCTGCCAAAGCGGCTGAAATAGATAAAGTCTTCATCCTCAGTCAAATAAAGAGTGATAAATAGAAGGGAGTGGTGGATCAATCAAGAGTTGATCGTAGGTTGGGGTATAGGATAGGGACAAAAGAAATTAATCTAAAGGTCGAGCTTCTATGGCTTGTGGTATAGAAAAGAAACAAGAAAAGAAAGAAATAATGAAAACATGGAAGGATCTTTTTATAGTCTTTCATGGACTACGGGAGGTTTTTTTTTTTTTTTTTCCTTGGCCCCGGCTGGAAGCGGCGAAAGGAAATGCACAGTTTGGCCGTTTGGTACCTGAAAACCACGCCCCTGCATATGAACCCAGGACAAGCAAAGAATATACTTTACAAAGAATACCTATCCCTTTAGCACCAAACCAAAAGAATAGGAAGAAGCAGAAGTAAAAGTAGAAACAGAGAAAAACGGTCTTTTTGTTTGTTGCCCAAAGGTATCTGGTGTTTTGATCTCTCTCTCCTTTGGAATGTGGATTGACAATGATTGATCCGGCTTCATGGATAACAGACAGTTAAAAAATAAACAGCATAAACATAAATTATCCAGTGTGAGAACAAGAAGCAAACTTTTCGTCCTCATGATCATAATGGGAGAAAAAAAAAAGTTCGGGGCAAGAAGAGGCCCAAGCAACATTATACTATAATGAGCTGATCACTTTGTACCACTTGTCCCCTTCTCCCTTTTCCCCCTTCTCCCCCTTCTATCTGGTGCCTTGTCTACCAGAATGTACGACACCCCCTTATTTCATTATTTTTTTTTTTTTTTTTTTTTTTTTTTGTACGATACACAATTGAAATGGTGCTGCATGATTGTGGAATCAAATTGTGAACCGATCCTGTTGTGCTATTCGCCGCTATACACAATATGTCATAGACTTGAGCAGACCCTGCCTGGGGTTTTTGGAGCAGTTAAAATGATGCTGTCGGAGTATGATTGCATGAACAGAGCCTATTCCCCCACCACATTCACATAAATCCTTCATTCTTTTATGATTGCTTGTTCATCTAGAAACATATACGCGCAATTTTACTCACCCATTGCTGAACGCATAAGGTACGGAAAAAGAGGAGAGGATGGAGGAGAGGAGGGAGTGGAGTCAATTTCAGCCTTTGTCTTCATCAAATTCTACATTAGTATTCCCTTTAGACAACATGGGTGTAACAACAAACAACGTCTGGACCAATCTCAACCAAAACAATGTTTTCCTTTGGAATTTTGGTTGGTCAAAATAAAGCCGAGATCTTCGACATTTAAATATTTTCAAGATAACAGCATCATACCTTGGCTTTTTCGCGCTAAAGAAAATCGGAAAAAAAAAAAAAAAAAAAAAAAAAAACTTACATAAATCTAGAAGCCGTTCAATTTCAATTAGGTTGAATTGTCTGCCATGCTTTTTCTCCAGATTAATGTGGAGAAGCTCTCGAAATTTCTTGGGCGTAGTCTTTTAGTTTTTTTCATGCTCCTGAGAGCCCTTCGTTGCGATTTGTCAGGCATGATTTCCTTTTCTGGTTTGTTCTATCCTTCTGAAGTTCTGAAAAAGTCGCGGTTAAACTGTTTGTAAAGCAGAATTCTCTTCTCACTCTTCACATTTTTGGTGTATATATTTTCGTGGAACACAGAGATGCCTTCGTGTGGTATGAAAAAAAAGAAGACCCTTAAGCTTCCATGAAGAGTTCAAGAATACATGTCACGAGATCTGTAGATCCTCGCTCGACCCTAACCTGTAGTAGGGAAATGCCCACTAGCCTCATCGTTGGCTTGTTACTTCTCAAGATCTCTCTTGATTACTATGAAAAGCACGCCACCAGGTTACTGCTGAAGCATGTAAAGAACCATTAGTTATAACTGTCTGCGGTTTGATAGTTTTTGCTTGCCTCGGCTTCAGTTGAGAGAACTAACACAGCGGGAACAGGCTCAACTAGCTTCTCTACTACCTTTACTACTACCTCTACTACTTTTACTACTTCTTCACTACTTCAGTTCCCTACGCCAAAACGATGTGCTTTTCATGACCGCATATGTTGTGATGACAGCGAACTAAAGATAATAGATAGAACTTGATTTTCACAAGGCAAAAAGCAAGACGAGAACGTGAAATTTTGTAATGACTTTTCGATTAACAGAAAACAAAAACATCAAGGTAAAAAAAAAAAAAAAAAAAAAAACTATAAAAAAAGCAACCAAAGTGTCTCTTTTAAGGTCACTCATGGTATCTTCTTTCCTTTCTTATTTTTCTTCCCTCATCTGATTCTTTACATCATGACTCTTTCAACGTTCGCTCAGATATTTGAAATTCTATCATCAGCCACTCTTCCGTGGAACATTGGAGTTCAAATGACAGCCACCGCGTTACCTTTTTTACTCCTCTCTTTGGCCACTAACTGTACTCTTCTCCAAGTCATCTCCAAGCCTATAGCTTCATTTGGCTTCGTCACTGCCAGCCTAGCTTACCTTCCCCCAGCGGCCCCCAGTACTGCTCCTACCCTTCTTACCAACGCAGCATTCTCTAACTTTACAGAGTTCCTTAGGAATGTCCCTGTCCTTGGCATCTTCGGATTGCTTTTGGATCAAATCAGGCAGCTCCTCCACCTTTACACCCATGTTGCACCCACAGTATTTTTTCGTTCAACGTATTCAAAAGTTCTTGTGGCTGGATCTGTTTGTGGTTTTTTGGGTGATGTTTTTTTGATGTTTGACTGGGGGTTTTTGCCCGGTGTGGCTTGCTTCGCGTGTGGCATTACCGCTGCCATGGTCGCGTTCGTACTCCATGGACAGAACGGATATGCTGCGAAGAAGGGAATGATGTTCGCCCTTGTTGTGGATATGTTTTTTATCCCTTGGTTGTTCCCAAAGATCACGAGCAAGGTCATGAAGATCGCTGTAAGTCTTTTTTTTTTTTTTTGAAATATGTTTTTTTTTTCTTCTATATTTCTCTATCATCCTCACCAACTTCTTTGTGAATTGATATATAGTTGACTTTTTACACGCTGCTGCTCAACATAATAATAATAACAGCATGCGGAAGCTTCAACAATGGTCAAGGCTATTTCTCTGAAAGAGTTCTAGGCGCAGTATTATTCGTGGCTTCGGATGTGTTCACAGTCCGCGATAAACTCGTCCAGAAGTCAGTCTGGAATAGTTTTTTCGGACTGCCTCTTTACTACCTGGCTCAACTTTTCCTTGTCTCTACTCTTCGAGGTCAGCATGTAGCATCGAATTGAATTCAAACGACTCTGCTATAAAAAAAAAAAAAAAAAAAAAAAATTGCATATGAATGGTTGTAATAAATAAAATGAAGAAGCTTGTGGCAATACAGTGTCATCATCAAATAAATAAATAAATAAAGCAATCAAGCAATCAATAAAAAGACGATTTCAAGGTAAATGTTCTATTACTTGACTGGATGACATTTTATTTTATATTTTGTATTTACTTAATTTGTTAATAGCAAGCCAGAAAAACTCATGTCAATAGTGAGGCGAAAGCCTTGATTGCTACCCGTAACCCGACAAAGAACACAGAATAGGAAAGTTATCAGAATCTTTTTTTTTTTATATTTTTAACTTTTATATTATTACGAAAGAAATCAGTCCCTAATTGGACAAAGCGTTTGATGACTCTCCGAAAACTTTCTTTCTTTCTTTCTTTCTTTCTTTATGGATATGACAGCCATAACATCATCTTCATCAAGTTTAATGCCTAAAAGGAAATTGAAAGCAGAAAAAAAGCTAAAACGCGAATTGTTTGTTACAGTTCAGAGTTTGTGTAACCGACATTCCTAGATTAGTTCCTTACTAGATCTCTCCACCAACTTTTGGTTATGCTTTCAAATGAGTTGTTTCATTTATTTGCATATTTCATAATAACAATAATAATAAAAGTAGCTCTAGTCTACTTTTTTTTTTTTTTTTTTTTTACAAGTTGAAGTCTCAACTTGCATAACCTCATCGTCCCTTAAATGTTCAAAAAAGCAGAATGAAAAAAAAATGCCACCATGCAAGAAAAAAATGTAGGACAAAAAAAAGAAAAGGATTTGTGGGGTATAGTATACAACAGTCAAAAATGACAGATAAAAAAAAATTGAAATGAAAAAAAAAAAAAAAAAAAAAAAAAGTTTGGAAAGGTATACACGGAAGCTACAACAATTTAAAATGTGTTGATGAAGAGAGAGAAAAAAAAAAAAAGGGTAAATTACATCAGATTAGAATCTATCCGGGTCCTGAAAGATTTGTTGAGATTGGTATAAAGTTTGCCGTGTATCATAAATGTTGCTGGTTTGGATCGCCTGTTGCAACCCTACGGTACTGTAGGTACTGCTCCTGTAAGACTGATGTTTGGTTAGTCCCAACTGCTTAATTGACCATCTCTGAGTGAGCGTTCGCTCAAATTCGGCTAGTTTCCATGAGGATGCAATACCCTTAAAGATTTTTGAAACCACATCTGCACGCCACAATAAACCATGTGTGCCTCCTTCAACCACACTCAATGTACACTGTGGCAGCCTTTGTTCCATCCAGTCAACAGCTTCTCTTGAAATGACAGCATCCTACAGAGAGCAAGAGTATGAAAAGAAAAAGAAGGCAAAAAAAAAAAAAAAAAAAAAAAAAAAAAAGAAGCTCATTGTTAATACAAAGCTTTTTGACGTTATGTGACAACCAAGAAACTTCAATCGTTGATAATGTTTTTCTGGCTCTTCTTTTTCTTATTTTTTTTACCTTGGTGCCCCAAAAAACATGAACAGGGAGAGTAACATCCTTATAACTGAATCCAAAAGAATGATAGAGCTCTAGGCACACCATCAAATCATTATTGGCTCCCTCGAGACTATCCGCCATGTTATCCTGAAGCATCGCTTTTACCAGCTTTTCTCGATCGTAATTCAGTATATTAGGGTCCGATCTATTGGGTGGTTCTTTTGCAGCGACTGAAAGAGATTTATATAAAAGGGTCGCTGTACTTGTGCTTCTCAATAATGTCGTAGGCACATGTCGAATCCATTTCATTCGCTTGGCAATCGTCAGATGAACCCACGGTGACATCAGCCACACTGTTCCTATAATCCTGGGTTTCAGTCGTAATGCACACGCCATCGCATAGATGGCACCACAAGAATGTCCCATCAATGAAAATTTTTGGATATTGAATCCATTTGCCATCTCTTCCACGATCTCTGCCATCCTGAGAGGTGTCCACGACTTTTTTTTTTTTTTTTTTTTTTTTTTTTTTTAAAAAAAAAAAAAAAATGCAGATAAAAATAACAAATTAAAAATCGACCCACCCCGAAGTAGTAGTAAAATAAAAATTGATTAGGTAATCAGAAGGATAGAGAGAGAGAAAAAGAGAGAAAAAGAAAGAATGATTTAGTTAAGAGGTCATCTGTTCACGCGACAATAATGCATATCAGAAATGGCCGAGAGAGAGAGGGGGAGGAGAGACAATAAAGAATCATAAACGCACTCATAATCAAAAACAAAAAGTCAAAATCAAAATAGGAGAGGAGTTATTGGATTGTATTTTTACCTCCGGCTCTGCAGGTTGGGACATTCCGACTCCAGGTCGATCAATGCAATAAATCCTAAGCGAATGTTTAAAAGCCAAGTCTTCGAGAATGATTGAATAATACCGCATGCAACCCAATCCGAGACTGAGAAATACAATGAAACAAAAACAAAAAACAAAAAAAAAAAAAAGATTAATTGGATTATAGAGAAATTATTCTTGTGTGAACATGGTGGAACAATGGGGTGGGAAATCCTAATTGTCTTAGTTCCACAAAACTAATGATGATTCATTTGTATTAAAAAAAAATTTATAAAATATTAAGCTTACAAACAAAAGACCGGATGTCCACAAGGATGGCCAACCTCTGCAAACGAGACTAGTCGTCCGGAAAAGAGCTCATAGCGCTGATTCATGTCAACACATCCAAGAGTTGCCTCAACATCGGCCATAGTGGGGATACTATCGAACGACTTTACTGAAGCCGTTTCAGACATTCGCCGAGACATTTTTTTTTCTTTTTTGTACCTCTTCCGTAGTGTAAAAATGATGGGCGACCAATTGATATGATATCCGTTATAAAAAACAAAAAGAACTCAAGAAGGATTGGGATGTTATTATAATTATAAAGAGGCCGTTGTAGTTTAGATCAGACGGCTCAAAGGAGAAGTAGGAATAAGAAGTAGTTTCTAGCAAACAAGGGCAAACAAGGGCAAACAAACAAACAAAATAAAAAAAAAATAAGTAAATGCGAATGAATGAAAGAATGAAATGGATGAATGAATGAATGAATATAAATGAGGAATGAAGCCAAATCAAGATGAGAATTCAAAATCTCAGGGTGTGCAAAGGTATGAAAAGTGTGTGAAGTTGTATTAGGGGAAAGAGAAAAAGAAAGAAAGGGGAAAAGGAAAATAAAGGGACAAAGCGTTGTTTCTGATTGAAAAACAAAGACAAAGATGCACGCACAGGGCCAATTGAGTGCAAAACAAGATAGGAGAAAGCAAGATGTAGGGAGTAAAAAGGATCAGTGCTTTGTTGGTTTTGAATGTGAAAGAATGAACGAATGCAAAAAATGAATTGAGAATTGAATCTGAATGAAGTTTATGCAATGAGTTGACTGCAAATAATAAGGAAAAAAAGAAAGAAAGAAAGAAAGAAAGAAGGAAATGCAATGATTGGTGTTAGAGAGGAAGAGCCGTTTTTTTTCTTTTTTTTTTTTTTGTTTGTCTTGTCTATCCCGGAAAGGATGTCAAAACAGGAACGGTCTTGTACTCATCCGCATTCATATAAAAACGGGCTAAGTCCCTTTCTCTCTTACACACTATCAAACAAGATTTAAGAACGAATAAAATGAAAAACAAATCGTTGTTTTAGCTGTAAAAATAGACTAAGAGTGATGCTTTGATTAAAGTGCAACGATTGTGCTGTGCACTAATTGCTGTTGAACAATTGAAGAGTCGAAAAATCTTTGGTTGCTGTGCAGATGAAATGGAACACAATAAAAATGAAATGAAATAAAAGGAAAGGAAAGGAAAGGAAAGGAAAGGAAAGGGAAGGGAAGGGAAGAGAAGGGAAGGAAAGAGAAGGGAAGGAAAGAGAAGGAAAGGAAAGGAAAGGAAAGGAAAAGATTGAGGGCGAGGATGAGGGTAAGAACAAGAGTAATGATTAGGAGTAAAAGAGTAAGAGCAAGAGTTAAGAGTCAAGAGTTAAGAGTAAGAGAGTAAGAGAGTAAGAGAGTAAGAGAGTAAGAGTAAGCTATGAGGGTAAGAGTGAAGAAGAGAGTGAAGAAGAAAGAAAAGAAAGACAGAGTGTGGGTGAGACAAAGAATGGAGTGTGAGACAAAAGCGACAAAACAAAGGGAAAAAGATTACAGAATGAACAAAAAATTCATGGGCGCAGAGAAATGAAAAATTGCGTTGATAGATCAAGATTAAAAAAACAAAAGAATGTGGTCTCTCTTTGTTTTCTTTGGGATTTGGGCGGGCAGAAACATTCATTTCTTATCATTCTTTGATTTGCTTTAGCTGTTTTATTTTCTTGTGCAACTTTGCTCTTTGGCCTGGGGAACCCTCATCAAGAGTTCCTTCCCTTTCCTTCGCGTTTTAATTTTTTTCTTCTTCTTTTCTTTTCGCCCTGATTCTCGGATTTGGTTTTCGTCATGTTTACCTCTCTGATACACATTAAAAGCTCGTTCTTCACGTTTCTGCAACGATGACCAATGAAACTGGTGCACGAGCGGCAGTGCATCATGTAGATACATGAATATGTATACTTTTTTTGCTTTGTCTGCAACACCACCTCTGCATTGCATGCAGACTAAGAAAACAGACATTCTTGTCTTCTTTCTTTTTCCCGTGTCTTAATTGCATTGCACCATTGATCTGTAACCTCGCTCAACATCTTTTTCTCAAATCAGTCAGAGTATCAGTTGCATCATTGATTCCTAAACGCATGATGTGCTTCTGTCAATCTCAAGACATCTTACCCCATCGTCTTTTTTGGTTAAGGATCAAGACGATCAAACACCGATATTGAAAAAAAAAAAAAAAAAAAAGAAAGAAAGAAAGAAAGAAAGAAAGAAAAGAAAGATTAGCATCTTGAAGAGTGTTGAACTGCTTCTACTCTCTCGGCAGTGTTCGCTCTTTTTTTTTTTTTTTTTTTTTTTTTTAAACTCACCATGCTTATGCAGGCACATCCATCTTTTTTTTTTTTTTTTTTTTTTTACATGCTGCATCGGGATCGATGAGCCACCTTCGGGGAGGGAAAAATTGAAGATGAGGATAAAGAAGAGGGGTTAGGAAGAGCAAAAACGAAAACATATAAGCATTGCTCAATGGGAAAAGGATCGATGGATCAACTGGAAGGCACCTTTTTGGTTATACATACTTTAACTCCTCACTCCTTTGGAACCCGATATGTCCCTTGATTCATTCAACATGAGCAAGCACATGTGTATTATGAACATAGCATACCAAGCAATTAAAAAAGTATACACAAACGATTGCATTCCAATTTCAATTTAGAGTGGAGCGACGTTGACATTATTTTCTCATTGAACTTTAGTCGTTTTTTTTTTTTTATTTTTTTTATTTTTTTTTTTGTTTCGTGTAGAAATGGGCTGCACAAGAATTGACCTGTGCCACTTGTCCAGCAATATCAACTCTACTAAGGGATGAATGAATAGTCTTATCACACTGTTATCAAAGTGCAAGAACATGTCGCGTCTGGATGCAAGGCATCACCAGAAATATCCAAGCCACTCTTTCTTTGACAGCCATTGACCAACATCCTTTATGGAAGAAAGTTGTGGATCTCGTCAGTATGACACCAATACCGCTCGCACCCAATCGGATCAGGGCAACATTTATGTATCTCAAATAGACTCAAGCACCTGGGCACTGTTCTCCTTGCGCTTTTTCTCATCCATCTGTCCCCTGAAAGGAGGTTGCAAGTAATAGTGATTCGAATGTGCCTTAAAGAAGCTAGACTGTGAAGAAGGGTGATGGCGAGCCTTGTTTAGTTATGCAATATCGATGAGGATCGGTACCGCCAATTATGATTATGGCTCCTTTGGGTGGATTGTAACGATAGCAACGTGAACGAGCTTAAATGTGAATATGATCCTTCCGAATTGATCCATGATGTCGCCAGCGACCTGTACCTTTTCGGCAAAGTTCATTGATGATGAATCATCTTCAACGGAGAAGGGGTAGTGGTCGACGTCCTATATCAGTGCGCTAAATCTGATTTATAAATGGCGATCGAGTCTCCAGAGACTATTGAGCGTATCCCTTGTCCTGAATTTGAAAAGATTTTTTGGGACCAAAAATGGTCGCAATTTGAGTAGTTTTTTACATGTGTTTTGTACGCAAAATATTATAGCCTATTTTTTCTTTTTATTTGGTGTGATATTCCTCAAAGCAATTCTGCTTCGCTTTCAAGCAAAGAGGAACCCTACATGTAACGCATATCCATTCTGACCGTGAGGTGGACTTCTTGCCTTCCTTAAGGTCCTTAATCCTGCAGTTTTCACATGCCATCTTACTCTTAACATCTCTTCCTTCGCTTTCTTTGGTTCTTATCGGGAAATGAAATCCTGGTAGATGTCGACGAGGGCTTGGAAGAGAGTGTTTAGTAATATATGAACCTTTTGATATCTTGAAAGTAGCCCTCAGAGACTCATTAGTTTCTACGTTTCTCTTTGAGTTCCTTTGCTTGATGACAACTCGAGACTTAGATAGCGATAAAAGTTGGTTTACAAAATGTGAGCGAAATTGGCGATGTCCATCTTTTTTTTTTTTTTTTGATCCAAATCTCTAAAGTCATCAAGTTGGGATTGATAGTCTTCATCATTAACAATGTATTGCAGATCCATCGTGTACTAGATAGAAGTTGAAGGGAAATAGCATAAAAGCCTAGCGGTATGGATGCGTAGAAAAGTGGCACTTTTATTGTTTTTCTCTCTCAGTATGACACCAAATGCCTCTGAAAGACATGAAGGCATAGTTTCAATTGAAATAAAAATAAATTAACCATTCTTATTCTCGAATGAATGAATGAAAAAAATAAGCTCATAGTTTGTCGTTGTATTAGAATGTGCATGCCGAATGAATCATCATAATGAAATGCATTTCTTAATGCACTTCCGTAATAGCAGAGATCAAGTTCTTTTAATTTAGCTTAAGAATGGGGGGTCGCAATTAGTAGAATGTTGTTAATCTTTACAGAGAGGCCTGCTCCATGTAAGGATGTTCAGCTCTGTTTGGAGCAAGTACCGGACGAATGCTAAGCATACCCTGATAAACAGTTTGGAATGCTCGTCTGTCAAATATTCTGTGATCGATTGTTCTCCGTTTCGGCTCAAAAGATGGCTCGCACAGACTCTTCGGTTGGACTGCGAATCATATCCACTCTACACCGATTCTTTTTTTTTTTTTTTGTTCCATTGCTTCATTCATCCGCAAACTTTCTCACACACTCTCTTTTCCTTCCTTCCTTCCTTGTAGTTTCAACTCAAACGAAATGCCTCTTGCGCCGCATGTGACTATACCTGGTTGTGGTGTTGTCAGGGGTGTTCGAGTCCAAGGACAACCTTCTGTTGCACAATTTCTTAACATCCCCTACGCTACCGTTCCTGAGCGCTGGCGACCCGCTGTCAAGGCCACTCCATGGACCGGTGTTCGCGATGCTTCTAGACAAGGGTAAATGAGCAATTCGAGCAGCTAAAGGAGTGTAGTCAATAATAGATTAATAGAATTAACTGGCAATTGAATGAACCGAAGGTTTCGAAACACATTCACGATATTTAATTTGACTTTGGAATGCTTTTTTCTTTACTGCATTGATTTACTTTACTAGACCCGTATGCCAGCAGCCTAAAAGCCCGAATGCGATAGTTAGCATGGCCAGTCCAGATTTTGATGAGGACAATGAAGAAGAATACGCAAAAGTTTATAGCGAGAAACATTGCTTAAATCTTAACATTTACGCACCATATGACCATCTGCAGGATAAAAGCGGTAATAAACCAAGCTCATCCAAGCCATTGATCCCAGTCATGGTCTGGATCCACGGCGGAGGATTCAAGGATGGAAGCAATGCGATGGATATGTATGATTCTTCCAACTTTGTGGCTCACTCGATCCATAATGTAGGACGACCTGTCATTGTAGTTGTGATCAATTACCGTCTCAACTATTTTGGGTTCCTGGCTTCTGCAGAGTTGGTACAGGATGTACAATCCGACAAGCGGCTGCCATCAAGCAGTAGCGAGAAGGCTGTAGGGAACTGGGGGTTACTAGATCAAAAGATTGCACTTGAGTGGGTACAGGATCACATTGAGGCCTTTGGTGGTGACCCCAAAGATGTCACAGCGTTTGGAGAGTCTGCAGGAGCAGCATCGATTGGATATCATATGGCCATCCCATCTCATCATGGCTTATTCCAACGAGCAATCTTGCAATCCGGCGCCACGACCACGATGCCTGCAGGTCGTCCCTTGTTCGAAGGCCAACGTCGGTTTGATCAACTGTGTCAACATTTTGGACTCCTTCGTCCCGATCTCACGCCCGCACAGAGACTGGAACATCTTCGGAAGATGTCCGCAAAGGAGCTGGTCACTGCTGGAGACCATGGCAAGACCGGTATGTTTACTCCAACAATTGATGGTGTTCTAATCAAGAGTGATGTTCGTGAGTGGATTCATGATGCTACCCGATATGATCCAGGTCTCAAGGCTGTGATGTTGGGTGATTGTCGAGATGAGGGCAAAATGTTTGTTCCTGAATTAGGATGTAAATCTTTAAAACACTGGCCAAGGTTTAAGGCAAGATACTGTCCTCCAGGCGAAGAGAAAGAGTTTGAAGCTATATATGGCGAACCAAAGACAAATGAAGAGGCTGCGGATATTTCGGCAGTCGTTATTAGCGATTCTGTGTTTTTGTATCCGATCCATGCCACTAGCGCGTCGCTTTTGCAGCAAGTGAAGCATAAAGAACAGGGGCAAGAACCTGCGATTTCTCGTGATGTGGTTCGCTTCCATTTTGATCGTCCTCTCAAGGTAGTTGAAGATATGGGAATGGGGCTTGGAGCGCATCATGCGGTGGAGCTGCCCTTCTTGTTTGGTTCAGATATTTACTTGGATTTAATGACAGAGGAAGAGAAGGCACTGTCAAAGCAGATGATGACCTTGTGGATCTTGTTTGCTTGGGGTGAAACGAGTCGTCAGCACAGCTTGAAAAACGGATTAGATTCACTCTTGCCTGCGGATGTAGGCGTCCAAAGAAAGGAAGCATTGGTCTTCACAGAGAATTGTACAGTGGAGAAGACGCTCGTTGAGCGGCTAGATGCAAGGACATTGGCGTTTTGGCGCCGTAGCGAAGCTTGGATCAAGGCGAAACGCGAGAAGCAATCGTCTCCGGGAGCCAAGCTTTAATCATTCAATCAATAAAATTTTATCTTTTCGCAGAGGGAAAAGGCACGTGCTCCATTGCAAAAACTTTTTAAGGGAGGCACTAGACAGTTGAGCCTAAGAGTTTTTCCGGTTTAAGAAATCCATTTTGGCTGGAAATGATGGGTATTTCTTTTACGCTCATTCTTATGATCACCAACAACCATGTTGGCCCCTTTTTGAATACATTAGTAAAAATGTCAGGTGCAAGGAACAAGGCATCATTGTTGTTATTCTACCCCCTGAAAATGAGAAAATACGTTATATAATTTGTCAACGTATTTCTTCAACGTTTACATTTACTCCGTCCCATTTGGTCAGTGATTTATATATTTTTTGAATAATCTTGATTGAATTGAGAGCCAATTATATTCCTTGGCACCAGTTCGTCACGGAGGGTGAAATGTCAAAATCAGCCACCAAATCAATTCAATCATCGTTTTTTGAATAGAAAATATATGAATCACTGACCAAACGAGTTGGAGGATACATCTATATTTGTGTATGACAGAGATGCGGGGACCTTTTTTTTTTTTTTTTTTTTTTTTTTTTTTTTTTGATTAGAAAAGTCCTCCTTTTTTTTCTTGCTTCAATTCCATTTCATTCTTTTCTTTTTTTTTTTTTTTTTTTTTTTTTTTCCTCAATTGTCATTCCCATTCTCGTTTTCATTCACTTTTTATTTTTGAATCAATGGAGTATCGGTATCTTGGAAAGAGTGGCCTCATGGTCTCATGCCTTTCCCTTGGCGGATGGGTTACTTATGGCAAGTATATACTGTAGTCTTTCTTTTTTTTTTTTTTACTCTTGATCTTATATGAGAAATAACTAATTAAACTGGTAACTGCTAAAAAAAAAAAAAAAAAAAAAAAAAAGATCGCGTTGGGTCTAACCCCTGGAATATTATTTAAATAATCGCTACTCAATAGGAGGCCAAGTTGGCCCTGAAATTGCTCAACAGTGCATGAAGACTGCATTTGATCTGGGCATCAACTTTTTTGACACGGCTGAGGTATAGACCTTTTTTTTTTTTTTTTTTTTGACAAGAAAGGATTTGTAAAGATGACCGCAAAAAGCTGATCTGTTCGAATTTCTTTCAATTTCGTCACACGCACTTTAAGGTTTACTCAGGTGGTCAGTGTGAGATTGACATGGGTGTTGCCATCCGCAAGTTTGGATGGAAGCGCTCAGACTTGGTTATCTCAACAAAGATCTTTTGGGGAGGCAAAGGCCCTAATGACCGTGGATTATCTCGTAAACATATCATCGAAGGAACGGATGCTTCGTTGAAGCGTCTGCAATTAGATTATGTTGATCTATTATATGCTCACCGTCCAGATCCTGATACTCCCATGGAGGAGATTGTCCGCGCTTTCAACCATGTCATCAATCAAGGCAAGGCCTTCTACTGGGGCACATCTGAATGGAGTCCACAACAGATTACGGAAGCCCATGCTGTCGCCCAGCGTCTAAACTTGATTGCACCCTTGGTAATTATATTAATGTGGAGCAGATCAGCCAAAGAATTATTTTTGACGTTCCAATATTCATCCGAGCCTTTTTTTTTTTCTTGTCTCTCCCTTAAATATGACATTGAAAAAAGATGGAACAACCGCAATATAACATGTTCCATCGAGACCGTGTTGAAAAGGATTACTTGCCCTTGTTCAAGAACTTTGGCATGGGTGCAACTATTTGGTCTCCTTTAGCCTCGGGTTTACTCTCGGGAAAGTACAACGCCGGGGTTCCACATGACAGCCGTCTTGCAATTCAAGATAATGCAGTGATGAAGCGTCTCCGAGATGGACTTGACTCTGAAGATGGTCGGGTCAAGCTTTCAAAAGTCTCGAATTTAGGCAATATTGCAAAGCAACTGGATTGCTCGACCGCACAATTGGCGTTGGCCTGGTGCTTAAAGAACCCCAATATCTCTTCCGTGATCACAGGCGCGTCCAAGCCATCACAAATCGAAGAGAACGTCAAGGCTCTTCGGGTGGTCCCTCTTCTCACAGATGAGGTCATGGCGAGTATCGAGGAGATCTTGCTGAACAAACCAGCATCGGATTATAACTTCCGCTCTTCGTAACCATAACAAGGAACAAAAGAAAAAAAAGGGATATTGATAATAATTTCGGCAAGAATATCAGTCTTGTTATATTTTCTAAATTAGAATAGTTTGCTTGGCTCGTTTTTTCTTAACAAAATAAATGATCACATCCCACATATCCAGGTTTCATGCACAGGATCCCGACTATACCATGACCAATGCTTTATCATAGAAGAAGTATGTACATCATCTTGTTCTATGGTAATGTCATTTACGATATTGACCTGTCTCCAGATGGTAATACCTTTGCTAAACAGTTCACCAAAGATGATAGATCCATAATTAAGACGCGTTTCTTTGGCCTGACAGACTGGTGACCATTTGATGCAATGAAATATGCAATAAGGGTTTACAATGACATCCAGATTCACGATAGCCTAGTTCCATTGCCCACTATATGAACCAAGACAAGTCGCGTTCAATCGTAATAAAGAGCTTAGTCTGTTCTTTTTTATCATTATTTTCCTCAAAGATATCATCTCTCAATGGCTGTTTCTTCAGGTACAAGTAACAGGAGCAAAATGAAGATTGCTTACTTGCTACAAGCCAAATGCCACGTCACACGCCAATTTTTTTTTTTTTAACCTCATCTGTTTTCATTACTTTTTTGTTTTCATCACTCATCTTGTTCGCCGCTGGTTTCCTGTCAGCACATAATTAAAAAAAAGCCAATAAAATGATCTCGACACGATTAGCGTCTATGGGAACTGCTGGATTGGCGCTTGCTACTTTCCTCTGCTTGTCCTCATCCTTTCTCAGCAAAACCGTTGAGGCCACCGCGTTGACTTACACCGTTGCAGCTCATGAGAAGGCTTGCTTCTATACATGGGTAGATGTTCCCAAGAAAAAGGTTGCATTTTACTTTGCGGTAAGTCCCTTTTTTTTTCTTTTTTTTTTTTTTTCTCTTTTCCATTCGATGGTTCGTGTAGCTATACACACTTGATGCTCCTTCTCTTGTTGTGGGGGGTTTTTTTTTTAACTTCACGTCAACATACCAAAAAAAAAAATACCTTACCGATTATATTTACTTAATATATATGTATGTTCTTCTAACTATAGGTCCAATCTGGCGGAGCTTTTGACATTGATGTCGATGTCCGGGATCCTAAGGACAAACAGATCCTGAGCTTGGAGAAGGATCGTCAGGGCGATTATGTCTTTACAGCGAATGAAGTTGGAGAGTACTCGTTCTGTTTCTCGAACGACATGTCGACGTTTGCAGAGAAATCGATCGACTTCGAGATCTCGGTCGAGAATGAGAAGCGACCAGCTCAAGCTGATCAAAAGGAAAAGGGCGCAGGACCTCAAGCTCAAGCAGATGCGATGGATGAATCTTTATTTAGACTTTCGAGTGAGCTGTTGAAGGTTGATCGGATGCAAAAGTATTTTGGCACTCGTGAGAGTCGAAACTATTCGACAGTGTTGTCGACAGAGAGCAGGATCTATTGGTTCTCGTTGTCAGAGTCGTTCTTGATTGTGGCAATGGCGATGGTCCAGGTTTATGTAGTCAGGACCTTCTTTAGCGGATCGAGAAGATCTCATGTTTAAACAAGAGCAAGAAAACAAGAAAGAAAAAAAAAAAAAGGAAAAGAAAAAGAAAAGGAGGAAAAGAAGAAAGAATGGAAAGATGGAAGGAGAGGATGAAAAGGAGAGGAAGGATAGAAACCAACCCTGTTCAAAATATATATTTTTGATCCTTACTCGTATTGCATGCATAGTATTCAAATGGCTTTTTTTTAAACAATGCTCTACAACGTTGGATACTGTGTTTTTTATATTAGCTGCTACAGATATCTGAACAGTAAAAGAGTTTTTTTTTCTCTTTATTTTCTTTGCCTTGCTTTATTAGTATTTTTAGCTAATGTTTATGGACGAAGTTTGGCTTGAGCAGATACACGATCCTTGATGCTAATTACTGATCATGGCCAAAGTAAACATATTGTTCGGAAGGTACCCATTATCGTCACAGCGTTTTTTTTTTTTTTTTTTCTTACGCGCGATTCACTTCTGAAGCATATACAAAATAATAAACATTTGTCCATGCGAACTAACATCTTTTTTTTTGCACATGTTTGACACATGGCTCAGTTTCATAGCTTTTCACGCGTCGAATATACAATTTCAGTAGCAATATCCAATAGCTTAAGTAACACGTTAAAATATGCGAATGAGATAAATAATAATAGTCCAATCGATTATGGCTCTTTTTTTTTGTTCAATGCCTGTTACTGCACATTATGAGCTAGAAAGGAATAATAAAAAAAAAAGCAGGTAAAAACCGTACTTGGGACAAGAGGCATGGATAGAGATAGAAGAGAAGGGCGTCTAGAAAGCAGAGGCCATTCTCAGTTGAAGGAATAAGCAACTAGTGGCATATGAGATAGCACCATTTACAGAACGGGATAGCAGCACGTCAATGCTTAATTTAGGTTAGGTTTTATCCAATGAAAATCAACGAATCGTCAACTTTTTTTTGAATAAAAGTCAAATATGCCAAGGGCTGCCCATTCTTCAAAGAAAGACACATTGGACAAAATGCATGCTATGAATAATATAGAGTATTAAAAAAGGATCGCTCTGCATTTCTCGAATACTAGTCACTTCGATGTTGTATATGGACTCAAGCTTCTAGAGATTACAGTCTTTGTCCATTCTCGAGGAGGCAAAACTGTGTATATGGGATCAATCAAAATTCGGGCCTCTTGTTTGAGATGACTGTAAAGGTCCTCTAGATTTGCTGGTTCAGCAAAACAAAATCTGCTCGTTTATCTGCTCTAGGTCCCATAGATGCTTGAGAGTAGAAGGAAGACAATGCATTTGACATTTAGCACTGGAGGTTTGAACAAATGGTGCAAGCACATGACTTCTAGAAACTACTTTACTCTTCAGAGGATGACCCACAAAGCCTAAATATCACTCCCTGTTGGCTTGGAAGGATGTTCCTACGCGCATCACAGATAGAAGGCACTACGTGGCAAAGAAAAACATATTGTCTACCTTGAAAGTGTAAAACATCTGTTCGAAATCATGACCATGGACTATCCTTTTAAGTTTACCTTTTTTTTTCTTTTATAAGAAACTCCTCCATGATAAGCTAGCTACCAGCTTTATAGGAATTGAAGCTAAAGACACCTCCGCTGCTACATAATTTCATCTATGCTCACTTCTGTACGAGAATGTCCAGACTCCTATCCCGCCTTAACAGAAGGTCTTGGGCTTTTTTCCTGTAAGAATTTGCTAGCAAGTAATATCGGTTGACGAAGACTTGCTATACCCAAGTACATCTCAATACCGGGTTGCCTTAGACTATCGCTTGTGACCTGTCCTTACAGGGCAAACTTAAGCTCTTCAGGAGCTGTATGGTGGCACCAACTCATCTCTTCCCGATACATGCATGTCATCAAACAGTTTCCATGAAAAAGGAAATGAGATGCGATATCATCTGGTCTCTGATTGGGCAGGAAAATCCATTTTCTCTTTATTCAATTTAAATTAAAGGGACTGATATTTTGTCAAGAGTACTGTATTATCTTTCCTTGAATAACTTGACGAAGATTAGAAAATTGTAGATCATCTCACATGAATCAAAGAGGATCTCGGAAGCATATAGACAATGAGGAAAAAAAAATGGTGCACAACAATCAACTTTCTGCTTCACGAATACTCTCTTCTTTTTATCTGGGAAGAACAGAGTTCTCAATGAATTGATAGGAGTTAAAAAAACTCTTCAACGAGCCTATAGTTGTACTACATTACAAATGGGTGGAGAGAAGGATTGGTCACAGTTTCGCCCCAAATCATCCCGCTTCATCTTTTTTTAATTGCATCTGCTGTGTTCCCGAAAAACAAAAATTCCAAAATAAGCCGTGGTTTTGTGCAACCTGCATGTGGTGTTGTTCTCGCTCACCTTGCCCCCAGCGCTCAAGTCAATAATAACAACAACAACATCACCTATCAAATACCTCTAGCCAACGATATATTTATTATTTACAGTTTTGAGATTTATGCTAAAATTTATCAAAATAATATTAAAAAAAAAAAAAAAAAAAAAAAAAAAGAGTATGGCGAAAAAGAAAAACTAAGGGCGAGGCGTAGCATAATGGTCCGAGAGGCATGGTTTTTGATATTCAAGTTCCTAATGATTTATTTTTATCTCTTAAGGCTTGGAGGAGCGACTATCCTTTTTTTTTTTTTTTTTTTGTGGCCATGCGTTTTGTTGAATAGGCCTACTCGGTTATAGTGTGCACAGCAGCAGCGGCGGAGGACGCAAAAATTCACGGCTTGTTCCTGATTTGTTTATTTACCGCTGCATGCCTGCATGCATGTATCACTTTTTGTGTGTAAGGTTTACGGCCTTCTTTTTTTGCTCAGTGAATGGCCTGCATGAGATGCATCGCTGTTGACAATTTTCTTTCTTGCTGGCCAATTGAACCTCGCGCACAGGTGTCGCGAGCGGATTGGCACGAGATATGCGGCCAAGCTTTGTCCATTTGTCACGTCCATTGTTGCACACTTGAGCACATTAGATTGGAGTCCGCATCCTCATTTATTTGTGCACACACACCCATTCATTCATACACACGCCCGAAAAAGAAAAGCTTTTGTGCTTTGCTCCTTTCTTTCTTTTTTTTTTTTTTTTTTTTTTATTATTATTATTTTCTTTATACATCTTTCCACTATCTCATTTTTATCCTCCACTGCTCTTTCCTTCACTCTTTCCTCTTTCGACCACATTCTCCTGTGAATTCACCATCATAGTCCATCATAATCAATTTTCAACTCTATCACATCCAATCCTTGTCAGCGCATTGTCCCACGCCTCCGCATTTTTATTTGTTATTCATTTTCAGTTTTGACCTGCAAAAACCTTTGACAAAGTCAGGGACCTCTGAAATCAACCCCACCTATCTATTCACTTCTTCTTCATCCACCGCATCATAGCCCGTAACAACAGGAGTAATACTGTGGGTCTGATGGCAGCCTCGACACTACCGGCTACATCTACACAACCTGAAAAGATGGATGGCGTTGATGATGGTGGCGACAATAGCAACAATAGCAGTAGCAATAACAATAACAATAGCAGCGATATGACCATGGATATAAACAATAGGAGCGACAAAAATAACAATAGCGACAAAAATGAAGAAATTAATGAAAGTAATAGTGGAGATGAAGCAGATGAGCTTTCTTCACTTTCGTACAGAGCGGATAAAAAATCAAAAATACTTCCTCCACTGAGTGAGAGCGTAAAAGAGCAGTACCTTGAGCTTGCCTCACTGGCCAAGAGAGGTAAAATAGATGCATGGCTTTTTTTACCCACTTTTTTTTTTTTTTTTTTTTTTTTTTCCCTTCGGTCGCAACACTGACAATGATACACGCCTTTTTAATTTGAACAACCATGACATCAATGCTTGATGTGTACCCGTCTCTTGCGATGCTCCTTCTAATATTTGCATACAGAAACATGGGAAAGCAAGGATAATTTCCCCCTTAATCTCCGTGATCCATTGTTTGAGTGCGCAAAGACCGCATTGACAACACGCTCAACAGGATACATGATCGAGGAAAATTTCTTTGGCCATCTGCAAAATGTTCTTCCATATACCAAATTTTTATTGAAGGTAAGATACTATTCCGATACAGCTTTTTTTTTTTTCTTTTTCTTTTTCTTTTTCTTTTTCTTTTTCTCCTTCTAACCATGAATTTCCCATCTATATCTTTTCTAGAGTTTGATCTACAGAAAGATCCTGCCTGAATGGACGCATGAGCTAAAGACGCAACGTGACTCCATGGTTGCTATGTTTATTACTCGTATTGAGAATGATGGAGCAGCAATGGGACTGAGCAGGCAATTTGACAATGAAAAAGATAATGATGAAGGTAAAAAAAAAGAAAGGTTAAAGATGGTATTCAAATCAACAAAGACTAAAATTATATCGATGCAAATAGTCATATTTACGGATGTAACTTCACTGTTTCAAAGGCACTTATAGTCAGCAAAAGCCTTCATTTCTATGGACTCAAAGCCTGCGCCTCCTACTGTGGGAGATCATGGAAAAATACATGGAACTTCGTGCTGCAGCAAAAGAGCTGCATCTTGTAGATCCAGTATCGTTCCCGAAGCATGAATCAGAAGCACAGACCCGCGAATACGCATATGCCAAGGTATAAAATGTGCAACAGATGCATGCATTTTTTTTTTAAACCACATGTGAATACTGGATATAATCTGACTAACTGCTTACTGTAATCTACTCCATTCAGATCTATGAATGCTTCCCGCATGGGTGGACAACTCTGGATGATATTGCTCATCAGTACATAAAACTGAAAGAAAAGATTAATAAACAAGGGATGGGGCTAAATCTGCAGAAACGGAAACGGCAGCAGCAGCAGCAACGAAATGAGAATTTGAAAACTGAGGAGGATTCCTCAGCAGAGGAAGGAAATGAGGATTACCAACCACTTTCGCCAGCTATGTCACCATCAACTCCAGCCGAGACTTATCCGATAGTGCAACAGGAATCACAATCTCATGTCGCATCAGAGGAGATACATTCGGTGATGCAGGCATCTTCATCAGTGTTGAATGGACAACAAAGCGTGCATAAAGGTAAAAAAAAAAAAAAAAAGAGAGATTCACAATGAACAAATTAACTTCTAATCTTTTTAATATGGCTCTAACCATGCAGCTTTTTTTTTTTTTTTTTTTTTTTTTTTTTTTTTTAAAAAAAAAAAAGACAACCAAGACACTTCTAGACGAAGCGACGGAAGAGAGTCGGATCCAGAAATTCAGAGTATGGCTCCTCACAATAATGCTGTTCCTGTAATAGAGCACCGTCACCTAAGAAAGTCTCAGAATGTACAGCCATATCAACAGCAGACACATTCAGCCCATTATAGTCATCCTGTTTCATCTGCGCCTGTTGCTGGGTTTGGAGCTCCACCATCTGCCTTGACAAACAGCTCTCAGTATCCACGTCAACCTCTGCATCCATCACATTCACTACCGTTATCACGGTCGTTACCACCGTCGCCGATTTCGCCACAGACGCCATGGATGAGCTCTGGGAGCCAAGCGGCTCATAATAATAACTCGATGACCGCTACTATTACCAAAGGACTTCGAGATGGGGCGCATGGACCAGATATTCTAACTACCAGGCCCATGCACCTAGCGCCTCCAACTCCGACGGTGCCTCCACCACCCTCATCATCGACACTACAACCCTCATATCCACGACCAACAGAACCCCTTGCGGCTTTAGAGGTACATTCATCATTACATGTAGCCAGAAACTCGCCGCTGTCTGTACATGATGCCTCGCATGGTCCATCCCTGCGGAACTCAGGTGAATCCATGAAGAGGATTCGTGTAGAGAGTATTGGTAGGAAGAATAGTCAAGAGAGCCTGGGTCCGATCGTGACATCTCGTCATTCGGGATTAGTGCCTCAATCGGTGCAGCACCAGCACCAGCAAAAAGCTCATGGATATATTCAATCCTCGCTTCCAGCCCAGTCACCGCCTGCTTACTCTTATCCTCAATCTCCACATGATCAGGCTCAACAGCAGCGGCTGCATCAACAATCAAAACTATACGGGACTCTAGTAAAAGAGCCACCATATCATCGTCCTCAGTATCAGGATGTGAATAAGGAGGAAACGCAAGGTACTGAAAGATATCAGGCACAGTTTAGAGAAAATGAGATAGGCCAGTATGGCGCATCCTCCAATCGCCAGAATGACGGAGATTCGTACAGTGAGTCGCTTGATGGAGTAGAGCGCACTCATCACGCTTCAGCTTCGTCGCAACATAGTCCAGCAAAGGGATCACCAAGAATAGCCCTCGACGACCAACAACCCGGGTACTCGTCGCAGCGTAGTCCAGAGCAGACTTCTACGGGTAGAGGAATCTTCAGGGAGCATAGATTTGACCATCTTCAGCGTGGGCGAGAACCTAAACAAAATCATGACCAAATGGGCTATGTGGACGATCAAGGAACCAGTAGAGGTTTGCCCAGGCAGTTTGGGGAACACGAAACCAGTGAGGGGAGAGGATCTGATATAGAGCGAGTTGAAAAAAAGGAAAGCCCTAGAATGGTTTCTCAATCCACAGATCATACAGAAAAGACATCCACCAAGGTCTTCAAGAGAACTCAGGGCGAGCAGCAGAATATCATAGATGAGCAACGTGAAATTGAAATACAAATGGAATCTTTAAGGAGGAGACAGAAGGAATTGCAGCAGTTGCATGAGGAGAAACAGGTATTGCAGCGGAAAGATTTTGAAGGACGTAATAGTCATCTGAAAATTAAAGAGTATTCACCGCATCAGCATTACAGCTCTAAGACTGCCGATGGGTGGACTTCTATTAAAGTAGAATATGACCCCCGTCATCAGCGAATGCCAGCATACGAACACAGAAATCAACAGCCTGAGCCCATGTCGCCAGTTGGGCGCCCTCCTCTTTTGTCGCAACAACAGCATCAACTTCCATCGTCCCAGCAAACATATCAAGCGGATCAAACCCAGAGGGAACATCAGTTTCTGAGGCAACAAGGAACTCCTGGTGCTCTAAACCACGCTAACCTCAATAGCCCAAATCCGGCACAGCACCACCAGAGTCTTCGTCATGTGCCTCGTCCACCTCAGCCTCAGTCTCAATCTGAGCATAGCTATCCACAGGCTGCTGCATCGGCCCCTCTGTCAAAACCTCAGTTAAAATCATCTCAGCAGCAACAACAATATCATCACCTCCGCTCTGAACCACGACAGTACCCTCGCCATCCTCACCCGTATAGCCGGCCACCATCAGCTGCTAATGCTTCTCAACATCATCGCTCATACCCAGCTTCCCCCTCCTCTCCTCGAGCTGCTCAATACCAAAAGAACGATCCAGCATTACTGGTAGGACGCGAGACATGGGGGGCCCATCAGCCACCTCAACAGCAGCATCGTCCTGTACCCTCTGAGCCTGGATTTTCCCCACGTACACAAGGGAGAAAGGCACCCATAGTTGAAGAGGGTGAAAGACGTCCAGGGTCAAGGTCAGGGTCAAGGTCAGGGTCAGGGTCAGGGTCAGGGTCAGGGTCAGGGTCAGGGTCAGGGTCAGGGTCAGGAACGGTGCAGATGCCGTCATCTTCGTTGTCTTCACCCCTGGTAGCGCATACATATCCAGGGCTAGAGCCATTTCCCCATTCACGATCTCAATCATACCCGCACCCACCTGCACAGGCCAGTTTGCCGTCGCGCATAGGATCACAGCCTCGATATGCACCTTCGCATGCAGTGCCTGGGCCTGCTCCTGTTGGTCCGCCAAGACCGCCACCTCATTCTTCTACCCATTCAGGCCATCATCATCATGTCAACGGTACATACCATCCACAGCCACAGCGCCAATCACCTCCGCTACCAGTATCAGTAGCGGGCTACAAAATGTCAAGCCAGGGATACCCGACAAATAGTCCTCTTTCTTCTCACCCCAGTCCTCGACCTTACATCCAAGAGCGGCAGTATGATCGGCCATATCGACCAGGCATGTTGCCACCACGCCATTAGATTTTTTTTTTTGCTATTATTCTCTTATGATTTGATTTACCATAGTATTTGCTCTTCCGTCTCACGCAACATTCTTCTCGTGATTGTAAATAGATATTAAATAAAGTTCCGTTCATTCTTTAGTTTATTAGCCATCATATTTTATTTTGTTAAATTTGCTGTTGCTGCCTCTGCGCCCTGACTTGTTCTTGTAGGAACTAATAGTAAAGTGTCGTTTTACAACGAAATGTGTTAGAGCACCTTTAAAGTGTCGAAGGGAAAATAAATAAATAAAAATTTACCTTGACACGAAGCTTGCATTCCTTTTTCGTCCGCCCCGGCACGCCCTCTGCAATCTTATCCCAGCGATCACCTTCGCCCTGCCATGACGGCGGGTATGTCTTCATAGCAGTCTCCAACATCTTTTGTTCTGCTGCAATCCAAAGTGCAGCAGCAGGAGGTGAGGCGTTAGCAGTAGAAGCATTAGAAATAGCAGTAGATGGTGACGCAGGTGTCGATGCCCCTTTTGCTATTGTAGAGGCTATTGTTCCATTGGTTGTGGTCGTCGTTGCTACTGTGGAAGTATGCTTTTTAGTATTAATTCTTACTGTCTTCTTGCCAGCTACAGCATTTATGGCAGTTACAACAGCTTCCTCGGTCGACATGTTAGTTTTTGAAGTGGAATCGACGGGCACAACACCACCTTCGATATCATATCGAACTGAAGGAGCATCGGCAATATCGTAGGTCTTCTTTTGAAATTGTAGCTGTCGAACAGTGGCAGACTCTTGTGATGAACTCTTTTGAACCTCTTTCGATTTCTTGATCACCTCTTCAGGCGAACGTTGAGGAAGCCCCGTATGGAGAGCTACATAGGCAGCGATGGTTTCCCAACGATCACTGACACCTCCCGGAAACTTATTCGCAGCCTTGATAAGTAGAGCGATTTCTTCAACGGACCATTCTTTTGAAGATGCTGAGGATGAAGATGGTGATGATGAGGATGTTGATGATAAGGGCTTTGTGGTGATATGCTCTGCTTTTACAAAATATTATGTGCGGACAAAAATGTGGAAAATTGTTAATGTTTAGTAGTTTGATCATAACCTGTTCCAACTTTTTTTTTTTATTTTTTTTTATTCTGATTTGACTGATGTATTTACTCAGCTTGTACTTACCAACGCCAAATTGTGTTAAGCTCTTTGGGTCGGCTAATCCTTCCTGTACAAGTCTGTGAGCTTCTACGGACAAAATCTTTTGCTTCCCTTCATTTGTAGTCTGAGAACTATTCAAGTCTATGCTTATCCTCTCCAATTCTTCAAGAGATAATTTGTCGAGCATTGTCTCCAATTCGGATAGATATATCTCAAGAGTTGCAGGTGGAATAGTGCTACCATTTGACAAGCCATAGTTGGCGTCCTGAGTTGAGAGAAAGTTAGGCGCGGGAAAATACTCTTTGCAGATATTAACTTTTCTTCAAAAAAAGAAACAGGTCTGAGTTTTTTTTTTTTTTTTTTTTTTTTTTACCTTGATAGCCGTCTTGATATTCTTCTTTTCCTTACGGATAAGCTTTTTCTTGGCCTCCTTCTCTCTCCGTTCTTCTTCTCGCTTTAACTTCTCCTCTGATTCTCTTTCCTGCTGCAGCTCCTTCTCGAGAGCTGCTTGGCGCTCTGCATCCATTTTGGCTCTCTGGGCTTGTTCCTGACGTTCCCTTTTCTTAGCTTCTTTGGCTTCACGTCCTTGACCCTTGAAAGCGATCATGCGAGGATCAAGTGTGAATGCTGTATCAACTAGCTTGCGGAGGCGAGCCGCGTCTTCCTTCTTAAGTTTAGCTCGTTCAGCTCTGTTCTTCTTCTCGAGATAGCGCTTATCATCACGACTGAACGATAATGAGTGTTTTAAAAGAAATTCCAATAAATGAACAAGGACATGGCAAAAAATAAATAAATAAATAAAATAAAATAAAATAAAATAAAAATAAAGAAGGCAATGGTAGTAATAATCATTTTCTTCTTTCAAGATTAAGCCTTACTTATCAGGACCATCACCCTCTTCTTTGTCCAAATATTCGAATGATCTCCAGCTCTCAAAGCCATACCAAAACCCATAAAAGGCTTCGACCTCTTCCTTGCTTGAGTCCATAGTCCCGATCGAAGGAATCTCATTTTTAGGCCTGACCGAAAACCGAGCCTCACGTTCAAAAACAGGTTTCCAAGCTTCAATGAAAGGAAGATCGGCACCATCCTTTAAAGGGTTGTAGGCCTCTTCTGGGATGGGGTCCACAGAATCATATTGACGGCGTTTGACAGGATCTGAAAGAGTCTCATACGCCCTCTGAAGGCACTTGAAGAATCTATCGTCGTCACTATTTCCACCTAGTGCGCCGGATTTCTTGTCTGGATGGTGGACTAGGACTTTGGTGCGATCTTTGATAGTCGTTAAGTTTAAGTTTAGTAACGAGAAAGCCAAAGGAAAAAAAAACAAAAAAAAAAAAAAAAAAAAACAAAACCTGATCGCAATCCAAATGATTGCGGAGAATACTTACGAGCCTTTTTAATCAGGGCTGGAGAGGCTCTCCAACGGACATGTCCTAACCCAAGCATACGGTAATGATCCTGCGTCTTCCAGTCTTTGGCGTCGCGTTTCATATCATCTTTGTGATCAGGCTCAATTTCAACATCGAGCATGCTGTCTGTACTATCTGCTAATTGTGCTGCAGCCGCAGCAGCCACTGCAGCCGCAGCAGCAGCTTCTACTTCTGCTTTCGCTAGGTGCTCTTCGTCCTCGGAAAATGTTCTGTTGAAGACTTTCCGTCGTGCATGAGCAAGATATTGAGATCCTACAGGCTCAACTTTTTTGAGAATGGGATCTAAGGCGGAGTGGAGAACAAGAGAAAGAAGAGATACAACACTGATATGAGAATAATAAAGAGAAATCGGACAAACTTATTTTGTCGTTTGCGATTGTATGGTTAACATAAAAGCCATTTTACTGCTATTTACCATATCGTCTTACCAGTGATAGTGGCATGGCTCCTGAAATCCTGCGAACAGTCCCAGTCAGCAGGCGGTGGCCCCAGTCGGAGCAAATCCAATGTCAGAAGCTCCGAATCCTTTGTTGCTGAAGCTGAATTGCCCATGATCGACGCGACGTTTTGAAAATGAAAAGGGAAATGGAGGGAGCCTTGAAGAAAATATGGCAATAGTTCAAATGACCACACGCAGCTCAACTCCTAATAAACTTAATTGAGTTTCAGCGGTCACAAATTTCAAATTTTTCTTGATCCACATTCACATCAAGTTTACAAATGTAACAATTTGACAAACATAATTGACCACTCGTTCATAGGTCAAAAGCTTTATTTTATAAACCCCCCCCCCCTGTGATTATAGGAGACACTCCATGCCCGAAAGGCCAGAGCGACAAAGCAAAAACAAGGCGGTTCTTGCCATTCAGGCTTCGCTTCCTGAAACACAAACTGGCGGCAGTGGTGCTGATTCTGAGAGTGATGCTGATACATTCAAGCCCACAAAAGAAAAAAAACAGTCTAAAGCTCCAAATTCAAAGAGAAAACGGCGGCGCGATCCAATATCGGATAGCGACAGCGATGGTCATAATGAGGATAATGATGGGGAAACAGGAAAGAAAGCTCTTAATCAGGAGCAAAAAAGGAAAAGGAAAAAGAAATCAGTAGAAGGGATAAAAAAAGGCAAGAGGTTGAGAAAGGACTATTGGAGTATAAATGACAAAAGCCGAGCACCGCTAATGAACCTGGTCCACTCGCTTATGTCACAAGAGGAAAAGGCGTCGAGGACACTTGCCCTCATGGTTCTGGATGGCAAGCAGGATGATGAGACGTATCGATGGCCTGTCCGGGAGGAGCTACTACCACCGTGAGTATAGATAGAAGGAGCCGGCCTTAAATTGTTTCTGAGTAGTGACGACATGAAAATTCTTGCTAATGTCTATCTTTACTCTTTATCTTATTTACCTTAAAATACCCCTTTATCATCTAGTGTCCCGAAGGATATTTATGAAGATGATACTGATGCCAATTTCTTTGAAGCACAAGGGATGGAATTTGTTGAAGAGCTAGCAGGTGTACCGAAAACCACGGATGATTTCCTTGAGGAATTTGAAGGTGCTGAGAACGAAGAGGAGAGTGATGACGATTTGGATACGGCAACAGATAATGACATGCCGCAAACTCAGAGAATGTCATTGCATAAGCAAAAACGGCTGGAGGAACTCAAGGAAAGAATCGACAACGAGCGTAATGCAAATAATCGACTGCAAGAAATTTACCATTTACTCAAAAATGAGTTCTCAGCCTTTGCTCAACGTCAGTACCGTAAAGGCATGCAACACCGTGTGAAGGATTTCTATAGTTTTCAAAAGGATACTCTGCCACCATTTCGTGCTCAAGCTGCTCAATCAACCATTGGGGAGTCCCTTGCAGGCGATGAGCAAGATGATATACTCACACCAATACAAGAGAATGCGGCCAAATTTGCAGCAGAGGATGCACTCAAGCGAATCCTTGATCGATTGCCATATGTCTTACGACAGGGAGCTTTAGGAAATGTTCCGGATTACGTCAGACTGGGCTTGCCCAAACCAGTATCATCGGTGGCAGATTATGAACGAGGCTGGGATACAGTTATGGCAGCTGCCAGTATCAGTGGAATTGAGGATCGGTGGGTGGAAAAACACTATTCCCAAGTGAAGGGCTTCACGAGTATCATTTTTATTTTTTTTATTTTTTTTTTTTCTGTGTATTCGTCGGACCATTGACATCCTTTTTTCTTTTTCCATTATACCTCGTTTTTATGCTGTTGAGCGGTATAGAATCCTCAAGAAAGTAGCGTATAGAATGAAAAGCTTGCTGAGCCAATCTAGGAACACAAAGTTTTATGAGACAGCACCCAAGTCTAAGCCTGCGACAGTTGAAGAAATGTTGGGAGGTACAGAAGAGGTAATAAGAGGATCTCCGATCAAGGTCCGGTGTCCTTATTATTTTGATATAACGGCACAGTCAATTCAACCAATGGATTCTGCGCCGAAACCATTGTATCTATCGCACGACTTTAAGGATCCGATGGATCCCAGGTACAGTGCGGGGTCATTGATACGAGATGCACAACGAAGAAGGCAATGGCTAGCCAAGTATCCATATGCATCATGACTTGGATGGTATTTGTATAGTGCCTGTTGGGTGTTCCTAAAGGGTATCGATGACAAGTTAGATGCATCAATGCTATTCTAAACTGCTTGTCTGGCATGTCCATTTTTTTTCTTTGATAAGAGTCGTCGTGATAAACAAAGCATGTCTAGTATAATATATATCATCATGTATACTCGCGATTTAATATTTCTAACCAAATGTATATGAATATAAAATAAAAGTTCAGTCAGGAACCTGACTTTCTTATCTTACGTTCGATGATTTTTTTTTTTTTTTTCTTGGACTACCACCCATTTTGGCTGGTAATTTATATTCTTCCCGTGGGATGGGATGAAGCACATGCTGTTCTATTGACCCGTGAAATTACTGCATGAGGTAAGTTTCAGAATGCTGGCTGTGCGTCGGCCACATGGATGTTTTCTGTTCCTGTCTCGATCTGTTCTGTCTGTGTCCGTTGCTGCATCACCTCCTCTTGTGTAGCATGAGATCTTTGACTCAGATAAAAATATGCTGTCATACCGCGCCCTATTTTTCACCGCTCCATCTTTTTTTATTTTTTTTATTTTTTTTATTTTTATTGAATGTACTTTGTAAAGTGAATGAGTGGAGGATCAACCTATTCAAGTTGCAAATGGTCAGGAACATGTAATTCACTCCTTCTTTGGGTTTCATTTCATAAAATTGATCTCGATCAATAATAACAACAAGGTTCAACGTCGAAATATATATATATAATATATATAAATGTAGAGCTTCCTTCCATGGCATCGTTGTAAAAAAAAAATAAAAAAAAAAAAACATTCCTTTCTGGATAAGGTTTCGTGGCACGGTTTGACAAAAGGATGATTATTTCTTGTTATTGATGAAAATAGATTAAAAAGAAACCTTAGTAATAAAGCTGAATATATACCATTGACCATGTTCAAATTTTTGGATCTTTTCGACTTTAGGGTGTGTGCGCATTGCTGTGTGGGAATAGTGACAATAAAGATCATGTCCTCGTAAGACAATGTCGTTTAGCGCTTTATTGTTCAACGGCTCTCCTTTTTTTTTTTTTTTTTTTTTTGCTTAGATATTCAGTTGTATCGAATTGCTTACCTTGGCCACTTGGTTTGTTTATAGTAACCTGCTTGCATATGATAGCTGATAGCCCAATGACATGAATCCCCTATTTGAATAGAGAAACCCTCTTCCTCTCCGCCATGACCATCATCTTAATCCATAATACATTGTGCTCTTTCTTTCTCTCTTTGTTGCTTGAGCTGGTGCTCTTGTTTTTTTTTTTTTTTTTTTTGCTCTGATACTCTTTTATTCTTTTTCTCGGGACATGTCAAACGCACATTTCTTCCTACTGTAGGGGATAATTATCATTGCTTGGCTGATTGGTAATAATCGTTTTTTTGTCTTTCTCCTCTCTTTCTCTCTCTCTTTTTTTTTTTTTTTTTTTTTTTTTTTAATCTGCTTCCTCATAGTTGCCTCCTTTTTCACCACTCTTACCTCCTCCCTTTTACTCGCTCCTATCTTTTTGTTCCCCTTCAACTACAATCTACCATAGCCATAGCCATAGCCATTGCCATAGCCATAGTCTATCTCACTCTCACACTCACTCTCAAACTACACACACTCTCTCTCTTTTTTTTTCTTTCTTCACATTCATTCATTATTCATTCAATTCGTCCGTCTGTCGTCAGTTAGTCATTCAGTCTCTTCTTTTCCCATGTCGTCTTGCACTGCAGTTTTTGTCTCTTGCCTAATAATCATGTATGTTATTCCCTTGTTTCCAGGGCTCAATTGCAGCCATCATCGTGTCATGATACTTTCAACCGCGCCTCTTCCTTTAGAACCTACAATGATACTATCATCATTCTCTCTCTTCTTTTATTCTCTACTTACTCATTTGTCCAATTCTTTCTCTCTCTTTTTTGTCTTTTTAAAAAATCAACGATCATTCATTCAAACTGTTCTTGTTCCTGCCTCTGTCCTTGTAACTGCTGTTGGCCTGTCCTCGATTCCTTTTCTCGGTACAGCTACCTGTTGTAGATAAAAGTAACATCTGTTCTGCTTGCTCCTCTCCATGGCACGAGGGAACCGTCAACGGCCACCACTTCACCACTTTGCTGTCTCAGACTCTAATGCCGCCACCAACCCTAACTTACGCATCCCTCCTCGTACCTCAAGCACTATCAACACAAAGACATCTATATCTGCAGCATCTTCAAATATACCCACTGCCATCAGCCCATCCACCCCCATTAGTTCCTCCATTCAATCATTCTCATCTGTCCACTCAACTACTGTCACCTCTCATCTCAATTCTACATTAAAGGATAAAGACAAACAAAAAGACAAAAGCAAAAATAACGAATCAGACATGAATAAGCTTACAAAACCAAAGGGAGGCTTCTTTGGTAGCAGCAAAAGCACCACTAACAGCACCACCTCTGTTTCCAAGAACGCTAATCCCGCATCAAAGAAACAAGGAAATAACCAGGATAACAGAGGCACTACCTCTTCAATCTCCAAAAATGACAGCAGTGCACCTGTCCTTCCACTTCTCCTGTCGGACGACTTTGATTTCTCGCTTCCGTTCCTGAGCGATTCTATATCCACCGCAAACTCATCTTCCTCTGCCTCAAAAGTTTCACCCACTCCAGTCGTGATCACTTCCAGTGCGCCTTTAACTCTCTCTTCCCCTTCAATCTCCGCGCTGTCACCTTCCTATCCTCATTCGAGGCCACCAAACTCGAGCTCCCCACCCTCTCCCCGGGTCCAAGATTACATTGATTCCTCACCAGCCACTCCAGTCTCTACAGCTCCCACGCATGTGCTTCCAAAATCTGGCACCAACAGTAGTCTCTACAACAATAACAGTAGTTCCCAAAAAAAACCTACAGAGATCATTCATCAATCGACCCGACGGGGGTCCTCGCGGCCAGAGATCAGCGACTATTTTGTAGGCAACAACGATGATCTATCCACTAAACAGTCGTCCACCAAGAGTTTGAAGAGCTTAAACAAAGCGACTCATGAGAGTGACTTTAGTAATCATGAGCGAAGCGAAACCCCTGCAAATACTCGAACACCGACCAATGACGATTACCAGACCCCTCCAAGGTTCGTTATCCGGCAGCCATCACGTCCCGCCCTTTCAAATGAATTTGAAACGACTTCAAAGCCCTCGTCTACGATTTCTATGATTAGCCTAGGTTCTTCATCTCATGCTCAGTCTTTAAAGTCACAGCAACGACAACTCAATAGACATACTATTGACACCCCTTTACAGCAAAAGCAGATGTCAGATGTATCTCGGTCAAGCCCTTCACCAAGACCTGTGGCCATTGTGCGAAAAGAAAGGGCGTTTTCTGATGTGTCAACAAGGCCATCGGAAATAAAGTCGCTATCATCTTCTGCTAAATCAAGTCCTGTGTCAACTAAGAGCCTCACAACTGGAATAGAACCAAACAGTCCAAATCTGCGGTCGCGTCTGACGCGTTTGTTTCGTCCGAATCCCAAATCCGACAGGCCCTCCAGTTCTAATTTGGAGCAACAGCGTCGCCGCAGCAGTCAGCAAAAGATAACCAATCAGACTCAAGGATCATCGATTCCGCGGCCAAGGGGCCTGACTGTGCCTGCACCAACGTCAAAAATGCAAGGAAGGCTGCAAGGTTCATCCCAATTGCCAAGCCAGCTGTTGCCACAGTCGAAACTGGAACAGCTGTCTCATCAAAAACAGGAACACCAGCAGGAACAGACAGCTTCGTTATTACCACTAATATTACCAACATCAAATTTGGCATCAAATTTTACACAAGATCTCTCTAGCCAAAACTCCTTCAGTGTGACAGATAACCCTCCTGATATCCTTGTTAGCGAAGGGAAGCAGTATGAAGCTGACTCCAGTAGAGGAGCTGAAAGGTATGGGTCTTTGTTATCTTTATAAACAATTTTTTTTTTGTGCATGGGTCACAGTTGGATTTATTGTGCGTGTAATTGAGATGAAATATGGACCATGTTGTTAAAAATATCCCAAAGTAGGCCTTTAAGAAAAAAAAAAGCTGGGTAGAGATGACATCTTGAGTTGAGAAGTTATTCGGTGAATCATGTGGGAAGGTGTTCGAAATTAAAGGATAAAGACAGTTCACACAAAGTGATGTCAGTAAGAGTGGTTTTGCCAATGAGAGCCCTTTTGAATCCAGAAGTGATGGAGAGCATAACACTGATTGTTGTTTGATGGGAGAGCAAAGGGGCAGCCTAATAACAGCCCAATGCAGCCCACCAAAACCTATACAAAGTCAGTGCTGATTTTCTAGCCGGCTCCATCATTTTGCTCTGGGCTAAGATGAGGCCTTCCCCTTGTTTAAGCCATTCTTTTTACACAATTTCGAATAAAAACCTTCTCTGGGGCTAACCATAGTACATTGGCACCAATTATGAAGGCGTGTGATGGTTTTTATCATTCCAAGGTTCTAACGAAATCTTTTTTTTTTTTTTTTTTTTTTTCATTGTTCACCTCTCCACGCTCCCCATGTCCAATTATCATTTGAAAATTACTCAATTCCTGTTCTGATAGTTCGCCTGAAGATACCCAGAAGTATACACTTCACTCCACCAAGCCAATACTTGCTCAGCCCAGCACTGTTTCTAGCCTCGAAAGTCCTCAGACGATCTTTAACACAGGTGCTGTTCCCATATTATCTTCATCCCCTGCATCGCCTCTGACAAGAGAAGAGAGCAAGGCACGCCAACGAAGAGTTTCATCTGTCTCTAGCAATCATAGTATCAGACAGGTTGGCGCATACGGAGGTGGCTACGTGAATCCTAATAAAATGATATCGCCGGCCAGAAAAGCAAACCCATACTATTCTAGCGTTGTTGCTCGGTTCGCAAATGGCGGTAAACATTCACTCCACGACAGAGATGCCAGTAGCTCCTCTGGAAGACGGAGAAGCATGGTCTCGGTAGGCGGTGAACGAGCTAAAGTTGGGGCCGAAGCAATGTCCAGCCGAGAAAAGCTTAGTTCAATGGATCATCCCTCTCGACGCCCATCGATTGCTTCGACTACTCACAGTGTTGTATATGAAAGAAAAGACAACGGAAACATTCCACCAGTACCACCAATCCCGTCTTGGTCAAGCTCTACAGCTGCTCCTACAATAACACACCCCATGTTTACGGCCGCCTACACAGAGGAATATGATGTTGAAAAGGACAGTGTCAGGGGCGGTGTATACGGACTGCCGTTTGGCACCATTAACGGCAAAGCATTTAAAGAATCTACATTCGATAATCCCCGACTACATATTAATAATCTTTCCGAACCGACAACCCCTCGAACTTATATCCGTCAGCCTGGGACCAAGGAAAAACAGGTAAAAAACAATGATGTTTTAGAAACGACAAGTATTGCAATCGATTGGACTCAGTGCTTAATTGCATTTGACTATTTTGCTTTATTTATTTTGGTAGAATGTTATTACTCAAACGGGTCAGGAGCAACCATCTATTCAAGCTGGACAATCAACAACTGGCACAACATGGTCAACGGCAACAGGTGTTCAAACGGATATCGGGACGATCCCTGATAGCATCAGCACCACCATGCGCACGGACTCTGAGCTTGGACGTGGGACAGTATCGTTCGATTCACATGATTCTGATGCGGATTTGACGCCCTCAGTCACGACACTGTCATCTGCTCAAATTCAGAATTACAGGCAGCAGGGCATCGTTACCACCGAAGAGAATTGGGACGACGCTGTCTCGCACGCTGAAAGCACGCTGCCTGTCGTGCTTGTGCAGCGACCATCGATGGAAGTTTCAATCCTTCCTGATCAGCCACCCTTCGCCCAAAGCTCGCGACCTATGTCTACTGCATCATCAATAATATCTGCTTCTTCTGAAAAAGCATCTCAACAGCAGCAATCACCCAAGTCATCCAAAAAATTTGCATCAATGGGCCCATGGTCAGAGTCTAGTTACGATTCTTGTGCACCACTCCGATGGGACGAATTATTTGATATGGACCCAAACAGCAAGGGACCTCTTTGGCTGAGTGATCGCGGCTTGGGACAGATCCCGCATGAGTTCTTTGATGGACTGAGAAATCTACGTGAACTTTATCTGGATCACAATGACATTAAAGTTGTCCCAGATTCTCTTCTGAAACTTTCAAAGCTAGATGTGCTGGACCTGAGTTGCAACTCAATTAGCAGTTTCCATTCAGCCTTCAAGTTTAAAAAACTTAAGAATCTTAGACGACTCAATCTTGATCATAACATGCTCACAGATATTTCGCCTATTTACAAACTTAAGGCTCTACGGGAACTGCGTTTAAACCACAACTTCGTCCCTTATCTGGCAATTACGATCCATAATATGACCAAACTCAAAATCTTGGCTATGGAGTCCAACTCACTGGCAACACTTCCAGAGACGATGGGCAAGTTAGGGAATTTGTGCGAGCTTCGATTGTCGGACAATAACCTCAGAACATTGCCAGAATCCATTGGATCTATCAGGACCTTGCAGGTATTAGCGTTGCGCTCAAATCTACTGGAGAAATTACCCGAATCTTGGAAAGACATGGAAAATCTCTCGACTCTCGATCTCTCCTGCAACCGCTTAAAGTTTCTTCCTGGCGATATTGTTCGTCTACCCAAACTTACGCACTTGGACCTTCATGACAATCAGATTGAAGCACTGCCTGAAAAAATCGGTCAACTCAGCAGCCTTGTTGTGCTTCAGTTGTGTGGCAACCAACTGCGAGAGCTACCAAGAGATATTGGACGGCTAAGAGATCTCCAAGACCTGGTACTGTCTTTCAATCAGCTGCAGTATTTACCGGATGAGATTGGCAAGTTAAACAAGCTACAGGAACTGAAGTTTAACAATAATCCTCTCCGATCGCTCCCAAAAACCATCCAACGACTTACCAATGTGCGTCGCGTATACCTACAAGGCTGTCTACTGCGGGATTTACCAATTGAATTTGGTGTAGTATTCAGAGACCTTGTTTATCTGGATTTGTCTGGCAATCAGTTTGAGGTGTTGCCGGCATTGGATCAGATGACGAAGCTGGAAGAGTTTTACATATCCTACAATCAACTGCGCGAAATTGGCACTTCGTCACTTAATCTACAGGGATCTGGCAACACAGGCAACAGCTACCCCGGCAATAGCTCTTCCGGTCCTACAGGACCCAATACTGGGCATATTAGTCACAGCCAATCGGGTTCTGGATCGATGTCCCAAAGCGGTTTGTCTGGCAGTGCAGGTTTAGGTAGTACTATTGGAGGCAATATGGCTACAGTACAAGGATCATCGACATTGGGCGGGCCGATGGTCGGTGGAGGAGTTACAGCTAGTAAACTTTCCGAATTGCAGCGGCTTCGAGTGTTTGAAGCCCAAGGAAATCAGATCCGGGTGCTTTCAAATAAGATTAAGCTACTTCCTAAGCTTGAGGTGTTGGATCTGGCAGACAACTTTTTAACATGGTTACCAAAGGAAGTAGGCGATTTGACTCATCTTAAGGTCTTGATCTTGGAAGGCAACCCTATCAAGGCACTACCATCATCATTGTCCAAACTCATGGGGACGCTTGAAGTCTTTAGAATTGGCGTTTGGCCAGAGAATGGATTTGAGATTACGAGGGTATGTGCGGTGCTAGATCCCCTTTTTTTTTTTTCCTTTTTTTTTGAAAAGGTAAAGTAGCAATTATGGAAGACTAATTTGCATCATTCATATTGGTATTAGGATCAGAGTCAGATAAATATGAAGATTAGTGCGATGCAATCCTTCATGCCACAGCAAATTGAGCGGACGCTGCTTATGAGGATGCATGAATCCATTCTCCGACGCATACAGGAATTGGACAGCCAGCAATATCGCGATCAAAAGGACATGGATAAAAGCTCCGCTACACGGCAGGGCTCTAAGTCACTCGTTGTCAGTTCATCACGGCTCTCGGCATCGACCTATTCTCTTGCTGCAAACGCACTACAGTCAACGCGCCCTAACTCGCCGAGTCCTGAGAGCAGATCTCGTATAGGTCTTACTCAGGAATTGACTATTGCCACACAAAATATGATCATCAATCGTAGCTTTGCATTACCACCTGCGTCGCCAAGTGATGACGGAACTTCGGATAAAGGTGCTTATTTGACTGTTAATAGCGAGGGTATTAATCCTCATTATGTCGAGTACAATCATCCCAATATCCGAACTTTGCCAACGCTCCAGCTATCTGGTTTTAAGGGCCACTCAGCACCTATTACTACTCTGCCATTGACATCAAGTCCACAGGCAGTCTCGGCTCCTACAGGCCCTGTGTCTTCTTTCCCATTATTAAACAGCTTGCGGCCCCGCAAAAGCCAACAGCAGTTGACAATCAAGAATAGTCAGACCTCGGGGTCAAGGCCAAGGACTATGTACACCTTCCCTAACCCACTTCAGCAGGAAGCTTCACAGCTGGATCAACAACAATTTTCCCCTAGCTTGAGTGATCGCGTAAGCCGTGTGTTCGATTTCGCGAATAGTGGCAAGCAAAAGAGCGAAGGGGGAATCCGTAGAGTTGAAACCTTGGAGTCATCTCAATTGCCATTGAGCTCAGATACGATGGCGGCACTTGGTTTAGGGACACAATCAGGATTATCCGCCGGTATGGCTGCCAACAACCAAGGCACTGGTCTGCTTGGACGTGGTGATGGATCACTTGCCAGCATCAAATCTTCTATGGCTATTAAGAGCTCTCCCTCCTTAACGTCGGTACCATTGCCGATTTTCCCAACGAGCCCACCATCTCCATTGTCCACTAATCAATCGTCAGGCCCCCAGACTACTAGGGGCTTGCCGGGTCAACCTGTCTCATCTATACCTGGCCGAGGTTCCACGCCTTTGAGGCGTTCAGCTTCATCTATTGGAGGTCTATGGTCCAACTCATCATCTGAAAAGCCTTGGCTACGTTTAAAGTCTTCCCTTACCCCGTCTCAGGAGTTGTATCAAAATCCGATGGATTTTTCTTCGATCACAGCGTCTGTACCTAGCAACACGACTTCAATTTCAACATCGTTACTGATGCCGCAACCCACAGTAAATGGTCAACCGATTTCAAACCCAACGCCGCCACCTATCCTTTTGGACTATGACTTGGATACATCATCCTCACTTGATATCCCTTCGCATCTTTACTATAGCGCTGGAGGCGATGATGTAGATGGTGATCATCCAGACACAGAACGTGATCAGGAGACAGGGGCTGAAAATGAGACTGAAGATGATGATATGGTATCAACAACCACAGGGGGATATGGCACTCACTTTCGAAGTAAGGGCAAAGCGCGCATGTCAGATACAGCCGATTCCAATGCGAGACCATTACAGGAATCGTACTATGTGCCGCATCAGCAGTCTTACTATCAGCAAAGCGCTACGGATCCTGTCTTAAAAATTGCAGTCCTCAAGAGTGTTTACGACCAAATCTTGCAGAATATGGATCAACTTGTGGAGCATAATGTTCAGGAATCTCCTGCCAAAAAGAACAATCGCTTCAAGCTGCTTAACACACTCCGATTCCTAAAAGCCGATCGTAATGGCGGTAGTGGCGCTAGTAGCAGTGGATCATATCAGCAGCAGCAGCCACAACAATACAGTCAACATCACCATCATCAACATTCATTTTCAGGGACATGGTCTGGTCATCACCAGACGGCATCAACCTCAACCCAATAGATATTAAATAGTTGCTAATATTCATGATGATTTTCGTGTTTATGTTTATTCCTCAGTTTATATACATATCTATATGTATTTTCCTTTATTTTTTGTCCGCTTCTTTCATTTTTATTATTGTTTTGTGTTTTCCCATTCTTTTTCCTTTTCTTTCCTCGCCTTACTTTTATTTATTTATTTATTTTATCTCATGTAGTTTATTTGACTATCATAGCGGTTTATACCCCATACTAACATCGTAATCCTAGACAACAGTATCTTGACATCTTGACGTATAATAAAAGAAACAGTACGGAATTTCAGATGATTTTTTTTGACAATCGTGCTATACGCTTTGAGCAGCGCGCAACAGAGAAGATGTAGACGTTGATACAAAAGGGTGTCTGAAAACATCTCACGCATGATTCTTCAGATTAGTCATTACAGGCAAGAAGGTGTGGCGGTGCAATCGAGAGCAACTACATTTCTAATTTGACGCGGCACCTACCACCTACCAGACGTAGAAAATTGGCCATTTGTTTTGTTGGTGTATTTTTATCCGCATCAACACGCTTGTTTGTCCTGTTTCGCTCACCTAATTGATGGTTGTCGACTCTTTGACATCCCATAGGGCACGCCGCATTTTTTAAGCCATGTGTGGATGTGGTGTACTCTTGTAGTTAAGCAACATAAAACACAGAAATAGTAAACCCAGCCATCACTTATAAAAAGACGTTTTCCTGGAGCGAATATCCAAGTCGTTCCCTTCTTTCCTTCTCCTACACCATAATCACTGATTTGCTGCATTTAATCTCTGCAGTATCGATTGATCAGTTGCCTCACTTTGTTTATTCAGATTAAGTCATGTCTGCGGGTGCTCTCCTTACTGCTCGCATCTTGTTAGTGCTTCTCGCCACGGTTATCCTTGTGGCTAGTGCCTTTGTTGTCATCAAAAACCGTCTCTCGCTAGGAAGTTTGACATGGCCTACATGGATGCCTTTGATACTCGCTATCCTGTCTGATCTGATCTACTCGCTCTCACTTGGCAAACGCGCATTTATCTCGCGTGGTTACAGATGCACCTTTTTAGTTCTACTAGCAGTTGCTTGGTTTGTTTCGCCCAGTTACCGGATCAACCGGATGATGCACTATCGAGGGAGGTTTCTCCAACTCTGGAATTGTGGTGTAATCGATTGTACTCTGGCTATGATAAGCGACATCTGTGGGTTCCTCATGGGGCTCTTTGTACTAGTAGAGCTGTCATTGGCATATAATTACGAGCGCAAACAATCACAGAAAACATCGTCTACATCCATTTTCGTGGCACCGACAGCCCATCAACAAACACATTACATTCAATTGGAGCATCAGCACCAGCAGCAACCCGTGGCATTATCATACCCATACCAACACCAAGGATATGATCAAAGACATCCTTTGCAGTCTACACACTACGAACAGCTTCCAGTTACAGTAGCATATCAACCTGCGTCAGCACCTTCTGGCTCTCCATATTATTGATAGTCTGTACCTCTCACAGGCGCTGCGCTATAAAGATTTATAATAATTAACATATCGTAGCAAAAAAAATACATGTAAAAGTATAAAACTCTTGCACTTTTGTACACTCGTGCTCATTTATCTATTGCTTGTGGATCGGATGGCTCCATGATGATTGACAAATAATTCCCGCCAGAGTACACACATGGTATATTTTGGCGGGGTGGATTCTTAGGTAAAGTTCACTCGTTCAGTCATAGAATTGCAAAAGCGCACGTTCTCATGTTGTGAGCTTCCACACGTTGTTCTCATTTGAATGCAGACATTTATCCCATACATCCACACTCGGGCCACAGCCTTCCATAATAAAAACAGCTGCTTGGTCAGGTCCTTTCTCGCTTTCGATGCAAAAAAAAAAAAAAAAAAAAAAAAAAAAACTGATATAAACAGTACGAAGAGGGGCATACGAGATTGCAGAGACAAATAGGTTGATATGTATAGAAGACAACTAGATGTGCATCTTTCCTTCACTCTTTTCTCTTAGTTCTTTTTCATTTTCCCACACCTATTGGAAGAAGGAACCATTATGTGCCAAAGTATCTATTTAGCTCCTTGTTGACCACCCTTTCTATTTTTCTTTTAATATTCATTACAAGAACCCCTTCTATTTTATCAGAAACTCTCATTGCGCCACTAAATCAGAATGAAGGTAGATGAAAGAGAAAGATGATCCCGATGCTGAATTCAAGCAAGTTCTATTTCTTCATTGACTCTGTTACTCTTTTTTACTCTATTTCACGTCTTGTAGTTTGGGAAGCAAATCCAGTTCCAACAGATTCCGGAATGGCAAAGCCATTACATGAACTACAAGGGTCTAAAGAAAATTATCAACTCGCTTATTCAGGAAAAGACTCTGACTGCTGTTACTATCACAGCTTCACCTCCACCGGGATCTGATCTTGTTCAAGACTCCGACGATGTGAACTCTCCTGACCTTCAATCGCAAAAGGCAGCCTTCTTTTTCAAACTAGAGCGTGAGCTTGAGAAAGTACTTTAATGTCCTTCATTAAAAAAAAAAAAAAAAAAAAAAGGCGAAGCAACCGGAGTACCTTTGTGTCCCATGCATTGACATCGCGTAAATTTTTTTTAGGTGAATTCATTCTATCTCCAAAAAGAGTTGGAGCTCAAGGTGCGCCTACGTTCGTTAATGGACAAAGAAAAGGTGGTTTTGTCGCGCCAGGGACGCTCAGGGACAAATTCCTCTATCAACTCGCTAAAGGAGGCGTACAGACAATTTGAGCATGATCTCAGCAAGCTACAGGTTTGTTATGATTGTAAAGATGTTTATAGACTGAACTCCAAATTCTGCGGTGTTGTATTCATTCGGGTTTGACTTTTTTTTTTTTTTTTTTCGCACAGAAATTCGTGGAGACCAATGGTACCGGATTCAGAAAGATCTTGAAAAAATGGGATAAACGATCAAAGTCAACAACAAAGGAACTCTACTTGGCCCGTCAGATTGATCTCCAGCCATGCTTCAATCAGGAGGCTATGGTGGATTTGGCAGATAGTGCTGCTCATCATCTCCTTAATCTAGAGAGTATTCAGCAAGGCCAACCTCCGTCTGTTCCCTCCAGTCCGGCCATTGTAAAGCCTATGCATGGTACAGCCATTTACCCTTTTTCGTCATCCGTCCAACAATTAATGGATGAGCTAGAATCCGATCTTTTCAATGCCATTATCACAAATCAGTCAATTGTAGTACAAGAGATCCTGACCCACCGTATCCAGACACCTTTAGCAATCCAATCTAGTAATTTTGGGATGGAAACGCTACAAAACGTTGTCAGCAGCAATAATTTGAAGCCAGGCCATGCTCGCGAGGTCGTATCACGTGTACTCTGGAGATGCTGCTCCGAGGATGGAGTCTCTGATAATTTTATTCAGCAGCTAGTGGACACTGGGCTGGTTAATTTTAAATTTGTAGATGATATCAGTGACCGCAACTGTCTGCATGAGGCTGCAATGGTCGGAAGGTTGCCGTTGCTCAAACTCGGAGTAGAGCATGGAGTTAGTCCCGAATCCACGGATGTGTACGGAAGACGGCCTTTGCACTACGCCTCGATGCATGGATTCGCCGATTGTGCCACTTACCTGCTATCATCAGGAGCATCCATGACTGCGACGGACCATGACGGATGTAGACCATTCATCTACTCGGTCATGAATGGTCACGCTAAGTGTGTCGAGATCTTCTTGGCTAGCAACGTAGAGATCGAGCCTTGCAAGGAAGGTGATCCTATACCGCTCAGTCTTGCTTGCCACTATGGCCACGAGGACATTGCCATGATGCTTATTAACCGCGGTGCAAATCTGCATGCCAGCAATGCTGATGGATTAGAGCCATTGCATATCACTTGCCGTGAAGGACATACTCGCTTAGCCAAGACATTAACAACAAGAGGAGCACGTTTAAATCAAGAAGACAAGTATATGTGCTGGACACCTTTGTTTTATGCCGCAAGCGAAGGGCATACTGAATGTGTCAGAGTCCTTCTAGAGGCGGGTTGCCGTGTTAATGTGGTGGATGAACACGGAGAAACTCCTATTTACTATGCAGCAAGTGAGGGCCATGCAGACTGCGTTGATCTTTTGGTTCAGGCTGGAGGAAGAGCAGAAGGAATAAAACCACCTGAATCAGCCTCAGACATTGTTATGGAGGCTGCTTCATCAATACCCAATAGCATTATGAGTGCTCCTGCAATAGCTATAACCGACTTGGAAATGGCAGTGGATCCTGAAGGCCTGACCACCATAAATGATCTTGACATGGAATTGATCCCATCACTTGCACTTCCACCTCCCATCATTCCTTTCAGGATCTATGGACATAACTACCTAGACAAAAAACACCAAGTCAATCTTACGCTTGGGCATTTCCCTCAAGATCAACCTGGAACCCCTTTCGGCCCTGTTCGTCTCTACGGAGCTGCTCAAATGTCCTCATTCAAGCTTGTCATCTCATCTCGACCTGATAATGGCATGATTCCGCATAATGTAATCTTGCCCTTGGGAGAGAGCAGGAGGATATGCGGCTTCCAGGTTGATTCGCTTGACCATTTCACTGTGGAGTTTGACATATTCCCCACATTCGGGTCCAAGCCCATTGGTCGTGCCGTTGCTTTGCCTAGCACGTTTTCCTCAGAATCGTCCTCAGTCGGCAAAGATATTATACCCTTATTTGATGCACACTTAAAGGTTGTTGGTGAGCTTGCATTTGAGTATACAGTCATTCGACCTTTCCAAGGCGTCCAACTTGAAGTGGGAGGCAGGCTAGAGACATACTGGAAGTCGACCAATAGCATCGATTCTGTTGTTTCAACGGCTGCATCAAGTGCCCTTGATGCACCCTCATTAACGCCGCTGAGCACATCTACTTATCGTGGGATTTTACCTCATCCATCACAACAGACATCACTATCAGGAAGCATAGTACCATCATATATCACAGCTTCATCGCTATCGGGAGAGTACATTCAGCTCTCGGTCCAAATGACTCGTGATTTTGTGCCAGTTGTATTTTCTAGCTGGAGATTGCCTGTGGAGGTGTTTGATGTGGCCTTGTCAGATGTATCGTTCAGTCAGCTTCAAAAGTTCAAGGAATCACTCAAAGATTACAATGATGCTGAAGAAATGGAGAGTATTAATAGTACCCGGAAAAGTAGCCAGTGGAGACGCATAATATACGACCGATGGATGAGCTTAGAACAGGCACTCAAGGTTCGTCTTGCGTTTTGTACGAATCGGTTTTTTACTCATGCTTTGTGTGCTAGTATGATCTAATGTTTGATTTTCCCACTTTAAACCCTTTCTCAGATTTTGCCCAAACGCATTGGAATCAATCTGGAATTCAAATACCCAACGTCCTCTGAGAAGCGATACTATAGACTGACAAATACTGCAGAACTTAACAAATTTGTGGACACAATCTTACAAACAGTTTATGACTCATCTTCAATAATACGACATCGCAGCTTTATGTTTTCGTCATTTAATCCTATCATATGCTCGACCCTCAACTGGAAACAACCAAATTGTAAGTTCGGGTTATGAATGGATCAAATAAAACTGAGAGTGCTTTATGAGGTTCCTGACAATATATATATGTATATTTTCCTATAACTAGATGCCGTGTTTTTCAGTACGTATGGTGGGTACAATCAACGACGCTCTCCCCTGATCACAGATAGCACAGACGCCACTCAGCGTAACTTGAAGCGCAAGGAGCCTACCGACCCTGAGCCTCTTCCGTCACCAAAGCATGGTTCAGCTGCGGCAATATTTTCTAGCATGGATGATGGGCACATGGGTGTAATTTCCAGTGCATCATCTGACACTGTCGTCTCCGCATCGACAAGTGTTTCCAACTCGCCTTGGCTCTCTAATGTTGTCGAAGGCAGCATAGGGGCTCTCGAGAAAACAGGAGGCTCAAGCACATTTGTGGAAACTGATAGACGATGCACGTCGATTAAGGAGGCTATAAAATTCGCGAGAAGCAATAACCTTTTGGGCGTGATCTGTGAAGCAACTCCACTGATCCAAGTTCCAAGTCTGATCACCCATATCAAGAAATCCGGATTAATTTTAGCAAGCTTTGGCATGAGTAATCGGAACCCAGTGCTAGTACAGGCCCAAAAGGGCCATGGCGTGGATGCATTCATGGTCATTGGTATTTATATGGATGATTTATATCAACGACAGCATGTCTCACCACATGGACGAGGAAAGACTGGATTAGGCTTAGATATAGCGACCGGATCAGTATCAGGGACTTTGAGGTCACCAAGGTCTGGAGCGGTCAGTAGATTACAACTGAACGAGCTTGAAGAGGGTGTTTTGAGATATCAAAATGATATCGGACCCGGTTCCTTGGGTATCTAAGTTTGTTACCCAGAATGGCATTGGCAGTTCCTCGAGTGATAATGGATGATAGAAATGAGATAGGTGCGTTGGCTGTAGTTGATATTACTTGGCATTGAAGGCTTTCCCTCTGAAGGATTTATTTCTCCTGTACTCCTGTGCTCCCGTAGCCCAAGTTCTTACTCTCCTATTTGAGTTTGTGTGCTCTAAAGGAATGAGCACCCAACAACGCCTGCTTTTAGTATCGGATGTTTGTTACTTTCTTAGCATCCATTGCTTTCTTTGTCTATCTGTCCTTCTCTCACAATATCTTTCCGCCTTTGGTTGCCTCTATGGTTTGTTGGCACTCGACGCTATCCTCTTCACATCGCAAAACCCAAATAATAAATTTTTCGTCGTTCTATTAGTCTTTATATTGTACACTTTTGGTAACAGTTTAAGGACATCGCGTGTATACTCATTTAGAGCCGTACATAACATTCTAACAAGATCCACTTTGCAGTCTCAAGTGTATCATTCCATCCTTTGCTAAACCTCAAAGCTCGTTGTTGTTTTTTTTTTTTTTTTTTTTTTTGGATAGACAAATGAGCGATTCACTTCCATTACTTCTGTTACGCTTTCTTATGCCCCCTTTTCACACAAAACAGCCCAATTCAGGTGCATAAGATGAATAGCAGATAAGGATTCAATTACATCCAAGAGCACTGACCCCAAACGATGGACTGCATCTCTTACCCTTTTTTTTTTTTTTTTTTTTTTTTTTTTTTAGTTTGTCGCACCTGCAACAAGTGCAGCTGAGGGAAGAGTTAGTAATGGTGACGATGGTATGTATTATAAGCTAATAAAGCAGACAGCACCAGATGCGATATTGATAGTTATTTTATTCCTCTTTCTATGCACCCCTATCCTAATATTCTTAAGTATGCCTTGAAGCCTCCACTTGCCTGATCGGAACAAAGGTACCATCACCGCCGACTCCAGCAGGACTAACCAGCCCCTCACATATTAGCCTCAACTATACCTGATCACAAAAATAACATCAAACTTCTTTCTTTCTCTCTCCTCTCTCTCTTTGTCTAGTCTGCACTCAATTGTGCTCCACAGAAACAAAGATAATCCTTTCTCACCTCAGCCGTCCGTTACCCCTTTGTCACCCTGATCCTTGCTTGCCCAGATTTGCATGTTTCTCTACTGCATGATCCCCATGCTCTTCCATCGTTCGGCCTTCCTTTTATGCCTTTTTTTCTTTAATATATTGTCTTACCTCACATTGTTATTTCCTTCCATACTTGCTGCTCTCGCTTTCACACTACTATGTACTGTCTTTAATTATAATACATACATTAATATTTGTTCAGTAAGTGAAAAGATATTGAAGCGGGCCTTATAACAAAATAGACAGAGCAAATAAACAGATACCCAACAGCGCCACACACAAAATCATGAACTACGACGCGGAGTTTGAATTCTCTCATGTGCGCCTCGCAAATTTCAAAAAGAGATCTTGCTCAATGTGTTTGCACTATCTGGCCCTATGGTTTTGTGTGGGTGGATCCATTTTATTACTCTTGACAGAAATTTTGATTAGTACCAATATTCTGTTGAGCACAGCTTGGGTAGAAAGAGTACTTCGACAGGGCTTAATAGCGGGAATACAACAAACAACAATTATAGCGACAACCACTTCATCATCAACAATAACACCTTTTCCATATAATACAATTTCACTACCTAATAAGGATTATACGACAATTGCTGAAGATGTGCTCAGCAAAGTTAATGGGGAAGCAATGGGCTGGGTTGTCTTGGGATCGGTAGGATTAAGTGTCTGTGTATGGGTCTGGGAATGGATGATACGGGCAAGATCCATCATCAGATCCGACTATATCTCTCAAGCCTTCGTGGATAGAACGGCGTTTAGGCTCTGGAGTCTAAAGTCTTATTCACATTTCTGCTTGCTCATCCGAATTCCATGGGGCCGTACTATACGCCAGCGAATGGTGATGGGGATTTACTTTGGTCAGCAAGGCATGTATATATTGAACACTCCATCAAAAAAGATTTCATTGGGAATTGACCAGGGCCCATTCTTTGTGTCACCATGGCAATTAACGCGTCAAAGACAGATGCTCTCACATGCAATCAAAGAAAGAACCACATGCATTCTTTTTTATTTTTCTTATATTTACAATTCAAACACCGATACTTGAAACATCTTCAATTAGGATGGATGTCTGCTCTTGTCATATTTCCACGGTTAATAATCTATGGATCAATTCTCTACGCAGCGTGTTCGGTTCCTGAAATGGAATTGTTCTCATATGGACTCCAACAGCTGCAATTCGAAGGATCATCATCTCCTTCTTCATCTCCTTCTTCATCGTACAGCAGTTTGGAAGGTGGACTTTTGAAAGCTACGTTGATGGCAATAGTAATTTCATTCAACATCCACATCCTTCGCCTTCTCAGAGTATTGCTTTCATCCATTGTCGGCATTTGTATCATCTGTTGCATTGGTCAAACCAACAAAGCCATGCGTAACGACCTTATTTCCAGGTACTAGCTATAAAAGCTATAAAAATACTCGCCCTCTTTTTTTCCTTTTAGCCAGAAGTATTAATATGTTCCATTTCTTGACTACATGACAGGATTGCAACATTAATTGATGAGTTTCATGCTCATTCTGATGATTCTCAAGACCATACAAAAGGGATCTACGCTGGGTGGTCGTCATTCGACTATGAATATGACCAGATTGCCATGGAGCATGATCAACCACAAGGAAATGGACAGGTTATGAAATCTGAAACGACACAGTCAATTGCGGACCACAATCATAGTCGTCCGGACAACATGCTGCTCAGCCCAACCTCAAGTGACAGTTCTTCTGCCAATGACCTCACCCTTCTAAAAAGTCCCTTTATTAACACAGAAAAGGGAATAAATAATGAAAAGGAGAAAGTTGAGATATTAGCGACAAGAACTACCGTCGTCGACTTTCCTACTAGCTCTCTTGCTCCTCTGGCAGCTGCCCATATAACATTGCCATCACCGGTAGTACTAGCAGCAGCAGCTCGTAACGAACAAAGCAACACCCTTCTTATGACACCACAGCAGCCAAATATATCTGTTGAGGCATTTGGTGAGCCCCAACTAACGGCTGTGACCACAAATGTCTCTGTCGACAGCCCACAGACTGTAATGGGGCCTATCAAAGGCTTAACCACAAAGCCGAACAAAAGTCATCCATTGCCAAGCAGCAGCTACAAATCAACACTATCTTCCTATGACGATTTATTGAAGAGTATTAATGCGGAGAAGATATTGTATCAGTCTCCATTGTTGCACCAGTCACCAACTGGTCCGCTTCAGCAGCAGCGAGGATGGGTAAATAACAGCTATAGCGATTGGGAGTCCGACATACCCGTCAATAGCCAATCCACCACTATGCATTCAATCGTATACCGCAGTGGATTTAAAGACCGAGTTAGTATCGATAGAGCTGTACACCCGTTTGATACCATCGAATACTCCCATTCAACCAGCACTATACAAACGTATCATCAGCCTGTTATGTCGCATAACAGTAATACGCATAACAGTAATAACAATTTAGACACTCTTATGATGACAAATAAGCACATATTCTCAAATATCAATAATGATATCCATGATGAGAAAGCAGGCATCCGTGCATCAGCAGTACCGCACCAGGAGCAAGGTATTCACTTAATAGGATTCTCGTTGATGGAAAGTTTGAGTCGAAGTGAAGGCTTGGATTCGCAAGAAACTATCGAATATTGGAGGACTCATGTGGAGCCTAGTTCACCAACTATACCTACAGTTAATTATGGTGACATCAGCAGAGATAATGAAGGTAGTAAAACTGGTCAGCAGCCACAGCCACAGCAATACGGGCTTGAGGATATAGCTATGGCGGGTTTGGATGGTGGAGTTTTTGATGGCGTTGGCTCTAGACGAGGCACTCTTCCCATTACCTCGTCGAGTCGTTGTCTTGTCGAGCAACCACAAACACTAAATTGTACCTTGGACAGCCCATCCTTGCACTATTCGACTGCGGACCTTGGAATGCCCCGCCCATCATATGCTTACGCGTATGGCCAACTAAGAACACAAAGGCAGGGGAGCATGAGCAGCAGTGCTGATGGATATAGCTGCTCTATTGCTTCGTCGCTATCTCTCGCAGACTCACTCTCGAATCCGATGTATCATCAGCAGCTTCAAGGGCTTGCGATGACAACGAATGCACCCACAGCGCGTCATTCTTCTCATGCCTTTGCTCGTCTTCCACGCAAATACTCCCTTCCAAGTTCCGTACACAAAACTTCACCACGACTCCCACCATCTCAGTATAACACCCGGAGGCCTAGCCGCTTGAGCAGCATGATGGCGAATCAGGTTGATGATGAGGACTTTGGCCTCATTGAGTGTGCTACCAATCTGAGGCCACAACAGCTACCATTATTGTTGTCATCATCGTCACCGTTTCATAAGAAATCTCACTACAGAAGCCATAGTTTAGGCTATTGGCCTCCGGCTGGAGCCAAAATATTCAATGATATTGTGCAAGATGATGACCCAACTATGATTGACCACACCCCTGCCCTACCTCCGGGCACCATTATTTTCAATGCGGCAACCAATGGCAATGATTATGAAAGAGCTATGGAGCATAATCAGCATCAATCTCTTCATCCATTGGACTCACCCCCCCTTTTACAGCAGCATCATCTTCCACGGGCTGGCAGCGATCAAGGGTATTTTTACGACTATGATGGTAGCAATCGGTATTCAGCAGCTTGCCACGGTAATTACGTAGCAAATAATTTCACGAAAGACGTTGATGTGCAGGCAGCCTGGACAAAATCGTACATTGGTTTAGGATTAACATTTGGGCCAACAGATGCAGACGCCCCCATGCACATTGACAATAGGTTTCTTTCTCGACTAAACTCTATCAAAGACCACACGGACAATTACTCAATAGGCTTCAGCAACGACAATAGCACTAATGATGTAAGCAACATCATTAATTATAGTGACTGTGTCAATCATGAGTATTATTTGTGGACGAGGAATGGCCGCGCCAAGTCAAATTAATCAAGTCAGACAACGAATACTATGGTGGCTATGACCACGACCAGGGTTACGACCAGGATCACAACTGCTATACCTGCCATGAGTACGACCAATGTCGGATATGAGCATGGCAGCCATAAATAATCCCTATTGCTCAATGAAAAATGAAGATCACGACGGCGTAGATACAACCGATGATGATGATATCTATGAAGAAGTATTTATGAACAGCCCAATCCAGCAAAGTGCCAGCAGTATGGAGTGTTACTAGGTCAGCCATAATAAGAATATCCTAATGAAAATTATCTATATAACAAATAACAACAACAACAACAACAACAACAACAACAATAATAATAATAATAATAATAATAATAATAATAATAATAATAATAATAATAATAATAATAATAATAATAATAATAATAATAATAATAATAATAATAATAATAATAATAATAATAATAATAATAATAATAATAATAATAATAATAATAATAATAATAATAATAATAATAATAATAATAATAATAATAATAATAGTAACGATAACAATAATGATAGTGATAATAAAACCACTCTTCTTGAAAGCGAGAATATTCCCATCTTTTTTTTTTTTTTTTTTTAAGTATTTGAGGACTAAGACCGTGTTTTGTTGACGGCTTTTAATTTTTATTTTATTTTTCGATCTTTATCTTGCAATAATTTCACAATCAGTCCTTTACCAAAAACCCTCCTTCTCCTCCTCTGAACATAATAACGGAGTTCCCAGATACAACGGCTTTTGAGCATGACATCAAGGATGATAAAACATATATGTACTCGTAGCAATCCGACAGTATTAAGGTCGCTTACTCGTTTATCATCAATAGTCGCTACTCAACAGCAGAGGAAAGTTCATACACAGAACAACGAGGCAAGCCAAGCTGCAGTTGCAACTGCAACAATAGGCGGCCGTACCACCATACATAGTCATGGTTCAATCTCATTGCCATTGTGCTCAACCTCTTCAATGATGCCCAAGAATGAGTTTGATCCACCTACACAGATATCCAAGATCAACACTCATTATTGCAGGGAGCCACAGTTGGTCATGATCGAAGGATTCGGCTTACTTCAAGGTCAAATGGATCCGAGTCGAGTATTGACAAAGTATCTGAATGTCCCTTTTGCGACTGTCCATGATCCTTACGACCATGCAGTGGCTCCAGAGCCTTGGAAAGGTATTCGTGATGCGACTATTCTCGGGTAACAGAAACCCCTTCCCTCATGTATTATGCATCTATGCGTTCCTTTTGATTTATCGAGGCAAGAATCAATTGATCTCCTTTTTTTTTTTTTTTTACAACATTCTAATATTTCCTTGCAATCATGTGCAAACGTTTCACATGCTCTGCTGATCTATTTTAGACCAATGTGTCCTCAGGAAACCCAAGCCTCCAACAATCTCTCGACTATGATGAATGGGATACCCGGGCCAGGCTTTGGATTCTCGGAGCGAGATTGTCTGAATCTGAATATCTTTGCACCACGTTGTACGCACTATGAAAATGTGCCCGTCATCTGTTATATCCACGGAGGATTGAGTCATGGTGGAAATGCACTTCCGAAATATGGTACGCACGTATGGATAGAAGGAGAAATAATGCATTGAACCTATCTAATTCAAAAGGTTTTCATTCCTTGTTTGCCTTGAGTAGATGCAACTAATGTTGTTAAGCAATCTATTGCTAATGGAACGCCTGTGATTGTAGTCACCATCAACTACAGACTTTTACCATCTACAAAATTGCTTGAAAGCTCATCATCGCTATCATCAGGAAGAGAGGAAGAGAGGGAGAAAGTGGACTGGGGACTTCATGACCAAAGGCTTGCATTGGAATGGGTTCATAAACATATCCACAATTTCGGAGGAAATCCAAAGGAAGTAGCTTTAATGGGTCATTCCAGTGGTTCATCCTCTGCGGGATACCATCTTTTGAGTGTTAAGCAGCATGAAGGCTTATTCAAGAGGGTAATCATGCACTCAGATGGACTATCATTACGGAAAGCCACTAATGATCAAGTTGACCAGCAGCAGCAAAAATATGTCTCTACGCAGCCTCGGCATGATGCTCTTTCACAAAACAAAACCTTTCCTTTGACTTGTCCAGAACAAAAGACAGTCTATTCTCAGTCAGAGCTTAGTTATATGAAAACGGTTGATATCGTTAAGATAGACAGAGAGGTGCAGGAGAAGAGAGGGGAGGAGGGAGGTGAGAATGTAGGAAGTAGCACATCATTCTCATTCATGTCTGATAGATGCCTGCCTTATATGTCTGAGCAAGAGAAACGAGCAGGTTTTTGTACTATCGATCAATGGGTCAAATTCGCTTGGGGCCAAGTATAGTACCAATGAGAAAGAATTAAAATCAGAAAAGAATGTACAATACAAATGGTGACACCAGTAACCTAGGAGTATGTCAATATGACCATTTCATTTGGGTTAGTACATTGACGATAAATACTGACCACAGCTTGTCATCTTCGATTGGATCGATCGAAATTCAAGGCCACAGCCAATAAAACGGCAAACGAGATCCAACAAAGCGGTTTTGGTGCGAGACTAATTGGGTGGCGCATTTTCTGTGGCGCCCATCTTGGGTTTGATTTGGTTTGTCATCCAATTTGCCCTGTGTGGTGAAGGGAGAAACTATAAAAAGGTCTCGTCTGCGTAAAACCAAAATAGAAAAAAAAGTCCTTGCTTGCAGATACACAACACTCCGTTTGAATTCATAATTTATCATGTCGCGCATCCATCAAGCTTACTTTGACCATCTAGTTGCTATCCACAACCACCTGCGCCATGAGCTCAAGAGTTGTTTGCGTACATTGCCCACAGTGAGCCAACCGGCCTCAGTTAGAAATTCTCTCCGAAACGTCCTTCAGTTCTGTCGTCATCTCCAGGGCCATCATGACTTGGAAGAACAGATCATTTTTCCAGTCTTTGCTGCTGTAACTGACATATCTCATTGGAGTCATTCACATGAGGAGCTTGAACATACATTAGGGAAGATCCGGGAGATGGCACAGAAGGGTTTAGATCAAGATGGCAAGGGCTTTTCTACAGATCAGAGAGAGAATATTGTGGACGAGATGCAAAAGCTGTCAGATATTGTCCTCCCACATCTCTCGGATGAAGAGCACTTGAGTCATCCGGATGAGACCATTAAGCTTTGGCCTACTGAGCGAGAACTCCAGCGAGCGTTTCCTTGGATGAACTAGAATATAAGATGATTTCAATAGGCCTATTCGCTTGATTATATCTCACCTTGGTGTAACATATCGCTTATAGCTTTCTACACTTTTAGTTAAAATGACAGTTATATTAAACACATTCTTTATGTATAGAGACAACTAGCTGGCTGGAGCTGAGCCAACGTTCATGTTCATGTTATAACAGCTTGGCTATCTGGAGATATGGCTGGGGTCAGGATGGGTGCCTCTGAATCGAAACACATCACCTCCATCGCTGTCCGGCCATTCTTCTGCATGCACATTACGACACGTTCCTCACATATCGATACCCTCCAAATCGCTGCATCTGTTTTGGTCAGCAAACGAATGAACTTGCCAGTCTGGCGGTCCCAGAGCTTGACGGCGCCATCATTCCCTCCAGTCACAATTCGTTTAGAATCAAAACATAAACTTGTCACAGACTGGTCATGCGCTTGGACCCTGTACTGACAAACCATAGAGCGCAGATTCCAGAGATACATGAATCCATCTCCTCCACCAGTCATTAGGCTGTCCCCTGATAACTGAAGCTGCCCAACTAATTGTGTATGCCCCTGCAACGTTGCTAAACATTGTCCCGTAATAGGGCTCCATAGCCGACAGGTTGAATCTAATGATCCAGTAATAATGTACTCACCATTGAACGCAATGGAGTAAATCTGTTGGAAGTGGCCTTGCAGATGCAAGAGGCATTCACCAGTCTTTAAACTCCAAACTCGAGCAGTGCAGTCATAGGATCCTGAGACCAGGATGTCCCCGTGGACCTCAATGCATCTGACTGAATCAGTGTGTCCTTGGAGTAAAAATAGATTCTGGCCTGTTTGAATATCCCAGACACGTAGTGTTGAGTCTCTAGATCCCGTGATTGCAATGTGTCGATACAAATGTTTTGAGTCTATCCTATTTGTGTCATTTGTATCGCTCTGCTGGTCAGTGCTCTGGGATATGGAGAGTTGGTGCAATTTAAGACAGCGAATTGTGCCGTTGTGTCCCGACATGACAAAGCGGCACTTCCCTGTGTCCATGTCCCACACACGAACCTCACTGAAAATAAAAAATCGAAATCAGAAAAATGAAAGAATACATCAGTCATCACAAAATTTCCTTGGACAAGTCGCATAAATGCATGCATGCATTTATGCATGTATGACGTAGAAGAACACAGCAGCAATCATAATAAAATTTGGAAACCCTTACCGATCACATCCTCCAGATACCAGGATCTTTTCATCCGAGGCACCAACACCCTTAACAAACTCTAAAGCCCATACTCCACCCATGTGTCCTTGGAGTGTTCGCAACAATCGACCAGTGGTTGTCTCAAATATTTGAATTCGTCTGTTATCACATCCAACAACGATATGGTGATGATCGAATTGCAACGATGTCACTACTCCAGTCTCTGGTGTAGTGTTAGAAATTAAGCTGTGGCGACCTGTGATCCAATTACGATCAATCATATAACGACGCTTGAAATAAGCTTTATAGGATGTCGTCTGTTGAGGTTGTTGTTTTACTAAATCTGGATTTAGAGATGATGTATCCGCTATCTTTCGGTTTCCATTGGCTAAAGGTGCCCCTGCTGTTGTTGCAGTGATTGCCCCTTTTTTGCCTTCCAGTGACGAAAGAGCTGATAATACACCAAGTCCTTGCGATGAAGAGGAGAAAGAAAGCGATGTGGACGAAGGTAATGCGGACTCTACCATTGACGGAGCTACTTCCTGTGACGTCGAGGCAATGGCTGAGGCAGCAGCCAGTCGTGATGACATGCTGGATCGTAATACAGTTGAGGGAGGGAGCGTTGAAAAAAGCGGGGCCGCTGCGCTTGGGCCGTTTCCAGCTGAAGACGAGAGTGAGCCTTGATTGGCGAGGGAGGCGGCTATATTGTTGTGATTGGTGTTGATATTAGTGGGTATTGTCGGATAAGTCGAGGAAGAAGAAGAAGAAGAAAGGAATGACGATGAAGATGGAGTGGCAGCTACCTCATTCCCCAAGACATCCGTTACTGTCGGCTCAGAAGTATTGGACCAAGCTGAGGATGTGTGAGTAAAGGGATTCAATGATGACTGCCGAGAACCTGGACAAGATTTCAAAGATGATCGATTAGACTGAGAAGTTGGGGTATTTGAGCTTGAATCACTGCAACTACTGCTATTGGATAAAGCCTTCAGGGTGCTCGAGACAGCATCCAATGATGTCGGACTTGTTGTGTAAAAGAAGGAAGTGGGTGGGGCAATATAAGATTTAGGACTTGGTAAGGAGGAGCAGGAAGTTGGACCAAACATTTTGATGCACTGTGCTCTCCAAACCCAGTCTTCGGTCTCGATGAGCTGATGCCAGAAGCGTGACACTTGACTCACTCGTGCGAGCGACTGAGGATCATCAATGAAGGAGAGGATATGGTGGGCCAGTTCCAGGGGTAAGTCGCGTAGGAAATCACGCTTAAGTTTTGGTGCAATGATTGAGTTTAGGAACGTTAGCTGCGGGGTACTACAGACCTCAACTAGACTGGCGAGCAAGGAGTGCTGTAGCGTCAGATCCATTGTTTGAAAAGCACGAATGATGGTGGCAGCGCTCAAATTTGTAAGCTGATACTGCTGGCTTTCTCCTGAAAGAGTGCTCATGGGCATTGTGTCTTTATATGTCCCCGCAGTGTTACTGCTAGTGTTGGTAGAATTAGTTGATATAGGCATTGATGATGAACAGGAGGAGAGGTAGTTGGAGGATGAACAAGAGTCAGCTGGCGTACTACAGGACGAAGAAGACGACGATGGAGAGGAAAATGTCAAGGATGAATTGGAGGATGAGGTTGGAGGAGTTGACAAAGGTCGCTGCTTCTGGAGCAAGGTAGGAAACGGTGTGGAGCAATGATCACACACCTGGATAGAGTTGGTGTTAGACTCGGTGTTGTTATTGAATGTGGATGATATCCTGGCTAAGGATGACATAGACAGAGGTCTCTTGCCAATAAGGTGATTAGGGCCACGACTGTTGCCAGTGCTACTGTTGTTGTGACAATTGCTCGTGCGGCTATTGTTGCTGGAATTCTGTACGACCACGCTTCCAGAAGAGTCTACGTCGCTAAAATATGACGAAGATGACGATGAAATTGAGATTGATCCAGAGAGTCGTGGATGTGTCAGTGTTGGAGACGAAGGCGTGGAGGAGTGTTTGGAAAAAGGAGCAAGTGAGGGAGATGATTTAGAAGATAAGGTTGGAGAAATGGCCGTGAAAGAAGAGTGCCGAGGTGTTGTTGAGGTATAGGGATGTTGGTATTGTTGATGCTGTTGGACGATAGAGGCAACCTGAAGCTTGTTACCAGTGCTGCTTTGAGTGAAATGTAAAGAAAGTCTTAGTCCAGGTCGGGGGGAAGGTGCTGGAGAAAGATAGGAAACATTGGGGTTATTGGGCTGACTTTGGCTGCGTTGATGCCGCTGTTCTCTGGGCAGGAATTTTTCGTGGAGACTGGCACGGTGGTAGCGTTGCGAAGGATCCATTAGGATGGATTAAATGACTGCCTTGACAAACAGACAGAAAGGAATGCAATTGAAAGATGGGATGCAACAGACAATTTAACACAAAACGAGTGAAAAGGATGAGGAAAAAAGAAGCATTTCACATTCAGACAAAACAGTGCAGACGCTAGTCTGGTGATCTAGACTCGCCTCTTAGTGCGAGTAATATTTCATGGCAACTATGTGGTTCTACGGGAAGAAAAGAAAAAATCGAGGGTCCTGTCTTTGTATTGTCTCGAAACATCCAAACAAACAAAGCAAGGAAGAAAAAAAACAAAGGAATGAACAAGGCCCCACTTGTTAATACTTATTCTTTTCTGTCTCTTTTGGTTTGAAAGCAATTGAGAGCAGAATAAAATATGAAGCTCATTTAAGCATCCTTCCACAGGTTGTTAAATGAATTGCTTGAAAGGAAAACAAAAACAAAAGTATTGTTTTGTTAACGTTGTGTTGAGTGCTTCACATATTCATCAATGTCTTGTTTCAAACTTCCCAAGACTGAGTGACACGAGATGAGAATGGAAAGCCACTCACACTTCTCGCAATAGAAGCAGTTGTGAAACAGCATTACTCGTGTATTTGAACAAAGTAGTGCGTTCATTCATTTCATCCATTGGTCCCTTTCACTCCTTTTCTCTCATTCTTTCCTTTGTGTATTTTTTTTTTCTTTAATCATTCTTCTGTACAACTTTGTTCTCCTATCACATTCATTCATTACGAAGCGCGAATCTCCTTCTTGATACAAATGGATACGCCCAACGGAAATACCCCTGGCTCCGCACGGGCACCACCTCCATTGCCGCCATCTCGTCGTCCAATTGCGAATCAAAATAATGTTGCTACTCATCCTTCTGCCAAGGCGCCTGCTCCATCTCCACCGCCAAAACCGAGCTCACTTTCCTCACCCATCCCTCCACGTAAACCCATAGCCCTTTCAACTGCTACAACTCACGTCAACTCATCAACCCCATCAGCCCCAATCCCTGCACCACGTCCAGTCACTCATCACCATACTGGCAATAATAATCTCAATCTAAATAATGCAAGCAATCATCGTCATGCTCCGTTATCATCTTCTCTCTCCTCTACATCGCCTTCTTCCATTGCAGCAGCACATGCTACATCCTACAACTACCTTACTCATAACTCTACCAACGGAACTCTTTCTGCCCCAGCATCCTCTAATAATTCACCTGCCACAGCCCATGTCGCGTCCTTCAACGCAGTCCCAACAGCCACCGTTACTTTAGCTTCAGGTGCTGGTACTAATACTGGTGCCGGTGCTAATGCAAGTTCGTCTACGCCTGCGCATATGCACCCACACCTTCGGAGTCAGACCATTCCAGTCTCACCTTCCTATCTACGTTCGTCCGGCTCGACCTCGTTTGTACCTGCAGTAGCATCTTCTATTGCTGCCAAACAGCAGCTTCTGTTTCAGCAGCAGCAGCACCACCATGGTCACGAAGAAACATCTATTGAACATAGAGATGTCGATGATCATAATCATGATGATGACCTAGAGGCTGACCCGTTCAGTGATAGCAACAATATTGCGACGATTACTCCATCACCCCCTGCAGCTATACTTGACGCTGCACTACCATCTTCCTTTACACCGAGGCCACAGAATCAGCCTTCGCTATTGACTGCCAGACTTCAAAACATATCCACCTCACCGTCGTCATGCCACTCTCCTGTCGCTCAATACAGTTCACATCCATCTACCGCCTCAAGGACTATGAGCTCTCCCCCACCTCCACCTCCACCCAATTCGGTTCCCCCACTACCACAAAGAACACGCTCTCCTCTTGGGGCACATGCATCCTCGGCTCAGCAAACTCTCAGCAATAGCACACCCACAGCTACGCGACAGAATCCAGCTCAAAGACACTCAAGCGTCCAACCTTTACAACCTTCGTTCCATGGGCAGAGTCTTGCCACATCCACACCTACACAGCCTGTACCTCCGCCACCAAGGCGTGCAAGCGTTCAATTAGGAGCGCATTCAACAGCCAACCCACAGCCTAGAGGACTTTTGCAACATTCTACTACCTCAGGGGAATCGATCACGGTTGCCAATGCTACACGCCGTAATTTGACTGCACCTCAGCAAACTTATGACCACATCTCACCTCAACCAAAGCGCGTACTTTCATCTTCATCAACTTCTCCTTCCTATGTCAATACGAGTCTCATTTCCGAACGTGGATTCGCTAACATGGACCTTAGCGACTCTCAATCAGATTCTGATGAGACTAGCGACGATTCTGATAGGGACTATGATGATATTGAAGAATACAACCCATCTGCTAATCCATTTACGAACCTTGCTGATGCATCGCCACAACCAGTGCGGACAAAGTCAGCTTTTGAGCCGCCTATACCACCCACACTGCCCACTCGGCCACTTGCCAAAGTATCAGCGCCTCAAAGACAGGCTAGTTTTATGTCGGATCAAGATGTTGCTCCTGCACTACCTCCAAAGCCTTCGATCCGTAGACGTCCTCAGCCACTCCAGGATTTAGGATCGTCTATGACGTTAGCGCAAACGGTGGACTCTGAGTCAGATGCAGGACGAGTATTTCAACCATCATCACTAGTAACAGCAGGAATCGGGCCATCTGCGACAGATGGCGTCTTTCCAGACTATTCACGATCTAACCGTCGCTTGCCATTGTTCTCGGATGTGACAGGCATTCACGATATTCAGCAAAAGTCACATGGAGTCAGAACTTTTACGATCTCAAACGAACAAGTAGCCACCGCGACTTCCAACATCCGCATCTACTCTGTTTTCACAGGTGAAAATGTATCTTCTTATGGGCATGAAAAGGACACCAAACCAACTGCACTCATGTTTACTCAAAGCCGGCGTCCCGATAATTTGGGACAATATCTCTGGGCAGGTTGGAGTGAAGGGTCGCTTCAGGTGATAGACACAAAGACAAGAGAGGTCGTAGAGAAGAAGAGGGCAGCCCATAAGGGAGGATGCATTATACAGATCATTCGATGCAAGAGTAATGTCTGGACAGTGGACGATACAGGATCTGTCTTTGTTTGGCAGGAAGATACCATGCTAGGTCGTCCCACCATCCAAAATCCGCTTCAGTCTATGACCATTCCACCAAAACAGATTTGCGCTATTGCTGTCCAGGATATGCTTTGGTCTTCAGATGGTATTAAAATACATGTCGCTCGCGTGGGATCGGATGCGGGACGGCCTAAAATGGCGCCCACCACAATGGATATACCCTATGGCATTGGACCACTCACGTGCATGGCAACAATTGCAGGAAGTGGGCAGGTCTTTTCGGGACATGAGGATGGCAAGGTCATCATTTGGTCAATTGAATCTCGTGAAAAGGTGCGGGTCATCAACGTGCATGCCTATAGAATCATGTCGTTATTAGGCGTTGGATCATATCTGTGGGCAGGATTTGCCACAGGAAAGATCTATGTCCTAGACCTACGGCCGGAAGTCCCGGTAGTGATGAAAGATTGGCAGGCACATAAGGACTCGGGTGTTGCCATACTACAGCTAGACGAGGAAGGATTGATTTTAGGATCTCGGCATCAGGTCGGAAGCTGTGCAGAAAACGGTGAGATCAAGATTTGGGATGGACTAATGGCCAAGGATCGCCTGAGTAAGTTGGCTTTTTTTTTTTCTTTTCATTCTATGTACACTATTTAATGGGCGAAAGCTAGTCATCATATATTGATCGAATGGCGCGATTTAATATAACTATTTCTTTCTGCTCTATATCGATTTCGATTTCTAAAAAAAAAAAAAAAAAAAAAAAAAAGCCAAAGGAATGGTAGACCGAAGCAAAGAGTATTGTCAATGGCGTGATCTCAAGGTCTTGATTTGCTCATGGAATATTGATGCTTCTAAGCCTGCAGCACAAGACGTTAACGGTGGAGCAGACAGAAGGCTGTTCGAATCATGGCTTACCAGTATGGATCAAGAAGGGCCGCCAGATATCATCAGCGTTGGATTTCAGGAAATTGTTGACCTTGAAAGCAAAAAGATGACAGCAAGTAAGTAACAGCAAAAAAAATAAAAATAAAAATGAAAGAGGCTAAGGCATGGTACTATTTATTTCTGACACGGATGCACTACATTTCTTTAAAAAAAAAAAAAAAAAAAAAAAAAAAAAAAGAGTCCCTACTGAAGGGATCAAAACGTGTAGAGACGGAAACCATTTCAAAACAGTACAAACGATGGCAAATCTATCTTACCAACAAGATTCGGGAGCTTTATGCACCTATGGGTATTAATTTCAAGCTACTTGAGTGCTCTAATCTGGTTGGCCTATTCAGCTGCGTCTTTATTCGGGATCAAGAATGGGATAACATTCGGTCTGAATGGACACATGTGGACATGGTTAAAACAGGCCTGAAAGGATACCATGGTAACAAGGTAAAAAAAAAGCCACATCAGCACAGCTCATGATACTGCTTAATATGTTGACCTAAACAGAACATGGATAAAGATTCATATCGCGTTAACTTTTATTATTATTTTATTATAGGGTGGAATTGCAACACGGTTGATCATTGATGATACCTCGATCTCGTTTGTCAATTGTCATTTGGCAGCAGGCCAATCTCACACGAGACAACGCAACACCGATGCAGCCAACGTACTCAAGAAGCTGTGTCACCCTAATCCAGCGATCTCCTCATCAACAGTCCATCCAGAAGTGTTTTGGTTCGGAGATGGTACTATGGCGATGGACCATGAAATTTGTTTCTTGTCAGGGGATCTTAATTATCGTATTGATGTCAAGTTTAGCGATGCAGTCGCTCGAGTTCAAGCGCAGGATTGGCCTTATTTGCATATGTACGACCAGCTTCTGATCCAAAAGCTCAAGAATCCCCAATTTGTTTTGCGAGCGTTCAATGAGAGTGAGTTGAGGTTTGCGCCGACATACAAATATGATCCAGGCACGGACACATACGACACGTCATCGAAGCATCGAACACCCGCTTGGTGTGATCGTATTTTATGGAGAGGACGACATGTGCGACAATTGTTTTATAAGCGATCTGAGTGTCGTGTATCAGATCACAGACCGATCAGTGGAGGATTTATTGTGGGAGTTAAAAAGATTGATGAGGCTCAGAGACGTGTTGTGGAGCAGCAAGTGAAGGAGGGATGGCTTAAAGTGCAAGAAAAAGAGATCCGAATCAAGAAGTTAGCCTGGTTGAGATCCTGGGGTTGGACTGATACACGGGTGGAAGGTATTTTAGACCGAGAAGGAGGCGATCTTGCACAAGTGGTAAGGATCCTGTCTTCGGAGTGAGGGTGCAAAAATGCCCTACTGCATGTAAAATACCATAGAGAAAATAAATAAAAAAATAAAAAAAAAAAAAAATTGCTCGTGGACATTCTGTAGGACAACATATTTTAAATTCAAGACAAAAATAATGGTTGGATTGATTGGCAGCTGATTTTATAATTCATCATCAGATGATGAGCTCGAACTTGTAGCAAACTAACTGACCACTAACATATTCGAGATTATAGCTTTCCTACTCTCCCACGCCCAGGTGCTGTTGCCCTTAACGGACAACCATGCTCAACGGAGAGATCACAAACAATCTTCTCTCTTATTTTTTTTGCTCCCAACATCCCAACAATATATTCATTCTCTCTTTCCCATATTCACCCTCTGTGAAGTGAAAAGATAAAAAAAAAAGGTCCATTCAACTGGATCTCGCTTTATCCATTCCGCTACACCAATAATACAGGAATTCAACATCTCTGTTTCAGCGAAGCACCTATTGATATTTCCACTAACTAAATGGATTCAGAACTTCGTATTCGTAAACCAGCAATACCCAAGGAAGATGAAGAACTAACTTCTAGTGAAGACCAAAATCAAGAGTCAACGCCTCGTCCTGCGAATGGAACTCGTACTCAAGTCCTGAGCGATGAATTGACTGAGTTCCCAAAAGGTCATAAACTGACAGCAACACAGAAGGAGAACCTAGTCAAAGAATCTGCGGAGACTGCGTATGGGAAGACACCCAACGGCACCAGTACGTACTGCTTTCTCTCCTTTCTTTGTCTTTCTCTCCCCCTTTTTCCTTCGATTTTTTTTTTTTTTTTTTTTTTTTTACCGATAACCAACTTTATCATTGCTATAATACTTCTGAGATCGGTAAAAGGGTTATGGATGAATGATAAATAACTAAAACAAGAGAGAAGTAGATGTAATGGGATTGTGGAAGTTTAGATACTGCATATCTGTAACACCTACATGAATGCTTATATATATGAGTGTGGTATAATGTCATCACAGGAGCTCATAGACAGTGCGTTGACAAGCCTATTAACTTTTTTTTTTTTTTTTGCCCTTTGTTCTGATGCCATGATCAAGTTTTTCGCGTACCCGTGACTAGAGACATGGTCTCGGAGCTATTCGACATTTCGAAGCGTAAATCACTGTTCGATGTACTCACCCTAACAGTTATGGGGATCCAGGTTTTACTGTTTATAACCTTACCCTCAGCTATCAGGCGATGGTTTTTCTTACTCCTGTTTGTCATTTTCAGATCAGGCTATAATGCTGGGTTGGGTTATTTGCTCAAACTTCAGAGTGATCATCGAGGTTTAGTCGTTTGGGCAAGAGAAAAGGGTATCTTTGACAAACGACGCGACAACCCATGGTACAGCTGGCTCAAACAAGAGTTGAGTTGCAAGATGGGCCCTGATTATCGTTTCGATGTAAGTTCACCTAAAATAATAAAGCAATGATACAATGATAATGGTTATAATAAATTGAACATGATGATCACTCACACTCATTTTGTGCATAGTCCGTACCTATCGAATATAACACATGGCTTCTATTTCGTCAACTGGTCGACCTGATTTTGATGAACGACTTTACATCGTATGTCTGCTTTGGATTGTCCTGGCTGACATTCCCTGTCGGGTCAGGATTTATTAGCCATCTACTACGCTGGGTTGGAGGATTGGTCTTATTGTTGTTTAATATCTGGGTCAAGCTGGATGCCCATCGAGTCGTGAAGGACTTTGCATGGTGTATGGCAACATAAGATTGGATTATATTCACAAAAAGATAATGCCATCATTGATTCCAACTAATGAATACTTTATATATATAGACTGGGGCGACTTTTTCTTCTTGATCGAGCAGTCATTAACATTCGATGGCGTGTTCGAGATGGCCCCTCATCCAATGTATTCAGTTGGCTATGCAGGATACTATGGTTTGTCACTTATCACTGCATCATACATGGTTCTTTTCGTCTCTCTCTTTGCTCATGCGGCCCAGTTCGTGTTCTTGACTCTGGTTGAAAATCCCCGTAAGGACCCATTCTTTAAAACATTGTCTTTTGTTGGCAGCTTGTGAGTATTCTAATATTTTTTGAGCATAACCATTAATAATGAGTAAATCTAATTTTTTTTAAAAAAAAAAAATAGACATCGATAAGACATATAGTCCCCCATTGGTTCATAAAAAGCGTACCGTCGTGTTGAGTGAACAGGCACTGAACAATCCCTCACCCGACGCTGACGTAGCAGCCGCTAAACCTACCACAGCCATCACTACTTCACCTAATACCTTATTTATTTTAGGCACTAGTCAAGCATCGTCATTGGTCCCATGCGGTTCTAAAGACATGTACAGTACTTACTTCCGTCGAGATCTGATCGTATTCAAGAATTTTGACCCTTTCCGGGCGACCGACATCTTCGTCTCCTTGATCATCCTCTATGCAACCATTGTTCCGCTATTGTTTTCCAACATGGGACCTGGAGTGATCACATTTTTCATCGTGTTCCAGGCGTTACTCTGGCGAATTTTTCATTCTTATGTCCTTGGGTTTGTGCTATATCGTCAAAGCACCGACAAATTTTACACAAAACACTTCATCAAGCATGGAGGTACAGTTCAGGATGCATTTCAGAGCTGGAAGAGCATTTTCAACCTTTCGAACTCGATGACATATGCTACATTCTTCTTAGCAGCCTTTAAAATGTATTCACTGCCAGAAGATTGGACATATGGAACTGTGCTGCTGAGACATGTATTGGGCTTGGCACTGATTGCGTTACATATCTGGACATCTGTTTCGGTCTTTGAGGTCCTAGGTGATTTTGGATGGTTCTATGGAGATTTTTTCTTGGAAGAATCGTCAAACGGCCTTTTTTACACTGGCATCTACCGGTAAAGGGAAAGCTAATTGAGTTGGACTTCTCCTTGATAATTTAATCTACATTTATTTAATTATTAACACTTCCTTTTTCCTGGCACTACCCATATTGAATGTGTCGTAGGTTCGTCAATAACCCAGAAAAAGTGATGGGCCACGCGGCATTCTGGGGGATGACACTGATCTGCAGCTCATGGCCAATCTTTATTTTGGCAATGTTCTCTCAAATCTCCAATTTCCTATTCCTACACTTTGTGGAGTCACCACATATGCGTAGGATCTATGGCGACAAAGTCCGCAAAGACGCAGGGGTGGTTAAAACTGTTAAAGCGGCAGCGGTCCTGTCCAAAAAAGTTAAAGATGATCTGCACAAGATTCGTGAAAAACTAGGCGAGACGCTTGGTGAAGCTGAGGTCCTCCAAAAGACACGCGAGGTGTCTGAAAAAGCCCATGAGTTCTTTGTGGAAGGGACAATACCCAAAATCCAAGAGATGGTCTCTAATTCGAAGGCAATCCTTGAAAATTCCAGAGAGAAACTATTTGTCGCGTAAGGAGAAGGATCGGACCTCTGTTAAAGCGACCAAGTCAAAAAAAAAAAAAAAAAAAAGAAAAAAAAAAGAGATTGCTAATGTCGCTTTTTATCGTTGATTCCAACTTGTTAACATAGGCGTACTTGGGATGACATGGGGGTGTATGATGTGTCGCAGTACTCAATCAAAATCATATGCGAGAAAGACGCTGCGGAACCAACGACAACAAATGACTCAGCAATGCCAGTCTTTGAACTGGGTGAAAAAGTTTTAGTCGAATGGACGGCCCCTTTGAATCATGGTTCAAAGGATTGGATTGGGATTTACAAGGTCTTGAGCAATACTTCTTACAAATCTACCAATGTGGCTTCCAAGGGACGGTATCTGTTCATTAGTCGTAATGCTGTCACTAGAGGCGCACCTTCTTCGGAGCAAAGCCATCTCGATGAAGACGTTCTGGGTGCGGATGGTCATACAGGTAAAGGTGATGGAGAGGTCATTGAAGAAGAAATCATCTGGGTCAATAATCAAGAAATCTGCCGAGGTCGAGTTGTCTTTTTGGGCGACAAGTTGCCCTGGTTCCCTGGAACCTTTGAGTTCAGATACCACCACCATGGACGCTACAATGTCATGGCCTATACAGCACCTTTTGAGATCACTCGTAAGCCTCTTTTACTTTTTTTTTTTTGTAATTATTTTTTTTTTATCGGTCACCATAAACGTCTCAAAAGCTACGCACATAAAGCTAATTTTTTTTTATTTTTTTTTATTTATTTTTTTTTTTTTTGCAATGGTGAAGTTGAGGCTGATGAGTCAAAGGACTTATCTGTAGACTCGGTCAGTCAGAGACTCCTCCCTTATGTGCAGAGGTGTTTCAGTTTGGATGAAGATACGATGCCCTGCGCAGTGGACGAGCGATTTGTCATGATTAACCAGACAATTGCTCAGCGGATAGTCAAGGGCATCCATATGATGTACGGAATCGAGTTTGCATGGGAAGTTGTAGCAATCGATATGTCTTGTCTTCATTTGGCGATGCGTATTATGACAGCACGACGTGCCTTGGCTCCCTTCACAGTTGCTTCCTCCCCCTCCTTAACAAATGAAATGAAAGCTTCATCATTACCACTGGCTCCTTCATTGTTACCATCTTCGTCCCCAGCATCAACCTAAAGGAAAGATAAAATAAAATAAAAAAAAAAAATGAATAAAATTATGGATTGTGATTATGATTAGGTTTATTATTATTAAGGTGTAATGCTATTTTTGTATCTAACATGCTGGTAGGTGCATTTCTTGGTTATGTCCCGTATCCCACTGTAGTTATGAATAAGGGTGGTATCCGCTAAAGCCTGGACCAGGACTACTGCCCATAGTAGCTATCCATTATTTTAATGAGGAAGATATTATTGATTAGAGCGACTCGTTCCGTCACCGGGACTCATATCGGACACCAGAGCCTCCAGGAGGAGGAGCGTATCCATTATCTCCATGCTGTTGCATTGAGTACTGTGGATATCTATTATGAGAGCCACTGAACCCTGACCCTGGCCCCGATGAGCCTGCGCTATTTCCATTTTGATGTGGATATGGGCCTGGACCGTAGAGAGCATTATTAGACGAGTAAGGATTATATTGCTTTCCTTGACTATTATTGTATCTAAATGGGCCTTGGCAATGTGTATTTGAAACACGAGATTCATTGTCTCCAAAATCCTCGCTAATTGTGTTTTGGGCATATGGCGAGAGCGGCGAATCCGGGCCGCCACGATGGATTTTGGATGAAGGCTTAATCATGGGAAGAGGCTGACCACTACGGCCGCCACGATCACTGCTATTACTGTTAATGTTGCCTCTATTTCTGCTACTAGAGCTAGGACTGCTGGTGGGGCTAAGGGGCATTGGGCTTGAACTAGATGGCAAAGATGGTATCATAGAAATGGTTGAATCTGAAATAGCCATGGAGGCGTGTTCATCTTGTCGATATTGTTGCCGTTGCTGTTGAAGTGGTGATAATGGTTGCTGCTGCTGCTGGTACAAGTTGGGTTCGTATGGTGAATAATGTCTTGAGGCAACATTATTTGTACGGTCGACAAGCACCTGGACTGATCCAATGCTTTCCTTATGACCCATCATTTTTCGCTGATGTGCCCTCTGAGCTTCTTCGAGTGTCGAATAGCAGCTACCGGCGTCGGATGAATAGGATGATCTAGGGCTATCTGCTGCATAGAATTGATCCTCCGAATAGAATTGGTCTTCTGAATAGAATGGCTGTTGCTGCTGATGGTGATGAGCAGGGGTGATGTTGGATGGTGCCTGTCCCTGCGTGTTTCTGCCTCGAATATAGGTTTCAGGATCATCTAGTCCTCGCAGATCACGTCTCGGATCAACATCTTCTTTACCAAGATAGTACTCTGGCACTGATGTCATGCATCCTTGTGAATCTGAAGGTTGCTGTTGAATATCATGGAAATTTGTCGCTGAAGTTGGTGGTGGTGATGGTAATGGTGTTGGCCCGCTTCTTGGGCCTCTGCTGCTGTTGTCGTTGCTCCTATTATCACAGCCGTTAGTGTTGTCAATATGGTCATTGGAGTGATTCTTCTGAAGTGGTGACCGGCTTTCATGCGAGCCGTTAGTGGATTTGTATACATTATAATTGGTTTTGTTGAAATTATTGTTGTTGATATTAAAATTCCCGTCATTATTGTTGTTGTGGTTGTTTCGATTACTATCGCCATTTAGTGGAAGAGGAGATCTGCTACCTGAACCTGGTCCACCTTGTGAAGATGACCCGTTCGGATCTTCTCTCGCCTTTTCTTTAATATATTGCTGTTCCCGCTGTTGCTTCAGATGTTGCTCAAACTGAGCCTGATGCTGCTCCATCATCTCTTCTTGTTGTCTCTTCTGCTGTTGCTGTTGCTGTGCTCTATGGGATAAAAACAGCGTCATGGCCTGGCCATTCTCGCTGTCTTCGGCAGCCAAGGCAAGGGGTCCTGAGATTCCCAAATTTGAACCAGTGTTACTCTTTCCTTTTCCATCGCGACCTTTTGAGGATGTGGTGGCTCTTTTACGTCGCTTGTAAAACACAAGTGCGATAAGTGCCACGAGCAACATGGCTGCCCCGCCCGCAATTCCTCCGATCGCACCTGGTGATAAACCTTCTTTACTACGAATCCTTCCAGTTCTATCGGTAGGGGATGTTGGGGGTGGAGATATCGAACTAGTGGTTGTGGATGAAAGAGAGTTAATCTGCGCTGCAGATTTTGTGCGCGTCGCATGGGGGATCGTGATGGATGTGTTTGTGGGTTTAGCAGCAGCGGTTGTGGTCTTCCGAGGAGGCGGCAGTGTTGTGGTTGTAAACCCAGACATGGTTGCGTGATTTGAAATGAGGAATGAAATGAAAGAGATGACAGACAAACAGGATGGGAGAATGAGTGAAGACTGAGTGAAGAGTGAAGAGTGAAGAGATAAAGTGGAGTGGAGTGGAATGAAGTGGAATGAAGTGGAGTGGAGTGGAGTGGAGTGGAGTGGAGTGGAGTGGAGTAGAGTGGAGTGAAATGGAGTAGAGTGGAGTAAGGAGAGGAGAGGAATGCTAGCAGATATCTTTCAATCTGGGAAGGGGAGGGAGGATGTTTGGCCCTCAAGAAGTGTGAAGAAAAGGTTTGAAGAGAAAAGAGAAGAAAGGAACAAAACAATAAACAAAAAAAGAAGAGACGGATAGTGTTGTACGACTTGGCTTGTGGCCGTTTTCCCATCCCAATTCACAAAGTAATTTTGCCATGCTGGCTGGTCAAACAACATTCTGATGGGTCATTTGTAATTGCAATTGGGTTGCACAGTTGCACAAGAATTAAAAGAATGTCCCTCCTTCCTCTCACTAGTCGGGTTCTGCAACAAAAAAAAAGGGACGAAGGGGGTATACGCATATACATTTGTCTTCTCACTTTAGACATGCTGGCACCGGGCTCTTGATCCTGATAGCGAAGTCTACCCAGGTCTATCTGACCCACGCCTTTTCTTTTCTTTTATTCTCACTAAGGTCTTTCGTTTCATATTATACACCAATATTCATCCGATCTCCTTCTACTCTACTCTACTCTGTCAAAGTATTGAATGTACTCCTAGTTGAGACCGAAGTATATAGTTTATTCTTCATATATATATATATTTGTACCTTTTTAAATTGGCTTTCAAATGTATATCCAGTGAGCTTATGGCACTATCTCAAAGGTAAACCTGCAGGAACTAGAGATCCGACAGTATCTCTCTTAATTTGAATTGCTTCATTGGGAATGTACATACACTTCTCTATGCTCTCGTGCCTGCTCTCGCTCAGATCAACTTTCTACAAGGATATGAATAAATATACCTCATCATCTATGAAATATCGAAATTAATGAATACATTTGTATTGATACATATTCTTCGGCTTCACTCACTCATATGCTCACTCGCTCTCTTTTTCTTTTTTACCTTATGCCTCATTCATGCCCCATTGAAACTGTTCATCATGCATGTACTTTGGATGGGGGCTGCGAACTACTGTCGATCCGAAACGACTAAAAAAAAAAATGAAAATACACTCGCCTCGGCAGAATATGGATGGTGCCTTTTAATGTATCCATTCTTCAATATTCCATTGGGCCTATTATTCTAAAGAACTGTAAAATGTTAGCTGTCGAATCCATCTGCAATTAACTGCTGTATTAGAGGTTACGCTTGAAACAGCCATATATCCCATCTATCACCACTTTCAGGGGATATTTAAAGTTGCAGATCCAATTTTTTAGTCAAACCGGGTATTTGGAGTTTGGAGTGATTAAGAGACAGGGGTAAAAGACAAGCCATAAACATGACAATCATTATTTTTTGTGTACAGTCACAAAGCTTAAAAAAAAAATCACTCGCTCTCCATTTACTTTTTATTTCAATCTCTTCATTCTTTCTCCATCTCCCTCATACATCTTTATATATTTTTTATTATTTTCTCTTTCTTTATCCATACAACTCTTTGTTAGGCAACAGAAAAAAAGCAAAAAAAAGAAAAAAAAAAAAAAAAAAGCAAGAAAACAAGAAAACAAACAAACAAACTACTTTGCTACCTTATCCACAATCATCAGAGATATTGAACATGGCGACACCAACAAGGATAGCTTCAGCTCAAATCAAGAAAGGATTTGCTTCTGTTTGTCTTTCAAACAGCAATAGCTCAATCGCAACAATGTCTCGATTTGTTACCCCTGGTGCTTCTTCCCTTTTTGTGAGAGCCATTTCTCAACATGCGCACAAGCATCACACAACATTCCATTGTCAAAGCCCAGTAACCTACAATCACTATAACAGAACTAGTCGGAGAAACTACAGCTCAAGGCCAGCCGATTTAAATCATTCTCTTCATCTTGGTAAGAAAAGATACAACGATTTTTTGGATACACATATGACAAAAGTATTAAAAAAGGAGGATTGATAATCCATGAAAAAATTATTAAATGCCGATCCCATTCCATTTTAATAAATCATTGTAATCTGGCTTTACCATCTTTGGTTTAATTCTTCGGACTAATAATTAGTCTTGGTCTTTTTTTTTTTCCTCTTTAGTCAGACCCAAGGTCACGCTTGCAACACTGCGTAAACTCTACAAACGTGGAGAACCTATCACAGTTATGACTGCACATGACTTTCCTACAGGTACACTAGTGGACAAGGCTGGAATCGATATGACACTTGTGGGTGATTCACTCGCAATGGTCGCGCTCGGCTATACATCCACTTCTGAGATCACACTTGATGAGATGTTGCATCATTGTAGAGCTGTTGCTCGTGGAACTCGATCTAGCTTCTTAGTAGCGGATATGCCATTTGGAACATATGAGACCAGTCCCGAGCAGGCTATCGCAAATGCAGTTCGGATCATTAAAGAGGGAAAAGCAGAAGCAGTGAAACTGGAAGGAGGAAAAGAGATGGCACCCACAATCACACGGTTGACTCAGGTTGGTGTCCCGGTCTTGGGTCACATTGGATTGACTCCGCAGAGACAGGCCAGCCTAGGAGGATATAAAGTTCAAGGAAAGACAGTGGCCAAGGCCAAGGCCATGATTGAAGATGCTTTGGCCTTGCAACAGGCTGGATGCTATGCCATTGTCTTGGAGGCTGTTCCCGAACCTGTGGCCCGACACATCACCAACATCTTGTCGATCCCAACAATCGGCATCGGTGCTGGTGCGGGATGTTCAGGTCAGGTCCTGGTGCAGCAAGACATGCTGGGATTGTATGGCCGTGTGCCAAGGTTCTGTAAAACGTACAGGAATCTGGCTGACGAGATTGTAGGAGCTTTGAAGGAATATAGCCAAGATGTCAAATCTGGAGCATTTCCCGCAGAGGAGCACTGTTATCCCATGCCTGAAGCTGAACATCTAAAGTTCATGAGGATGATTGAGCAAGACCAACAACGACAACATCATAATCAAGGAGAGAGGGAGGATAGCGATAAGGCTGATCAAAAACACATTGCCTCTGCAACAGGTGGACATGCTTAGATTAATTTTTAAAAATATTATTTACATTGTTATATGTATAGACAAGCTTTTGAGAACTATGTTCATGTATTTGGACATTGATCTCATTTCGTTTCATCTCATTTCATTTCGTTCCATTTCGTTTCATTTCATTTCAATTAAACAAATCATTTCCAACATAAAGACACTTGAAACCAATGAATGATATCAAGGGGAAAAAAGTACAGTTCAGCACTCGTAGTAGTGATAACAATAACGGCAATAAGAGCTTAAAACAAACGACTACTCACTTGAATTCGGACTTGGATTCAGATGCAGATTCAGATTCAGATTCCTTGAATATTCCGGAATCTCTGATTGCTAAAGGAAGTGACAACGACCAAGGCCCAGAATACTATGATCCAATATATTTCGACTCTGACGAAGATCATGAAGACGAAAAAGACGGCAAAGATGATTATGATGATGAGGAGGAGGAGGATCAAGGCGAGAAAAACTATGATATTCGGACAAGCATCCTGAATTCCAGAGACGCTAGTAGTGACACCAATGGACGGAATGCACATGCCAAAAACATCAAAGACATGACCAAAAAGTTTGAAAAAAGCTCCTTGATGTCATCCCCATCATCCTCGAGGACGATACCCAGAAACGAGGATGCGAAAAAAAGTAAGCTCCAGAAGCATCGTATCATCTCGGATATCGATCTCTTGTATAATCCAGATCAGGATGACAAGGATCAAAATTGGTTGTTTAAAAAGATCGCAGGTATGAAAATAATAATAAAGAGCACCTGCATGGAATACTCTGATAAAAAAAACTCATCATTTCTTTTTTTTTATGCTCAGCTAACCGGCTTCCAGGTTGCAACCCAGAAGACATTTGGACAGATGCCATCCTCTCCTGTCCTATGTGTTTGACTCAATTATGTTTCGATTGTCAACAGTACGTCTTTTTCAAGCAAGAGAAATTGTTGATATTTAAAAGTGGAATTGACTTTTTTTGTTCAACTGTAACCATCTTGATAGACATGCGCTATATCCCCATCAGTTTAGAGCCATGTTTGTTGAACACTGCCGGGTCATCGAAAACGAAATTCTTCGGTTTCCCAAGGAAATAGCCGCCAAGAAAAAACAACCTTCTAAACCAAAGGCTACAAAGCCATCCTCCTCGTCTTCATCAACCTCAACAAATTCTTTACAAACAATAGCATTGTCCAAACCACCATTGGACGGAGCACCTCACGTTGATCCAACTAAAGCTTTTAAAACAAGTGCAGATGATGATGAGAATATGGCCTATCATCCTGTCGCATGCGAGATCTGCAATACTAAAGTTGCACTCATGGACCAAGATGAGGTCTATCATTTTTTTAACGTAATTCCCTCAGACATTTAAAAGACTGAGATTTGATAGAGCATTAGTTTACTTGTCTAAAAAAAAAAGGAAAAGAAAAAAAAACTACTGTACATAATCATCGTCACTGGAGATGATCGTGGTCTTCTTCCGTTTGGACCGTGTATGCGAAGCATACGAATTCGAATTACTTTGCTCGAAGTCATCCATGTCTTCATTCCCTTCATCATAATATCCGTGCTCTACTAGATCATCATCCTTCTGCATATAATCTGCGTCCTCTCCTGGCTCCGCTGCAGCGCTGCGGCGTCCATTACGACGACTTCTACTTATGTTCCTTCTGTCCCCCCATTCTTCATCCACCTCATCATCTTCATTATTGTACTCATCATCACTTTCATCATCATCGTCGTTATTTCGTTTTTTGCGCCTCGTACTTCGACCACGTCCTCGTCGGGATCCATTTATGCTGCTATTGCCGTTAGTCTTTCCATTGCCGTTCCTTCTCCGTGACTCATTAGACATCGAAAAGCCCGCTACTGCAGCTGCTGCTGATGACACTAATTTTCGAGAAGAACGAGAAACGCGTCCTGTAGAGCGACGGTTCGATGGTCTAGACCTGGATCTAGGCTTTTCTTCATCTGAGAACTCGTCCTCATCACTACCAAATAAAAATATAGCATTAAGCTTATGTAAAAACATAATAACAAAGTCCACATATAAATAAAAGCTTTAACTTACTCTAAGAAGGCATCATCATCCACCTCTTCTACCTCCTCCTCCTCAAGATCCAACTCTGGTTCGGTTTCAATCTCGACTTGTTCGTTTTCACTTCCAGAGCCATCAAATTCATCGTCCTCGTCTTTTTTTGTGCTCTTGACATGTATATGGCTAGGCAACGGCTTAAAGGGATCTGTAACAAACGATGCGATGTGAATAGCTCTCTTATTAACGTTTCACCATGAGCACACATCCCTGTCAATACACGTATGAGAGACTTACTTGCGAGGGACGCTTTGAAAATTCGTGACAATTGTTTCGCGTACATGGCGATGCCACTCTTCGGATCGTTATATGTCAGCGCATTCTTTTCAAGTAGCTCGATATCAAACTGTACTGCTCTTGCTCGCCGATAGAATCCACTAGTCAAGCGCTCCTGAATTGCTTCCAGGCAGATTGGATATGCTACCGTCTTGCAGTAATCTGGGTAAGCTTCAAAGTCTACGGAGGATCTGAAGATTTGAAAATCCTCCATTTGAATGAAATGAGAAACAACCTCTTGAATACGTTGGTATTCTGGTATAGTGAAACAAGCGAGTGTCTATGTTAATAAACAGATGTACCATAGAGAACAGCACTCAGGCCACAAATGACTGTAAGGTCTTTCTGTTTACCTTCAGGTGGAATAGTTTCTCGAACTCTGGCTTCGTCCTCGTTTTCATCACGTTGCATCTCCCATGGTGATAGATTCGTAACATCTTCATTCGCAGGCCTACCATTGCGAGATAGAAACTTATTAGATATCAGATAGACATGTGATACACAGTTGGTGGTAAAAACCATAATAATTCCTCCATACCAAGAGACTTCAAATGCCATCCACAATGAATCCGGTAGACTTGGATCATCCACAACCTTGTCCGAAATGGTCCCCGCATATATGCTTCCATCAAATGACGCCCAGATCTGTTCGCCAACTGTATAGTGAGCATTGATGCCATTCTGAAAGACAGAGTACAATACAATGAAATCAGGGACATCGCCCAGATCATGAAACTCAACTTCAAAGCGCCTTCTCGAGGCTGTGAATTGAGGATTGGGCGGAAATCCCCATGAAGAAGAAAGGATTTGCTCCTCTAATGTTACAGTACACCAAGTAGGTGGGCCGACATTGTATGTGATCCGAGAGACACGGCCAAACATGACCCAAGGAATTGAGCTATCTTTGATATAGGGTACGATTTTGAGATTAAGTTTCGAGCGCAAAGGTGTCTCTTTCAAATAGAAACTGTGACCCTGACGAAGATAAGCGACATAGTCTCCGATCTAATGTTAAGAAATAAAATCATTCCTAGTTAATTTTTTTTTTTTTTTTTTTTTTTTTTTGCTTTGTCGAAAAAAGCGAATGTTCTAAAGTATTACCTGTGGATGGTAAGGGGTCTTGCGAGGCTCATTCACTTTGATCCAATCACTAGGTAGCCATTTATACAACTCTGCAGCTTGTTCGTCCCGGATTACGGCCTTTCCTTTCTTGCGTCCATTTCCTCGCCATTGCTTTTTCTTTTTGGGTGATGTGGGCATGGATGTATCCGAGGTGAGCATCCCAGAAAAAGATCTGCCAGCAGAGCTCCCAGAGAAAACCCCTTCATCGTCGTCATCCCGGTCCGAGTCCTCAATAACCTCATCGCTTGGATAGTCATCGTTTGCAAAAGATTTCGGTCGAGCACTTCGCTGGCTCTTGCTCCCTGAAGGCATGCCATCATTGATGTTCTGGCCCCGTTTTCCCCTTCTGATAGATATCCTGGAGCTTTCAAAGTCTTCACTCTCCTCATCAAAGTCAAGCTCCTCTCCATCTAAACCATCCTCATCTTCGTCACTTCTAAGACGTAATCTCTTCCTGGCTCGATTTGTTCTTCGTTTCCTATCTGCTGATCCCCGTTGTCTCCTGGATGAACCTCCTGAACCGACGGCACGCCTTTTCCTTGATCCCTGACCGCCAGCATGGTAGTCCTCGTCCTCATAATCATCATTAACAACAAAGTCTTCTGCAGCAATAGCGTCAGGAGCCAGGTCACTATCGTCTCCTTCGCTATCAGATGATGATTCTGATGCCGAAGCGGCTCCACCAGCATACTCCTCCCCACTCGAATCATTGGGAAGCGGAACAATCGGGACCTCAGCAGTCATAGGGTCATCATCCTCATCGTCATCTTCTAAAATAAACTCTCTCCTTCGCTTGTATAGTTTACGCTTGTCAGTAGCAGGGAGCACAGCGAGTGTTTGTACTGCTAAATTCTCAAGCTCTTTCTCAAGCAAATCCTTTTTGTCAGCCTCCTCCTGCTCCAACACACCTGGTGGCACTGCTACTGGAAGATCCAACCCATACCGAGGACCCTTTTGTTTTGCATAGTCCCGCCCGTTATTGTCCAGAATGGGCGTTCTTTCCATAAGATGCGGCGCAATCTGAGTCGCATCATCCACCACATTGTGATCAGCATCATACCGCACAGGCGCATAGTCACTCCAGAAAGCTTGCTCAATGAATGATCTAGCATCTTTGTAGTCGTCAGGGTTTTTGCCAGCCCCAAACAGGATACATTTGCCCTCTTGGTCTGTTACTGCGAACATCAGTCCGTCTGACGAGAAGCGGCCGTCAAGGAATTCATGATCAGGATACGTCCAGCTGTTAATCTTGACACCCTTTGCAATATCCCACAGAATGACTTGTCCATCATATCCAGCTGTCATTATAATCCGATCATCATTGGGATGCACATCCACAACATAAACTGACGAGCCTCTTGCATGTCCATTGAGTGTATGAACCAATTTTCCTGTGATCGAATCGAAGATTTTGATCTCTCCCAAAGATGTCGTCAGAATCACAGTAGAGTCGTTCAACGACCATATTGCCATCGTTGGGACGATTCCTGAACCATCGCCCATAGATTGTGTAGGTCGTGCTCCTTCAGTGACAGTGTCGTTTACGGGGTTCTGGCTAGCAGTAGCGGGCCCATTAATCTCCGAGTCTGTATGGTTCGCATCCTCATTGGTGGTGTTAGCAGTTGTCGATGTCTCAATCAAAAAGGGGTTAGGTAATGTGGAAGCTGCAGTGGGTGAGGGCATCATATGTCTCGCTTCTGTAATAGTCCCGTCTGCTTGAGTGTGTTCATCTCTGACATCGACTACACAAACAGATAAATAAATGAATGTTGTTGGTCAAAGTGCTGTCATTGATATCTATATGGACAGCTGATTAAACATGCATACGACAATTTTTTTTTTTTTTTTTTTTTTTTTTTTTGCAATAGACTTACTGACTACAGATGTCCACATTTTGCTTTGCTGATCATACTTCCATATCCTTACAAATCCATCTACAGAGCCAGATAGTAACCTGTTACCGCGCCGACTATAGCTCAAGCTTGTAACAACTCCAGCATGCCCCTCCAACTGCGCTATTAATACCGGATTGCCCCAGTGTTGCTGTGCAAGGTTAGCTGATGATGACGCGCTGGTTCCGTTACTAGTATTAGCGCCTATAGAACTCTCTCCGACCCCTGCTTCTGATCCAAGAGCCTTGGATTTGTCGTAGCTTTTGCGTCTCTTTCCCGACTTTATGGCCTCTGGTCCACCTTGGATAGTCGAAAACACACGGATGAACAGATCTTTCCCAGCTACTGCAAATTGTGATCCTGTGAAATTCCAGGTCGAACATTTAAGCTTTGAGTCGCCGAAAGTCTTGCAGTCTAGCATTGTGGGCGGTGTCTGGAATTTTTTCGTATCTCGATCATACTTCCAGACCCAAGTGTAGCCGTCGACTGAGGTGGCGATTAAATATCGGATCTGAGGTATCGGTGATGGGGAGAATGAGACCGTGGTGATAGGTTTACGATTGCGAGCATTAGTTCCTGTTGGGAGTACAGCAACAGGGGCCGAATTTTTAATATCCCAAACACGAATGATTCCATCATCGGATGCAGTGGCGAGCATTGTATTATCAGTGCTAAGATCCATATAGGTGACAACTGCAGAATGTCCACGGAGAGTAAATAACAGATATCCCGATTGTGCACTCCAAATTTTGATAAGATAATCATCGCTTCCTGTGATAACTCTATTATTGGTTTTGTCAAAGAGGAGACAGTATGTCGGAAATCTATGACCATTCATGACTACCAACTCTTGAAATAATGACGGAACAAAACGATGTGCCTTTGGTGCCCTCAGCGCAGGCCCTTTTAATTCTCTTGCCCGTAGGTAATCCACTAAAGATGTAGTAGAATTGGGGCAATCAAAAAAAAAAACGTTGAATTACAAAGCCACAAAAAGGAGAAAATTAGGTTTTAGCTATTGCTGCCAAGGCCAATGTACTCAACCGATCAAATGTCCTTACACGTCAAAGTCTCACGAAGGGTGCCCTTCCGATTGAAGGCTACCTTCTGTATAGTACGTCCGCCAACGCTATCTTGGTTCTTCTTTAGTTGCTCTGCTTCAGCTCTATCTCGCAGAAGAGAGCTTCCTCCAGTGGCAAGTAGCGATCGAATCCCAGGCACGAGTGGTGGTATTTGCGCATCAACATGTAGGATTAATTTGGAGAGAAGGCGAGGAAGGTGGTCTGAATCGACATTTTGGTAAAGTGAAGTCTAATATGGTCATGTTTTTATATTGGATTGAAAAAAAAAAAAAAAAAAAAAAAAAAAAAGAGCCAACAATGATCGCACGTAAAGTCAAATATGAAAAAAACGTGGCGATGAGGCGCATTCTTAATTAACCATGTTTTCTTGCTCGGGCCACAATTTTTCTCCCTTGGATACTCCATTTTTTTTAACCCAACGCGACTCCGTTGTACTTACAAGCTCTTCTCTCGTATATGGTCTTTTATGGCCTTTCCAGTCATATCGTGCAGGCAAAAGGTGTGAATGATTGGAAATATCTGAAAGCAATGCCTCTGCCGAGTTTTGGCATGGGCCATTAGACAGAAAGCGAGCGATCAAAAAGTAAAGCTATTTAGAAGAAAAACAAATAAAAAAAGAATAGTAGTTGATAAATAGAGTGTAATAGCATTCCCACTTGAGTGCGTTCATTAGAACAAAAGTCTCTGCAAGTCAAATATTCTTTCATAGAGAGGGTGCAATAAATAAAACCATTGTTCATTCAATTCTTGGTGATTTTTTTTCTTTTCACTCCTCTTTTTTTTTCTCTTGAATGAAGTAATACTCTTATCTTGTTCAAATGGATGTGGTAAAAGTAAAGAAAGAAATGTATATATTATAATATGCTTAAATGAATGTATGAAAAAGTAATATAAAAATAAAAAGACGCGCTTTTTAATTATATTTTTCCTTACCTCTAAATACAAGTGACATGCAGATCAGTTTTTAAAAAAAAAATAATAATAATAAAAATAACCAAAATGCGTCAATGTCAAAGAATGGTAATAGACAATTGAGTAGTTTGTCTGTCTGTCCGTTGCACATGGCAGAGATGAAAGTTTTTCTTTTTTATTTTAATTTATTTATTTTTTTTTTATAGATGGATGTGAATAAGGGTATAGCATTATACCTTGCTCCATCTGGCTGTCCATGGTGTACACCAGTAAAATATTTCTTCTATTAGGTTGGGTTTGTAGGGCCAGAGAAATAAAAAAGGAGAAAAGTAGAGGGAGGGAGGGGGGAAAGTAAGAAGTGCAAAAAAGAGACAGTGATTGCAAAAATACAGTCGGGACATGAACACCAAATATTTTTTTTTTTCTGTTCTGTCAGTTTCCCGCAGACATTAGCAAGATTGTTTTTGTAATTGAATGCAATGTGAACTAAGAAGAGTAAAATAAAAAATAAAAAAGAAAGAAAACGCTCTCAGCGGCGGTCTGCATGGAGACTGAAATGTCTCTTCTATCCTTGATGTGTCCCATCATGATGATCTGCCTTCTGTTTCACTATTTTTTTTTCAAAAAATCTGCTGATTTGGCCATCAAATGATGGGGATAGACGAATGTGCCTAACCATGGTGATGGTGGCCTACTGAAATGCCCTCCTATTTCTGAGTCCAGGAAATACGATATTAGATATGCAACTAGAAAGCCTTCAGTCTCGTGATTTGGTCATGACAGAAAGGACAAACTTTATGCAGCGTTCATGTAATGATGTCTGTTGTAGTTCTCTTTCCTCCCTCCTTTTCTCACCTTTTCCCTCACTTTTTTCTCTTCACCCTCCGTCCATTGCTCTCTCCATTTCTTTTAGCTCGCTGGAGAAGCCTGTTCATTTTGACTGTATAGATTAAGCTGACAATTGGAGTAGGTCTAGGACACGACATTGTCACCATGGCTCAAACGGTAATACAATATCAATTACCAGTAATACTCGCGTCCCTATTGTCTGTAGCAACAAGCCAAGTTAAACGAGTCTATCTTTCCCCTCTTCCCCTGATTGCCTTTCTAATTTTTGCCTGACATAGGAGCGCACATTTATAGCCGCCATTGGTGACGAAGACTCCATCACTGGCCTTTTACTTGCCGGTATCGGTCACATTGATTCACATCAAAACAAGAACTTTTTGGTCGTGGATCCTAGTAAGTCTTGGCTAACAGCTTAAAGGAAAATGGAAAGGGCGCATTTTCTTGATGATTTGATTAACAACTATTTTTTGCTATATATACAGAGACGCCATTGTCAGCGGTCGAAGATGCCTTTCAGCAATTCACAAAGCGCAAGGATATCGCCATTATTTTGATTAATCAACATGTGAGAAGCTGAAAAAAAAAAAAAAAAAAAAAAAAAAAAAGCTTTGTTTTTGCTATATCCACTAAAACTTGAAAGAGTATATCTTTTAACCACTATGCTTTTGGATGGACATAGATTGCCGAAGAGATCCGCCCTTTAATCGATGAGCATGATCAGGCTTTCCCCACCATCCTTGAAATCCCTTCTAAGGATCACCCCTATGATCCTGAAAAGGATAGTGTGTTGAAGCGTGTCAGGAGACTGTTTGGCGAGTAAAAAAACCTTCATGCCACATACATGAATGCATTCAAAATAAAACTGTCGTGTCATGACTATCAGAGCGTGTCACGCGAAGAGAAAAAATCCCCCTCCCTTATATCTACACTACATTTAAAAATCTGTTTCCAATGTAAACAGCCGAGTAATGACAAGTCTATTGTGTTGCAAGCTAATGATAAAGGTAGTTACTATGGCGAGACTTTAATTAAGTTCATGGATGTATGCTTCAAACAAATAAGTTGCAAATGAAATCAGTAAAAGAAAGATAAAAAATAAAAAAATAAAAAAAAAAATTGACACAAAACGATAAACTGAACAAAAGTGGATGAAAGGATTGGTGAGTATATTACAGGCAATACATTTAGTTTAAAGAATGAGTGAACGAACAACAAATAACCATACAAAAAGTCTACTTTTGAACCAAAACACGCTTGTATTCTTCTACAAACTTCTTCCTGGCCTCTGAATGGTCAACAATGGGTTTGGGATAACTAAAAATGCAGAATAATCATACAGCATGAAAAAGTCAGAAACTTGTGTCTGCTGTATCACAGCTGGAAAAAAAAAAAAAAAAAAAAAAGATGTGAATAATCAAATTCAACTTACGTTAGCTTTCCAAATTCCTTGGCGGACATTGCATGATATGGATCGTGAACTTGTTTGTCAGAAAGGCCTTTTAACTCTGGAACCCAATGACGAATATAATCACCAACAGGATCAAACTTCTGGGACTGTACCACAGGGTTAAAGACTCGGAAATACGGCTGAGATTCGGCTCCAGTAGAGGCACACTACATTTGAGTAATCAGAATTGATTAGAATATCAAAATTGCAATAGCAATAAGGACTTGAATATTCTGGGGTCAATGTTTCAGGGCTATTTACCCATTGCCAGCTTCCATTGTTAAAAGAAAATTCACCATCAATAAGGTGGCTCATGAAATACTTTTCTCCTTTCTGCCAGCTAATCAGCAGATCCTTGACCAAAAAGCAGGCTACCAACATGCGGATACGACTATGCATATATCCTGTAGCATTCAGTTGACGCATCCCAGCATCAATAATAGGATATCCGGTCTTGCCCTGACACCAAATTTGGAACTTGCGATCATCACTGCTCCAGCGGATACTATCGGTGGGAGGCTTGAAGGCTCGATTCTTGCATACTCGAGGGTAGAAGACAAGGACGTGTCGATAAAACTCCTATCATTTTCCGCAAAATTAAATGAAAGTAAGAAAAAAGGCTGTATTTGTTGTATTTGAAAAAAAAAGCTCTGATTAGGTTGCATCTTACTCTCCAGATAATCTCCTTAATCCAAGTTCTAACACCTTCATTTCCGACGATGATTTTATTATTGTTCGCAGCCCGAGCTGCAGCGACACACTGACGCGTAGACAGGACTCCATTTGACAGATAGGGTGACAATTTTGTATCGTCCTCTTCTGTAAGAGAGTCCTTGGTAAGATGATATCGCATGATCTTGTTTTCGATGAACGCTCGAAGTCTCTCATGAGCAGCATCCTCTCCTGCAGGGTAAAGTTGCTCTATTTCGCTCATATCCAAAGAATGCGGATGATAAGGGGGAACCGAAGCGTTAAAATATTCTGCATATAGCTGCTTTGCCTCTATTGGATTCGCCTCTGGAACTGGTAGCAGTTGGAGATAATGAGGGTCGGTTTCTACCAAAGTGTTCCAAGTACTACGAAAAGACTCGAATGACGTGTGCCCTTCTCCGATCTAGAAATTAATTACAAGATCAGTCAACTGCAAGCAAGCTTCTTCAATAACAGTGATCTAACTTAAATACGAAAAAAAAAAAAAAAAAACCTTGTTCTTCATTTCCTTGGGTGGGACAACACCTTGATCGTCATGCTGTTCAACATAAATGCCGGGATTCTTTGTCAACGCTTTCAGTACCGCTGCGTCCCGTCTCATTTCATCGACCATGTATTCAACATTCCAGAAAACATGGCTCACATCCATTCCCTTTACAGTGGATTCTATAAGCTCCACCACCTGCGATCCTGTAGCTGCCTTCTTCACAATCAACGGGATGTGCAACTTTTCCAAGGATCTCTTCAAGACCACTAAGTTCCTTATCCAGAAATCGATCTTGATTGGGGCTTCATCGTGGCTTGCCCATTCCTTCTCCGAGATCACAAACAATCCAATCACTGATTTCTTGCTTCCTAATTTAGCTCTTGCTGCTGCGGCGTATAACGCCTTGTTATCACGAAGACGAAGATCGTTTCTGAACCACATGAGAGTATTTTTAGTGACGATTGGTGGTGGCACCTCCTTCTTCACGGCTCCTGTACCTGCAGCCGTAGGAAGCTTTGCACGATTCACCAATGCAGCGGCACCTACTTTACGAATACCTGGCTTGGGTGTTCCGCGGATAGTTCCTGTCTTTGAAATACCGCTGGCTGCGTTCCCTGCAGTCTTAGCTCCAGTAGCAGAGGGTTTGACTCCTGTTGAAGCAGTGGCGCCTGGAGTAGAGATATTAACAGACTTTACTGCCGCAGTCGAAGGTGAAGTGGTGACAGCGCGTTTCTTAGGTTCCTCAACACCCGCATCCTCAGCGGGTCTCTTCTTTGGTGGCATCGTTGCGCAAGTTGTTGTCTCTTAATGAGATCTGAATCAGAATGAACAATCGAAACAAACAAAAAACCGAACAAGCAGCATTTGTTTCGATTCCTTGAGGGGTGTAAACATCTTTCGTACTGCGGCAATTAAAAATAAAAAGTTGGTGGCGTACTCCAGCCAACATTGTTTTACTTGTGTTCTATCTCTACGGATCTCATTAATTATTTAGCACCAATTTCAAATATCTGGACACCGATTCCAGAAATAGCAACGGTGTGCTTGTCTCTATTGACCCCCGGCAGAAGAACATCCATAGTTGATGGATCAGGAACATGCACAAACTGTGTCTCTTGCTTCACTAACGTCGCTGCGGCAGATCCATTGCCAATTACAGTCCCAATTTTTGGTCGATCCAGGCGCCACAGGGTAATCATTTGATCCTGACTCGTCGTGACAATTTCTGACGCATTGATCAAGGATACAGCTAAAACGCGATAAGATAAACGACAAGAATAAAGGCGCAGCATGTGAGTCATTCACTTTTGTAGTACTAATTAAACGAGTTGCAATGATCCACCCTAATGTCGATTCTTACCTTGGATAGCCGAGCCATGCGCATAATCGTTGCGAGCAACCCTATCTACTGAATGTACTTCGATAGTTTGCATAGCTGGATTCCACATCATCCTGAAGGATGTCACAGCTAGTGCATTATCATCTCCTCCTGAAACAACCAAAATCTCCTCCTGTTCTTGTCCCTGCTTTCCAGAGTGAAGACTCAAGTTCTGAGCGAAAAGGCTGTTGACGCCAGACATGTGTACTGTAACTTCTACAATCGGACGCTCTACTTTTTGCATATAGTCCTTGTATAGCTTTACTTTGCATTTGCCATATGAAGGACTGTGAGGTCGCACAACTTTGTTTTCATCTGCATCGTATTTCTCCAAGAAAGCGTAAAGAGCTTTAGTTATATCCCAAGCCGCTATCTTACCATCGGTCGCGGCTGTTAAAATCATAACACCTTCTCCGACGATGATATGAGATACCTGTAGGATACATTTGCCATGATAGCTAGCATCGATTGCCAGCACGAAACTATTGGTTACTTCATCAAACAACCAGACACGAATAGCAGCATCGGAATACACAGATACAATAAAGTGCATCCGTGGATGGGGATTCAAACGGAAAACCGAAAGGTCCATAATTCTGGTTTCTAGGCTCTCACTAACATGTGGACACTGCGCTAACTCAAAACATCCTAGAGACAATGGTGTATGCTCTGGAACTTTTTTACCGGTGTAATCTTCGGTTGTCTCTACCTGATAGCTGTTGGGAATGCTCATAGTAACTTGCCAAGCACGCATGGATTCAATTGCACCTCCTGTAAACAATAAGTAGGAGTGAGACTGCTCTGTATGGCTCCATTCGAGGCATCGAATTGCAGCTCCCAAATGAGGCTTGAGGTTACAGAGAGGTCTCAATGCAGTACACGACGTTGTAGTTTTATATGGGATATCTACCATAGTTTGCCAATGAAAATATCTCAACTTTTAATTGCAGCCAGAGCTTAAGTGGGACATATATCTCAAGATAGGCGCGCATACTTACATTGAAACATCCGCAGTCGGCAGTCCTCTCCTCCAGAAGCAATAATAATGGGTGCGGGAGCACCTTCAGTTAATGGGGGAGCATTAGTCAGGAACCGCAAATGGCGTACCTCACGTCCATGAAAGTTGTTCTGGGGCTTCGCACTCTGGAAGAGCTCTGATCCAGCTGTGAGCTTCCTTGTAAAGCTACGAATTTTGTATCCACTGTAGAACATGAGACGTGTGTGCTCTAACCGTGCGTTATTAGTTAGGAATCTCCATCGCCTGCGATTTGCTGCTCCACTGTGCATTGAAAAAATCTGCCATGAATAATTTTATGATATTCCCCAATTAATGACTGCATACTCTTATTTTCCATAAAAGTCTACTCTTATATTTCCTTCCTCATCTTACCTCGAAATGCTTGGATTCGTTGTAGACAAACAGTTTCTTATTAAAGAAGCCAAGTAGAAGCAATTCTCCATCCATTATAAAAATATTCTCCAGCCAGCCTTTGGTAATTTTTGATCTAAAGATTTTCTGCAGGACAATTCTTGAAGTATCACTATTCTGATTACCATCAGGGGTTGAAGATCTTCCGGTAGTAGCCTGAAGATTAGGGCCGTTACCAGTGTTGATCATACCATTGTCCTCGAGTTCACTGTCTGATCCACCATCGTCATCAATCATCTTCCCACGCTCATTAGCAGATTTAGCCCCAATGACTTCACCACCCGGCAATCCCAAGAATCGATACTTGACCCAACTGCCATCACGACCTGTCGTATATACATTAATACGATCTCTGCCTTCGCATCCCTCGCCCGGCTCTGTAATCATCAGAATACTTGACACTGAATCATTTCCATGGCATCTTTCCAATAATACAATATTATCCAATAACTTTGATTCTACAGGCTCATTTTCAGCGCCATCTAAACTATAGACTATGACAGCGCCATCCCTTGACCCCAGTAACACAAGGTTATATACTGGAGAATAATACGCTGCATGGATCGCTTTGTTTGTTTTTGGCAACTTAAGATCGCATATATACGAGCATATGGCTGTTGAACCATCTTTCAATATCTCTACGCGGAAAACGCCCACGGTACAATTGGCCCTAAAGACAACAATCCTGAAGTCATTGAGACTTGTTCCGGAAAGCACAAAGATAAATTGAATCTTGATGCCATTTAAGGTGTCTGCTATCAGCGCTTCAAATTCATTTCGGAGACTGATAATTATCATCTTTCCTGATAGGCATCCTGCCACGGCAATCCGTCCGCAATGTGATGACTCCAAACTAACATAATTTTTGAGAAGAGATGAATTGTAAATCGTATTCCAAGCACCGGACTCGTCGTTACGAACCAGAATGTATCCTGTATTGGTGGCGTAGATGGACTCGACGGGCGAAATGATGGCATAATCGCGTACGAACTCCTTCTCATTCGGTGTAGCTTCAGGTAAATAAGTTGTGACCTCTGGAAGATCAATGTCTCTAGTATTCTGCTCAGCATCTATAAAGTTGGAACACACGAAAAAAAAATAAAAATAAAAATAAAAATAAAAATAAATGAATAAATGAATAAATAAAAAAATAAAATAAAAAAAAGTGAGTATTAAATCTCATATTACAAAGATATGAACATACCTGCTGAGCCAGCAACGATACTATCTAGCCTCCAGAGATGAATACCTCCATCTCCTCCACCAGTGGCAACAACGCCATCGTCAGAGACTGTAACACTCCACGCATTCTTGCCTTCATGTCCTTCCCAGCAAGCCAAACAATCCGACATATCATCTACACTACTCAAGTTTGTCAACAATGGGTTTCTCCAGATTCGACATGATGCATCTTCTGAGATTGAAATCATGTATTGACCTACAATCTGACAATCCCAAACACGAGCTGTATGACCATAATGGGTTGAATGTATGCTGGCATAGCCAAGTAGAAAAGAATAAAATACAATAAATAGATCAGCAACACAAGTCATCAAAAGTCGCACGTTTAACAAGTGCGAGGATTTATCCCATTGCCTAAATCTTACATAGTAGGATGTGAAATGTCCCATACACGGATAGTTCGATCATCGCTCACGGTGCAGACAGCCTTGCCATCATTGCTCCATCGGATACCAAATAGGATCCCTTCATGTCCGACCAATTTCATTTCCACCGGGGCCTCAATGTCGCCACAATGATGCACTTTCCATAATAAAGCATGACAAAACACCGTACCGCTGGCAAACCAAAGGTCGTCTAATGTGTTGTTATGAAATCTACCGCAAAATAATGTACAATGCTCCTCTGATTGAACCGAGTATGCAAGGCGAAAATCTTTAAGATTGTCAGCCTGGCATAGTGACGATTGATTCTGATTGTTATTATGCGGAACCGTAAATGGATCATCAGGCAAATCATAAATCTCCACAAAATTATGTGCAAAGGCAACTGCAAGAGCTATAGGTGACTTCGTGATGGTCTGCCACGAGCTTGGTCGTATTGTTGGAGATTCTTCTGAGAGATCAAATTTTGACCACAACCACTGAGCATCCAGAATCCAGTCCTTCATATGTGGGATATTCCACAGATGCTGAAAGTATGCACGAAGGCGAGCATCCTTCGCTGTTGGTCGAGATAATGTAAAGCGGAGTATTTTGAGGCTCTTTGCGCCGAAAACCAAAAACAGGCGCGCTTCCTGGGTTTCGCTTATTCTTTGGACATTAGCTTTCAAAAAAAAAAAAAAAATCAGCAGGGAGTGAAAATGAATAGGCGTCCCTTTTGATTCTAGCAATGTCTTTTTGGTAATAATGTCCGAATAATGAAACAGCAGGATTCTAAATTGCCTGTTACCTAGCACAATCCTGTGGACCTTCCAATCTCCTCCGAGATGTATGCAGCATAATGTCTCTGAGGATGAAATTTGTATCGCTTTGAGGTATGGGCCTTGTCCTGTTAATAAAACATCATTATTATGGTATGCTAATGCAGTGACTGAAGTGCTCAGGTGCACAGGATGTGTTCGCAATGAATTCTCGGTCATCGATAAAGGTAAGTGATAGCAGGAATGAGGCAAAGGTCGCTGTTACAATTCAGGAATATTCTCTCAGCCACTATTGCTTTTGGTGACTTGTATTGTGGTTGAGAAGCGAAACAATATACGCCTTCAATACACGGGGTAAGCTCTTCGTAAATGAATTGAGAGTCAAACGATCTAAGGCAATGATCAATACAAATAGACAATAGTTGATGAATCTATACTAGAACAAAAGCGATGATGCTCTAGAGATTCGTATGACACCATACTTAACTGGTACTTCACAGACTGCCTATTTGCTTTATTTCCTACTTAGAATAGTAATATGGCACCATCATTAGTATGGATCGATTGTGAGATGACCGGCCTGGCAGCTACTGACAAGTTGATTGAGATTGCAGTCATCATAACAGATGATGAACTAAATATCGTCGCTGAGGTACTATTTCGTCCATATTATAATACAAAAAAGACGTTGCTTCGTTTACTGGCGTCCTGTTAACTAGACTGAAAAATTGCCTTTGATCCCTCTCATCTACACGATATGTTAGGGGCCTAACTTAATCATCCATCAACCGAAAGATACCATGGATAAGATGAATGAATGGTGTACCGAGCATCATGGCGCAGTAAGTGAAATGTGTGCCAACAAGTATGATATTCCCAGGATTGTCACCAACCAAGCTCATCCATTAACCCTCTGTGCCCAATTTTATATAAAGTCTGGCCTCACCGCTGCTGTGCTCGCTTCCAAAGTGACAACGGAAGATGCCTGTGCTCAAGTGCTTGAATTTATCAAAAAGTATATCCCGAAATCCCGCCATGGCATCCTTGCCGGGAATAGCGTCCACGCTGACAAAGAGTTCTTGGAACGTGAAATGAAGCCTATTATTGACCACCTCCATTATAGAATCGTGGATGTTTCAACTGTCAAGGAGCTAGCTCGAAGGTGGTACCCAGAGGAATTCAAACACGTACCACCAAAGAAGATGGCGCATAGGGCATTGGATGATATCAAAGAGTCAATCAAAGAACTACAATATTATCGAAGTGCAGTGTTTAAATAATTTAATAAAATCTGAGACATATTTGTTGATTCTTTCCTGTTTTATTATGAGTAAGATTACAAATATGTAGATCCTGTATCTTAATTTATGGTTGTCAAGAACTAATTTGATTATTCAGGCGATGCAGAAGTCAGATATTAAGCTATTAAAACGCCTGTCTCGGTGCAATAGGTGAAATAGGTGAAATAGGTGAAATAGGTGAGATAGATAAAATAGATGAGGTAGGTACGTGAGATCGACGAGAAAAATGACATATCAATCTATGACGCATGCTATGAAGCAGATGAGGAGAAGGACAAGAACCCATGCTTGGAGATTTGTCTTGAGAGTTAAATGTAATATATGGCAGCAATGCAAAGAATTATGTCCGTTTGTAGCTAATGCTGAACCACTACCAAGTGAAGTCCTATAGGTGGTGATGGGAGGCTTCACCGCTTCAATTAATTACATCCTATAGTCGAGGGGAGGGAGAATGACACGAGAGACGCTGATAGATAAGGGTAATGAATGCTATGTTTTTTACATGTGGTGGTGGTGGTCCTTATTGTTCTTAGTATCCTTACTGAAGGTTTCCAGATCAGTTGAGACATCCGAAGTATCTGTCGCTAGATGTGAACCCGTGCCTGGTCGTATAGTTTGATATGTGGAAGCACTTGATACGACTCTCATATTAATCTCTTGATCTGTAGCTTTTATCCTCTTCTCGTTCCTTTCCCTCAACGTCTTACGTCGCCGTACTAGGCCAAAAATGACTGCCGCCCCTAGAATAATGGCCATAGCTATAACAGCCCCCATCCAGGGTGCAAATTTCGGGTCATCCGCTTCAGCACTCTCACTATCGTCTCCATTAGTCTGGTCATCTCCTCTAGTCCCTGATCCCACTCCAAGCTCGTTAAGGCCGTTATCATCGGTAATTTTAGAAGGTAAACATATAGTCGGTTTGGCTCGCTTCTCCATAATATGAATCCGAGACTGATACAGATTCAAAAAAGAACCAGTACTTCTCGCCTTTCTTCTACTTAATAACTCTGTTGGCGCCAGAGATTCGTCACAGCGTAAGGAAATACACTGCATGTAAGAGGAACAAGCATGATAGTTAGGCAGCTGCTCCTTGCAAGTGCCAACACCACTACCCGGAGTAGCCAAATCACAGTAAGATCCTCGCTGGCAATCGCCCCGAAGATTGAAGACATCAAGCCCTGCTCCTACGCCTGGTGAGCTACCAACAGTCTCATTGAGTCTTTGGTTAGCAATATTGGCCAAAGTCCGAAACAATGGGTCTGTTGTTGAAGGCAGTGGGATGCCTACACAAGATTGGCCAAGTCTAGCAGGGCCCTGATACTTGACTGGCTGGTTATCAATTCCAACAAGATTTGAGGGCGGATTGGTGGCGCTTCTATTGGTGACAGTCGACAATTGTGGGACTAACGGGACCAAATGGTGAGAGAAAGGGTCATCGGTAAAAAGGAACCCGCGAGTAGTAGCAAGTGGTGCACACAAGAGACCAGTCATTTGGAGAAAACAACCCAATTCATTGTAAGAAGCGCCATTCTCATTGTTGAAGCAGCGTGGGGTAGGATTGTGTATTGAGACATCACCACAGCCGGGTTGGGTAGGAGGAATACCAGTCAATGGAGTGGAAGCCATGTCAAAACTGTGTGTTTTTTTTGTAATAACAGTGTAGTAATTGTAGTTGCAATAATAGAAAAAGGGCTGCAAAATATATCTAAAGAGTGCGATATCGCTAATAAGTTTCAGCAAATGGCAAGACTGGAGTAAGGATCCAATGTTATGGATGAGAACGTCTTTGGATGGGATGGTTCATGCATGAAGATTCAGATATGTTGGAGAAACGATTAAATAAGTTTCCATCCCTGGGCTGGAAAAGGAGAAATTTGGACAAGGAAGAATTTTATTCGCTAATAACTTGCCAAGATGGATTGCCTCAAGTACATGGTGAGGTTGTAGAGGAGCTGGAAATCCCCTTTACTGGAGTTGATCTGCATTTAGCGGCTCTCACTTCTCATAACTCCACTACTCACTTCTTGCGCCGCGATGAAGTGCATATATTCATCTTGTTCGTGAATGGGTTCCAATGGCCTCAGCTGACCTCGAACCCTATTGATCGTAGAGTCGGGTTCATTAGGGACAAATCCCCCTACTACTAACCCATAGAGTAACCTGGGTGGTAATAGTGCGCGTATTGGTAGTATTGTTGGTGTAAATATGGCTGAACATGCACACGCGATAGTGACTGAGATTGTGAGGGTAGCGCTTGCGGTGAAGTTCGTATCTGTGCATGAATATGAGTGGCAGTTGGAGACAGATGTCCATGTTGATATTGGCCAGAATGCAGCATGGGAGAGGCATTGACGATCATTGGAAACGAGGGCTGCTGAGGGTTGGAAAGTAAGATGTGCTCATGACTCAATTCAATATGCTCTGAAACAACCTCAGCTCCTCGATTGCGACCATGTTGTGAGTGGCCCTGTATCTGGTACAACTGGTATTGCTGCGTCGCCTGTGCTGATGACTGGCTACTTTGGCCGCTAGATGGAATAGCTGAGGAGTTGGAGCATCTATCTTCATATAAAGCCTTTTCCTGATGGTTGTCAACCTGAGAGATGTATTGATTAGGACTCTGTCCCTTTAGACTGTGAAGTGCTGGGGTGATCCGCTGATCCTCTGGTCTGAATCCAAGAATAGGGTAATCGATACGTTTTTTGCTTTGAAAGTCTTCGTCAGCCAACTCTCTAGCACTTAACTTGTGCTGTACAAAAACACTATTGTTGTTGCCATTTCGATTAGCAGTATGAAGATCCACTTGTTCAGTCATAAGTGGAGAGTTACAAATTCGCGTGTCAGGAACGATAGAAAACGGCTGTGGTGTTTGCACCTTAAGGATTATTTCCTGTTGATACGAGTCCAGTTGGGATACAGGTTCGAGATGTTGAGTGTCGCTCATATTGTACAAACTGTATGCTAAATGTTGAACGGTAACTGCAGGTTCTGCTTGAATAGAAACGCGTATTCCCATATCAGGAATTAAACCTACTGTATCATACGCCAAAGGCGACATTGTTATTGAATGGGTCTCTACAAACATATGTGGAGAGATGGGAGGGAAAAAACAATAAAAAAAAGAGATATCAGGGTCAGCAGCGTAAAGTTCGCAGGTTGAATATCAAAGTCATGTCTAATCACTCATGCTGGGGCTTTGATTCTGGATAAGCACGCTTCACTTCAGCCAAGGCATGTGATGCCACTCAAGTTGCCATCGTCAGTGGCGCCAGACCTTGTACAGATCTCATGGAACTTGGTGTGCTGGGATAATAAGACTGGTATCTCAGAGATTTCTTTCACAATACCTTGTATTGAGCTTTGAAGACTCGTGTAAGGCACTTCATCACCCTTGACAAGTGAAATTGCAGCAACATCATTGTCGGGGCTCCAATCAAAGACTTGGGCCGATGAAAGACCTTGACCAGCACTCTCAATATCTGGTGATAGCCCCTTTGTTGGTAACTGAACCTTTGTCTCTGAACTGAGTCTTTCATCTTTTTCCACACTCATACGATCGACCTCTTTGATAACATCCAAATCTTGGAAGGTAAATGAAAGTGAGTATAGAAATTGTAGTGATATATCATGTTTGGAAGGTGAGTCAATGCTACGTACATGTGATTGAATTATCCCAGTCCACAGGATCTTCACTACCATTTCCCAGCTTATAAATGATGTCTTGCAGCATTCTCTGCGCCCCTTGGCTATCACTCTGACTGGCCTCTTTAGCGATAATAGCAAGGTGTATACATAAGTTATCCAGAACCAGAGATGTTTTGGCGTCAACCTTTTTAAGTCGACTCGACGCAGAAAAAATGCGAATCAGCAAAATACACTGGTTTAAAGTAGGATTGTCCATGAGTTTAACAGCTGTATCCTTTTTTAGTTCTTCTGGAATGTGTCCTTGGATTGGACACGCAGCTGTGCTCTGATAACAAAAGGGTGAGTTAGTTTAGCATGCAAACCTAATGAGTCTATCCTTGATCTACTCGAGTATATGACTTACTTTCACACGCTGCTCTTTCATGGACTTCAACAAGTTCCTCAGCTCCATCATTACTGCGATATGCTCTTGCTTCCTCTCAATGGCTACGAGCTGCTCCATTTGCATGGTATCTTTTTTTGATGGATCACTGCTCATACGTTCCATATTTGCCTCAATTCGAGTCTAAATATGAACAACACAATACGGCTATTAGAACAGACTCTACCATACTATTTTGTGTAGTAATCATTCGACCGAACCCAAAGCATGGACAACATATGATATATGATTTTAAGCTAGAGGAAGCCAAGCTTACCAACCGCTTCTTGTGGTTGCGCAAGCGCTTATAAACGGTGGTTTCATATGGGTTCAGATTTTGAGTGTTAATGTCAGAAAAAAGGTCAGCATATGCCCCTCTATTGTCTCCAAACTGTTGCTGGTCAGATCGTGGCTCAGAGATAGGATTCAAGTCCTCTACGGAGTTTTCAGGAAATGAAGGAGACCTTGACTGTTTGAGTTTGCTGGCTTTTTTAGTCATGGTTTCTCTTCAAGTGTCGAGAAAGAAATGACTGCTAAAGACTTGCAATACTTTCAAGAGCTCGGATACAGGTATCAAAAGGTAAACCCCTTGTGGGGGAATGCTACTGAGGTTGACTGTACGTGCGAGTTGAAAAAGAGTAAAGAAATAGGGAAGTCAACTATTTATTTTCTTTTTCCTTTGTCAATGGTGAGAGATTGATTAAATGATTTTAAGCTCTTTTTGCTATGACTTTGTGAAGTCATGACTGGGATTAATCAAACAAACGCCCAACGGATATTTTAGTTGCTCTGTTGCACTACCCAGTCTTCGTTCTTTGGATGAAAGCTTCATTTTTTGAGCTTCGACAATAAAAAAGTCTTAATCTACTACTTTGTGGAGCAAAGCACTTTATTTTTTGGACCAGTTGTATAAATTGTATATTCGCATCTTATTTTATATCCTTGTGGATCATAGTTCATCAAGATATTTGTCGATTTATCAATATCCTGCATGTTATCAGCGAGATACCCTGTATATTTCCTTACGGGATGTTATCCAATGAAATATCGAACTGTCATGAAACAACAATTCTGTTGGTGCACACTTTGAGGCTCTGGAATTGTAGGAAATATGAAAAAACTGGCTATTTCTGCTCAATGTGAACTTGATCTTATTGGAGACAAATGTTAGATGTCGCGTTGAAGCACCTCAAAATGAATAGCCTGATGCAGCTACAGAAATATAATATCTAACTAAAATTTTGAGCTCGCTTACATCCAAAGTCTCAAGATTCGCAGGTCTCCGCTAATATGGAAGAATTCCGTGTAGTTGTTTGGGATTAAATATTGAAGGAAGACTGTGGTCAGAAATGCCAGGGAGGTTTCACAAGTGTTTTGCTGACTACATCTGGAAACATCAATGCAAGACGTCGCCGCATGTGATACTGAGAAGCGGTCGCGAAATAAGGTTGGTGACCGAAATCGTGTTATTTCGACTGTTTGGATGTGATCAATTGCCATCCATAGAGGTCAAAATAAAGTGCTGTGACAACATTATCATGCATAGAAGGGATTTATTTCTAGGAATTCATTTGGATGCTGCAAGGGTAGATTCGACTACACCCACAATCTTCATCAAAACGAAGTATTTGAGCGCAGGTTCTTACAACAGAGTCCAAGTTAATTGTCGCTTCTCTGTTGGACAGGCACGAGACTTTCGTTGAATATTTGTGTCACCGTGTGGCGATGACAGAAAAACCGATCTTTGTGTCCAATGTGGCCTGAAGGCGCCCAGTGTTACTGTCCTTGTCTTTAGTTTGCTTCCATCGGCTTTTAATTATCAACAACAAACCATTGGTCAAAAAGATGGCAAAACAAAAACAAAAACAAAACCTCCTAAGTAAACATTCACACACAAACTACACATGGTCGCAGATGCCAAATAACACTTTTCTTTCTCTTAATCCAGAACTGTCTTCTTTTTTTGCCCTCTCTCTTTATCATTTACTCTCTCTACAACTGTTTCCTCTTGATAATTCTTCAACGTTGCACCTGCTCCAATACCTTGGCAACTCTGGACCGTCGCTGTCACGAGCCCGCCGCTTCAATTTACCCTTCCTTTTGCAAGTGATCCACCTCTTGTCTATCCTTCATAAAAAAAATTAGGTTCCTTATTCTAAATGCCCCCACCCAAATTACATGTTCAGCAGATTCGCCTCGATAGTGTCATCAAAAAGGTCCCTGCAAAACAAAGAAACGGCCAAATCTTTGTTCTTTTACAAGACGTCCAAGATGTCTTTGAAAACGCCAGACGTCTAGAGTACGAAGGTGTTAGTGTGCCATTTATGACTGATGAGAATGATGTTAGGTATAACAAAGACATGCGACAAAATGTAGTTTGCATTGTCCATGCTGTGTGCATGAGAACAAAAAGCAGTGGCATAATTTTTAATACAATCAAAATAATGAACATTTTTTACTGGCTGGCTGACTGATTGCATTTGAAAATAGGATCAAGCCATATCGCATCGAGTTCTATGAAGACTGCATCCTTGATGTCATAATCGGTCCTGCACCGGAAAGCGGGTTGGTAATTAACACAAGTGATCCCATCACTATCCCTTCACCTCAGTCCACAGCTCCAACTACCCCTGCTTCCTCCTTCTCTGGGAGCTTTCCTTCGCCTCGCTCGCTCTCACCTGCTTCTGTAGCGCCACTATCCATTGTCCGGCCATCTTTGGCAGGGACCTTATCTGCCGTGCCTGAAACCAAAGACGAGACCATGCAATCAAGCAACTTCGGTTTTCAAGCTATTTCGCCTGAGATGCGTGCACGGACGGCGTCAGTTACATCCTTCTCCACTACCTTTACTGCTCATGAAGAGAGTTCACCTCTACAACCAGCATTGTCTCTTGATGCTACTACGAGGGCAAGGTCAGCCTCACAGCAGTTCATGAATGGAGACCTGTTCTCGCCGGAAACGCGCCCTCAAAGTGAACCCCAAGACATGTCGCCGACTAGTCCGCTTAATCGTGCTATGAACACCGTTCATACAATTCCAGTTTATATACCACCAGAGGTTGTCTTGGAGGACGGGGATGGAGGGCAGAGGCCTCTCTTAGACCCTCAGCAGCAACAACAACCTCAATTTGAAGATACGAACTCGCAATTCTCGCATCAGCAGCAGCAACAGGCCACACTGTACAGCAATACCGTTGACTATCAGCCAAAAACAGCTTTTAATCGACCACCTCCGCCAGTGCCTGACCTGAATGATGGTACACACCAAAACCGTCTCCAACAACAGCAATACCCACAACAATACTCTCAGCAAAGTTCACAACCATATCAACCTTCTTACCATTCGCAGTATCAGCCACTCTATCACCTTCCATTCGAACAATATGACCAACAACAGCAAAAACAAGACCAACAGCCAGCCACTGTACTAGATTCTCGTCCACCTATTCAGACAAGACCACAAACCATGGCAGAACCGCCTTCCGACCCTACCCGCCTATTCCAACGCTTAACAATCGGACATGCGCCTCAGACCTTGGATCCAGAAGGAAGGGCGATCCTGGCCTCGTCCCCAACAGCAACATCTTTTACCGCTTTTCCACAGTCCATTGATTCACAGACATCCCCCCAGAATATCCCCATTCAAATTGAGAAAAGTTATAATATCAGTGCCACTCATACAAATCTAGATATTGATTCTACTCCAGAAACACGGAGCTGGCAACAAGAAAATGATTCAAAAGTCAAAGATCTTGAAATGAAGCTTAAGCGGGCGCAAGACCAAACGCTAGCTTATGCGAGGAAGAACCGTGATTTGGCTAGGGAATCAGCTCAGATGTCGATCAAGATCATGAACAAAGCAACTACTATCCAAAATAAAGTTCAGGCGGTCTTGACGCTGAATCATGAGCTTCACGAGAATCCCGTCCCGCGACTATTCATTGTTTTGCCAGTGTTGATGTTGGAGTCGACTCAATCACCAGGAGGCCAACTTCCCAATATGAAACCATCGGTAGCGCCACCAACCAGTGGTCAGAGGAAATTCCGCCTTCATTTTCTGTGCGAATGCGGACAGTTCACAAGACCACTACGGTCATCAGGCCTAAATCATATTCACTTTGTGGAGCATGAGGGATACGAAATAGAGCGTCCAGTTGAGTTCTTTGAGAAGTATGGACCATTCATTCGCAGCCTCTCACATCTGATTAGGAAGGGTGTCAACTGCGGAACAGTTTCTATTCCCCCCTTACTTGGAGCTACAGATCAACAACAGCAGCAGCAAAAACAATTCCAGCAGCCAACAGACCCAAACAGTATATATCGTGCATATGCAGTTGGGCAGGAAATGTTGAAAAACCAGATCCTGGATACAAGGTTAGAGGAGGCGATTGAATACTTAGATTCTATTGACATGCAGGACGATGGCTTGAGTCAAGATTCAGTTAAATACTTTGATGGAGCCGACATTCGTCAACTTCAAGCATATGTCAAAATCACATCTAATGAAGCAGCATGCCCAGCCAACCTTTACAAAATTGTCACTAGTCATGGGCATGCCAAGTGGATCTGCGAAGAACACTACCGATCGACGATTCGCTATGCAGATGAAATTTCTTTTCAAAAGGATATCTCTGCGATGGGTGGACAATATAATATTCGGACAGGACAGGCAAGGATTCAGTTGACATCTACTCAGGATGCAAACCAATTCTACAAAGCCATGAGCAAAGTCAGCAACCTTCATGAGCTTGATATAGTTTTCAAGTGGCAGTTTAAAGAAAGCGACCTCCAAACCCTTGCTCATGTTATCAATGAGTCCAATATTCGGGCCCTAGCTCTTGATGGGGGTCGTCATAAAACCAATTCACCAACAAAGAAAGCCATGAACTTTGGCAAGAAATATGACCCTTTGCTTCAAGTGATCTTTGGCTCTAAGATTGGTTCTCTCAAATTGATTAATATGCCTTCGCTAATGAACAAGATTTCTGCCAAGCAACCGTATCAGGGCCTATCGGCAACAGTGAACAGGACTAAGGCATTGCATCTGGAAAACGTGGGTGTACTAGATTTCGCGGGCTCGGAAGAAAAAGCTAGCCATTCTCTGGGCATGAATCTCAATCTCAACAACAGTGTCTCACGCAATCCCGCCCTGTCATTTCTGAAAGTCTTGTTGACAAGTTTTCAGAGCCTTTCAGAGATCAGCCTTCCTGGAATGAACATCCGAGATGAGGGCGTCGCGCTTCTGACAGAACAGATCTCTCTTCAGAAGACTTTGCGACGACTTAACCTTCATAATAATGCTATCTCGCCACTTGGAGGACGCTCCTTAGGGGCATTGTTATCGCACGAGAAAGCTCTAACGGCGCTGGATTTGGGCATGAACCCAATAGGGGATGAGGCATTGGCATTGATCATTGGGGCGCTAGGTCCCAAGTTGGCGATCCTGAATCTGGAAAGCACTGGGTTCCGTGAAAGTGCAGCTAAGGCATTAGAGAAAATGATAGGGATATACAATACTCCATCGAGCTTAGAGCCCCAATTGGAATACCTTAACCTCGCCAATAATGCCTGGACAACCAGCAGCATTCAGGCTCTAGGACGCATTATCATGCGGTTGAGACTTGAAATTCCATTGCCTCCCTCACCATCTATCACAGCTCCCATATCTAAAAAGCACGACAAGCCTACACATTTAGAAATGGGGCCCTCGGAAAGCTTCCTGGTAATCAATTCGATGATCAGGACCGCCCACATGACGCTGCCCTCAGATAGGCCGTGGTATGAGCAACCAGACATCCCCAGTTCGCACCATGCTCTTACAGCAACCAAGGACTCCTACAGCCTGTCGGCAATGAAGGCTCAAGACTCCATCAGTGTGAACTCAAAACTCAAGGCACTCCGACTCTTGGATGCTGGTCTTTCCGAGGGCGCAGCGCGTTACTTAATTAGCTTACTGGATGTTAACGTCCTAACTAAGCTTGATCTGAGAAGGTGCATCCGTCTATTCAAGCCACGTGAGATACTCTCAATCCTCGCTCGTGTCTTCCCAAACTCTCCATATCTCCAAGAAAATGACTCTCTGCAGCTGCAACAACAGCAGAGGCAAGCTATTCCGCAAGCCCCGGCGCCTTATGGCATCGCAGGTGCCCCACAAAACTGTCTACGGCTTATTCACTTGAATCAGACAGATGTAGACGACCATGCAGCACGCATCATAGCCCAGGATTTTGAATCTGGTTTCTGTTGTATAGAACGACTGGATATTGGAAGCAACCGCCTTACTCATCAAGGAATCACGCATATCTTAAATGCACTATGCAACAATACATCACTACAGCATCTAAACCTCGGGCAGAACTTTAATGCTCTCAATTCAGTGTACCCATCTGCAGCTTCTGCGCAAGCGCTTGCAACACGCGAAGCCTTCCAAAGATTTATGGCGGCCAACAAAACGCTTCAAGTCCTGTACTTTATTTGTATTGACATTGATGTGGTCGCTAAAGGGCTTGGCTCTAATTCTACAATCCGCTCATTAGTATTTGACCGATTAGAGGGTACACTCAGTGACATAGAAGCCTTCGGGCGGGCACTTGCTAAGAATGAGTCGCTGATGCGCTTCAAGGTCTACGATAGTCGCCAGGACCCATTTTTCCAAGCATTTTATGGAAATAGCCAGCAGCCGCAACAGGCGTACAGTCATCAACACCAACCATCCTCGAATCATATCATGCAGCAGTACATGAAGCAATTCAACAGCTATAATAGCCGAGCACAACAAGTTCAATATGTCGATCTGTTCAAAGATTTCAAACAGGAAGCAATCAGGACGATCGAGAAGGCTATTGCCTTTAACCAGACTCTTATTGAATTCCAATGGCCTGAGGTGTTTGATCGATCGCAGCCTTGCACCGAGCGCTTGGAAGGCATATTGACCCGCAACATGTCTTTGCTCAAGAATGGTATGAGTGCTGGCCACAATAATAACAGCAGTTCAGCTCAGGAGGGCATTTTAGAAAGACAGACTGCTAGAGGCAACAATAACAACAGGATCAGCCGCACGCCTTCAGTCCTCTCCACGTCCTCAACGCTCTCTAGCAGCTCTAATGCCTCCTCCAATTCTTCGTTAATATCATTATCATCTCATGTAAAGGATCATTCACAGAGTGCCAACCGTAACCAGAGTGGATATGGTGGATTTTTAACAACTTATGGGGCACCAAGCGATCCTTACGCATATAGTATCCACAGTAGTAGCACTACAAGCCTCAATATCAACCATGGATCCAATGGGAATTCTGGCAATAGTAGTGGCAGCTCAATCAGAAGTGGGGGCGGGGGGAGCACCCTTGGAGGTTGGGACGAACGTAAGCTGTCAATGCTAGAAGTATCACCATGGACTTTGAATCAATTCCGCAATGCCCCAACGCGAGAGCAGCAGCAACAACAGCAACAGCAGCAACAGCAGCAACAGCAGCAACAGCAGCAACAGCAGCAACAGCAACGGACAAGTCGCGTGGAGGTCGCTGAGTCACATATAATGCAGCGATTTAAGAAATGATGAATGTGATACCCATGTCAATAAAAAAGAAAGAGTAAAAATAATACAATATCTGTAGACTTACTATTTCTATTTCTACTATTATTATTATTAATATTATTATTATTATTATTATTATTAATATTATTATTATTATTATTATTATTATTATTATTATTATTATTATTATTATTATTATTATTATTATTATTATTATTATTATTATTATTATTATTATTATTATTATTATTATTATTATTATTATTATTATTATTATTATTATTATTATTATTATTATTATTATTATTATTATTATTATTATTATTATTATTATTATTATTATTATTATTATTATTATTATTATTATTATTATTATTATTATTATTATTATTATTATTATTATTATTATTATTATTATTAAATATTTATTCATATTCATCTTTGTGTTTTTGCTGTTCGGTGAAACATATCCTTTTGCACGATTGTCAAGGGCGCCACAACCATAGGGCTCGCTACTGGTGCTTGATGATCACTCCCGTTAAATAACGGCTGGTCCCAAGTAGCGCAAAGGTGGCCATAGATCATCCTTAATGTCGAATTGGCGCCTTGCTGTTGATAGAGAGTCACCTTAACGATCTTGATAGGCTCTATCTGGGACGTTCCAATAGCTACGTGTCTGGGATTTGGAATCATTCCATGAACAGAGTGTCGATACCTCTCCGACTGGCTTCTATTCTTCTGAGGGGTATGGAATGGAAACTTTCGGTTGGAAAAGTGTGAACTGACTGCTGCTGCCGCATCCGATAGGATGGTGCCACCGTCACTAGCTCGACGGGAAGCCAAGACCTCAGCCGACTTTTTCTTATTGAATGAGAACCC